ACAAAAGTTCAAAGGCACACTGGAGTCGATATTCGCCAAATATGAGAACATGCACGAGTCAATGAGCGATGAAATCGACCTGCACCAGGGCAAAATGGTTGTGGACAGGGGGCATTTGCGACGGCTGGCGCGACAGGCGCATCGCGAGGAGACGATGCTTCTCAACAGCCTCGCTTTGGGCACTGGGTCCAGAAGCCCGAGGAAGAATCCGAGAAAGAGGGAAAAGAGGAAGACTCCGAGGATGAATTGGCGCCCACACAGCCCTGTCGTCTCAAGAAGTGCGCAGAAGGATAACAAGCGACGAAGGAGTACAGCTCTCGATGAGGCACATTCACTATCATCAAATACCGTTGAACCGCAGGCGCACACCAAGACATCTGCGTCGACCCCAATCGCACAGACCGGCGTACAACCTGCTCCCCAGACCCCAAACCCCATCACAAACCTCCTTCAGTTCGTTCAGTTTCCGCAAACCCCAGCTGGGCAACAGGCGCGATCGTCATTCTATACGACACTCACGCAAACAATCAACTACGCTGTACAGCAAACAGTAGCGCCATTATTCTCAGGCGCACTACCTAGTACGCCGAATGTGCAATTGCCTTTCCTGAATGCGCTGCCTCTACAGACAACTCCGATACCGAGCGCCGATCATGTGGCCCCTGCGAGAGATCCTAAATGGTTCTTTCCGCCATTGTCGAACGAGTTACCTATGGCTGACCTAGTCCAATCGAGTCCTATACCTGCACCTGCGACCTCTGCCACAGCACTGGAAGAATCTACACAAGAAGAGCCTTGTATACCCGAGTCAGATCCTCAGCTGGAACCGAGTACCGATGATGATATGCGAATGGAGACGATCTCAACTGCAGCTATGGTACAAGCCGAAGAAACTGCAGATATGGGATCGAAGAAAGCGGCTCGTCGGACGAGCCCTCGTGTAGAAATTCAGCGAAGGCCCGGACGACTTCCCAACAAGTATGTTTTCACCGAAGAAGACGATGTGTACCTCTACAAGAGAAAAGTACTTCACAACCGTACCTATACAGAGATTAGAGACAGTAAGGAGAAGTGGAAGAATTGGCCGCTTTGGACGTTCCAAAATCGCTGGCATAAACATCTCAAGGAGAGAAATCTTCATGCGAAGGGACATTCGGCCTTTGAAATCAAGCAAGACGACAAAACGAAGTACGACAACGAGACGATTGCAGTAACCCTGCACCATTTACCCACGCCCAGTTCTTCCGGACTTGAAGATGATAATACCCCTGTCTTGAACAGGGCGGAAGATAGCATTGCAGATGCTGTATCGTCTAGCGTCCCGTTCGACGATGACGAGCGCGAATTGCTGTCGCTAGCCGGCGCAGATTTGAGCGAAGAGCAGCTCCTACTCGAAACAGAAGAAGAGCCGTTCTTTCCAGACGCAGATGAAACTGTTCTGCCCTCCGTTGAGCAGGAGGAGTTCGTCGATGAAGATCTGCTCCAGCAAGGTTTACTCGAGGACTCGGCTTCTGAAGAGATCAAAGTAACGATGCCAAGCAAGATCAAGAGCGAGGTCCAACAATCACCACCCACGAGCACGCGGAGACGCACACGAGCTGCAATAGTACACCACACAGTCCCCGATACTGAAGCCGACAGTAGTTTCCAGAATGGCAACAACTCAGTCTCACAAGAGAACATCCTCTCTGTCTGCGACTTTTGCCACACGACTTTCAACACTTTCCGGGGCCTGCGTGTTCATCTGCGTGTTCATCTGCGTGTTCATCAAGCAAACTCACCCTCTACGCATGAAAAGGCCCGACCAAAGTCTCCATCCATCGATCTCGTTGGCGACGATGAACTCCAGGCAGACGTCCCCAGTACGCCAAAGATCAAGCGCGAATTCAGTACACCTCCGCCGACCAGTTTCCTCTTCAGCACACCGGCTGCACAGTCACAATCGCGGCCAGATGCAACATCCTCGGATGTCAAGTCGGCATCTGGACTAAGCCGGAGAGCATATCTCAAGCAAGTAAAACAGTCTTGGACCAAGAAGTCCTCGCCTGCGCCCAAGACCCTGAGCAAAAGAAAGAGCTTTCACACTCTACCAAGGAAGAAGGGATTGGGTTGAAGTTGCGGAGAGCGATGATGAGCTTGCATTTTAAGCATCAAGGGCTGATCTAGTATTTATTTATTGGCCCCTACCAGAACCTCCTGGCATGTAGTTTAAGCATCAATACCCTGTTTGCTCTATGTCTTCTGTTTTTTTGACTTCGGCATGAGTGAAGCAACACACCCAGACATGAAACACAGCATGCCAACTCTCGACTCTGCAAAACTAATGGGTATCATATTGACTCCTACACATCGCTAAATAAACAAATATCAAGTCTAATCGCAACAAAACCAAAACATAATCAATCATTTTTCTTCCCCTCTTTATCCTTATCACCCCCAACATGCTCCTGGATAAACCCTTCCACCCACTCCTCCACGTTCTCCGCCTTGTGCGTCAACCACTCCCACCACTTCTCCCCACTTGTCGCCGCCGGCGCCGCACTACTCGTCTTACTCGGCGGCGTCGGGCGCACGGGCGTGTCATCATCCGACAGCGATGGCTGCGTGTCTTCCAGCCCGGACGCTGACGCGGCTATACTCGAGACCGAACCCAGAGACGCGGGCATGCTAGCGAGTTGGGGCGTAGCGAACGGCTGCGTTGGGAGGGAATGCGTGGGCGGATCGTCGGGTGTTTCATCGGGGGCCGAAGAATCATTATGGTGGCCTGAAGGGGTGAGTGGGAGGCGTAAAGTGCCGTTATTAGGCGCCGGGGCGAGGTTGAGCGAGTCGCAGATGATGTTGTAGAGTTCAATGTTTTCTGCCATGTATTGTGTAGCCCATCTCCCACTCGTATGGCCTGTCATCGATGACTTACGAAACGGCTCCATGCGACTCCCCGGCGCATGCGGGAACGCTGGCCCCCGCGCAACGAAAATGGCGCGCATGAGTGGGTGTTCGTGATCGTAGCCGTGGAGACCGCGCGGATGGTAGACTTCGCCTTTTTTCTTGCCGACTTCGATGTTGAACTCGTCCTTGGTGACAATCGCCCAGCCCGCCTTGGGCACGATCCAGAGCGGGGCGATGCGCTCATTTTTGGAGAAGTGGTAGCGCTCTGGCATGTTTTCGTCACGGAGGTAGACTTCCACATTGGGGTTGTCTTTGGTGCGCTCTTTGATCTGGTCGTAGAGGCGTTGGAGATCGGATGGATTCTTTGGACGGAGGCCATAGAGCGGCCAGCCGTCAATGTGGGCGAGCTCAGCGGGGTCGACGATGTCTTCGAGTTGGATGAGGCGGGATACATCAGTAGTAGCCATGCCGTGGTCGGAAACTACCACGACGTTCACGATGTTGGTGAGGTTTCGCTCGTGCAGACCCTTCAAAATGTCTCCAAGCATGGCGTCTGCGTTCGCGATAGTCTTCTTGATCTCCGTGCTGTTTGGTCCAAATCTATGTCCATCACCGTCGACATCCGGGACGTAAGCAGCAATGAGTTGAGGTCGTGGTGTTGTCGCTTCTGCGCCAATATCCTTTGGTCCAGGCAGGTCCAGCAAGTCCAAGATGCGATTCGTCTTCATTGGAAGAACCTCGGAGCCATTGTACTTGTCCACATATGCAATCATTTGGTCCTGAATATGTGCCTCTGAGCCTGGCCACATATGCACTGCTGCCCTGACTTTCTGCTTCTCCGCTGTCACCCAGATTGGTTCTCCGCCCCACCAGTGTGGTTGCAAACTCCTCTCAGGGTCTGTGTAGTAGAACTCTTTCTCAAGCGTTGGGTCCCAAAATGTGTTACTAACGATGCCATGCGCTTCTGGGTACATCCCAGTTGCCATTGTGTAGTGATTCGGAAACGTGACGCTTGGGAAGCTCGGGAGCATGTATTTCGGAGAGATGCCTTCTTGTATGAACTGGTTCAAGGTCGGCGTGAGGTTGCGGTATAGGAAGTCTGCGCGGAAGCCGTCGAGGGAGATGAGGATAGTGGTGGGCGCAAAGAGTGAGGTCCCATTAGACACCAGGGCCGCTGCGTCTTTGACATCTTTCGGTGTCGAAAGGCGGTAGGTAGCAGCAAGAAGAACAACGAAGAGAACTACAATTGATGCGTATATGATTATGCGACGCCAAAGACGAGCTTTCTTTGCCTGAAGGAAGGGTCAGCGCCTGGCTGACTCAAGTGATTGGGGGACATACCTTTCTCTGCGCCCTTGATGCGACCAAACGCTGCTCGTCGCTCTCTGAGCTTCTCCTGGACCTCAGACTCGTACTCGAATTGTGTCCAATGCCCTCTTCCATCTCATACATGAGCGCGCTCGTCTCCTCGCTCTGCCCTCTCTTTCGCTCTTTCATCTCCGCCTTGCGCGATAACTTTCCGATCTTGACACCCTTCTTGCCGAAGATCCCCTGTTCCTGCGTCAACAACCTGTCCCGTTCATCTTCCGAATCCAAAATGTCGTGGTCGCCTTCCATCAGCTCCCCCGAGGGCCGGCCATCGTAGCCCTCGTCGTCGGACTCGGGGTCGTAAAGCGTGCGTTCGTCGGCGCTGGCATCGGAGCTTGCTGCCCTGCGCGATTCGTCCTGCGATCGGGACGACATGGTGTGGGTTTAAAAATGCCTAGAATGGCATTGCAAGGTAAAAAGAGTGTCGCGCGCGGTCGGGCCGCCGCCGTGTTCATTGATGTATCTGAGGTGAGCGATAGCCTCGCCCCTTGGCGCGAGCGTTTCATCCTACACGTAGCATCGCGCCTCAACACATTCCGGTGAAGTTACAACATTCACATGCCCTGGAATGACTCCTACAATAAAACGAAGTGACTTTTGAATATTGCTAGAGTTGTGGCTTGTATGCTTCGTAACCACCAATTCACATGTCAAGTGTCGAGACGAGCATACTCAGGGCTAGTAAACCATCACAGTGTTCAGGAAATAGTTCTTCAAACTTGCTCGCATGATGTCGCGTTATGCTGGTAGCTTTGGTACATACTCGTATATTCTTGCCTCTATGAACATGCAATGCTTTCAGTAAGCCAGGGGACCATGCTCCCAGAACATCATTGCTGCCGGTTCATGCATTCGATGCTCATCCGTCCTACGCCAAAAAAGTCGTAATCATAACAAGCTGGGTATCTCAAAGGGCACCCGCCACTTTTATCTCCCAACGCTTACTCCTCATCCTCCTCATTAGGGGCTTGCATATCTTCAACGTCTTCCTCCTCGAATGTGTGGAGAGGGACCTGGTACAGACGAAGCAAAGACTTGTTAGGGTCCTTGACAAGCACGTACTTGCCCTCATCCATACGAAGGACCATATCGACGATAGTACGAACAATACCCCAACCGTTGTTGAGGTTGAGCGCCATCTGGGAAGCGAAGTCGCGGGGCTTGTTGGTGAGCACACCGAGAATGACGTGGTCGTTGTTGTTCTTGGGGTTTGTACGCGAGACAAAACTGCAATAACGTTAGAATTGTTCTGACAAAACAGACGTAGAATACATACCCAAGCTTCATAGTGTCAGCCTTTGCAAGGATACTCTGCACAGCCCATCGAGCGAGCTTGCAAGAGTTGTTCTTCATCTCTGTCGCCAAAACAGCACCCCTTTGGCTGGCCAACTTGGACCTCCAGTCAAGGGCGCCACCTGAGCCTTGCGCCTTGTTGTCGAACTCGTTCAATGCCTTGATGGTCAAGTATTGGTCCTCACCGTTGATGTTGTTCTTGACAACAGCATCAAGTTCTGTTCGGACAATGAGGTGAAGAGGCTCGTCATCCTTCTCCAGGGAGAGATCGAAACGGCGGTACCTGTAGGCCTTGGACGCGGGTGGGTCGGTCTCAACCTCTTCGTTGTAGAAGGGATGCTCGTGGGTCATGTTGACCTTGTTGGTGTCTGACTCGGAAACAACCTGGAGGGGGAAGACGTTGTTGATGTGGGTGGCCTCGAGCATGAGGGCTCCTGGGCTGTTGATCGAGTCCTTGTTTCCTTCCGAGATCTCGAGGGGCGCATCGGCGGCGTTCTCGTTGACAGTCACCATGTCGAGGTTTGAGCCATCGCGCTTGTCGATGAAGACCTTGTTGCCCTTTCTTGAGAAGACCAAATCCCATGAGTAGACGGACTTGGTGGCACACATCAACATCGACAAGACATTGTCTGTAGCAAAGACAGTAGCCTCGTCCTTGTCAGAAAGCTCCTGCAGAATTGGGTCGCTGGATGTGGTGACGTTGTAGGCGGCGCGCTCGAGGACGTTGAGTCTTCGCTCGGAGGTCTTCGCGCCCGGCTGCTTGTCGTAGCTGCGGTCGTAGTAGTAGAGGAAACCGTAGTTCTCAAGATCCTCGCCATCTCCGGTGTCGAGGTTCAGCTTGCCCAGGCGTGAGAAGTCAATCTCCTCCATAACAGTCCACTCAGGCTTGACCTGAACCGACGCATCACGGTTGCGCTGGGGCTTGTCGTCTCTCCAGCCAAAACGGCGTCCTCCTCGGCCTCCACCGCGTCCGCCACGGCTGTCGTATTGCTGTCCTCCACGGCCCCCGACGCGCTGGAAGGTTCCTCGTCCTCCACGCTGTGCCTGTCCGCCCCGCTGTCCGCGTCCACGTCCGAAGACAGTGCCGCCTCCTCTTCCGAATCCGCGAGTGCGGGTGGATGTGCGGGTGTTGTCAACCACGGAGAAGGTAGCCTCCTCTTCGGCGGCCTGGATAGCGAAGGGGTTCGTCTGCTGGTTCGCGCCGTATACTTGCTGGTCTGCGGGGTAGTAGTCAGATTTATGCCATCTCTCATATACCTAGACCTAGTGGGACTATACACACCTCTGTAGTTTCGGTTTCCGTACTGCTGGCGTCCTCCTCGCTCACGGTCCTTGCCTTCTGTCCAGTCGGCCATGCGACCTAGCTTGTCGCCCTTTGAGTATGGCGCGAATGGGACGCCATCCAGCATCGTCTCATCGGAGACAGCAGGGCCCCAGCTCTCCGTGGCTGGCAGCGCGGACACAAGGTCAAGTAGGGATGCGGGTGCCATGATTGCTGCTCGTTGTGGCGTTGGTGTTGACTGACTCCCGTCGCCGCACAATACTCACAAATTGCGGAAGTGGAAGGTGGGCTGCCAAGATATCGCGGGAACAATCATTGGCCGACTTCCGCGGTCGGCTCCACCACTCCTTTCACTCACCTTCAGTCAACAGTCAACGCATTTACCTCGAGTTGTTTTCAGGATCATCTTATCGTTGCATGATGGCCGCATACCAGCATCAACTATACTTACGGCTCGGCATCAACCATGATAGATGAAATCTTGGTTCACATATCAACTCCCGCCACGAGACAGAATGATGATCTCTACCGCTCTCTGGCCGACACTTACCTCAATTTTGAGCCTCACAAACAACGTGTAGATGTTGCAGATAAAGCACTTGCTGGATCATACATCCCATCAGCATTTCTCTCAAAGAGTAACATAGAGCTTGCAGGGAGCTCACTCTTGTCAACCAGCAGAGAATCCTATGGCAGCTTTCCGTCTCATGTTTCTTCTGGATATCATGCAGAGAGACCCAAAAATGTCGAGATCCAGTCTGCCGAGGTCGAATCCATCCCACCAAGTAGTCGACTAGCTCGTCTTGATCGAATACACAGGTTGTGGAAGGAGAAGACAACGCCTCGATCGAGTTTTGTCAATAGAGAGGGACTTTCCAGCCGAACTAGTCGTATTTCTCAAGCCTCTGGTACTGGTTTTATAGAAGATACCCAACTCGGGGCTGAGGCGTTGCAGAGCCAACTCCCAGACAGCTACTCCACGACCGATGAGGATACCTCTGAGGATGAAGCAGAGCCGAAGATTCTACCCCAACTGGTATCCTCAGCTATCGCCAGTGATAGCAGAATGACCACCGCAAATTCCATGATCGAGGTGGCCGAAGCCGTCCGACCAACGTCCAAGCCAGCCTTGAGCAGTATCAGTGCCAATGAACGAACAAAACCACAGCTATCGAACATTTCAAAGTCTTCATCCTCATCAAATCTACAACCGAGCAAAAAGCGCAAGCTTAGCGAGCCACCATCAGAAACTTTCGATTTCAGTGAACTGCCCACAGATGCCTTCCCACCAGCCCCCAGCATCTCCACCGAACGTCCGGCCAGACTACCCTCACAGGTCACCAAGCATCTCGCCGCTCTCAAAACTCAAAACCCAAAGCGCTTCAAGCTTACCAAACGGCGTGGAAGTACGCCGAGACACGACGATCGTGGACACTGGTCTGTCGACACCTCGACCTGGCCAGTCAGCATCCAGAAAGAGTTTTGGGATTCGCTGTATGATTACGTCTGCAAGGGGAGACTTGGATGGGGCGTCACTTTGTATCGCGACGCGGCGGCTTCGAGCGCTTTGGGCCATGTGCGCTTGTATTGCTGGGCGGAGATTGTGGAGCACACGTGGTTGATGATGTGGATCTGTTCGAAGGGGGAGATTGTCAAGTCTGGGTCGAATTGGATAGATGCTGATGGGAATGTCATGTTTGAAGTTGCCGAAAAGTAGATGAAAACATCTCACTTGATCGGAAAAATTGGAGGTCAAGATACCAAAACGTACGTTCTACGAAACCTAAATCCCACCAATACTTTTTCAATCCCTCATTGCAAAAACACCCTTGAACTCATATCGCTGCAATCGTTCCGTGAGATGTGAATGTAAAATCCCTATAAACATGAATACAGAAGCCCTTTCAATATTCTCCGTCGTCATATCGTCAACTTGTTCCTTTTCTTCTTGAGTGGGTACATCTTTCCCCCGCGCCACGGCAATTTTCTCCTACTTCCGGTAGGTCTTCTCGGTCGTCAAGGCTATGAGAGCTTTACAAAGGACGTCCACCGACGAAGTCGCTCCACGACCTGACCTCGCTTGGGATGCCCTCCTTCTTGGGCAGCTTCTCGCTCATACATTGCGCGAAGAGGACGGCGGTCTACACAACATTAGCACGGGTAAATCACATCGAGACGTTATTGAAGCTCACCTTAGGCTCCATGAACAGCGGCACGCCAAAGTCGACCGCGTTCCTCCTCATAACGTAGTCCTCGTCAAGCAGACCGTTGGCCCTGAACTTGGCAAGGTTGAAGCAGCCACGGATGTCGTACTTCTCGAACACCTCACGCAGCTTCCTCTTGTCGTCCTTGGGGAACTCGATAACTTCAACACTCACACCCTCCGCATTCTTCTCGAGCAGCGCCTTGACATTCTTGTTGGCTGCGAGGAACTTGTAACCGAGCGGGTTGACGTATTTGGCGATCTGGATGAGGGAATTGGCGTGTAGTGCATTGTCCGTAACGTCACCGCCGAAGAGGAGACCCTCTCCTGGCTGAGGAAGGCGGAAGTTCATTTGCGATTGAGCAGATGCCCAGTATGCCTCTACGAGATCCTTACCGAAGCAAGCCATCTCTCCAGTGGAAGACATCTCGACACCGAGGTAAGGATCGGCACCAGCCAACCTAGTCCAGGAGAATTGTGGAACCTTGGTGGCGAGGTAGTTCCTCTCGACAGCCATGAGGTCAGTGGGCTCAGGGACCTCACGGCCAACAAGAGCCTTGGTGGCAACGTCAATGAAGTTGGTACCGAGAACCTTGCTAACGAACGGGAACGAACGGGAGGCGCGGAGGTTGCACTCGATAACCTTGAGGTTGGGCTCAGAACCCTCAACCTCCTCCTTGATGATCTGCATGTTAAAGGGACCGGTGATGTTCCATGCTTTGGCGACCTTGTCGGCGATCTCCTTGACGCGCCCCTGGATGCGCTTGTCGAGGTTGACAGGGGGAAGGACAAGAGTGGCATCACCAGAGTGGACACCAGCATTCTCAATGTGCTCACTGACGGCGTGCACAAGAACCTTTCCGTCTGAGGCCACGGCGTCGCAGTCTATCTCTTGGGCGCCATCAATGTACTGGGTGATGACAACGGGATGGTCTGGCGAGACTGAAGAAGCAGCAAGCAGCTTTTCCTGGAGCTCATCCTCGCTTCGGATAACGGTCATGGCGGCTCCGGAAAGAACGTACGATGGGCGGACAAGTACGGGGTATCCGACGGACTCTGCGAACTTCTTCGCATCTTCGTACGAGGTAAGCTCCTTCCATGCTGGCTGGTCTACACCAATGGAGTCAAGGATGGACGAGAACTTGTGGCGGTCCTCGGCCTTAGTCGATGTCTTCTGGGTCGGTGCCCAATACCTTTGCCTTTCCGCTATTCTGCAGCTTGAGGGCAATGTTTTGAGGCAGTTGACCACCAACAGAGACTACAACACCGCTGGCGGTCTCTAGCTCGTAGATATCCATGACACGCTCGTAGCTTAGCTCTTCGAAGTAGAGCTTGTCGGCGACGTCGAAATCTGTCAAATGTTAGCACAAACTCTTTGAGCAGCTCCTGGAGATATACACACCTGTGGAATACGTCTCCGGGGTTCGTTTGGCTTGTTAGCATACGTTATACATGAACAATGGGCTAGGAGAATACATGGGGGTAAGGAGGAGGTGATGAAGAGGGGCGAAAGTCGTGAAGACCTCCAGGAAGGACGATTGGGTGGGTACTGCACATACATACTGTTCACAATGAGTTAGCAGGTTGTAGCAGATAGTTAGAGAAAGCGTAAAATGAGAAGCGAAAGTCCGGGAAGTCCTTATGTAATAGATGTGCCTGGAACGATTCGAGGGTTCACACGGCTTGGTGACATCATGGCTGATACATGTGCTTGGAGCTATTCAAAGGCACAATGCAACCTGGCAAACTGATGGCTGATATGGAGTATTGGATGTATCCGAGGACTTAACGCGACTTGGTGACATGCTGGCTGATAAGGGAACCTGGGTGTATACGAGGGTCCAGAAGGGTGTTCCACAACGTGAAGGACCTCAATTTCGAGTGACTGAGCGAGAAACAGACGTCATCATGTCGGTAGCTGATGGTGTTGTCCGAAGATGTACAGCGTCCAGACAAGTAGTGGTACAGTCATTTTGAGGGAGGCGTGCCAAGGTCTGGGTTGTAAGGCGCAGCAGCCGGTTTTCGATTAAGGCTGGTCGTGAAGCAGCAAACGTGAAAGGCGGTCAGGCCGCTTCCAGACGAGAGCAAATCCAGTCCAATCGGGTCCAGGCAGAGGAAATGTCCGGTACGGATGACAAAAGAGAAAATGGGGGAAGTGGACTTACGTTGATCATAACGGTCTTCTTGCCGAGCTTGTTGAGAGACATGGTAGCGTTCACAGCACACCAATCGAACTCGACAGAGCTACCGATACGGTAGACACCGCTGCCGAGCACAATTACACCGTGGTCGTCAAACGTGACATCGTGGGACGATGCGTTGTATGTGGTCTATAGCTCAGAGTCAGCGAGTGCTTGCAACATCTCGGGAACAGACTATAAAGCAAGACCGAAGTGTACGTACGTAGAGGTAGTTAGTGCTGTGAGCATAGTCAGTAGGGGTTTCATACATGTCATACGAATCAGTTGCTTACTCAGCGGGGAATTCTGCAGCCAGAGTATCGATCTTCTTAACCCAAGGCCTGATGCCAAAGCTCTTCCTGCGGGCGCGAACCTCATCTTCACTGCTGTTAACAGCCTTGGCGATCTGTTTGTCAGAAAAACCAAGCTTCTTGGCCTTGAGGATGATCTCCTTCTTCAGGCCAAAGAGGCTGCCAATCTCCTCCAACTCATGTGTGCAGTCGACAATGTTCTGGAGCTTGTGCAAGAACCACTTGTCAATCTTGGTAAGGTCGTGGATCTGATCGACGGTGTAGCCCTCGTGGTACATAGCCTGGCCCACGGCGAGCCATCGGCGGTCGGTGGGGTTCTTGAGCTCCTCGTCGAGGCTCTCTCCATACTTCTCGGCCTGGAAACCAAGGAACTTGGGGTCGACCTGTCGGCAAGCCTTCTGGAAGGACTCTTCAAAGGTACGACCGATGGCCATGACCTCACCGACTGACTTCATGGAACTGCCAATGTCACGCTTGACGTTCTGGAACTTTGCGAGATCCCATCGAGGCATCTTTGTGACAACGTAATCCAGAGAAGGCTCGAAGTTTGCGGTCGTGGTCTTTGTGACGGCGTTTGGTAGCTCAGGAAGAGTGTGTCCGAGACCGATCTTGGCCGCAGTGTATGCTAGTGGGTATCCGGTCGCCTTTGAGGCCAGAGCAGAGGAACGAGACAGACGAGCGTTGACTTCGATGACCCTGTAGTCAAGACCATCGGGCTGGAGAGCGTACTGAACGTTGCACTCGCCAACAACTCCCAAGTGGCGTACGATCTTGATCGCGGCAGATCGAAGCATGTGGTACTCCTCGTCGCTGAACGTCTGACTAGGCGAGACGACGATACTGTCACCAGTGTGAACACCAAGCGGGTCAAAGTTCTCCATGTTGCAGACCGTGATGCAGTTGTCGCTAGCATCGCGCACAACCTCGTACTCGGCCTCTTTCCATCCCTTCAATGACTTCTCCACCAAAATCTGAGGGGACAGGGTGAGCGATCGTGCGGACAAGTCCCTCAGCTCATCTGCGTTGTTGGCAAAACCTGAACCAAGACCACCGAGCGCATACGCAGCGCGGACGATGATGGGGTATCCGACCTTCTCCGCAGCGTCCAGTGCCTCATCGATGGAAGAGACAGCGATCGATTTCGCGATCGGGATGTCGATTTCGTCGAGGGCTCGTGCGAACAGGTCACGATCTTCACTTGTTTCCAGAGTCTTGACGCTGGTTCCGAGCACTTTGACGCCGTACTTCTCAAAAAGGCCCTTCTTGTTCATCTGCACGCCCAAATTGAGCGCAGTCTGGCCACCGAAGCTAAGAAAGATGCCGTCTGGCTTCTCCTTCTGGATCACATATTCGGCGTATTCGGGAGTCACAGGCAGGTAGTAGATTTCATCGGCGAGCACGTGCGAGGTCTGGATGGTTGCAATATTGGGGTTCAGGAGGACCGACTTGACGCCAGCTTCTTTCAAAGCTTTGAGCGCTTGTGACCCTGGAAGAGGGTTAGCATGGTGGCTTTGGGATTTTGTGCGTCTGAGATATCATACCAGAATAGTCGAACTCTCCAGCTTGACCAATGCTGAGACCACCACTGCCGATGACCAGGACCTTCTTCACGTCGACCAGGTTTTGCGCACCAGCGATCGCGCCGCTGTTGAGATATGCTTGCGCATTAGGTGCTTGTTGTGTCTGGTTCCATGTTGTAGAAACCTTTGAGAAAGCACGCAGCTGTTGTCGGAAAGCTGCAGGTGAGTCACGCGTCGCGCGAAAGGACGTTAATGACCTTGCAGTGCGAGATGTGAAGGTTCGGCACGATGCAGAAGGTGCAACGGAGCGGTATTGGCTGGTGAGAGCAGGTGCGCGACGTGCCAATCGCGAGCAAAGGGCCATGTTTGCGGGCGGTCACGCAGCTGTGGGCAAGCTTGAAGCTCGACAATGTCGGGGAGGATTACGATTAACAAGGGATGGTGCGCGAAAGAAGAGTCGTCCGAAGCTTATAAGAGGAATTGAGGGCTGCCAGAGCTCAGGCTCACCCAGCGCAATGGACCAGTGACTCTTTTGCAGAAATTATGAACAAATTCGCGGGGACGACGTAGAGCTCCGCCAAAATTTACATGAGTCGCCGGCGCACCAATGACTAGCTCTCCGATACCGTCCAAGATAACGGATAAGCTCCTAGGCGGTCAAACACGCACAGATCGACTGTACCAAAATCATGTGGGAGTACATTTCGTGGTCACAGCATGTTCAGAGAATACATTGAGGCCATATACTCTAATCTCAACCAACTCCAGTTCAGTAGCATTCACTGTGTCTACAATTCATGCCAGGCAAGGCCAAACCAACAGGGCCGATTGCGGAGGGTAAGAAGGCCCAAGCCGGGCAGAAGTGAAAGAATTTTTGGGTTGGTCTTGAAGCTCCGCTTCGTCATTGTCAGGGGTCTGCGGGTGTGGAGAGCATAGATCTACACGTCTCCAAACTATCATGGCCAACTTGGCGCTAATACTATTGACTCAACCCAGCTTCACTTGGCGCAAGGAGTAGCACTGGAGACTCCCTGGTCTTCCAAAGGTACAGTCATACTCAAACTTTTCCCCATAGGGTCTGATGTTCATCATGTCTTTTTCAATTTGTCTGCTGCCGCGTGTCGTGCCTTGTACTCACGCGGACTTTCTGGTGCCTTTGTACTTGCTCCACCCAACTTCTGCAGCAGCGTGGGTTTTGCCCACATGCCAACTTTCTGCGCTTTAGCCTTCTCTTCAGCTGCGCGGTATTTGGCTTCAGATGTACCGAATTCCGCGCCGCTTTTAGCTTCATATATGGTAGCCAGCCCTGCCTTCAGCATCTCCAACCCCACATCTTTTCTGAACAGCCATCTCCGTACGTAGACCTGCGCCACGATTCTGTCGTACTGGTCGCGTCTGTAGATGTATGCGCGGACTCGGCGGTTGTGTATCAAATTGATAAGCCATTCTTGCGCCTCTTTGGCATATGGCTGCTCTTCTCGTCCCCAGTGTGCAAGCTCCGGCGCATCCACACCGGCAAGTCGGATGTGAAGCTGGAAGTTGTTAGCAACCAGAGAAGGGGAATCGGAGACTATGCTCAAAAGTCCCAAATGACATGGCAGACCTACAGTCTGATTGCTTAAACCCTCTCTCTTCGTAGGCACCATCTTCCATGGGAGCCAACCCCAGCCCGCTATCCTACCACCCGGCGTATGGTATAGTCGGAAGTTGTCCGCATCGCCAACAGTTGTGACTTTTCCAAAAATTCCTTTGCGCCGGAAATAGTGTGGCTTAACATGATTGACAGTCGGTATTCGTCGCAGGAATGTTTTGTACAATCGAAGTGCAGTAACCGTCGTGATTGTGAAAGCGAAAGTTGGTATCAATGTGCGCGGGTTGGTGAGCGATTGGCCCCAGCTGTCCGCTCTCAGTGAGTCAGCCCATGTTTCGCCGACCTGTTTCTTCTTCTTCTCGTCGTCGCCCGAGCCAAACCATCGCATCGTTCGTTTGGCGGTAGGTTGTAGAAGAGAGGTTGCGGGGACGGTTCTCAAGGTTGTGGCAGAATTCCGCCTGTCCAGGTGAGCTCACACACCGCTCTCACATGACTCGTGATCTTTACTCTAGCTGCACTCGAGGCAACCAATGATATGATTACAGACACTGCATTTGTTTTTCTGAGCCTCGGCAACCTCATGGCTCGAGCGGTACCTAGCCACAGAATTGCCAGACTTGTGTGCCAGACTTGCTGGCCGCAAGGCTGAATTGGACATGAAACCGAGAACCGGGGGTCAAGTAATCGACCATGTAGGTCGTCAGTAGCGGAAAGAGCCTTGAAGCCTCGATAGACGACCTAATAGTATAACATTCGATATACAGCATTTACATGTTCATGGCCGTGGAGCCTCCTGACGTGCCGAGACTACTTTCCAGACTTTCCCGTCCCTATCACTTGTTGTACATGCGAAACAGAGGTAAGGATAATTACAACATTGTCTGCCGGACTCCTTAGATCCCAACAGAAATCTTGTTCTTACTCCACAACCTGATATCTACCAGACAAGTGCTTTGCAGCCACTTCCCGTGTCATTATGTGATAATCGACCAGGACAGGCCGTGATGCATGCCAGACGGCTAAGAACCAAATAAATACGTGTGTGAATATCGTCTCCCCTGTAAGATGATCCATCATTTGAAGACATTTGACCACTTTGTTCCAGCTGCTCATGAGAACCCAGTATGCGGCGTGGTCGAACAACAACGGAATGACGGAGAGGTAATGACCTGTATCTTGTGCCGGAGGAGATCGCTCGGTAAGCATGTAATAATCTCAAACGAACTGAAATCATCTGTGATACATGTCAGCCGTGCAATATCTCAATAGGGGGATTACCGTACGTATAATGAATGAGATCAAGAACTATTCACATCAGACCTTTCTTGTCTGTTCCTGTCACGAGCTTGTTTCTTGCACTCTGCAATGCTCTAGGAATACTTGGCCTCACGATGAAGTTGAATTGCATTATTACCTACCTTGCTGTCGCGCCATCGAGTCTCGACAGTACCGGCAAAGTTGCAGAATGGCAAACATCTCGCGATGCTGACTGCTCCTTGTTTTGCCGATGCAGCTCGAGCCTGAACGATTGCAATGACGATAATTGACAACATATTCGGTATCGGTGGGAGGCGTCGCTGGGCGGTCAGACATTGAGGACAAGTCTTCACCTGCCAACACTCAGATCATCCGGAACAGTGTATGGACGGGTACGGTGTGCATCGCAAGTATAGCCTGCGAAGCGCAAGCCTCGTGTCTGATCGGGAGCGTGTCGACAGTGCCCAGGTGAGGAAGAGGGCCGCCCAGGTGAGGGTCGAAGCGGTACTGGGGCGCAGGGTTCCAAGGTCCACGGGTTGGCGCGCGGAGCTAGAAATGGCTAAGCTTTCATGCCTCGACACTCGAACTTCAATCGGTTGCATCTATTCGCTCACCCACCTCCGTTATCTTCACATGAACCAACGGCTTCAAGCTTGCAGATTCCGAAATTATTCTTTTTGCTTAAATCAAACTCATGTCTAGGCGAACGGTTTTCTGTGACCTGTAGCCCTTTCCCCGGCCATATCAGATGCGACTCCGTTCGCTACACGAGCACAATGTTCTCCACCTTCGCATCTACAGCCGACCCCAGCGCACTCGATGACGGCTCGTATTTATTCGATCAGTCGAATAACGATCTTCTGTCGCTGCCGTTGTCCAATGATAGCATACATTTGAAGGGTGGCATTGCTCCCATGTCGGGGCTTAGTAACCTGGAATACGGCAGAGAATCGACTTCATCGTCCGTGCACTATGGCGATTCTCACGATACATCTGAGCCCAGTAATGGTCATCTGAGTAGCCGAGAGGACGGAGAAGGCTCGACCCCAGGTGCTTTCGTCAATGGGTATGGCTCTAATTACACTCCCTCACCACTACAACATCCATTCACTCCGTCATCAACCACGGGAAGTGGCGCGATCAAAGCACAAACCAAAAAAAGCGCAAACATGAACGGTCACCGTCTGCATCAAGTTACAAGCGAGCTTGTCGGTTCCCATGAACAAAAATATTCTGGTCTGAAACAACTGCAAACCAACCACGCGTTCATGGCTGGGACGCCGCAGAGCTTGAGCGGCGAATGGCAATCTTCCTCGACCCCAGAGGCCCCTCAGTCTCAGCAGAAACCTATCAAACATCGCAGGGTAAACTCGAACTCACTCAAGGGCAAGGGCGTGGAGCCAAAAGCGAGCTCAAGCATACCGGCAGACATGTCGTGGCCAGAATTTGGGCGCCAATGCATCCTAGCTGCAGAAAACAGCCGCCTCAACCCGTTTGCATTGCATCCAGCAGAATATAAACTTCTACGGCACCATCTGAATTACGCACAGGTGACGATCTATCTCAACATCCGAAACGGCATTCTAAGATTATGGCATCGAAATCCTCTGGTGTATGTCTCGCCCACAGAAGCTGCAGGGTGCGCGCGGGACAAACGGTTCTTTGGTCTCGCGAATGTGGCATACCTATGGTTGATGAGGAACGGATACATCAACTTTGGGTGTGTCGAAGTACCTGATACGAGCGCCTCCGCACCACGTACAAAATCGAAAAGCACACGGCGTACGATCATCGTGGTAGGCGCAGGCATGTCTGGCCTGGGCTGTGCCCGCCAACTGGAGGCTATATTCGCACAGTTAGGTGATGATCTCGCAATCAATGGTGGCGAGCGTCCACCAAAGATCATCATCCTGGAAGCTCGTCCACGAATCGGCGGTCGTGTCTACTCGCATCCATTTCTCAACCAGTCAGGGTCTACTTTACCGCCTGGCCATCGCTGTACAGCTGAGATGGGTGCCCAAATCGTTACTGGCTTTGAACACGGTAATCCCCTGAATGCAATCATACGAGGCCAATTAGGCATACCGTATCATGGCTTACGCGATAACACAATATTGTACGATCATGACGGCACAGTCGTGGAACAAACGCAAGATGCATTAGTCGAGAAGCTGTACAACGATGTCTTGGAGCGCGCGAGCATATATCGCAATAAGCCTGCGACCCAAAGAACTGTCGAGGGAGATCGAAATCTCATTTTATTCGGTCGCGAACCTACAGACAACGGGGGACCGTCTATCGCCGAGCTCGAACAATCGAATACCCCACTAGCGGCCAACGACAAAAGCACGGCTTCTACAACAGAAGAGAAGCCCACGTCGGGTGTGGAGAAGCTAGCAGGAAGGGCTTACCAATTGAGCACAGGCTTCAATGCGGGCATAACAGCAGCAGAGGCGGTACAGAGCTTGGGATGGTCACTGAAGCCTGGTGTATCGAAGGCCCAGTCAGTAAATCTCGACGCGATCGCGCATGACTCTGAATATCCAACACTGGGGAAGACCATGGACGAAGGTTTGAAGCAATACCAAAACCTCGTCGATATGAAGCCCCGAGACATGCGCCTCCTGAATTGGCATCACGCCAACCTCGAATACGCAAATGCTGCAAGTGTAAATCAGCTCAGCCTCAGTGGTTGGGACCAAGATATGGGCAACGAATTCGAAGGACAACACACCGAAGTCATTGGTGGCTACCAACAGGTCCCCCGCGGGTTGTGGCAGGCTCCCAGTCAGCTCGATGTTCGATTTAAGACGCCGATCAAATCTATAAAATACAATACCGAAGAACAGCAACTCGGAAAGGCAGTACGAATCGAGTGCAGCAATGGTGAGGTTTTCGAAGCAGACAAAGTTGTCATCACAACTCCGCTCGGTGTGCTGAAGTCCGGGTCCGTCACGTTCCAACCACCACTTCCAGATTGGAAGCAGGGTGTGATCGAACGTATGGGATTCGGCCTCCTGAACAAGGTCAGTTCCAACTGGCCAATAGACAGGATGATCGCTCACATGCAATAGATTATACTTGTTTACGAGAAAGCATTCTGGGAAGCGGATCGAGACATGTTCGGCTTGCTCAACGACGCCGAAATCGAGGCTAGTCTGCGACCAGAAGACTATACCAAGAAGCGAGGGCGGTTCTATCTGTTCTGGAACTGTCTAAAGACAAGTGGCAAGCCCGTGCTGGTAGCTCTCATGGCAGGCGAGTCTGCACATCACGCGGAAACGAGCTCGAACGACCAGCTTGTAAAAGAAGTCACCGACCGCCTCGATTCAATGTTCGCACCCAACACAGTGCCCCTGCCGACAGAAGCCATTGTCACACGTTGGAAGAAGGACCCATATGCCTGCGGAAGTTACTCGTACGTCGGGCCGAAAACACAAGCTGGTGATTACGATGTCATGGCACGACCACATGGCCCACTGCACTTTGCTGGAGAAGCAACTTGTGGTACGCACCCCGCGACTGTGCACGGTGCATACTTGTCCGGCTTGCGTGCTGCTGCGGAGGTTGCTGAAGCTATCATGGGGCCCATCAAGGTGCCTCAGCCTCTGGTGGAGAAGAAGACGATCATCAAACTTGAATCTCCAACAACGGCTGCTTTCGACGGAAAACGCAAGATGGGGCCCGCTGTGCTGCCGACACAACAAGAAAACAAATCGGGGCGAGTACGCCGTGATGAGGACTACGAGGCTGCGATCATTGGCGCGATATTGGAGCAGATTGGCGAGCGTCCGATCAAGCCAGGCCGCTCGGGCGTAAATCCGTTCCTGCTCTACACCAAGGACTTCTGGTATATTTGCAAGAAAGAATGCGACGAAGCAAGGCGAGCTGCAAGCGGCAACCCTGAGGCAAAGGCCTCCAAGCAGGAAATCCGAACTGCCATTGGCTTCAAGTGGCGCACGGCAACAGAGGATGTCAAGAAGCCATATATGGACCAGGCGACTAATGCACGAGAAGACGCAACAGCGAATGCAGCAAACTTCAAAGAGCAGGTCGCAACCTGGGACAAGGAAGCTGCGCGCATACGAACGGAGTACATCTTGAAGAACCCACCAGAGAGTGGAAACGAGGATCTGATCCTGAACAGCCGCACAGCAATCGAGCTTGGAGCAGGCAAGCGATTACGGAGACTATGAGGAGGGTGTTTAATGATTTCATTGTTGTACCATCCTATGTGTTACTATCTGCATACTTTGCGCGGCATCTGCATTTTGCAAAGGCGTTTTCGGAGGGATGTTTTTCCCGGCCTTTGCTAGTTTCCTCGTTAGACTAGCAGCAGTAATAGCATGACCGGAGTTGTGGTCGGGTGATGGTGTGTGGGATTGCCCAGGATCGTCGAATATCCCGCCACCCATGTTACGGGGACAACCTATACCCACTGTACAAGTAGTTTTCGTAGTAAATCAACCATCCATTGGCAGAAGAAGGCGATGATTAATCGAGGGTGCAACCTGGAGGAGTGCCTTTTGCAGCCCTACAGGCTAAGCGACATAGGAAGGCGGGATGTGTGGAGGCGTTGGGTGATTCTAGAAGGATGCGTCTTTTGTATTTAGCCTAACGCTACGACCCTCGGGGCTTTGCGACCGTCAGGTGTATCCAGCAGAGTTTGCTGCGGCTGTGTTTCTCGCCAGACGGAGTCGCGAAGTTGATGGACAGACTCCAGAGTTTCAAGATGAAGTGATGGTTCATCCACAGCGCACCACCCCACATAAACTCGCGTGGAGATTGACAAGCCGAGCGGTGGCCCTTAGTTCGTGCCAAGGTGGTGGGAAGGTCCAGAGATCTGGGACTGCTGCGAATTGGTGGTAGCTGTGCTGTGCCTCTTCCAGAGTTCTTACGCCTCGTCTCGTGATTGGTGCGCTAGGCCGAAGAACTGCAGTAAGCAACGGCGGTGACGGTGGCGCGGCTTGGTCTAGAAGGTAGGTGTTCTCGCACCTGGGTTGTATTTAGCCTAACGTTACCACCATCGGAGGCTTGCGTCCGTCAGATGTATCCAGAGTGTGCGGTGGCTGGAATTTTCTTGTCGGACGCAAGCATGAAGCAAATCTGGGGTACTGAAGGCTCCACAGCAGTTTGAGGGTGCCAATTGATCATTGGACAAGGCCAGCGGCAGAAGCGCTAGCTCAAGGTGGGGTGCTCCAAGGATACGGTATGGGACGGAGAGACGGTAAACTCGGCGTGTTCGATGCACGCTGGGTCCGTGTCTATTGCGATCCTGTAGCTTTGCCTCCCAAGGATCTGTCCAAGCCTCGCTCTCGGCTGCGCTTCTACTTCCACTCTGGTGTCGTCCGTACCGCAATCGCCTCCAAACACTCCGCACTGTTTCTCCTCATGTTGCCTTCTCGCGTTCCACCGACAGCTCTTGCCCGCTCAGTGCCCGCTTCGATCGCTTAGGTCCGCATCCGCGCATTCATCTGGGACCAGCTCCAGCCATGACTTCATTCTTCGGGCGCCTCAAGTCCAATGTCAGTACCGCTGCGCGCTGGCCCGCGGCTATACTTACGCGCTTCAGGCCCCATCAAATCCCGCGGTTACCACACTCATCAAGAAGGAGGAACCGACACCACTAGAGAAGCTCCTAGCGAATGCTGGCCCTCTGCGGGGCGACGGCAGCGACAAGTTCTTCGGCTTCGAGAACGTGAGTGCTCGCAATGACTGCTCTTCGCACGCCCGCCTGCTAACTCGGTGACTGCAGTTTGGCAGCACATGGTATGCGACCCCCGCCAACCACCTCTAGATACGCGCTTACAGAGCCGACAGCTACTGCAACTCAATCGTACAGTGTCTGTACTACTCAGTGCCCTTTCGGGACCAGGTCATCAATTTCCCCGCACGATCTCCCCCAGAAGCGCTCGAGCGACCGTCGTCATCATCACTCCCGAAGATCAACACGAACCTGCCCAATGGCCAAGCCTCCGCACTCTCGCCAGCCGGGCGCACTTCGCTGTCGAGCCCCAATTCGAGAACACCCGCGAAGCCTGTGACGACTCCAGGTGCCACGAATGGCCCGCCGGGTACAAAACCCGAAGACAACAAGGATTCGCCCGAGTACAAGAAAAAGCAAGCTCTGGCGGCTGGACCGGTGCTGCAGATGGACTACGAGAATGCAAAGGCATATGGCATGAACGAGTCATTATTCTCTTCACTAAAGGACATATTCGAGGCTGTCATCGCGCATCGATCGCGGATTGGCGTCGTGAGCCCGCACAAGCTGCTCGAGATACTACGGCGTGACAACGAAATGTTCCGAACACCGATGCACCAAGACGCACACGAGTTCCTAAACCTGCTATTGAACGAAGTCGTCGAGAACGTAGAACAATTCTCCAAGTCGCGCGTGACAGAAGTATCGGAATCACAACCAACTGAGAACGGTCTCTCAGTCACCTCAGGTGCTGTGGTCCCAGATCGAAGTTCGACCGTGTCGCAGATAAACTCGGGATGGGTCCATGAACTGTTCGAGGGCACGCTAACATCAGAGACACGATGTCTCACTTGTGAAAACACGTCACAAAGGGACGAGGCGTTTCTCGACTTGTCGGTCGATCTCGAGCAACATTCGTCCGTCACGAGCTGCTTGCGGAAATTCTCCGAAGAAGAAATGTTGTGCGAGCGGAACAAGTTTCACTGCGACAACTGCGGAGGTCTTCAAGAAGCGGAGAAGAGGATGAAGATTAAGCGATTACCGAAGATCCTAGCATTGCATCTGAAGCGCTTCAAGTATACCGAGGATCTGCAGCGATTACAAAAGTTGTTTCACCGAGTCGTATACCCATTTTATCTTCGGCTTTTCAATACTACAGACGACGCGGAAGACCCAGACAGGTTATACGAGCTGTATGCAGTTGTTGTGCACATCGGAGGTGGCCCCTACCATGGTCACTACGTATCGATAATCAAGACCCAGGACCGGGGCTGGCTGCTGTTTGACGATGAGATGGTGGAGCCCGTAGATAAAGCATACGTCAGGAATTTCTTTGGTGGAGAAGGCGTCCTAGCGTGCGCGTATGTCTTGTTTTACCAAGAGACTACCGAGGAAGCTATGATGAAGGAGCAAGAAGCAGAAGGCCTGGCCGCGGCAAAGCAAGCTACCGAGATGAACCAGGAGACTGTCACAACACCAAAGGCGAACGGGGCCCCGAACGGCTTCCACCATCCGATGTACAATGCAACAACGCCGACAGTCGAAGAAGAAGACCAATTCGCTAGCCTTGACCACGCAGCTACCGCACCTGCTCTCGCACATGTTCCGACGCGAAACGATCATCATCCCGTAGAACACGTTACAACGAACGTACCTGCTCTCGCCCCGAAAAAAAGCATGAACTTGTTCAAGAAGGGTGGCAAAGAGGAAAAGGAACGGAAGGCCGCCGAGAAGGAGCTCGAGAAGCAAGCAATCCAAAAGCGAAAAGAGATGGAAACACAACGCCGCGAGAATTACCGCAGACAAGAAGAAGAGCTCCGCGCTGCACTCGCAGCAAGCAAGGAGTCGGCAGCTATGGAAGAGAAGGGCCGTGTAAACGGCGAGAATACCGAGCCATCAGCAGAGACAAAGCCGGCAAACGGCAAGGCCGTTAGTGGACTCAGCCGTTTCAGGCATTCCTCCATGAGTCTGCGAGGCAAGCCTAAGTTCTGGGGTGGCAAGGACAAGGACAAAACGGACAGCGCTGACGAGACACACCATACTGAGGGCGAAGACAAGGGTGAAGAAAAGGAAGGCAAGAATCGATTCAGCCTTGGGCGCAAAAAGAGCACGTTCAAGTTCTAGAAGAACCACAGTGCTGGACGCGACACACCCCGTAGACGAGCGCGATTCCTGAGCCTTGCAACAATTAGGAGTGTATCTCCGGAGAATCGATTGAGCATGGACTCCGCTATTTGGCTTCCCCCAGCCCAGCCCAGGCGCGATTGGATGTACGCGACCTGGAGTCCCGCGCTGTAGCGCAGAGCTGGGATGTAAATTACCTGCACATCTACAATGTGTGAGGCAAGGACGTTATTGACCATAAGACGGTGTTTTGGGAGTAACAGCTTTCTGGTGCCCTGTATATTTCTATCGGACGAAAGGAGAAGGCGTGTTGCATTTCTGGCATTCATAGCATAGGAATAGGTGAGATGGAGAGATGGATGCATTGGTATATGCGTCTTTAGAGATGGAAATTCCATTATGGTTCATCGCTAAAGCCAATGTAATGCAAGATTGTGGATGATTTACTAACTTGTGATGTCTCGTGTGTGTGTACGAAAGCAGTGCGTCAGAGGAGATGATCATGTTGAACTGGTACGCATCAATGGAGTGGACGGTCTGGTCTTGCAGCCGTATCAGTCCTCTTTTGGTGGTCCAAAAGAAAGCGGGACATTGACCCACATGTCTCAATAGAGGAACATGTAGCATGTGCCTATCCCACTGAAAGACTCCCATGCAAGACACATGGTGAACTAACCGATTAGCACCGCGTCATATTAGCTAAATACCTTTCATGGACGTGACATGTACTCGTTGCCCAGCTCAGATTGATCAGCGTTCAAAGAGCACTGCAGCGTCTGATTACACTGCTTGGGTTTTCATTGCTCTGTCAGACACAAGAGGCTCTACACCTCATTTCTCCGCTGATGGGGTTCAGGAGCTTTCAAGGGAAGGTCCCAGCGTCAATAGTGTGGTCACAGTAGACGATCTAGGTGGACACTCTACGAAGTTAACACGGCATCATTCCAGGAACGGTCGGATGGTATTGATGCCATCCATGTACATGGTAGTTTTTCTTAATAAAAAAAAACATAAAGACAAGGAAGGAAGTGAATTCATCTAGACATTACATTTGTTGCTTTTGTACAGTTCGGCTACTTCTTGGGAACTAAACGTGATATGAACTTGTTGATTGCTGGTGCTTTTTACAACTCCGATATTCTTCACAGACGAATAGTAATAAAAAACAAAATAAAAAAATCACATCATTGCTGGGGCTCTGTAACTTTGAGAATGGTTTGTGCAGAAAAGACTAATAAACGTTGATTTCTTTAATTTGTTAAACCAGAAGCTACACGGGCGTTTTGTCGTGACCAACTACAAAACTTCTAGCTATGGTTCAATGACCCTCCCCAATTGTTATGACTTCGGAGGTCAGGCCTGTGTGGTCTCTGGGTTGGATCTGCGCCATCATGATCCTTTTGGAATGCTATCTATTTTTGCTTGGTTGGTCGATCTGCTCCTTTGCTGGGACATTAACAGTATCCTTATCATTGAAGGAATTGTTGTATTCTCTGCCTTTTCAAATTGCGTGGTACCGATCTGATCGGCTGATGATGATGGGCAAGATAGGCCTCATTAATTTTATGAAGTAAACGGGTATGTTGAGATTGTATTGTTTCTCTGTCAGGCGATTCGTGCCTTATACTAGAGTGATTGGTGTGTTTCCACTACATGGTTGGCTCCATCCAATGCGCTTTTCAACCATGTACCACATTCATTGGCGCATTTTTTGGGTCTTGCTTGAGCCTCACTGATTAGGATCAGGGCTGTATCCGCGGAATCGCTCATATGGCATCCTTATGATCCGAGTGTACACCTTCATCTGTCTCAAATTTGCAAGTGCTCCTTCTGTGTCTGCACCTTTTTGCATCGACCGCTACCCCGGACGCCGTATCGTTTCTTGTCCTGTCGTTTACGCTGCGATCATCCGAGGACGAGGAGGTAGACTATCATGAGGGTGTTTATGAACATGAGAGGTACTACGAATGTGTCAGCTTCAGTCCTCAAAGACCATTGCCCTTGCGCTGCCCTCCTTGTCCTTGCGCCGTCTGTTGTCTGCGCAGCTCGGGGTGACGCGGTCTGTTGTTGTACATACTTCGCATTAGTGTCCGCACCGAGGACACGAGGTTGATGAGTCGTGCTTTTACGCTCGCGTCATCGCGTTGGCCACCGAAGCCCGGTTCTGCCGCTGAAGCTGTCCACCCAACTGTTTCCACATGTCAGCATGTGACATATCTTGTAGCCTGCCTAGGTGCGTGTATGCGAGGGTGCACCAGTGGGGCGATATGTAGTCGTTGAATGCGATGCGCAGGTAGGGAAGCCATACTTCTTGCGAGGAACCGATCTTCTGAGAGAATTGCTATCGCATTGATGAGGAGCACGGCGACTATAACCGTTAGTGAATTGCTGCGCAACATGCGAAGCGTCCAGTCGTACCATAGAATAACCCTCCCAGCCCGAATAGCAGCATGTTGAAGTCCTGGATTCGCGAAAGAGCGGTATGTGGACTGTGAAATTCGAGCTCGAGTTCGCCTTAGTTGTGCAGAGCAAGGTCGCTGCCTATTCAAAATGACAGATGGATGTTCCTAAGTTATCCGACTTGGGCTTGGTTGTTCCGCGCAGCTGGCGCGCACGTGACCTCGGCCCGCCAACCCAACGTTTATATGGAAATTCAAAGCTCATTGCATTTCCATCCTACAGAAAAGCTGTACGCATGGAGCTCATGAACCTGCCTTCGATTTTGCAAATGTGTAGACTGGTTGTTAGTATTAAACTCCTTCTGCTTATGGTGGTAAGTTGCAACTGTAGCAGTAACAACAACACTCCATAAGTCCGCTATGGTAATATTTCTAGAGCACCGATGATCCCCATGCCAAGTAAGTACTGCGGCTCTGCACCACTGTGAAGTAAACGCGTGTGATAGAGATTCAAAGGTCCAGGCACGCGGGTAGGCACGCGGGTACGAGGACAACCTGGCAAGGCATATTGAGGCACTCGCGATCGCCGCAGATCTTTCATCCGGCACGCTAGGGCTCAGAAAAGCTGAAGTTGCAACATGTCAGTGTCTTTTCAGCGTATGACAAAAGCTGGAGACGTCTCCGGGTGTTCGAGCAGAGACCCTTCGACGTCATGTGGCATAGCAGCCGAACGCATCGGGTGTGTTCCAGAACATCAATCGGAAGTAGAATCGATTTTTACACACTTCTACCACTGGTTGCCCACCTGGACTGTTCCTACGACCTCTGCCCGATTCGACCTTTGCGGTGAGCGTAGCTGATTGCACCTTAGAAGACGCCCCATACGGCTCTGTGCGCCGTCGTCCACCTACATGGCTATGTTCTAGGCCCTCAGAGCCCTCTGATCACCGCCTAAAGCTTCCCTGCACATTCCCACAGCTGCCGCATCAGCCATCCTCCGCATAATACCTATTGCGCTGTTCCCCAGACCCAGGCTTGCCCAACGTACTTTTGTTCCTCGACAATAACCAAACGGCACCTACAGACCTCCATGGTGCAGCCAAGTACTTCCTTCATCGCGCGCTGGGTGGGTTAGTAGAGGACTGGATCGACGTATCTTGCGAATAGTCGCTGCACCTTTTGGTCGTGCTCACGTCCAATCGAGCATACGGACAATCTCAGCGTTTTCCTCCGTCCCACTGGCAAAAGCAGTAGCCATGGCGGAGCCAAATGGAGCCGAGGTGGAAAGAGGCTACTTCGATCTGGGCGAGCGTTCGAGGTCCAAATCACCAAGCTCGATCCATAGCTCCGATTCACTCTCCATACGACTGCCGTCGCCGACGACAACAATGGCGTCCATAACAGCGATGCAGTATCTGCCAGTTCCCATCCTAGTTCTTTCTTCCACGAAGACTATAGTGGTGGCGAACGAAGCCATGGGTCGATTATTAGGCATCGACTCCGAGAGTACCGCTTTCGACGATCTGTCAATATCAGATGTTCTTCAAGACAAATCCATGGGTGATCTCGGTATTGACATTTTACAGAACGGATCGCCGCTTTTAGTCTCGTGGGAGGTATGTGACGGCCAGGTTGGCACATCTTTTGAACTTCGTAATGACATACTTGCAGAACTTCCTCGACTGTGTAGTGGAAGATGCCATTGCCAACAGTGAGCAGGATGGAGGTGGAAGTGGCCATACGACTCCCACAGCCGAACCAAGGGCCCAACCTCCAGCTCGATTGCCGGAAGAGCAATCGTACCCCCAGCTGAGCAGCACAAATCTTGCACGCACGACCGTTCATGATGTTTCTGTGGAAGTGGTTATCTCGCCTCTTGTTCAGAGTCCAAATGGTTTCTTACATACGCCTGACAGAAATAACTCATATGCGAATGCGGTGCAAGCCTCTTGTATCATTTCCATGTGGAGCATCGAAGACACTCAGTATTTTACGTTGACTTTCACAAGCACCGTGGCTGCAGAACCATCAAAGACTTCACGACCCTCTAGCAGAATCGTGAATAAGTCAAATGCAACCCCTCATCTCGGCAAATCTCGCAGCTCTGGCTCGAGTTCGTCTTCCGGAAAACGCTCAGGAAGTAACTCAACGTCGGGCTCGAAAGTCGTCACGCCTACACTACAACAACCAGAATTTCCGCCCCGAGGGCCGCCCATGAGAAGTAAGGGCGATATTGGCTCAACTGCATCCATATTCCAGAAAGCCACCCAATTGAAAGATGCCATCCTGAACTCGATTAGCATGCCTGCATATGGTGGGTGTTACATAATTGTACGACTCGAGTTCACGAGTTACTAACATAGTGATAGCCATGTGGAAGGACGAAGGATTCGGCATTCCCAATAAAGCACTTATGCGACTCCTCCCTCGAGACGCAACGTATACGCCGGGCGACCAACGAGCTTTTCTTTCGCAATTTACCGTGTGGACAGAGGACTTCCAACGCGAGCTTACAATCGATGAGTTCCCCATCGTAGAGCTCTGCCGTACACGACAGAAACTCGAAAAACGGCGATTAGGTCTGCGCCAACCTGTCACCGGTACGCGCCTGGTTTTTGAAGTAATCAGCGAGCCTGTCATTCATGATGAGACTGGGGAGTTTTTGGGTGGTATCGTCATCTTTAAGGACATCACCGAATTCACAAAGCAGATTGCGGCGCAAATCGAGGAGAACGAGAAACAGTTTGAATATATTGCCAACTTCATGCCCGTCATGGTTTGGACGACCACTCCGAACGGATTACACGACTGGTTTTCCCAACGTTGGTACGATTACACGGGGTTGACCGAAGATCAGAGCCTGGGCGAGGGCTGGCGCCTCCCTTTCCATCCCGATGATATGACAGCTACGAAATCACGATGGTTCCACTCGCTTGCAACCGGAGACGAATACAACACAGAGTATAGATGTCAACGATTTGACGGTGAATGGCGGTGGATGCTGGGACGAGCACTTCCCTTCTTCGATGATGACGGTAAAATAGTCAAGTGGTTTGGCACCTGTACCGACATTCATGACTTGGTAATGGCTCGCCAAGAAGCAAGGCGTACAAGAGAGCAATTGCAGCAAGTAATTGCCCACGCAAAGATATTGCTATGGGCTGTCAACCGAGACAATAGGCTGGTTCTACTGGAGGGTGACACAAAGTGGAGAAGAGACGGCGAAAACACAGAGCTCTTAGGAAACGACATATATGACGTCTTTGGTTTCACTGGTGCTGACCGAGATCGCTGGCGGGAGCCAATACAGGAAATTCTGAATGGCAAACAACAAGACGAGATTGTGGAGCGTTATATGTCCGAGAATCGATATTTCCGAACTCGCCTCGTCCCTCTTCTGAATGCTTCGAGGATCGCGGGTGCGGAAGGAACTGCGTACGTGGACGGTGTTATTGGGGTGTCGATGGACATTACAGAATTACGCGAACGAGAAGACCAATTGAGGGAACAAGAGAAGGAGAATGAAAGACTTTTAGCGAACGCGGCAGCTGCCAAAGAAGCAAGTCGGATGAAGTCACAATTTTTGGCCAACATGTCTCACGAAATCCGCACGCCAATCGCCGGAGTTATAGGTATGAGCGAGCTTCTGTCTGATATGAACCTGGATGAAGAACAGAAGGAATGCGCAGAGAACATCCACCGCTCCGCAAACAGCCTTCTGACCGTCATTAACGACATTCTCGACTTTTCCAAAGTGGAATCTGGACGCTTGGATGTGGAAGAGGTGCAATTCAGCTTGAGCGTCGTACTTCGAGACGTGAACAAGATGATGTCGTTTGCAGCACAGAGGAAGGGTCTTGTATACCAAAGCACCATCCAGGACGAAGTTGAACAAGACTTGCGGGTTATGGGCGATCCTGGCAGGCTGCGACAGATATTGACGAACGTTCTCACAAACAGTATCAAGTTCACTTCCGAGGGTTCTGTCAAGCTCTCAGTATCAATCAGCCAGGAAACAAACGATTCCGTCACAGTCAACTTTAGTGTTATCGATACGGGCATCGGTATTGAGGAAGAGGTTCGGAAGCGACTGTTCCAACCGTTCAGTCAGGCGGATTCATCCACAGCACGTCGTTTTGGCGGGACAGGACTGGGACTGACCATCAGCAAGAATCTCGTTGAACTTATGAAGGGTCAAATTTGGCTGGACTCTAAATTGGGTCAAGGTACCACAGCGACGTTCTGGATACCATTCAGCAGGGCCCCCTCTCAGGACGATGGTTCACCTTTGGTGAGTATTGGCTCGATACCGGATCGGCTGCAAAGCGATGTTTCCGTCTCAGTCGGCAGCTCAGAAGACCATACACCACCCATGACGCCTGTGATGCCCAACGGATCCTCAAGATCACAGTCGTTTCCAATGATCAACCAAAACATCCCGGACCATCTGATGAATCTCTCGGAGAGCGAACGACAGCAGGTACATATTCTCGTTGTGGAAGACAAGTAAGTCGACTATATTGCTGGATGCGTCTGCCGTCAATCCAAACCACTAACGCTTGCAACAGTCAAATCAATCAACAGATTGCTTTGAAGACAATCAAGAAGCTGCACTTCTCTGTTGGTGCTGTTTGGAACGGTCAAGAGGCGTTAGATTATTTGATGCAGGATTTTGGTCCGATGCATCCTCGCCCTGATATTATCCTGATGGACGTCCAGGTACGTTCCCATGTTGATGAACGCATGAAGTGGTCACTGACAACATCTGGTTGCAGATGCCTATTCGAGACGGTTACAGCGCAACGCACGCAATCCGGACCGAGGCCCCTTGGAAGGACAGGCCCGAAATTCGGAGCGTGCCAATTGTTGCCATGACGGCCAGTGCAATTCAAGGTGACAAGGAGAAGTGTCAGCTCGCTGGCATGGACGACTATCTAGCGAAGCCAGTGAAGGGCAAGCTCTTGGAGAAGGTAAGTCTTACTCAACCCCACAGTATTCTCACATCTGACTTGTACCAGATGCTTGTCAAGTGGGCAATTGAGGGACGGCGAAAAACGGCCAGAGCCAAATTATCTACAAACGACAGTGATCGGCATGGAGGCGCGGCCACATTCCCCACAAGAAACCGTCGTGGTAAAGATCGACCCCAAATTGCAGGCTCACCGGTTGAACCTGAAACGACGGCGCACGCATTGACCGCTCAACTTGACCGACTCCATTTCGAAAACGACACAGCTCTTGCACGGTCGTGTGAGACTGATGGTGACCGGGCTCTGAGACGGATTCAGGCCGAAGAAAGAGACACGATGCTTCGTGATGACAAGTTGCTCTCGCTGACAGGCCCGGACCTGCTACGTCACGACAATCTCCAGAGTGTCAAGGATGCTGAAGCTCCGATGCCTCTGACAGAGGAAAACATCGAGAAGCTCGTCCATGGGCAGGATACTACAGGAACTGCACGGAAGCGCTCCTCCGGGGGATACGACTCAAACAGGGTGAATCAAAACCATAGCATCACACGACGCATAGTTGAGGATGCAATTTCCCGACCGTCCTTAACGGGCACAAAACATCAAGAGAGCGAACAAACTATTACCAAAGGGGCGCCATGCTGAGCGAACCCCTATCAAACACCCTGCGGTTCACGATGAGGCAGGCTTGGCGATCTGAGGCATGTTCAAGGTCGATTTGATGACTCCTTCCGCATTCAAGGGCATGTAAGCCAGCCTGCCGCTGGTCATGTCACCTCATTTCTTTTGCTCGCGGAGCAGTTTAGCTCCAATAATGAGATGCACACTCCATAACACACTTTTTGATGTGAAGCAGGGTCTTGACATCCCGATGCTGTGGTTTTCACGGCTTGTCGCAGCATCGATGCGAGTTCATGACACAGTTCGAGATATCAATCTTGGGAAAAGATGGTCGCCGACCATTCAGCCTCACTACGGGTCCCCGTGTGTGGCCTAGCGCTTGGCTTGCGTGCAGAACAACCCAGGATCATCACCTGTGCGTTCCCTTCACACCCATGCAGCAGCGCAGCAGTAGCAGCACGAAATCCAAAAAGGGGCATGCAGATATCCTCTTGCAGCATGTACGTGCGTACTGTAAGGTTCACCAATTGCATACTTTCCTTTTCGATAATGCTGTGAATCAACGACCAAGACGGTGCCGCTCCAGTGCACACTCAACATTGAAGTTGAAGAAAGTGTGCCGCGGGACAGCAGGAAGGATCCCGGTCCGGCCGTATATAGCGGATGCGAAATTCTACGCGGAATGGACATGCGCGTCGGTGTCCGGTAGGAGCTGCTGAACCGGCACCCTGTGATGGGTTGGCAACAAGAAAGTGTCGTCTGAGATCTGCGAATCGCGCCATGCGCTTTGCGACGCTTTGAGATGGGCAGGCATCTGTATCTGGAAAGCAGCTCATCTCCCTACCAAATTTCTGGTCCTGACAGTGATGATCATGTGTCGTTTCGGCTTTAGTGAGGGGGAAAAGTTTGGTGATCATCAAACACCACACGTGGATGCAAGACTGCAGAAGCGGCAGAGCGTCGCCTGCACGGACCTGGTGAACGGATCCACTGCAAGTGACAGGCACGCTAGGCTCCCTCAGAGCGTTACATCGGCCTGAACTTGCAACCTAAACCATGCGACGCGAAAGCTCTGGGCAGCCGTTTCTCATTGGCGCACTTGACAAAAGCATAGCACGGAGAGTCGCGTTAACTTTTGCCTCTGAACTAATGAGCTTAATGGACCGTTGCCCCGGATTTCGATTTACTACCTCGCCGAATTGTCTTTCAGGTCACTTGTACACTTTGGTTCTCCAGATTTACGGCCGTGAGCTTTGGCCGCTCGCGAGACGAATTGCTTGATAGGGCGGGATTGGGCGCCGAGTTTGCGTGGAGTACCTAGCGCTGCACACCGGGAATACTGCGGAATGTCCCTACACACTCAACATGATTGCGAAGAGCCTGCACCGTGGAGCCATGCAAATTAGCTATGATGGCATTCCGATCTCCCCTCGAGAGCCGCGCGTCTGGTTGAAGTCAGATTCGAGAAGGCTTCTGTGGAGAATGTACTGGTGATCAAACACATCTCCAGCGGTACTTTGTCAGACATGCGAGACAGCTGCTCCCACCATCCGTGAAGCTAGCAGGCGGAAATAAAAAGGACACCAAGCTGATCAAGTAGCAGCAGACTTGGCGGGGCATGGGTGGATTGTGAAGGAGAGCCGGCTAAACTGTATTCGGGTCCTGGAAGCAAGCAATGCAGGGTCCGCTGTCGAATGCCGGGCGTTCTGCTCAAGGGAACTGCCGCACGCTGGAAGCCAAGCGGACTGCTTCTTACGGCACACTGAGACAATAAATTAACGTTTGTCGATGTGTCGATGTGTCGATGTGTCGATGTCTTCTTGTGGCCAGCAGGGACGGATTGAGACGGCCCGCAGCCCTGTCGGCTCAATTATCAGTATGCCGTGCGAGGGCGACATGGCGCCGCAGTCATTCATGGTGCCCGTTCAAGAGACGACAAGGTAGTCTGTGATGTGGATCCACACAGCGCAAGTGATTGCACACGAACGCGCCAGCTCGAGGGAGCGGGATGGCGCCCTAACCAGATCGTGCCCTGCATGATTAAAGAGGCCGGGGGTTGAATCTCTGCGCATTAGGCGGGCTCTCTTGTCAAGACTGGACCACTCACAGGCGGCCGCAGTCAGAGCCATGATGCAGCGGTGAGAGGGCAAGGTTCCAAAGTGCGTGCTTTTCGCAGCATGCATTTGCCACAGAGCCTGCGATTCGAAGATGCAAGCCCTTGTGACCGGATGCTGCAGGATGTTAAGCTGTGTGCACAAAAAGTATCTCTATACAGTGTGCATGAGGGCCCTCAGCAGACTGGTAGAGATTGATGACCAGTGAATCACGAAATCCTTACCGCCTACCTCATCCTGCGTTTCGCTTCACTGCCATAAGGTACCCGACACCATGGCCGCCAATGATAGCTCGCTAAGCACCCTTAGCGCTCTGTTAAAGCGGGGATCATGACGACATCGGTTCGGCATCACTTTCGCACATTCCTTTCTCCACCAGCAGTCGTGTCAGCGACAATACAGAGCAGGCCTTGGCCACCATCATGCATCGCAGCTAGCCACCCGTGTGCAGCAGGATTAGGCCGAAAATACAGGCAGTGAGTGAGAATTCTTTTCAGAAACGGCGAATTGTGTTGATTGGTGCAGAGTATGCTCAAGTGCTTGCGACAGCAATTGTCGTCCTGACTCGGGCTGCACACATGACGGTGCGGCAGCGAAGAGAACCCCGCCCTCCCACGACACTTGTGGTGAGGAGCTTGCGCGCAGGGTGGAGTCCTTTGGCAGCAGATAGGGCGACACAGTTCGGGATTGGAGGAGAAGCGTTTGTGCGGACTACATGGCATATCCCGAGATTGTGTTGTATGCCCAGTGCTTGACCCGCTCGCTGGCTAAGCTACTTGTAATGCTCCAAAAGGAATATGCTCGGCGATCAAACGATGCTTAGCCCAGCGCGCCTCAGGGGCTAATTTGTATCCGGACGGTGGTTAGGCCCCTGCGGCGATTGAGAGTCAGTGGAGAAGAGAGGACAGCGGAACTGGCGCTAGAGCGGAGGGGAGAGGCGTTCAGCGGTTGCTTTGGTCTACACATGCAACAGTCGTGGAGACTGGTCTTGGGGCGGACCGAAATGGCTCCAACGTCTCGGCCAGTGTTCGGCGCGCTACTTTGGATGCGACCTCACCTAGAGAGTGCGTCGTTTTCGGTCCCTCTGTCGTAGGTAGGTGTGCCGTTGCTAGCTGCGACCAGCGCCGGGCGCGGCGGCGACAGCAGAAGCATGGCCATGTCTGGGAGGCATGCGGCGGGCGACTGGGTGAGGTCAAGGCCGGCCGCCGCAAGCGTGGGCTCCTGGGGGCAGTCTTCTCACAATGCGATGCTGTCGGATTGGGCAAGCACGCCTGCACATAAGCGGACGAGAGCATCGTAATTGCACGAGGGCCCTAACCGCATTGGAGGCCTCTCTCTCCCCTCTCCCCTGTCTCTCGATGGATCATGGCGCCGCGCCAGCACAAAGGTAAAAAGCCCTCCCGCGCCCAGGGGCCCACTCTCCTCGTAGCGGCGCGCAATGATGAAGCTGCGTGGTCCTAGCGCGCGAACGGCCTGCCACGGATTTTGCTGCTGCCGACGCGATAGCGCTCTGCGCCCACACAGTCGCAACGGCAGGCGTGCGCTTGCGCTGGTGGCAGACGCCGCGCGCTGAAGACGGACGCTGAGCTTACGAGCTTGCCACGGAATGGAGGGCAGCCGGGCAGCGGCTGTCGTTTGTCGTTGGCACTGCGTGTAGGGCCTCTGAGTGCGCCCGCAGCGTCCACCGTCTCCCCACAGGCGCAAAAGCAGCCTCGAAAGCACCCTGCTAAGTGGCGCCGGGACCCTGCAAGCTGCTCGACAGTAGCGCGTCCGGGGTGCGAGCAAGCCTGCCTGCGCCTTGGCTTGGCCTTCAGCCTATGATGAAGCTGCTGTGATCCCATCTACGTAGTATACCGTTCCAAGCGGCAGGAATTTAACATGAGCCATCCCTCGATGCTGCCCCGTTGATCAACAGCACTCTACCTCTTATGCCCACTCAATCTTAAACCGTCTCCTGCCAGAGCACAAACACTGTCAATCAGTACTGCTTTCATCACTGCCACTCTCACATCCTTTCTTCTTTGTCGCTGGTGCCCTCCCACTAAGCGAATAACGTTGCTTGCCGAGCACGCTTCACCACCGCGACGCGCACTCCCACCTCCTCACCCACGCAGCCCCTGTACCAGCCTGCCAGCCTGCGTAGTCTGCTTCTCCACACGCTGCACAGCACTTGAAACGCTCGAGCGCCTGCCACTCCGCTGCTCGTGTCCATAGTCCCCTACGCCCGATTCCGCTGGTTCATCGCCACGGTACCTACCAGGATAGGCCGACTGATCGACACTACCAAAGGTTTATCACTGCTCATTCTGGAATACCACAGGACGGGTGTCCCCAGTGTCAGACTCAACTTCAAAAGCTCGCAGATCCCCAACTGCGATCGTCTATCCCCACGCTTCTCGAACCTCAAACCATCACGTTACCTGCTCCGGACCTTCACAGTCGAGTCTTCACTACGCTGTAGCACTCGTCTTTCTTCACTTGTACCTCATTCCCGTCACAACCTCCACGGATCCCCGCCCTCAACTATCCTGCTACCGCAATGGCAATGGCAGTCGACCGCCAACAGACTCAGATGAGCAACATGGGCTACGATCCCTCCATGCGTTACCCACCACCACCACACTTCACCAATCCGTGGGTGTCGGGCGCGTCGCAACAGCAATTGTACTCGACGTCGATTGCGCCAAATGTCTCGGCTGGTCTTGATGCCTCTACTCAACGTCCCACCAGCATTGCGATCCCGTACCACGGGCTGCAAGTGACTGCTCCTCCTCTAGGACAAGGTATTACTCTCCCGGATGGCACCTTCGCAACAGACAGCTTACCAGATATGTCGCAAGATCTCATGGCCCGGGGTTACACAAGTGGTTACGCTGCATCTGCCTCACCAAACAACCAAACCTATGCTCCCACATCAGCTCCCTATTCTCAGGTGGAATATGGTAGCCAAGACCGAAGCTCCTACCCATATCAGGATGCTTCTCGTCGCTCTTCACACCCGTCAGTCCCCTCAGCATTCTATGAATCCCTGGAAGCCCAACGACAACGCCAAAGTTCACTTGTTGACTTTAGCAGAATGAACGCACAACAACCGCCGCGCAGCAGCTTCAGCGAGGCTCTCGACGCCAGCCGCGGTATGGTATCCTTGAGCCAGTCAGATATCACACCAAGGAACATCTACGGGCAGCCAAGGTACCAGCCGCAGCTCTACCGACTCGTACGGTTTCCCGTCTTCACACTCTGCACACTCGTCGATATCGTCAGCAAGCTATGCCCACAACGGGCTACTATGCTGGTGATGGCTCCGTCACCGACTACAGCGGGTCGAGGGACAATCAGTAGATCTCGCCAGCTCGCGCACACTTCCCCGCCCCAATGCGCTCCTCGGAGCCTCTATGCCCCCTGCACCCCAGTCGATGATGAGCCAATTCAGCTCCAAGGTCTCGTCAAGCTCCCAGAAGAAGCACAAGTGCAAGATTTGCGACAAGCGTTTCACCCGCCCTAGCTCGCTGCAAACACACATGTACAGCCACACTGGCGAGAAGCGTAAGTTTTGTTTCAGTGAACTTCCGCACAATCACTAATTATTTCTCAGCATTTGCATGCGAAGTCGACGGCTGTGGTCGCCATTTCTCGGTAGTCTCCAACTTGAGGAGGCACCGAAAAGTGCACAAGAACGAAGGTGGTCAAGATCACCCCTCACCCGAGGACGCTTGAACCTGTCGATCATCAACTGATCACCATGTCGATTCCTATAGCGCCGTACGTCCTGGAGTTTGGACTCCTTGTTTGTCGTTTAAGATATCCACCATCGCGTTTCCGCAGCTCCGCGAGTAAAGGTTCCGATGTTAGAGCGGACCCCATTACGAAAGGATCAGACGAGTTTTCTTCTATCAGTCGCTGCATCACGGTTTTCTGAGATACCACTTCTTCGGCCACCCACAGATTCCCTGGGTCCCGTCACGGCGTTTTTTGGCGTTGCACTTTGATTACGAGCACCATTCCCGAGTGAGACATTCCCTCGTTCGCCTGTATCACTACGCGCTTGTTCACATTTGTCCTGGTTTTCATCGTTGACACTTTCCGTCAGCATTTTCAGATTTCTTTGGCTCGTCATAGGCTTCGGCCGTGTCGTCACGGACCAACATTCGCTATACTCTTTAATGTTTTAGACCCTCGTTCGCAACACCCGGCGGGAATACCGCCCGGTGGCTCGCATGACGTTTGTACAGTAGCTGGCGCCGCACAGTATTACCCGACTGGAGCTAGAATGGCTCTCCTCGCTTGAGTCCGTATCGCAGTAGTAGCGAGCGGAATGACGCATCTTTCATCATATATTGAAAGGAATGCGATAGAGAATAATCACACCCTGTTATTACAAACCCTATTTCTGGCGTTTCAGCTATCTTCAGTGACGACACAGAACCAGCTGATGCTATTCCACGACACCGCTGCCGTCATTTTGATCCTGAACTTTGGCGCATGCCGTTTTGGTCCCAGTGCAATGAAAACACCACACGCTCCGCAATGCGCATCACTGGCGCCCGCTTACGACAAGGCATGGGCTTGGCATACATCATGAGGCATCTTGTCCCCCTACTAGTGCACATGGACCCTGAGAATTGCAGCCTCCACCACCGCCCAAACGTCAGCGAGTTGGGATGTCTGCCAGTGCGACATGGGATGCCCGGGCAACGCTCAAATCATGTCGCTTGCACGCCCTGCCGGTGTGCTGCGCTTCTCGTACCCTTGCTGCCAAATCGGAGTGCGGGACGAACAATGACTCGGTAGTCCAACAGCGTGCGTAGGTTTCACACTGCGGTGTGCCGGAGCTGACATCGGACCTCTGCCATATCGTCGCTTGCGGTTTGCCCCCACAGCGGTCGCCAATCATATTCCATCCAACCTTGACCCACATTCGGACCGAGCGTCCGAGTCTCCAGAGATGAGATCTTGTGTAGGTTGCCTGGTTGTGTTGGTCTAAGCGTCCGCAAAAGTCCACCAAAAGTCGACGCGACGACTTGCAGAACGCGAAACACAAGGCTGAGTAGCCGCGGCAATTGTGACAATCCGGGCCATGTTTGCCATACATTGTCCACTCAGAGTCTTCCGGCATGCCTCACCGCAGAGTCGCCACTACTTCGGCTGCTCTATCGGGCTTCGAAACCTCGCGGCACATGGCACGAAATACAAGCTAAATCATACGCGAAGCGTTGCACCGCTGACACAGCAGCCTACTTTCAAGCCTGGCGATCGCGTCTTCAAGCAGCAATCCCGAGCGAAAAGAAGGCTTACTATCACTGCTGGCGTCCAAACGTTGGTGGTTGATTAATGGTCGGTCGCGTTTACTGGAATGTGATTAACTTGTACGCGAAGTCCTAAGCCTGCCTGAGCTGAGCAACCACTACGCGAGGCTGTGCGCAGCCACACCACCGTCTCAAGTCTGACGAGGGAAGCTGAAGCGCCCCTTGATTTTCCATGTCTTTATTCCTCTGCGGCTCCGGCCCCTTCTGGAAAAACAGCAAGAAACACTGTCCGGGTTCTGCATAGATTGCAAGACATTTACCTGAGGGGTCCAGCATATGAAAATTGCTGCAGGTATAGACAGGGTTATCGGTTTCGTGACCAAGTTTCAATTTACTATAGTGAGCGGCTGCAGCGTTTACGGGATATTTCGAAAGCTCGTCACTAATCTGTTCTTCTCACGGAGGTTTGCTAGGCATCCGCCCATCTACAATTTGCTCACAGCGGGTGGTTTCTGAAAAAGGCACCAGCGATGCTGATCCACCGTGCAAGCCTCAAAACATTTCTGATGCCCGCCTCGAGTTGCCAAGCGAGGCACCGCGTGCGCCGAACCAGTGAGGCCATCCAATTGCTCAATCTGATCTCCACAGCGATGCGTTACTAAATGCATGGTCGCCCAACGACGGGATGCACGACAGTCAACCCGCTTCATTTCGAGATTGCCCAGCGCATTGTCACGAGCCGTACCCCGCGACCAACAAAGTCCGACCCGCCATTTCGTTGGTGGACACAATGTCTCGGTGCTCGAAGCGAACCCCATAGGACACGCGGTCAGCAACTCTTTCATCTTCGATTCCAAACCTTCCTAATTTGTATGCTCCGTTTTCGCTTGTCGCATTTGCCTGACATTCAGTCTCAGGCTCCACACGACGCGCAATCTTCAATTTCTTGCAAGTCATGCTCCTGCTGTAAAATGAACCTAATGGCTGGGAGAATGTGTCCACTTTACAGTGGATGTGTTCGGTGGATCCTTCAGTCTCGTCCATAGGAGATCTTCTGCCGCTTGATCGATTTCCCGTCTTCATCATCATCCTCTCCTACCTTCTTCTTCTTGCTCCCTCCACCTCCTCTCATGCCGTTCGTAGGTTGGCTCGATTCGCGCGTAGGAAAGGACGAGGTTGGGGTGGGGGCATGTGACGAAGGAGTCTGAGCGGAACCTGGAGTGGACGACTCTCTCAGGAAGCTCGTCGAACTACGACTGAATATTCTGTCCGCATCGCTGATAGGAGCTTTGCGCCGTGTCGCAGTGCCGGCGCCGCCTGCTGCCGCAGTTGTGGTTGTGCCCTTGATATAGTTGTCGAAGCCTTTGATGATGTTGCCGGTGCTGGTCTCTTCGAGGTATGTGGTTTCTGCTTTGAGGATCTCTTCTTCGAGACGGAGCTGCCCTGGTAAGTACGGCGCATCGAGATTTGTTGCGCGCCTTGACGCACCAAGTTGTTGTCGATAGCCCTCTTCTTCTGCAAGGATTCGCGTAAGTCGCGTCGCAATCGCTCGTAGTAGGGCATGCCGCGCGAGGTATCGGCTGCGGCGTCTTTGGAGCTGCTGGGAGGCGCATTTTCGGTCATTTTGCGAATATGTGGTCGCTTTCGTGGTCGACGGTAGGGGAGTCGTCAAAGTATGTCCGTCGTAGCTGCTCAAACTTACCGTCCGCGGTTCCTAGGACGTTCGGCTGTAAAGTGAGTGTCAAACGCGGAGGCTAGGGTCTTGGCAACGCGCTCTGGCCCTTCCGCGCGCAAACGTCAACTTCATTATCTTGAATTACCAGCCTCACTCTGCATCACCTTTGACACCCAGTCCACCGTGCAAGCCCCCCGCCGTCGCATATACCGCCTCCACCGTACGATCCTTCTATTCCACCATCGCACGCGACCACATAGCCACCCGTCAGGCTCCCCCACCTCCACCATGGCCATGGAGCCCAAAGAGATCAAGCTGCGCGGCGAGGCGATCGCAAAAGCCATGCAGGAAGGCGAACCTGGCTCTTCTCTGCTCAAGCTGCTCGGCGACCTAAAGACGGGCGTCCACGCAACTGAGGACCTCTTGCGACAGACCCGAATCGGTGTCACCATCAACCGCCTCCGCACGCACAAGGACCCCGCAGTACAAAGGCTCGCGACAGAACTAGTGTCAAAATGGAGAGATGAGGTCAAGAAGGGACCAAAGAAGGGAACGCCGTCCAAGATCGCAAATGGCAGCGCGTCACCGGCTCCACCACCATCAGGCACCGCATCACCCGCGCCTGCGCAACAAAAGAAGAAGCACGATGTCGCACCGGATAAGCGCAACCACAAGACAGACAAGGTCAACTACAACGTCACGGGACACGAGGCGCGCGATGGCTGTGTGAGGCTGATGTACGATGGCTTGGCCTTCATGAGTGAAGCGCGTAAGTACAAGCACGTGAGCACTTCATGCGCTTTTCTGACATGTCCCTAGTACCCGACGACATCATCACCGTCGCGAAACACGTCGAAGCAGCCGCCTACGGCAACGCCGGCAGCGTCAACGACGCCTACAAACAAAAAATGCGCTCCCTCTTCCAGAACCTCAAGAACAAGTCAAATCCCGCCTTGCGCAAGGACGTCCTTTCCGGCAAAATCCAGCCCAAGAAATTCGTCGTCATGTCCCACGACGAGATGAAGTCGGATTCGCGCCGTGCCGAGGACGAGAAGCTCGAGAAGGAGAACATGAACCAGGCCATGGTCGCGCAGGTCGAGAAGTCAATCTCCAAGGAATTCCAGTGCGGAAAGTGCAAGAAGAAGATGGTGTCGTACAGTCAGGCGCAGACGCGGTCGGCTGATGAGCCGATGACGACGTTCTGCGAGTGCATGAACTGCGGTAATAGGTGGAAGTTCTCCTAGTCGAGACGCGAGACGCGAGGTTCGAGAAAATGGGGTCTCTGGGAAGCGAGCGATGTACGTTTTAGGCATTTCATACTTCGGGAGCGGGTGGGCGTTTTCTTTACGGGGCATACAGACGGAGTTGGAGCTGTCCTAGGACTTTTTTCCTTCCCTGCGAATAGGCGGCGGCATGCGCTTCGAAATTTGCTTCTCTTCTCTCCAGCCTCTTAGTCGAGTAAACACGTTTATTACGATGCCTTCTGCACAGTGCGTATCGTATCCTCATTATCTATGCAGCATGTTTTTCATGCATAAATGTGGCATGTAGCTAATAAAGCTTGATATGGGTCAAGCTATGTTCAAGGAGCGAACGCAAGCAGACTGTGGCAATAGTATGGAACATGGAGTAACATTATTACACGAAGCTGCGAATAGCTCTAGGGGGGTCTTTTAACTTTTCACAAGAGAGACATAAGTAGCACTGTCTACACACAGGCAAGAAGTGTAATTTTGTATGTTGAATTTTCGAAGCTGCTAATCTTGCTATATCATATCTGCCACATAAGGGTGGCGTCTTCAGACCGACGAGATGAACACTGTCCATGTAGAGGCACTCATATCCATAATTCGGTCATACCTACAGCCTTGTGTGTCGTCCAAATACAGACGAGCAATGTCTTTCTGCGACGTGAAATGTGGTAATCCTCTATCCCGAAGAGCTAGAGACATCGGAGCCAAAGAGATCGAAGTTAGGGAGACTGTCATCGTCGAGTTCATCTGATGTGTATTTCCACCTATTCAGAAATCAATATGCAGGTCATCAGGTCAGGCCGTCGAAGTGACTTACTTATGTGTAGCCGTAGACCAGGCATTTCCAGCTCGCACTTCGCAAGTGCTCTTCACTTGTCGACCAGCTAGCCCTTCATCGAGTACGTTGCGTATAGCAGCCTCAACTGATTTCGTCCGTTCAGAGACATCTGATGCGTCTCTGCTAGAATCGCAAAAGGCGACCACGTGGACATGCTTCAGGCCGGGGATGACTTCAAGGTTGTCTTTCCCGAGAGCAGCATCGAGCATGAAGAGATTGGTATTGACTTCGAACTGAATCTTTTCGATCTGTGCACGTTGAAACGGCTTCATCTTCTTGAGCTCGTGTTTGATTGTATCCAAGGTTTCGAGGATGAAAGTGTTTGCCCTGTACGGTAGAAGTGCCGTTTCAGTGTAAATTTGACGACACGTCCTGAGGAGTTGTGTGCCGTTCATACGCTCAGCGAAAGGTGGGACCATTCTTTGTATGGTAATTTGCTGGGAGTCCTTGATGTACACAGACCGAAGCTCGTAGCCGCCGAGAGCGTACTCCCAGATGCGGCTACGAAGCTCTCCGGGCAAACGTAGCAGAGGCGAGTCTTGATTCGTTTTGACACTAGACGGAGCCATTAGTAGTGGATGCGCTGGAGGTATTGTCTCACTAACAGCTCCAATTCTCCACCTTTCGGCGTGACGTTGAGGATCCCGTTGCGGAACCTGTGGAAACCGCGCGCAGGTCGCTTGACCACCCGATCGTTGCTTGTCTTCGATGAACCCTTCTTCCTGGTCACTGCCATCGTGACGGGCTTGGCGGCTTCTGTCAATGTACTCGCAGAGTGGAGTGTGGTGCGCGTGGCAAAGATCGTGAGGTGAGCTTGTGAGTGGGAGACAGTGTTGAGTGGGTCGGGCTGCAGAAGGCAGGAGCGATGACGCGTTTGTTAGCGCCTTCTCGCCTTCTATTTCGAAGTGAAAGTGAAAGTGAAAGTGAAAGAAAGTTAAAATCGAGAAGCGTGGGCGAATCGGGATCAAACCATCCTCAGCCTTCCATATCTCCCACGCCGGTATTGCAGGAACACTTCATTTTGCTACAAAGTCTGATTATGAGCACGAACTAAAGAACAGGGTATGCCGAGACTTTTTGGTATCAATAAGCGGCGAACATGTAGTAGGGATGCGACTTGGTCTCATCACTGGGCAATATTCGGAAGGTGTCTATGCAGGTCAGTGAACTGTCAGTCGTTCGCATCATCTCCACTCATATCTGATGCAAGGCAAATGAGATGGATAAGATTCATTCTGGTTTGAAGCAATTGAGTAGACCCCAAGCTGTCGCGCAGTGGCTTTTCCCTGTCCGAGGCGGACCTCGTGTCTCGTACAACAGGAAAACGCTACAGAGTGGTTTCATGAAGTCTACGTCTGTTGTTCCAACCAATGAATCTTTGATATAATAGCCGTTTCGTCCCTTGACCCGTACAAAGTGAGATTGCTGGTCCAGGTCGCTAGTTCAGCGAAATGATCTCACAGCTTTCCCAGTGTGCCAAGCGAGAGCGACTGCTGTCCGTCCCCTGCAGTGGTTCGTTACTAGCTGTAATTGATTAGCATGATACAGTAAATTTCTCTGGAGCCGTTCGTACAAGTCACAATACTCCTCCGGAGTCACGTCGACGATTTCGACAGTGATAGCAATGTTTTTGCCCACAAGCATAAGGTCTAGTCTTGCCCGCACACCTGCCACGAGCGAAGCAATATTGTGGCCCACCCAAATGCGTTTCTTGAAGATTACTACTCGGATACATTTCAGGCCTGGGAGGAAATCGAGGTTGTACCTGCCCTTCTTCGACAGATCAGTGATGAGAGGATCGGGTCGAATCAGCAGATTCTCGTGATAAGCTTCCAGTCGAAGTTCGGAAAACTGAGCACGCTGGAAAGGCTTCAGGTAACTAAGATCCCTTTTAATGTAGCGGTAGTCGACAGCATTCAAAATGCCCGATTTGTAGGGGAGACGAGCAGTCTCGGCATAGATCTGTCGGCAGGTCTGGAGGAGTGCTAAGGCATGCTCGCGATCGGTGATACGTGGCACCATTCGTCTGGCCCAAATTGTCTGTGTAATCTGGACGGAAGTTGGGCGGAAGAGGTTGACACCAATAGCGAATTCCCAGATCTTATGTCGGAGCTCACCGGGGAGCTTTAGTAGAAACGACTCCTGGTTGTTCTTGACCCTGAGCAATGGTAAGCAAGGCATAGAAGTAGCAGTAGTAATAGCAGTGTATACAATTCCTTCTCTCCTCCTTTCGGCGTGACGTTCATGATGCCATTGCGGAACCTGTGGAATCCACGTGCCGGCCTCTTCACCACACGGCCAGTCTGGGCAGCCTGCTTCTTTGGCCTTGAAGTAGCTGCAGCCATGATCGGGGCCATATTGAAATTGTTGCTGAAAGTCCACGATGTGTAGTTGAGGTGGAGGGCAGCGGTAGAGAGTCTTTCGTTCCTAGCCGGGCTGCGAGATGGCAAGTGATACTTTTATGTCAACAGGCCGAGCCGCAGCGGGGAGAGAAGCTGGACTGTGCTTATTACGGGCCCGCTCTAGCTACGCAGGAAACCACAATTGAGGTCGTGCGGGGAGAGGCTTTGTGTCCAAGGCTTCCGGCATCGGGAGGTCTTGCCTCACGCAAGCCGCAGAGGTACACCGACATACATGCCATGCTCACGGTAGGAAGATGTCAGGCCTGGCTCAAAGATACACTGGCCTACTTACCATGCCCGCGGTAGGGAGTACCTAATCAAGTCAGCCGCAAAGGTACTCTGAATTGCATGCCCAGGTGCATTGCATCGCATGCCCGTGGTGGGAAGATGTTAGGCCTGCAGCTTTGTCAGCCTTATTGTCGACGCCATAGCACCGAGAGTCCACGGCTAGGTATGATAAACCTTTCGCACACGACAAGCTGCCATGTATGCATGATGAGTTGGACTGGGAATGTGTAGCGACACGCGCCACTGGAGAGGACACAAACTCTATGCTGCGTACAAGAGAGGAACCCTGTACAGTGAAATAAGATGCATTGTTTTCTCCAAGATTGCCTTATCTGAATTCTCCGTGCAGCTACGCAATCATCCTCTCAAACGTCACTTGCACTCCGTCAATGCAGTCCGAGAGCCACTGCCCACACTTCTTCTCCTCCAACGCTACTTCGCCACCATGACGTTCGCATCCGGGACATATCTCCTTGGGGCACTCTCGTGTCCTGCCATTATGTCTGACTTCCACCAGGACTCTTCTCAATCCTCGCAGAGTGGCTACCGGGAGCACGTCGTTCAACGGCTTTGAACACCAGCCCTCCCCTTCAACCATATGTCTTGCCATCCAGGTGACAACATGGACTTCCTGTATTGCTTCCTGTTGATGTGAACTGAACTTGATGAGCCAGGGATGAAAAGCGTCTTGAGATTTGAACTGGAACGCGTTGAGCATGAAGGGCAACAGTCGTGTCTCGTCGTACAGTTGTGTGCATACTGTTAGTAGAGCGAGGAAGTTCTTTTGCTTTCTTATGATGCGGGTCTCGAAGCTAAACGGGGTATACCGCCGCCAACAGTGAACTTGAAAGACCTCTCTACTCAGCGTGTAGGCGTAGATATCATTGCGGATTTCGGCGGGGAGGCGAAGGAGATGGGAGACTCGGGCATCTCTCATTATACACGGACCAGGACTGATCCAAGGTATAAAATGTAGATGGTGACGTCGAAAGGAAGTGGTAAGCAGGTCAGTCCGGCTGGAATGGTAAGATGCTGTAGATATGTCAAGCCTGATACAACACACCGGGAATGTTGTGGTTGTTAGACTCACTTGACAGACCACTGCGGCTACCTGAAAGCGAAGTACTGCATGTAGATCGTTCGTGGAAGAAGGACAGAAAATACGCCTTAAAGTAGTCATGATTGTTTTTGGTATGTGCCTTGACAGCCCTTTCGGCCTGAAGTCTCACACCGATACGCAAAGGCTTGAAAGTAAAGGCGCACGATTGGCCAGAATTATCCATTCAGTTAAGATATGACAACGCCTTGTGGGACGCAAAGTAAGCACAGCATAACTTCGGTATACGACGCCGCTTTGGGTTGGTTGCTGACAGCTTATTCGTTGCCACGAAAGTGCACAAATTCATGAAGAATCGAATGCGTCAGGATTTAGTTTCAATTATTAGATATGAAAATTCACCTGTTTTCCAGCATTCATCATGCAGTTGCGCAAAGCCAGGAGAGTCAAATCGGCACCGCGTGAAGTTCCATACATTCTGCGACTCTCCGCTATGAACCGGAGTAACTATACATCCGAATCTCTCCCGCTTGACCAATATGCTTCGAAATCTATGAGACCTGAGTATATCGCTGACCACCTTGTTGAAGAAGTGTCAGAAAGTGCCGTGCGATTTGGTTACCGAAATCTAAGCTCACTTGCTGACATCACGAATGACGATCCATGTATCAAATCAGCCAAGCCACGTTCGAGCCTGGCAGCCACCAAAATGCCACTCGCGATCGATGATATTCTTGCTAGATATATGTATTCTTCCCGTCTTAGCACGATGTATTTGACCCATATGAGAATTTCCCCGGCAATATGCAGCTCCATGCCCATTGCCTATGTCCAAGCTGTGGCATAGATCCTCACAGATGGGTCGGATCACAGCAGCATCTGTCGCGGCAGGTTAAGGAACACCATCGGCCGCCATAATTGGTGAAGTAGAGCGTTTCTCAGGGTGAACCAGGAATGTGTTGTAGATTTACTAGGGAGAACCGATCATGATAAAGCCTGGTACTAGTCGGCAGAGCAACACCAGTACGGCTTCATCACTTCTTACGCCATCTTATAAAGAGCGACGTATACATGAGGAGTATATAACGAGGCGTGAAAGGGCAGGAGGTACAAAAACAGTTGACTAACTTGCAACGGAAACGCATGAAATTCAATCTTTTTGAAGTGAAATATCAGTCATAGCATTACACGAATGCTCCTCGATGAGATTTCTATCGCACCAATTCGCTGTCACACTAACCTTTGGATTGATTATCTTCATCTGATATGTAACTTCCCGCCCCTTCTTATTGATGGCGTCTACGCAGAAGTCCTCACCGAACGAGGCGTTCGATCTGACGGAGAACAAGACACGAATCCACTCTAAGGCTGATAGTCTAGTGAAATCCCAACCGACCACATCATCATTCATAGGTTTCGAAAGTGTGAGTAAGTGGTAGGCGGATATAGGCGAGGCCGATAGGCATAGATCAAGGCGTAGATGGAGTTTGCCGATGACATTGAATTTGGCTTCGAGCAGGCCTCCAAGCCATTGATGTAGCAGGCCAGCACTGCATATAGAAAACACGCTCAGCGATAATCGGAGCAGTGCCGTCTCGGCAAATATCTGAGGGGACACTTCGAGCAACGCAAAGGCGTTCTCGGGGGCTTTAGAAACATCCTCTATCGTTACGAAGGAGCCGATCTTGGTTTCAATAGAGTATTCGTTTCCTGACAGGACGTACTCGAAGATGCGGTTGCGCAGCTCAGCGGGCAATCTCTGCAACGGCGATTCTTGCTGGTTCTTTCTCGTACTGTAGGTACTTAGTAAGACAGCCTCGACAACTGGGCACACATGAGCACTCACAGCTTTAGGAACTCTCCAGACTTGCGCTCGACGCCCAGCGGCCCGTTCGTGGAGAAGCGTATTTTCTTGTTGGTGCGCTTTGCAACACGGGCACCTGCTATAGCAGAACGCGGGCTTGCATCGAGTTTGCGAGGCGCCATGGCTTATCCGTTGAGTCATTTTGATGTCGAGAGGTTGAGCAGATACGCGCTCTGTTTGCGCCGTGTATGACGTAAATGCGTAAAGAGTGAAAGGATTGAGATGGTGCTGTTGAAGTAGATATTTGTGCTTGTTCTCGCGCACTTCAGTAAACTGTATAGCGTGTCGATAGCTAGGGATGCCTATGGTCAAGGTCTCTATAGGAACACATTATAACCTAGTAAGCCTTTGAAGCTACGCAGGCCAGTGTTGAATTCAACACGTCGTTTCCAACGAGGTCAAAAACCCGGGCAGTGTGGGCACGAATAGTTGCGGCATTTAGCACCACTGAAGTGGATGATTGCACACCCCCAATGTGAGGATTTCTCTCTGGGGCGAAGACGGAACGAACAAGGTAAACTGCCCTATGCCGAAAGGAAGGGTGTGAGGTGAACAAGGAGGAGTAGGTTGAACAATGGTATTCACGATGATATGAGAGAAGATATCCTCAGTCTGCCCAAGTACCAAACATACTAGTTTATAAGCACTAGAATTGCACGACTTGTGGAGATAGGCTTCAATATCCTGCACACATTAAGTTTTTCAACCTAGTATTTGGAGCGGAGGAATGCTGTATTTCAAGTCGAGTTAAAGAAGCTACCCGCGATAACTGGAACTAATCGAAAGTCGCAATTACATTCAAACTACTTGAGCTGACGCATTATGTGTATGAAACATGAGCCTGTGAGGGAGCCACCTTATTTCGAGCGGCGACAGGTAAACTACGATGCTCTATTTCGGCTACACCAGAGGTCGGCCATACCAACTGTGAACCATTAACTTTAGAGAAAGATAATACACACATCTGCTAAGATTTTCTACTTACTAGCGGGTGTGGTTGCGAATGTCGATGTCCATCTTCTCGACGACCATGTCATATCCAGCCGCTCGCATTTGATCTCCAAAGTGCTCATGTAGAAAAGCGGAGCATACAGACAGCGATGTGTAAACCCTGGCTTTGCTCCCGTGCACACAAAAGTGCACGCTACGCAAGTTCGGGAAAATGCTGAGCTTGTTGACTTCGAATAGCTGCTTGAGATACACTTCGTAGCACCTCTGGAAATGGAGGTCATTCACCTCAACGCGGACTTCGATGATCTGCCTGAGCTGGTACTTCCGAAAAGACTTGGGAGCGATCCAGAAAGTGGAGCAATTTGTCAATTGAAAGACGTTAGTAGTGGTTGGAAGAAGGGCAGTCTCGGCGTAGATTTGACGGCACGCTCTCATGAGAGCGAACGTATTAGTGCGCTCAGATGGCTCTGGAACGAAGACTCTGTCCTGGACCACACCAGATGACTGGCGGATGGTTCTGCCCCCAATTGCGTATATCCAAATTCGGTTCTGTATTTCGGTCGGTAGGCGTAGCAAGCATGATTCTTGGTCGCTCTTCACACTATACAACACGGCTCGTTAGTATTAGTGGAAGACGAGGTATGCTCGTTATCGACTCCTGTGGTACTTACAGTTCCTTCTCGGTGCCACGTTTGGGGGTTATGTTAAGCATCCCGCCTCTGAATCTATGGGAGCCCCAGGCGGGTCTCTTGATGACACGGTCGTTGCTTTTCTTGACGTTATCCGCATGCTGTGCTTTATCTTCTGCGATCGACTTGCAAGGCGCCATGGTGATTGAGTGTGACAGTCGAGGAAGGCGGTTGACACTGACCTTTTCAGGTTGCGAAAACGTCGGTCGGAGACCAAAGGAAAGAAGAGGAGACGCACTCAGAGCTTTAGGGTTTGCACTAGCGCGATCCGATAGTGAAAGCATCAGCACCCTCAAAATAGGTAATTGAAAAGTGTTTGATACTACCTTAAAGCTTTAATGTTATCCCAAATACGGTTCTTCGTGGATTTCCCCATACGCGCTAGCTGACTTGAAACCAGTCTCCATTGCTCAGCTCCATCGCACGATACGCAAATGCATATCGACGATGTCTCAGGCTCCAACAGTCTGAGGTTCTGCGTACCAACTAGCATGATGTCAGTCGAATGGACGGGGTATTATTCGCTCTTGAGGTCGTTGCTCTTACTTGTTGTTGAATGTGGAGAAGGACATCTCCATCTTCTCGACAATCAGGTCATAGGATGACGCCCAAGTAGTAAGAAGAGGAATTTCCCGGAGAGAATTTTCGCACTCAGTAAACGATTTCTTCTCCCACTTGTGTTTACGGTCAGGAAAGATGCAGAATCGGATGCGGCGTAGCTCTGATAGGACACCAAGCTTGAGTTTGTCGAAGTACATCAACATTCCAGGCGAAGACACCTCAATTCGTAAATCTTTGATCTGATGTATCTGGTACCTTTAGAAAGTGCCGGAGGCTGGTGATAGACACGCGCCAGTGGGACCTGATCGAAAAGTTATTGACGGCGAAGGACAGAGGTGCTGTTTCTGAGTAGATCTGCCGACAAGCCCTGAGGAGCACAAAAGCGTTCTTCTTTTCACTTGGCCTAGGTTGGACCGAGCTCTTTCGAGAGGATCCGGAGAGCAGGCGGAATTCCTTGCCACCAAGCGCATACTCCCAGATTTTGATCCTGAGTTCAGCTGGAAGGCGTAGCAGTGGTGAATTTTGGTTGCTGCTCACGCTAGATTGTTTTGTTAGTATATGTTACTGAGGACCATTGCGCTCACCTCTATAAGGAAGCTACCGGTCATGGACTTACAGAGCCTTTTCGTCGCCCTTTGGCCTCACGTTCAGCATTCCGTTCTTGAACTTGTGGAATCCGCGAGCGGGCCTCTTGACGACGCTGCTCTTCTTGACAGCAAGAGGCTCTTTTGCCTTGTCCGCGGCCGCTGGTTTGCGAGGCGCCATGGCAGGTGACAGCAGTAGACGGTCGGCGTTTGAAGGCAATGTTGCGTGAGGTGGAGAGTCAAGGCAAGAGCAAGGGAACGACGCTCAGGGTCCACGCTAGCGCGCGCTATGTTTGTACAGCAAGTGAAGGCAACGGCGGATTGACTAGGTAGGTGAGAGAAGCGCAGGTCACATTGATGTAAATGTAAACTAGCTGTCTCGACGAAAACTTCTTTCATATAGCTTTAATCTCCTCTCGGCTCTGATCCTGGGTAGCATCCGGGCGACTGCTCTTAAATAAACTGTCACCCCACGACTGAACTATATAGCATTAATCCAGATTCTGTTACGTCCAGCTCGCGGGTCCTTCTCTATGCGAAAATCCTGGCAACATGTCAGTGTAAATCCTGCGCGTGTTGCGACGTGACTGCGGTCTATAATAATGCGCTCAGAGAGAAGATTGTTTACTCGTCATTGACAGCACCAAGCGATTCGAGAATACGGACTGCAGAGCAATACATATCCTCGCCTCAAGCCTAGAGCCATCTCCGGCTAAGGATGACGATAACTGATTTTCATCATTGCATGGAGTAGGGAAAGGCAATAGCAGATGGGCACATACCAGCAGAGTGGAGCGAACATGTGTTCCTTGGTGACTACCGTCAACCAGCTGCGAAGGAAAGTCTCCAGAGCCCAATCGTCACACTCGAAGCCCAGCGATGCTGCGTATAGCTTCTGGCTACATTTGGTGTCTTCCGATCACTTGCTCAGTAGTCCAACTCGAGCTTGTCTTCCTTTTGCACATCCGGACCATTGGCTTGGTGCCATGGGTCCCACTCGTCGCTCTCCGATTCATGGTATGGCGAAAGCCGGCCATCCTTCTTTGTACGCTCCCGCTCCAATTTCATCTCTCTTTTCTTGACCTTGTATTTGTCTCTGTTCTTCTTGTTCCTCTTCTTTGTCCTGTCGCTACTGGTAGCCCACTGTTGCGCCTTTGGCCTGGTCGTATGTCCTGGCGTGGATGCTGACGCAGAACTGGCAGCATCCTTGGGTTCCGTTTCAACCTCGCCCTCTTCAGAGAGCTCACCTGCCTCGCGTCGCAGTCTGCGTTTGCGAAGGATGGCCTGGATCTCGGAGTGCCGGAACATGGCGATCTGCTCATCCGTGATGGTGCGCTTCGTACCGTCGGAGTAGTAGCCTAGGCCGTCGTCTTCCTCGTCGTGGTACTCCTCAGTAGCGTCTTGCGCAACGCCATGGAGGAACTGCTCTGGTGTCGGCGCGTGGGGGAAGTGTTTGGCATGAAATGCATGCAAATCATCCTAGAAAATTAGCGTCCCGTAAAGCTACAGAATCCGAATAACATACAATAGTGACTGTTGGTGCTTGCAGTGCCATGACAAATTTCTAGATCTGTGCTCGTGCGGCCCTCGACGGGCGGGTTGTCACGTCTGTAAATTCATGGAGAGTGGAAGAAGTTGAAGTTCGCGAAGCTCACGAGGCGCCGTCGATCATTCACGTGGTCACGGGGTCTTGGCTTCACCGCGGCATGACGTCTACGCATCCCCACCAAACCGTCGCGACAGACAACGGCCTACAACAACGCCATACCTACAACCCCTGAACAACCATGAAAGCTGGATCCATAGTCGCATATCCTCTTGCAAGCGTCTGTCTGTTCCTCGCTTGCTCCGCAGAGTCCCGCCCCTTCGACAGCATCCGCAAGTCGTTCGAGATACTCAGCGCCCAGATCCCACTGCGCGACCTCATCATGCCTCCCGCAGGCGAAGTGTCGACCGGTGTCATCATATCCGATGTTATAGGCAAGACGCAGAACATAGCCATCTTCAGTGGCCTCACGCGGGACATAGACGATGTCGCTGGCCGTCTCGACAACGCAGCACAGAACGCCACAGTACTCGCGCCAGACAACAGCGTAATGCGCAGCTTGCAGCGAAAGCCGTGGGAAGATCCAGAAGACTACGATACCTTTGGAGCCAACGCATACGAAGGCAGTTCAGGACAAGACCGCGCGCGCAAGAACCTCGAGCGCTTCGTGCAAAGACATGTCGTTCCGGAAAGTCCCTGGGAAGAGGGCAAGAAGATCAAGACGCTGGCTGGCAACGAAATATGGTGGGAAAGCAAGGACGGCCAAAAGAAGGTAAGCCTATGCTATCTCGCTTCTGCACCCACGGGTAGTCCGCCGAGACCCACCCGCGAACACATTTTTCTGTCTCCACCATTCCTCAAACGCAAGATTTCGACCAAAATTGTTCTTGGAATGGGATTATCTATGATCTATAATGAGAGACTTCCATCAAATCCTCATTGGTGAGATGGCCGAGGTTCGTATTTCACAGCTCACAGCGTCTGATCACTCGCTCACAATCACACAGTTGGTTATGGCGCCAGGTTAAGGTTAATCTTAACATATATTCCTGGTCACGAAAGTGGCGTGGGTTCGAGTCCCACTCTCATCAGCATTCGTCTGGCTTTGTCAGATATCCCAGGATCTTTTTTTTGCTGTTTGTGGTTGATCTGAAGGACGTGTTGCCTCTTCAACCACAACAGCAACAACTCTCTTCTTTTTGCTTCTTGGCTATCCTAGTGTTCTTGCTCATCTACTTTATGTCGTAGAAATCGAGCTGACCCATTCTGCAGATCCAACCCAGCAATGTCGAAGTCACCAGCATCGCTGACAAAGTGTCCAATGGCGAGGTCTGGGTAATTGGAGGCTCTCTGGCATGAGAACGACTTTCCAATTGAGATTATGAACTATTGGCTCCATCAGCCACGAAGGTTATGCAGAATATTGGCGGGACCAGTTTCTTGATTTCAAAGCACCGAGCTTTTCCCTTCGCTACATTCAAAGCATAGATCTAGCTTTAGCTTGCCAGGTCACTCATACACTTAGAATTAAATGCATCATGTAAGCTACATTGTCTGGACCCCGCCACTTCGTATTGGTAGTCGCTCATTCGATGCGCGAGTTGGTAAGCAGGCATCTCGGTTGCGGTGGGTAGGATTGCATAGTAGAAAGCCAAACGCCGTCGCGACTCTTCCACATACAGATAGAAGCAAGGTAGAATGATTACCATATAGAGTACTCGTAAACGTTGGCCATAGAGGACTAGATGCTCTGATAGCTTTCCAAGCTTGAGGTTCCAGAGTTCCCCCTCTCAACCCCCACTTTAGTACATACAAATACATGACTATCATGGCACAACAGCCAAACATCAGTACCACAGCAATAATCCAAACCATCTCCAACCCCCCACCATGAATTTCTCCTCAGGTGACCTAGCAATCTGCCCAACCTGCGGCACCCAATTCGACGTCCCCCTCACCTCACCACCCTCCACCTGCCGCATCTGCGATGTAAATGACATCATACCCCTTCCCCCCAAGCACCCATACTAACACCACACAAGGACCCACGCCAATACGTCCCCGCCCACGGCCAAACCTGGACCAGCCTGAACCAAGAACTCCCCCTTCAGAAAAACACGTTCGAAACCGACCCCCACGACTCCCGCATCCACTACATCACCACCAAGCCGCTCACCGACGCCGAACTGCCCGCCAGCCTCGCCAGCAGTACGACTACGCGCAAGCAGCTGGGCATCGGGCAGCGCGCCATTTTACTGCAGACGGCCCGGGGGAACGTGCTCTGGGACCTGGTTGCGTTCATTGACCAAGCAACTGTGGATTTTGTGAAGTCGAAGGGTGGATTGAAGGCGATTGTCATTAGCCATCCGCATTTTTACACGACGCATCTTGAGTGGGCGCGAGTCTTTGGGTGTTCGGTGTATGTTTGTAGGGATGATGGGGAGTGGTTGAATCGCGAGGATGAGGGAGGGGTGAGGAAGGCGTTTAAGGGGGTTGAGGAGATTGAAGAGGTAGGAGGTGAAGTCAAGGTGATTCAGTGCGGTGGTCATTTTGATGGGAGTGCGGTGTTGCTGTGGGAGAAGAAGTTGTTTATTGCGGATACGTTCATGAGTGTGCCCGTGAGTTAGCAAGCTTCATGGTCGTTCAGTGTGATGGTGCTAATGATGTGTAGTCTGGGTTCTATCACAAGGATCGCCTTCCGGGTACTGTGAGCTACTCGTTCCAATGGTCATATCCGAACCGTGAGTAGTCATCGTCGGTTACAGCCCATATTGACTGACGATCCAAGTAATTCCCCTTCCACCGGCCAAGGTACATGGCATATGGAAGGCCATCAAGCCTTTTGACTTTGACACAACTTTTGGTGGCTTTCCAGGTCAAAACGTAACACGACCAGACCTCAAGAAGCAGGTTCTGGAAAGTATGAAGATTTTCCTGAGAGTTGGTGGCCATGAGAAGGCAGCCGTGTACGAAGAGACACTAGAATAGGATGGTTGATGCACATGATTATGCGCGGTGCACGTGGCGATCTTGATTTTAACTTGTAAATTTGTTCAATTTCGATTACTCAGACAGTCTTGACGCCACACGAAGCATTTTAACCCATCCAGCGCAGTAAACCCATAGGCGCTGAACCCGATGACGCATGTGTTGCAAACAAGAACCGTCTTTCCCGCAGTGTCGTGCTAGTGATACTGGCTGAGGAATATGTACATGTACAGTGTCGCAAAAGAGCCTAAAAAGCACGCTCATTGCTTAAAGTAAGCCCTCCCTTGTGAGCTAGAAAGTCGAAAATTCCATGCCATCGATTACCAAGGACGTGCGATTAAACGCTCGCCCCGCGAAACACACTGCACCATTCTACGACGTGATGGCCTCGGTGGAAGTCGGTGCCGTCTCGATGCTAGTCGCTGCTTCAGTCGAAGCTTCTACAGCGGACTCCGTGTCGGCCTTGATCGCAGGTTCGTCCTTGTTGAGTTCCTTGTCCGCATCTGCCATGGTCACGTCACCATCTGTGTCGGCGGGCTTAGTAGCAGACTCAGGTTCAGCGGATGTGTCATCCTTTTTCTCCTTGGTCTCGGCCGGTGACTCTGCCTTCGCGATTGGAGACTCCTCCTTGGTGGGCTTCTCGTCATCATGCTTGACACCGTTGGTCGCCGGTTCGCCATCAGAAGCGAGAGCACCACCCCACTTGGTGAGGAGCTCACCCGAGCGCTGCTTGAAGCTGTACTCCTCCTCCTTGGGAATCGAGTTGAGCTTGATGATTGCCTTCAAGACTTTGTGGACCTTGGTCTTCTTGATGACCTCAGCCTCGAGATCGTCATGAAGCTCGAGCTGCTTAAGGTAGTCTGACATGTTCGCCATGTCTTCATCCTTGGGAGCCTGATCGCGGGATAGGAAGCCCTTCTGTAGGCGATGGCGGAGGTACAAGATTTGTTTCTCTCGCTTTGCGAGTCGCTCCTCCTCAGTTAGTGGTGGCTCTTCAGGCTGAGCGGATTCCGCCTCTTCGCTAGCCTTCTTCTTCGACTTGGTCTCTTTCTTGGGCTTCGCTGTAGATGCATCCTTGGGCGTCTTGGTTGTCAACTTCAGCTTCGTCTTGGGCGTCTTTGCGGGCTGTTAGTGGATTAGTGGCCGTGAAGCGCGCTGTGATTGATTGACATACCTTGTCGTTCTCGCCGTCACTCTCCTCGCCCTTCTTGCGCTTCTTGCTTGCCTTGGCCTTCTTTGCAGATGGAGCGGCAGCATCATCGCCATCGGCCATTTCCACATCATCTGAACCTGCTGCAGCCGTGCTCTTGCGCTTGGCTGACTTCTCAGCCTTCTCCTTCTTCTCAAGCTCCTTTTGTTCCTTCTGTTGATTGTCTTCTGCTAGGGCGGCCTCATGACTGGCAAGGACCTGCTTAAAGTGTGCTAGGTCGTGGCCTTCCGCAGCAATCTGCCACGCTTCCCATAGTGCCTTGTTCTTCTTGTTGGAGTTGCCTTCTTCGACGTCTTTCTTCACGTCTTCGAGGTTGAATGTGAGGAGGTCGGTGTTTACTTGCCATGCACTGTAGTATGTTAAAACAAGTGGCTCCAAAGGAGGAGGAGTATGCGACTCACAATTCATTGGTTCCCAGGAACATGACGGGGTACCGTCGATCCTTTGCATTCTTGCCACCCTCGAGGAAATCTTCGCGATATGTGCCATCGATGCGCTTCGCGCTGACGGGCCGCTTGCTGAGCAGTGACTCTGGTAGCATATCTTCGTCGCAGATGATGACTGGCCAGGGTTGGTAGCCGCGCATCGCGACCATGTACATCTCGCCTGGGTTCACATTGAGACGTAGCTCAGGTGCCTTCTTCTTGCCCTTTGCGGGTGTCTTCTTCTTGTGTTCTGGAACGCCAGCTCCTGACTTGCGCTTGCCGTTGCCATTGCTCGTCTTCTTAGCAGCTGGGGTGCCGTTGGTGGCAGCATCGCTGGCGGGTACGGTATCTGAAAGGTAAAATAAGCATGTGCACGAAGAGACTATCGATCACTGGCAGGATGAAGACATCAATGATGGTGCCTGGTTTTGACTTACCTGCGTCATCACCAGCCGCCTCAGTCTCTGGCTGCGCGCTGGCAGTGTTCTCCTCCTTCGCGGCGGCGTCCTCTTGTGCGTCGTCAGTCTTGGAAACTGATTCATCGTCGCGTTAGCTTCGTGGACGTCATTTATGGCAGTTAATCACAAACCTTCAGCGACACCCTCGGTGGCTACAATCCCCTCCTCAGCCGGCTTCGCCTCAGTGACTGCAGGCTCTGCGACATCGTCTGCTGCTGGTGTCGGCTCTTCGACCAGCTTGGGAGCATCGGCCACAGCGGGCGCGTTGGTCTCCTCAGCCATTGTATCGGTCGTGCTTATGTGGCACGGAGTGGTGTCGACGCGTAAGGGAGGCAGCGGGTCGCGAATTACCCTGTCGAGATGTCAAGCGCGACGGCAGTGACGCGTAGTCGATGGGTGACCGTGGATGGTGATGGACGTGGGGGGTGAGGTGGGTGATGGGTTCGTGTCGTGGTGTGGTGATGGAGGGAAAGAAAAGGCCTCCTCGGGACGACTGGGGCTGGGCTGGGTTTCTTACCAGCGCTGCGCGCAGGGCTTGGCACCGATTGGATCCTATTCGCAGGGGAGAACACTTCCAGGCGCGCCGATAATTTTTCGAGCAGTTTCGCTGTCTTTGCGAGAGCCAGCGGTGCTAGTTTGCTGGTGTTGCAGTAATCTTTGTGGTGCGGGCAGACGTGTTGGCGTTTGCTCTCCGTGCCTCTTAAGGTGGGCGCGATGCGCGATGCGCGATGAGCTATGAGCGTCCGTGCGCGTCGTGTACAGAGTAGCCGCCCTCCAACTGACCCCTCAACAATACTCCACTATCTGGATTGATCGAGAAGAAGTACGACCGAATGCTCTCCTTTGCTCTTGTTCCGATGTCCAGTTGGTCTTGCACAATGTGACTCAACTCCAAGCTGATAGGGGTCCATTCGCGAACAGTGACTTGAAGCCACATCCAAATAAGACCTAGGCTGGAGGACCGGTGTGCCTCAAGAGTTCCCGACCGTCAGGATATCGACTGCAAAGGTATTCGTAATGGTCTATCTCGCCTGGTTAGCTTCTTGATTCTCAGCTTTGAGAGGTTCGATAGAAACGAGCACTAGATGAGTGGACAATTTGTGTAGCAGCTAGTACGACTGCGAGCTGCGGGGCTTTGCTAGGGTTCGCATTTCAGCTACTAATATCTTGATTAGCTCTTGTGCCTCGTGCGGCTATCTGTGAGACTCACTATACTCTATCTTATCACTCCTCGCGACGTTACTGCACAAAGCAGATCCGATCCCAGCTCTTACAAACTCAACGCCCATCAGGTATTCCGTGCGTCGACACCGCTGCGAACCATTCGCGCATGATCTCCGTGAGGGTTTGTTTTGTACCGCATTTTGTCAATTGCGTTTTGAAATGACTAGAATACTCCAGTCTCACTTAACGCCGGGTAGCTCGGTGAACACCTCAAGGGTAGGGGTTAGACGGTCGACTCCGACTCTTGGAAACCCAATAGACTGTTGCAACATAATTGCAGCATAACTTTCTGCATAAAGACACCCAGGGATTGTAGACCTCTCCACATAGATGTGGCAATAAGGAATTTTGTTTCCAAACTAACGTGTTTGGCCAACATGCAGGCATTGCGTTCATCGGAGTCTCTGGGTGGCATCTATCCACAATCGGCTCAAGGGACTGGTACCATGACCTAGTATTCCAGGTCTCGACGGCTCCACGTGGTCATCCTCATACATCGAGCAGTATTTGAAGCAGCTACGTTTTCGCTCGAGAAACAATGAATCCTTTTAGCACGGCTGCAAGAGACATTGAATAGTTGTGATGCTTGTCCGCATGGATGAAACCTCACTGTAGCGTGACAGGAGACTTGTGACCATAAGACGTCGTGTTCGAGCGTGAAGCAGTGTATAGTCTTTCAGTATCGAAGGGCACCCAGGCGTGCTGACCGTAGATACGGCAAGTCCCCGTAATTTGGGTGTCCTGAGAGCTAGAGCCATGCTGATGTCCAGACTTCCGTAATATAGGGTTCGGCCACTCGATCTTCGACTGTATTCGCTATCGATAAGCAACCTAGTTCCTAGCTCTTGCACGTATACTGGTCTAAACCAGATATATACTTATTTGCGGGTGCGTGGGATACGGGACGGCTTCGGAGCTCGTCGTATTGCGGGACTTCAGGTCAGACCTTATGATGCAGGAGATCGAGAGCCTGTTCAGATCCTGTCGAGGGCATCTTGTATGTGCATATCTATGCAATATTTTGGACTTCTATCTGCACCATCGATGAGGCGTTCGCTCTGCCGTATCGCTTGACATGCTACGATGCTCGCGATCGACTCTCAAATCCTCTATGCAGCTCCCTGGTTGTGATTTGCCACGGCGGATCTGCGGATCGCCTAAACACGAGTTTTAAATAACTCCCATAGCGTAGCCCACACGTGTCTCCGGCTCTCGGACTTCGTTGCTATGGCGGTCAATGGTCGTGGAGTGTGTTGACGCAGCTAGTTCTATCGATCGAGGGGCAGCGGAGCGTCGGGCGGGTCGTTGTATTCTAAAGAAAGAAGATAGATCGGCTGTCCAGAGTTACGTGAAGTGGGGTGGCCCACGACAAATGGACGTTACATGGGAGAGAAGTAATGTGTTGGCGATGGTGTATGGAGGTGGGACATTCAGGGCTCTGGCGGTTGTCGCTAGACCTACCTAGCCGCTCTAGATGTCTTGGCCTTCGATAACTACACACCACCTGGGCACAACAATCTCCCCTACATTGCACATCGCGCATAGGGGGATCTCCCTTTACAATATGGCAAACGGTACTCAATTGACGGTGAACACCGTTCGAATTACTGGGACATGAATGCGCACTGTCTGGGCGGTTATTTTGGCCTGGCAACTGCTATGGCGAAGTGCTGCGGTAATCAGGGTCAAAACCAGCTCATCAGACTGTTTCAGACAAATTCAGAATCAACCCTCGACCAGCAAACTATAGCGTGCATCTATTGGTAACCCGTAATGCAGTGGCCGTTCACGGCGGGCTTGTGCATACCCGTAGGCAGCTAGCGCAAAGACGTCAGGGTCCTAGATCCAGCCCTACAATTTCTGAGAGTAGCGCGCAAGCTTGACACCATAGCTATCCTTTTCCAACATGGCTACAGAAGCCCCTGCTACGAATGGCACCACAAACGGCGACTACCAAGCCTTGTGGGCGAACAAATACCGTGGTGTACGCAACCTGTTTGACGTTCACGAGGAACCAAGGACTAACAGGCGCAGGCGACCGTGGAAGATCTCGACCCACCTCCCGCTCTCTCCGTCAAGCCTACTGATCCGATCTCATGGGCTCTCATGAGCGGGCTCGAGCGCGACTACACCCATCTCACCGTCACATCGCAGGAAACCCGCGCACTGTTGGGTTACATCAGCATCCCGCGCCTGCAGGAGCTGCTAAAGGAAGGCAAGGTCAAAGACAGCGATCCGGTCCAAGAGGCCATGCACAAGTTCCAGCGACGTGGTAGGAGGTACAAGGTCATCACCACGGAGACACCGCTGGAGGAGCTGGACGAGTTCTTCAATGGCGGGGTTGACGGAATCGGCAAACAGGACTTCGCGGTGGTGACGGATGCCAGCCGGAAGTTCGTGCTGGGTGTTGCCACGAAGGAGGATTTGGAAACTTTCATGAAGAGGAGAGCTTGAAATGGGAGGATATCCCTATTTTCTCAAAGTTCAATATTGCATTGCTGGCGCATGGAAATACCTCGGGGATTTGGTGCTGCAAAGCTGGATTCAACATACCCTCAGGCATGCTTATTGCAAGTTCACATAGTCTTGTGTGAATGCATGTACAGATGTCTTTCTAGCAAGAGATGCTTATGCCAGCTTTATTTCGACGAGAAGTACCAGATTAATGGGATATCACGAAAACTTTCTCTCGGACTTGATTGTACTCGACTACATTTGAAGTACAACCTGTGACACTCTGAAAATAATTGAAAGTCATCTCGAGCACTCCGATATAGAAAGTAGACTATATACTACCATAACCTACCATGGTACTTTGCAAGGCTGCATGGCAACAAGACGTCATCAGCCTTAGTCAGCCCTACCTCAACATTCCCCGGCAGCCATCCAGAAATAAATGCGATCGCCCGTCTCAAGGTCCCCACATGCCGATAACGAGGGCTCCGCCTAACCATGCGCTTTTGATCAACCCAGCCCTGGTGTGCAGCAGACTCCCTGAAACCTCTTCCCCGAGTCGCTGGCATGGTCGCGCCTTCTCTCCGATTGCGTCCCACCACCGCCGCCCTCCTCTCGCAAGCGCGGCGAACTACCAAATTATACATTCCGCGAACCCGTCTCGTACAGAACGCGAGATGGTACGCGCAAAAGTCCCAGGAGCCCAGAGTAGGCACCACAACGCCTGTGCCGGATGATGCGAATCCGCCGAAACCCAAGACACGGCCGCCTTTCTACTTTGAAGCCGGATATGCGCTGTTTGCGAAACGACCTTCGAGACCTTTCCCGCCGCCGTTCTTGTCCCTGCCGTCCACGAGCTTCTCGGAGCCGCTGAGTACACACAATAAGAGCAAGGACCGCAGGCCGAAAGTCAACGGGGAAATGATCAGAGGGGTAACGAATGGCGACGACGCGGTTTTAGTCGGCGACTACTTCATCGGCGCAAACGACGGCGTGGGGGCTTGGGGTACGCGGGAGAAAGGACATGCCGCGTGAGTCCCTCAAGAAATTGCCATGGCACATTATGTTCTGACATACCAGCACAGCCTATGGTCGCGGCTCATCCTCCACTTCTGGGCCCTCGAGACCGAAAAAGCCGCATACTCGCCCACCACCGAACCCAATCCCGTCGCATACCTGCAATCTGCATACGAACTCACAAAACAAGCAACCTCGGAGCCAAACGAGTGGCACGGCACCACGACTGCGTGCGGCGCCCTGCTCAGCTCCGACAACGACATGCCCGACCACCCGATTCTCTACGTGACGCAGCTCGGCGACTCGCAAATCCTCGTGATACGGCCGAGTACCAAAGAGGTGATATTCCGCACAGAAGAGCAGTGGCACTGGTTCGATTGTCCGCGGCAGCTGGGGACTAATAGTCCCGACACGCCAAACGACAACGCTATTGTGGATCGCGTCGTGCTTCAGGAAGACGATGTCGTGCTGGCCATGACCGATGGCGTGGTTGATAATCTGTGGGAGCATGAGGTGGTTACAAACGTCGTTGAAAGCATGGAGAAGTGGACTGGTGATAAGGATAAAGATACAGAGCAGCAGACGTATGCAGACGGCATGCGGTTTGTTGCGCAGCGGCTCGTCAATGCGGCGCGGGAAATTGCCCAGGATCCGTTTGCTGAGAGCCCGTATATGGAGAAAGCGATCGACGAGGGCCTTTCGATTGAAGGAGGTACGTAAGACTCCGTCACCACATATGTCACTGCTGACATACTACAGGCAAGCTCGACGATATCAGCGTCGTAGCCGCTCAGTGCAGACGACGTGACGGTTGAAGCATCATGATCATCGCCGTCACAGGATATGACCCCATTCATGGTGGTCTCACCAGTCACTTATTCAACCACTGAGAGCCTCTTACGCGTGGCTCCAGTGTCTTGTGCAGCCATGATCTGGGCAGCGGTTCCTTGGAGGGCCTGTCTGCACCAGACCTGGCTCTACTGACCTCATGGCCGGAATTTACGACAAAGATTCAAGCCAAGAAGGCGAGGAGCAGTAACAGACCCTACTAATACGAGAGTGACATCAGCATCAGCACTCGCGGCCACTAGGGACGGCACCATCGGTCAGTTGCAGGACATATTCACGCATGCAGCTGGACCATTCCAGTATAATATGAATGTCTATTGGTGGAGGAATACCTAATCTACGAATCATGGGACTATGCATTTTGGGTGGCGCAATGGATACCGGAACGCCTTTTACACCTGAAGATGGCGATGTTGTCGCATGGGCAGGAATTATCATTCGAGGCCGCCGATGTTGCTGGATACGGACGCGATAGCGTGGTGCCATGCATGGCGGGGGCCACCGAAGAGCTTATAGAAGAAAGTTTGAAGTATTCAGTCTGAGCAGAAGATCGATGGTGTATGACTTGGCGGTCTTCATGCGAATACCAACCGTGCTCTCTAGGCTTTGCTTTCATCAAGCTGGTGATGCTGATGGCGATTGGGTAATCTTGCGTTTCGATCGGCCAGATTTGCTTGGTGACCTCGATCGACTCATACTAACTGAAAGCTTGCGCTTCTTGATGTCGGCGCGTGAGCCATGCGAATCCGCTTCGGAAGACGAGTGTCTACGGCGCCGGTCTCGAACGGGACTTGGTGAGCTGCTAGGAGACCTTCGACGGCGACGCGGAGGCGTGCGTGAACGCGATCGTGACAGCCTGGGTGGTGGTGAGTTGGACTTGTCTTTCTTTGCTGGGGAGGCAGAGCGCGAGGTATGTTTGGGTAACCTTCTGCTATCATGGCTTGGAGACCAGGACTTGTCCCTCCTCCGTCGTGGCGGAGACCTCGAACCCAGAGAGGGAGAGCGTCGTGCACGGCGCGGCGGCGGTGATCTAGACCGGCTCGATGATGGCGATCGGCGTCGTCGTCGGGGCGGTGTTCGTGAGCGATCTGAAGAGGGTGAGCGTCGAATGCGACGAGGTGGTGGAGAAGCAGAGCGACTGCCTGAAAGCGAGCGACGGCGCTCACGAGACTTGTCACGACGGCCTCCCCGGCCGCGACTTCTACCACCGCTCCCGCCCGGGACGTAAATGTCACGTTCGCGACGTGGTGGTGGGGATCGTCGTCGCCTGTACAGGTCAGTATGCACTCTTCTATGGTCTGACGGATCGACGCACGGTGGAGACCGCGAACCCCGGCGTGGTGGTCCGCGATCGAAATCTCTACCTCGCCCTCGACCACCTCCTCTGCGGTCATCGCCGCGAAAGCGACCGCCGCGTCCACGTTCAGGGCGTTCGGAGCGTTCGGGACGATCTGGGCGTTCGTTGCGGCGGAACGAGTCGATCATGTCGGTCTGTTCTTGACCTTCGCGGCGGCGTTGCTCGGCTTCGGCTTTGGACATCTGCATGCGAGGTTAGCTATGCCAATTGCTGCAAAGCTCGCAGCTCTCACCTGTTCCTTCTGCAGTTCGAGCTTCTTCGCTTCCAACAGCTCCCGCGGTACACCGACGGGACTTTCCTGTGCACTCAGCATGAGGTCCCATAGCTCTTTGCAGAATGCCGGTGTGTCCTTGTTCAGAAAGCCCGTGAGCTGGATCTGGATCTCCTTGATTTTGGGCTGCCAAACGTTAGCTCTAATATGTAGGTCGACGACGCGAAGAGTGCTGTCTTACAAATCGATCTTGCTCAAGGAGGTTGTAGCATGTCTCGACTACAATGTCGTCTTCGTCGCCGAGGATGGTCGTGATCTTGTTGGCGATCCACTTCTTCATCAAGTCAATGTTGACCTTTTCAATGTCGACCTTCTTATCGAACTCAGGTGGAAACTTAGTCGCCTTGAGACGCTTCTGGTCGATGCTGAGCGCCATGTTGACGGCTGTAGTCGTACTTTCGGCTGCGTGCGGCTTGGGGCGTGTTGTGTTGATGGGATTGCGGCGAAAGTGGAAGTGTCAGAGGTCGCGAGCTCCAGGTTGCGGCTCGGCGGGTCGGCGAAGGCTGTCAGAAGCTACGTCAGTTTCAGGTACGAGCACGGCGGACCCTGGCTCCACACCAGCTTCACCCGAGCAACAAACAGCATTAAGACTTCACTATAATAATTTCAACGTTCAATTAGGCAACTGGAGTGTAAAGGAAGGCATGGACTCTATAGCTTCGACAAGTTCACAACCGAAATGCCGAAGTAATCTTGCTGTAAGACGGTACACTCACCCAATGCAGAAGCAGCCTCTTGATAGTAAAGGCTTCCCGAAGCATGAGATCCTGCGTTGAAGACCAATAGCAGCAACCACGGCTGTTTGACAACACAACTGGACCTTCCTCACCATGTGCTTATCTATCGAGTCCATCGCCTCCCTAGCACTTCGGTCTCTCCATCACTCAACCACTATCCAGCATCACACTTCTTCCACGTCTTCTACATCAGCCATCGCTGTTACATTATTTTTCTACTCTCCACCTTCAATAAACAGCCATGTCCGACGTTGAGGATCCCGTTGTTGAAGCTGTCGAAGAAATCCTTGAGGAGCCTGCCGCTGAAGAGCCCCCGGCGGACGAACCCGTTGAAGACCCAGTAGAAGACCCGGTCGAGGAGCCTGCCCCAGAAGACCCTGCCGAAGAGACAGCCCCCGAAGACCCTGTCGAAGACCCTGTTGCAGATGCCGCCCCCGAGGAAGCTGCAGTACCTGAAGAGCCCGCGGCAGCTGCGCCTGAGTCGCCCCCGGCAGTCGATGGAGCGTCAGCCGGCGATCCTGCGGTGGCTGGAGCGCCCAAAGCAGCTGAACCCGTCAAGGAACCCCTCAAAGAAGTCGAGGACGCTGCCAAAGACGCCAAGAAGAAGACCGAAGACGCCGCCGCCGAAGTCAAGAAGGAAGTCAAGGAGAACGCCAAAGACGTCAAGGATCCAGTAGTTCCAGCCACAGCGCCAGCTGTACCTCCCGTACCTGCTGCACCTGCCGCTGGCGCACCAAGCTTGAAGTAAGCGTGCCATCCACACTACATTCACCCTTACTAACACATGTCCTACAGGTCCAAGAAGTCCTCCAAACTCGGCAACGCGAAGTCCAAGGTGGCTGCCAAGGTCCTACCAAAGGTCCTACGTGTCGGTACACCCAAAGACGTTGTCCCGCTGGTCGTCATGCTGCGCCAGAAGAAGAAGGCAGGCCAAGACGTTGCTCCCTTGGTCAAAGCGTGTATGACTATCGTCGGTGGAAAATGATACCTTTCGGTTGGCGGCATGGATTCCCACATTATTACCCCAGCACCCTTGATCGCTACTCTTGTTGTAACCTAGAACTCTTTCTCCTCTTTGACGAAGAATGCCATCTGGACTATTCTTCTGCTCTATCGTGCCATGGCCGTGCGTATGAATTCGGGGATGGCGTCTATGACCGTAGAACTGAATATCTCTAGACCCCAGTGCCAGCCATCGATCCTTGCAATTGACATGCAGCTTCATGACCACAAGTCCATCTGGCACGAACACTTCTTCCTCAGCCCAGCCTTTATCACAGACGCATATCCTCTATCTCATATCGGCCCGGACCAACTTCCCATCCTCCCCAGCTGCCATGCATGCGCCGCGCCATACATGATGCTCTTTCCGCACATAAAACCTCATTTCTCAAATCAAATCCTGATTCCTCTTCACCCGCCAACAACCCTCCCCACCTCGCGCCTCGCCTCCTCCAGCCCCCTGGCTAAATCCCCTCTCTTATGCCTCTCCTTGACATCGTAATGCAACTTGAGCAACTCCTTCGCCCGGCCTAACTCGACGTCGTCTTCTTCTGCGTTTTTCTGCGTCTCTGTGTGGGTGGAGGTGTTGGGGCGCGCGGAGACGAGGGCTAGGGCGGCGGATGGGTCCTGAGGGATGTTAGTCGAGGCGTGCGGGAGCGGGGAGAGGGGAGACAAACGCAGACTCGTAAAGAGACGAGGTCGGAGAGGATTTCAGCAAGGTGGAGGGGGGATTCTTGTTGTTCCTGTTGTTCCTGCGCCATTGTAGGAATATTTGGAATGTTGTGGTCGCCCGTCTGATGTGGTGTAGCTGTTTCGTGACGTGGGATTGTGGAGACAGAGAGAGAGATGGATGTGGAGGTCAGAGCTTCATCCCACATCGGCTTGGGGATGCCGTACCTCACCGCCAAGAGATACCGCCGTGAATTGCCGACGAGAACGTGCGCGTTGCGTGAGTCTTTGCTGATAACATTCGCTTTTTTGTGCAAGAAACGCTCTTGAATTGGGAGATTGAATTGGATACGATGGCGAGTATACAGGCGATTCGGAATAATTGCAGGAAGGTATGTTGGGTTTTCCTTCACGTCTACCGGGTGGGACAGAGTAGAGCACGTGCGTGTGCTACGATATCACGGTCAAAAGAGCTGGATAGTCGGGACATTGTAGTTTGGCGAAGCTTAGTTCCGTAAGAGAAGGAAGGTGGACGACGAAGCAAACAACTGGCTACGGATCATACTCAATGATCACGACACAGCTCACAGACAGAGAGTATCTGGAGACTGACAGTACTTCAGGTTATGTGCATCGGCCGTAACTATGCGTAAGATGTCCTCCAGAATTGATCGTCGACACCTCCTAAAGTATGGTGTAGCGACCACATTAAAGAGCTCTCAAGCGCCACACCCCGCCAACCCTTCTTCTTCCTCAAGCCCCCGTCTTCCATCCTTCTTCCCGGCGCTGGCCCCGTCCTTCGTCCTCGCGGTGTAACGATGCACTACGAAGTCGAGCTTGGCCTGATCATGGGCAAGACAGTACGTGATTTACATCCTGAAGACACGAAAGGAGCCATGGACGCTATTGAAGGTAAGTTGATATTATTCTCACTACTACTTGACTCTGTGCACCTTCCTCCAAATGGCCTTAACTCTGACATCTTCAAAACACAGGCTACCTCCTCGCCATCGACATGACCGCCCGAAACGTGCAAGACGAAGCGAAGAAAAAAGGTCTTCCCTGGTCCATCGCCAAGGGCTTCGACACATTCATGCCCATCAGTAACCTCATTGCCAAGTCTCGCATTCCGGACCCTCAGAACGCTCACATCTGGCTGTCGGTAAACGGCGAGATGAAGCAGTCTGACAACACAGAGCTCATGCTATTCCGGATTCCTCGGCAGCTGAGCGACATCAGCAGGGTGATGACGCTGGAGAAGGGTGATATTATTTTGACGGGTACGCCAAAGGGTGTTGGGCCAGTCAAGACGGGGGATATCATGCGTGCAGGCATGAAGGTGAATGGAAAGGATATTGAAGAAGCGAATATGGAGGTCCCAGTTGAGGATCGTGATGGGTTGTATGAGTTCAAAGAGACATGAAGTAGCGACAAGAAAGGCGTATATCAACCCTCGTACATAACCCTTCAGATGATCAGATTCGATTGCTTCTTCATCCGCTCGTATGTAGCCTGGTCCAGAGTCACAGGCGAGATGAGAAGGGGGCGCCTCGACCCACGTGAAGAGGTTGCTGGCCCTCTACGCGAGAAGGGAGGCCCCATGGTCTCCGATGTAGGTCCTTCATCTAGTCCCAGCGTCGTGTACGGAGCTTCACGTTGCATGTAGGACGTGGATGATGCGGGCTTAGAAGGACCCGGAATCCTTGGGACGGACGATCCAGCCTCCTTGGGATAAGCATCCGAACCGTCGTCATACTTCTTTGGTCTTGTCGAAGGTTTTGCCTTGGACACTTTCTTCTTCTCGGGACTTGCTGGATTTTCCGCTGTTGGCTGTACGGGTGCAGCAGCTGGTTTGGTGCGTTTTGACGCAGCAGCCGTCTTGCGTGGTTCAGTCTTGACAAGATTTGCAGCATTCTGTGTTGCATGCGCAGGCTTCTTCGCCGCCTTAACTTTTGCACGTGGCTGTGACTGGTGTGGAGGTCGAGTAACGTTAGGCTTCCTTCGCTTCGCTGCAGGCTCATTGACAAGCTGTGTCTCCCCAGAACCAACAACCTCTTTTGGCTGCGGCACTTCGAACTCGGCGTGATTTGATTCGTTGATCTTCTTTGCTTGAGATCGTGTCAGGCGAGGCTTTGGGGCGATGTCTTCGACCTTTCGCTTTCGGACGTTCAATTTGACTACCAACTGTTTGGCTGGCTGGCGTTTTGGAGGAGAACCTGGCATGTCTTTGTCCAGTGGTACAAGATTCTGTGGGTCTGACCTCTCCACCATTTGGGTAGCAGGCAGTGGAGCAGGACGAGGATGGAGAGGTGGATTCATACGGACCGTTGGCGTATGGTCCATCCTAGGTTCGTCCTCAAGCGTGTACTTTGGATCGTGAATTGACTTTCTCTGCATCACTCTAAGTCTAGCCGACATTTCATCGCGCCCCTTCTTCTTGGGCGATGACGATGTAATAGTGCTCATGCTCCTGCAATCGTTAGTAAGTAGTCATAGATCAGTGTGGTATGTTTGTACTTTGGTTTAGTTACTGAGCTTAGGGGCTTCTCCACCGGTATACTGCTGGGGATGTATGATGGGTTGCGTAGGTAGAATTTCTTCGTCTTCCGTCTCATCTGCTGCATCATCGACTTCAGCGACCGGCTGTGCTGATGGCGGCGGATACATCTGCTCCGGCGTCGCTCTTCCAGTCGATGGTGGGGGCATATGCGTGCCTACGATCGCTTTGTTTTGGCGCACGACCTTGAGATCAGTGACTTCACTCTCAAGCTTCCTGATTAGGCTTGCATCCTTGTTGCGGTCGTTCTCAAGACGTGCAATACGCTCCAGCAGGATCTCGAGATCAAGAGCAACATCTTTGGCCTTATCAACAGAGTCCTCAAGGCAAGAGATCTTGCCCTCAAGCTCAATCTGCTTCTGTCGCACGTTCTTGTTCTTCTCGGCGAACACCTTGAACGTCGACACCTCACCTTCTACCCACTTGTCGAAAGGGCGGTCTTGTTCATCTGACTCAATAGCAGCGATTTGTTGCTCGATTCGTCGGATCCGTGCAGTCGCAGCCTCTGCAGCTTCGGCGACAGTTTCTGTAGCTTGGATTCGGCTGTGATATACTTGGTGCTGCTCTTCGAGATCTCGCATACGAGAACTGATGTGGTGGTGCTCTTCTGCAGTTCTCTTACCCCATAGCAACGCTTCCGCGGCTGTGAATGACATTCGTTGCTGGTCAGCGAGCGCTTGGGCACTGCCCGGTCTGCTGCGTTGACTCATGTTCGGGGCTAGATGAGTCGCATCTGGACTGGAGTGAGGTGGTGCGAGCTGAAGGCCTTCACGTACGAAGTAAGAATGCGAGAGTGAGGTTGGTGTGCGTACGTATGCACAGTATCTCAGTTCAAAGCTGAGCGAGACGAAGGTGGAAGTGAGTGTAGGATCGGCGGAGAGCTTGAGAATGAGGGCAAAGTCTGCCAGTTGAGGAAGGCGCGGTGGCAGAGCACCTTCCTCGACCGAAGACAAGCGTGCACGTGCTTGATGCCATGCCACATGCCTACGCGGCATTCAATATGACATCTTGCGGTGGCGATGCATCAGCTGTTCATATCAACCTCACAAATTGGAGGACACGAGCTGAGTAGGTGAGAGAACTCACACAAATACGCACAACGTGAAGTAAAGGTTTCTTATTTCTTGCTACCTACAGGCTTCTTCACACGGCCCGCTTCGGTCCTTTCGGCGCATCTAGCATTTCATCCCTCTTCATGATCCTGATCTTGGTGTCTTTCTTCGCACTCTCCGACTCGCTGTCAGGATCCTTCGGCCTCTCCGCAACGCTCTTGTCAAAGCTACTGGGATCGATACCTAATATACCACCGACATTGTTGCGGTCGCCCGGCACTGAGAATTCGCGGAAGGCATATCGCCATTCGTTGAGGAAACCGCGGATTGCTTTGCCCACCTTGTCTTTGCCATTCTTGGAGTGATGGCCCGTTCCGGTAATAGCGTAAACGGGACGTGAAGATGAGCTGTGCTTGAGGAGGATGCCCTCGAGATAGGATACGGATTCGTCTGGATGGAGGCCTTTTGCGATTTTAGTTGCTTGTTCATTTCGTGTGACATACGAGGACATACCGTGAAGATCGACATACAGCTCTACTGAGCTGTCTGTGTCCTTATTCCGCTCTTCGTAGAGAATCCGAGCAGCCTCTCGGTGCGCTTCGCGCATGAGATTGTTCTCGCTCTGACCCCTGAGACTGAGGGCTTTGGCGGCACGAGAATCACTACGATTCCAAGCTTGAGCGGCACTAGACAGGTCAGCAACATGCACGCCGTTATACGTAGATCAATACATACCTTTGCAGAAACTTGTTACGTAAACTGCCGTGCTTGAATGCTTCCGCACGAGCCTTGAGATAGGCTTGATTGCCCTTCTCGCCAGTTTCTAGCCATGGGATATGCTGAGGAGCAGGGATCGCTTGTGCAGCTGCGCTATTCTCACGAGTTCCGTTGAAGCTTCTCGTGGGCTTGAGTCCTTTGCGCACTGGAGTGGCTGGCGCAGGAGCTGGGGACATGCGCACCACATCCGCAAGATTGTTGGGCGTAGGGGCATCTTTGTGACCATGACCACCGCGCTTGCCATGATGCCTCTTGCCCGTCTTTGCGGCAGCAGCAGAGCCCAAGCTTGGGAACGCCTCGTTATCGTCTACCGCAAGCACGGATGGCGTGGTGGCACGTGATGGTACCCGACTGCCCGTCCGTGACTGCGGGCGGCTACCGGCTCCTGGGGTGAACACAGGGAATGGACTGAGCCCTGGTGGGGGTCGTGTCGCGCCACCTGTCAGACCGTAAAGTTGCTCCAGGGTTGTAGCTTCTAGGGTATGTATCTGCGGAGTTCCGAAAGGAGAGCCGTTGGAGTGGAGGGTGGGGAACTCGTAGTCAGACATTTGGAAGTTTGGAAGTGCGGATTGAAGAGGTGGGGGTGGATACGTCAGAGATGGCCATGCGAGCCATGAGGGCTGAAGGATCATGGGAGAACAAGCACGTTTCACCAGCGAGGCAGTTGCCATTCAAGAAATATCTGAGAGGGGTTAGTAAGGTGAAGAACAACGTGGTCATAGGCACTCACTTGCAAAGCGTCTTGCTGGTGTCGTGGCTAAACCTGCAGTCTGCTCTTGCGCAGTGTCCGGTGGACAGAAAGTACTTGCACACAATATTACTCTTCTGCTGGCCGGCTGGCGTCGCGGGTCTAAAGGTTGGATTCATCGACTTTCCAATGAGATAGCCAGACTGGTCGTGGCTCGGGGTAGGGAGCTGCGACCCTTCCATGGCCTGCCCCATTAAAGCAAGCAGCGCAGCGCTGAGGTCAAATCCGTTGGCTTCAAGCACTTTCTCGAGCTCCTCGTCTGAGCGATCGTCTCTAAGAATTGAGCGGAGCATGTCATACGGGCCCATGTCCATGGTCTGTGGTTGGACCCATTCAGCCGCACCCCCGTTGAGCGTGCCGTCACCCAGCAGAGACGACTCTGTGCTCCCCGAGTCATCGTTCACGAGCCAATCTACGGAGTGGCTATCGAGGTCACCATAAAGATCATTGTTTGGGCTTGGGCCCTCGCTGAACTGGTATGCGCTAAGACTCGGACTATGAGGGATATGCGGACTAGAAAAGGCGAGGCGCGGCGAGGGTCGTGGAGACGTAAAGGGAGACGCGGTCGATGACTTGGCACGATTGAAGGCAGGCGGAGCAATGCCAAAGCCCGGGGGAGGGTGAACGGTGCGCGGCGAGTTGTTCACAGGGGTCGGCGCTCGATTCTGCCACGGCGCAGGCGAAGGACGGCGGATGACGGTATGGCGGCTCGGGGGAGGACTACTCGATGAGCTGCCTGCGTCGCGGTAGCGCCAGAGACAGTCGAGCACGATGTTCTCTAGCGACTTCCCCGTGAGGTTGGTTTCCTTGCGCATCAGCTCCTCCAGCTGGTCTGTTTTGTCCTCCTCGTCGAGCGCATCGTTCTGCAGCACGGGCAGCGCCTTTTCGTAGAGGACGTCGGCGACCATGATCAAAGATATGCAGATGTGGGTGGAAGGGTCGCGCAGGAAGCTGGAGGTCTGGGGGTGGACGGGCTGATTAAGGGCTGCGGGTAATGGCAGAGAAGGGCGACCGGCGCGTCAGAAAAACGAAGCTGCGATGAAGGACAAGACTGGGGCTGAACGTCCCGCAGAACCGCTGCGAGACTTACGACGAAGTGCGCGGAGCCAAAAGGGCAAAATGAGTGAACGGGATAGGTGCCCCGATCCCAAGGGCGAATGAAGCTTGACCCTAATTAGCCTTACGTAGCTGTAGGAGCTGTGGGGGGCCTGCGGGACGATTCCAAGATTAGCCCGCCGCCGTCCGTGACGACCAGGACCGCGTCTTCCAGGAATTCGGTGCCGCACAAGTACGAGGGGGGTCTGGCATCAATTGGCAGTTCTATGCTGCGGCTGAGGATCTGTTGAGAGTAGCATACGGGGGCTGCTGACGACCCTATTATTGTAGCCATCGGTGGCTCGATCGTGTCCATCAAGAGCCCTCGCATGCGCTCTCCTGGTTCGCGGATCTGAGGCTGAATCACGTGGCTCGACATTGAATGCCTGCAGTCGATCTGAAAGGTTGCATATCGTGTAACAGCTACAGCGAACCTTCTAAGAAGCTTTTGGAGATGCAGTGCAAAGCCGCCGCATCTGAGACAGGATAGGCTCTACGCTCTACGCTCTGGCGAAACTCGTCCCAAGGCATTGCAGACCATGTTTGCGTCCACATCCCTCCTGGTCCCTGCAATGATGCACCCGCCCGGCTCTCGGACTTAGCACGCTGCGATGATGAAACCAGCAGCTCGTCCAGCCAGCACTAGTCAAGTCAGATCCAACAACCACCCGTGGACAGCCCGTTGCTTCGTCCATCATACACATCCGGAATGCCTGCGCTCGAGAGTAGCAGTTCATAACCCTTTTCCTATATCTCGTCTCCATCACCCACCCTTACCCGCTTCGTCCCGCGCCGCGCCGCAACCACAGTAAACATGCCAGCCGACGACTACGACGTCCGCGCGTTAGCCCTGCCCCTCGAAGACGAAGAAACAGGCGAAACACCAGTATGGAGTCGCCGCTCGACATCCTCCTTCCGCCGGACGCCATCGCATCACGGCCAGCAGTCGATGCGCCAGAGGATCATGACGAGCTACGACAAGGCATCGCGGCGCGTAATGGAGCAATACAACAAGCTCACGGTCCTGCAGAAGGTGCTGCTTCTCCTGGCGACTATCTTACTGGTAGTGTTTGGAATACTGTTTTTGATATACAATGAGCGCATATTCGGAAAGTTGGTCCCTGTCGCGAAGAAATGGCGAGACATACGAGCTGGCTGGCTGATCCTCTGGGCCTTGATCTTCGCCGTGTCTTTCCCGCCATTAGTCGGGCACGGCACGCTCATGACCATTGCAGGCTTCGTCTACGGCTTTCCAAACGGGTATTCCTGTCCCCCTCATCCCACCCTATGCCACAACTAACACACCCAAGCTGGTACATTGCCGCCTCCGCCACCATCCTCGGCTCAACCGCCTCCTTCATCGCCTCGCGCTCGCTGCTCAAATCCTTCGTCGACCGCCTAATCAAAGGCGACAAGCGCTTCGCCGCCCTGGCCCTCACCCTCAAACACGACGGGCTCAAACTCCTCGTCATGATCCGCCTCTGCCCCCTCCCCTACTCCCTCTCCAACGGCGCAATCGCCACCTTCCCCACCGTCCACTGGGCCAGCTACGGCCTGGCGACCGCCATTATTTCCCCCAAGCTCATGCTGCACATCTTCATCGGCAGCCAGCTCGAGAAAATCGCAGAGTCCGGCGGCAAAATGGACCCAAAGACAAAGGCCATATCTTACCTCTCAATCGGCATCGGCGCGATCGCAGGTATCGTCACCGGCTGGTTCATGTACAAGAAAACCCGTGAGCGCGCCGCGCAACTCGAGGCCGAAGAGCGTGCGGGTATTCGCCGCGCGAGTATCGAGGATTTGGAGCGCGAGTACTCGGATGACCCAGAAGCGTTGGGGGCCGCGGAGACGTTGAGGGAGGAGGAGGATGATATTAGCTTGAATACCACGTGGGATGACGAGTATCATGACGAGCCGGTAGTCACAGAGGACGATGCGATTGAGATTGGGGATGATCCGTTCAAGGATGGGGATGGGGATGCGAGTGAAGATGAGGAGAGGGGGAAGAAGTAGATTTGAGGTGTAATACTGAGCGAGCTTGGGATAGAGGAGCTTAAAGGTTTTGTATAGATTCCTGCACGTAGTAATGCGAATGAGAGCGCCTTGAAGCGTTGCGTATTAAAGTTATCTCGGAGTGCGTTCTCATGCTACATTGTGAGTCTAATATGCCATGACAGCGTCATATACATCCGCCAAATATTTCAAGTACGATACTTAAGCGACACAGCTGATGGGTAGTCCTGAAGCAATACGCAAGTGCATTAGGCTGCTTCAGGGCTCTCGAAGTCAAATAAATACTTTCAGCCTTCCCTATCGCTCAAGTGGAAATGACTATTGCGAAAACATTATCACTCATAGCACCAGCAAGTAACTTAACAAAAGCTGAATTCGCGATATACAAGCCCACTACTCGAAGCTATCTACCGCTAACAGCTAACAGCGCAAAGGGAATCACTAGGGTAGTCGAGTCTTGGACAGAGGGGGTCATGCACCACGATCGCAGCATCCGCCATGTTCAATGCAGAAAACGAACAAATCTTCCATATTGAGACAGCTGATGGCGAGGACGCATCTTCTATTATACATCTATTCCACGAGGACCAATCAGCACTTTTTTGCTCCCCTCGGAAAATGGTAAAATAGGGTTTACCCACTCTTCTTCAAGCCTTCTCCATTTACAAGAATTGCTTGGTGAAGCTTGTGGCAACCTCCCTCAGCTTGGACTCGAGGTCCTTGCTGAGCGCACCTTCCCGGTCAATGGTCTCGAGCATCTCGGTCTCGTTCGATCGGAGGTGGGCAAGGAAGTCGGCCTCCCACTGGAGAATCTTGCTGACTGGGACATTGTCAAGGAGACCGTTGACACCTGCGTAGATCAAGGGAACCATCTCGTTGACGGCCATGGGCGAGTACTGCTTCTGCTTGAGTAACTCTGTGAGGCGCTCACCCCTGGCGAGTGTCTGGCGAGTCGCCGGGTCCAAGTCGGAACCGAACTGAGCGAACGCAGCGACCTCGCGGTACTGAGCCAAGAACAGCTTGAGAGATCCGGCAACCTGCTTCATGGCCTTGACCTGGGCGGCGGAGCCGACACGGGAGACGGAAAGACCGACGTTAATGGCGGGACGGACACCCTTGTAGAAGAGTTCGGCCTCGAGGAAGATCTTGGAAGGGTCAGCAAGCATTCCTGTGAATGAACTGGACTCAACATACCTGGCCATCAGTGATGGAAATGACGTTGGTCGGGATGTAGGCAGACACATCACCACCCTGGGTCTCGATGACGGGCAGAGCAGTGAGCGAACCACCACCGAGCTTGTCGTTCATCTTGGCCGCACGCTCGAGGAGACGAGAGTGGAGGTAGAAGACGTCACCGGGGTAAGCCTCACGACCTGTGACATGTCAGTGTGTGTCTAAATGACTTTGGGGATGGGGGGTTCAACCTGGAGGCCTCCTAAGCAGCAGAGACATCTGGCGGTAGGCGACAGCCTGCTTGGTCAAGTCGTCGTAGATGATCAGAGCGTGCTTGCCATTGTCGCGGAACCTATAAGCGGAAATATGAGTTAGATGTTGAATGTTGTGTATGTTGCAGTAAAAGCGAAAGCGAGATGAAGCAACATGAAGGTAAAGGTGCAGGTAGTCCAGATCCAGTGAGATGTTGTGATAGCAATGAATGGCCCCGGCATTGGGCCACATTAGTCCTCATCGCTGACTTGGAAGCCGTCCAAGTCAGTGTCGAGGGCCTCGGCGTCGAGCTCATCGCGGTCCGCGTCAGAGCCGCTGTCCGATTCATAGTCCAGGTCCGGGTTATCGAGCTCCGCGTCAGCGATGGCAGCGGCCTTGCTGTGACGCGCAGTGAGGTAGTGCTTGTTGAGGTTGTCCTTGTTTTGGAAGTCATGGTCGCAAACATCGCAATGGAACCGCCTCTGTGCGACATTGCGCGCCATCAGCTTGGCTCGGCGAACAGCTTCGGGTTTGGGTCCAATGGGTTCACCCCTTGCTAGCTTCTCGACATTGTTCTTGTGGAGTCCTCGACGAAGATGTGCAGTGAGTTCAGATTGACACCCAAATGTCATCTTGCAAGTAGTGCATTCGTGTTTGCGAGTAGCCTTCACAGCGAGACGATTCGCCCTCCGCTGGCTGGGACGTGAGGCCTTCCATTTGACGCGATAGCGAAGGTTGTCCAGGTTCTTCTGCCGTCGGCGGTTCTTGAGCCGGATGGCATGAAGGAATTCGAGCTCCTCGGTTGACAGACTGAAGTCACCCTTGCCACACTCGCTGAGAGAGACATGTGAGCAGAGAGGCTCCCACTCCACATCTTTACGACACCAGGGCATGAAGTCAGCCCACTCGGGCTCATACTTATCGAAGATGCTGGCGAAAAACAGCATCTGGAAGATGCCCTCGATGCCTAAGTAGCGCTGCCTTGCCTTCAGAAAGACGCCGGGGAGAGGAATGTCACTCCAGGCGAGCAACGCGGTCCGCGTTTTCCGGAACCCTTGAGTGATGGCCTTCTTGACAAAACGAGGGAGAGTCTGCGCAATCGTTTTCTCATACACGGCAAGCCTTGGTGTAGCACCGCGTTGAGCAGTAGCGGAGCCGATGTACAGGCGTGGCTTGCGGCCTTCGTGCTCGTAGATGTGGGCATAGATGACCCAATGCTTCCGCCACTCACTCCTGACGACTTCAGGGAGCGATCTGAAGTACTCGAGTGTGGGAGGAGTGGGAGAATCGAGGACCTCCCTGAGGCCCGGTGCGAAGGTGAGTGAAGGCGCCGCTTCGCAGATCTGATCGAAGGCATCCTCATCGTCCCATAAGGTCATGAACATGGGATGTAGCCACCAGATGGGGGCGTCGAGGTTGATGGCTTCCCACAGGTAGGCATCCATGAGGGACTGGACGTCGCCGTTGAGGGTTGACAACACCGCCATCCTGACGATGATGAGGTGGGATGGATGGTGTCCAAACCGCCATCAGCGGATTTTGTAGACACACCACACTCATCCTGAGGAAGCAGCAGTCGTGTTGTTGACCGCACCGCCATCCTGAGGAAGCAGCGAGGCCCTCGACGCGGACCGCGTTGGCGAATGCCGGGGCCATTGGGAGCCTCTTGGAAGGAGAGGATGGCCATGAAGAAGGTCCAGGTGGTGGTGGTGGAGGAGGAGGAACGAGTGTGGATGGGGGAAGAGCAAGTGTAGGGGGGGGGGACAAGTACAGGTGAGAGAAGCGCAGGTCAAGACGCGTGGTACACGCGTCCGACACGCGACGAACAAGGTAAGAGAGAAGGTAAGAGAGAAGGTGAGAGAGATACATACCATTCGCCCTACATTTCCGTTAGCAATCATTTCATAAGTAATTTTGAACGCCACTCACCATAGAGCAGCCGGTAAACGGCGCCAGGTACTGCAATGGCTGATCTGGATGTCAGTGCATGTCACAGAGGTAAAAGAATGGGGGGAAATGTCTCACAGCTAGTTGATGTCAGCATTTGCTATCAGACAACAGAATGGGGAGAATGGACTTACCAGCCTCGGAAGCAGTGGCAGCAACGATGATGGTGTACTTCATGGCATCGTTCTCCTCAAGGGTCTTGACCAACTGAGCGACGGTGGATCGCTTCTGACCAACGGCAACGTAGATGCAGTAGAGCTTCTTCTTCTCGTCGGTGCCTGTGACTTCGTCAGAATTTTCATCTTCCTGCACGGAGAGAAGAGACAAACCTCGGTTCCATCGGGCCTGGTTCAGCATAGCGTCGAGAGCGACAGCGGTCTTTCCGGTCTGACGGTCACCAATGATCAGCTCACGCTGGCCACGGCCAATGGGAACCATGGCGTCGACAGACTTGAGACCAGTCTGGACAGGCTCCTTGACGGACTGACGCGGCAAGATTCCCGGGGCCTTGAGCTGGGCACGACGCTTCTCAGTCGTCTTGAGGGGACCCTTTCCGTCGATGGGGTTGCCGAGGGCGTCCACGACACGTCCGAGGAGAGCCTCGCCGACGGGGACATCGACCTGAAATTGTTGTTAGCATATATCTTTCCTTAGGTACTTCGTAGATACATACAATCTCGCCGGTACGCTTGACAGTCTCGCCCTCCTTGACCAATCGATCGGAACCGAAAAGCACGACACCGACCTGACCGGCTTCCAAGTTCATGCACATGCCCTTGACACCGGAGGCGAACCTGCACTTCCGTTAGCTTTTGTGGTTCCGAGATCAAGAACTGGATTTCACGTACTCGACGAGCTCCTCGGCCTGGACATTGTTCATTCCATGGACACGGGCAATACCGTCACTGTCATCCTCGTCAGCTTTCCATTCCTGTTTTGTCTGCGATGTCCTGGTTTGGCGTACCCGACGGAGAGGACGCGACCGGTCTCGGCAAGGCTGTTCTCCTCCTGGACTCCACGGATCCTCTGCTCAAGGATGGAGGAGACCTCGGTGGGGGTGGCCTTTGCCTCGGCGTAGGTTCGGACCTGGGCGAAAGCAGGTGCGCGGGTCTGGTGGAAGATGGTGGTCAGTAACTTGGTCTCGGCATAGTGGGAGCTCTTCGCCTCGCCGCCCAGCTAGAACCGCGATGGTTGCGAGGCACCATTGGGGGGCCAATGGCATCGCGGCGCCAGCGGCACGAGTCCAGAAGCTGCGCAAGATGGCTGTGGCGCGATGGTTGCGATGATTGCGATGGCGGAGATTTCACTTACCGTAGCGATGCTGCTGGCAATTCTGCTTGAAGCAGAGATTGCAGCGACCCGGCGGCTCGACTGGCGGATGGCTCTTGAGAACATGGCTGTGGTGCTCAAGAGGCTATTGGTATAGCTCTGCAATCAATTGAGATTGATGCAGAAGGGAAAGAGGGGAGATGTTGATGGAGTGGAAGATGGAGCTCTGCTGGAAGCAAAAGACTTGCGGTCGCTCGGGAGGAAAGCGCTACCGCCAAGCGCAGCACTAACCCAAAAAGCCGCAACAACACGGGCCAGCTCCATCAACCGCACAACACCATATCTGGGGATGGGATCTACTAACTATCCAGCTGGGGTGATCAGGATATAGTATTGCTTGTTTATGACGACCCCCAGGTTTCCACGTGGAGTGGAAGCTCCGGTCATGCCTTCAGAAGCTCACTGCGAAGTTTTAGTCTCGCCCGAGCTTCGGCAATTTGTTACAGAAGCTGAGTGTACATGCAGTCCTTCTCTGCCCGGTAAGTCTCAACAAAGAAGGCAGAGGCAAGGAGGATATTTCCGTCGTGCAGTTTGTTTTCATTTTCTACTACCTATCCAAACTATTGCAGTCAACTCGGAGCGAGAAGCAGACCAATCATCTAATTAGGTATCCCGCAATCAATACACTGACGCATCGGCACGGCTGTCATCTGTGTAACAAAAGAATAACAGCCAACTCGTCATGCAGCTTCAAACGCCTAGTGCTCCAATGCAATGCTATGTCCGCCTTCGGTATCTTCACAAATCCTAAACGTGCTTCCAACTCTCCGTACCTCTGTTCTTTCCTTGCCTTCCGAGGGATCCGCCGGCTTCTTGTGGTGGTTTATACAGTGTGCACACAACATAGGTATTCCTCATTTAGCAGAGCCGTTCTGCTTTTCCTTACTCTTCCGGAATTTCTGGATGTCCTGCTCAACGGCTTGGTCGATGCGACGCTTCAGCTCAGGACGGTAGCCAAGCGAGAAGAGGATCTCGAACCACACAAAAAACGGAGCGAGGAAAATGGCCTGTACAAGGTTGTCGAGCAGCGCTGGAGCTCTTCCCTCAAACTTGCCGTGCCCGATGAATTGCGCTATCCAACAGGCGATGTTTATTGCGACTGCCCAGTAGTTGGCGGTGGAACCATACGTCGATGTCAGGTGGTTGGCAACAGCGGTCGCACCAATGAGAAAGGGTGCGAGCATGGCTCCGGCTACAGGCTCCATGAGTATGTACAAGGTCGAATACAAGGTCGCAGCTGCCGTGCCGACATTAAGGGGGAGGTTCGGGACGGAGAGCCATGACGGTAGCGGAACGGCGGGGGTGTTCGTGAGCTGAGAAAGTCAGCATGTAACAGCATGACCACGTGGAATGTCTCACCAGTAAAAAGGCCGTCAACAAGATTGGCGGCACGCAGATGATGTGCACAGCAACATTGACCTGTAGACATGGCTGCGTTAGCTGACATGTGAAATGTCGTGCTGCTCTCTAAACATACGTGGTTGTGATGATATGCTCCATACTAGATTCTGGTCAGTGTCTGCTGTCTGGGGAAGTTCGCCAATGACGTACGAATTGGAGCTGCTTCTCGAGGTTGAGGGACATGGCGCCGGATGCAGTACTGTCTCGCGTGTCGAAGGATGAACGGATCGGCTACCAGGACATGCTTGGGAGGATGTGTGCGTGAGATGGCGCCTCGGCTGTCAGGCACGGTGTTGGGCGGACAAATGCAGGTGAAGGTCCCACGGCATGGAGGAGTGGGGCGCGAGTGCTGGCAGGTGAGCGCGTGGTATTAGCTCAGGGCCGTCGAGACTGATTTTCCGCGCCGAGAGGAACTTCTTGGAGCTTCCGCATCATCAACACAGACCCCAGCTTTCCATTGTTCCCCACGCCTCACGCACCCTCGCGCACCACTGCCTACGCGAGAGAATCTGGCACTCACAAGCGGCGCACACACTGGCATCTTGGCGCATGGACTGTAGAGCGCATATTTCAGGGCTGCGTCGCTGGTAGCGGGAGTCTCTCTTGGGCGCGCGCGCATTGGCAACCACTCCTCTCCTTCACCACCGACGCTACGTTGGGAACAATAAGACAATAAAGTCGCATAATTCGAAAGCACCCGTGCTGAAGTCTCCCACCCACCGTCCCCCACCCGTCCATCTCGTGCACTTCGCCCATAGCCACCTGCAAAGCCGCGCGCATCACTCCACCATATCGCCGATAGCCTATCGCACGCGCAATCATGTTCTTCCTCAAAGAGCTTGAGAAGACAATCCAGCTGCATCCGTCGTATTTCGGCCCCCTGATTCGGTCGCACATCCATCGCGAACTGCTGCAGAAGGAGGAGGGCTCGAGTACAGGAAAGTACACCATTGTGTGTATACTAGACGCCTTCGACATCTCAGACGGAAAAGTGCTGCCTGGATCCGGACATGCTGAATACATCGTGCACTACAAAGCCATCGTGTGGCGGCCGTACAAGGGCGAGGTGGTACGTTTAGATGATAGGGCTGGGCAGTGCTTAGTATGGTGAGAGCTGACCATGGTACAGATGGACGGCGTAGTCACCTCAGTCCTCCGTACCGGTTTCTTCGTGGACTGTGGCTCGCTGCAAGCATTCGTAGGACGTAACGTAAGGATGCCATGCGCCTCATGCAGGTACCCGTCGACTAACACCACGCAGATGATCCCATCAGACATCACATTTGACGCAAATGCTACACCACCACAATGGACCGACAACGGTGAGCAAGTCATCGAAAAGGGTACCAACATTCGCATCAAAATCAAGGGTCTCCGATCGGAGGTTGACAAAATGTTTGCCGTCGGCACCATGAAGGAGGTTCGTTGTCTGTTCGCTGCCACGTAGTTGCCATGCTAAATATCTGCAGGATTACCTTGGCCCTCTACCCCAATAGTCATAGCCATGGCTACAACATTCAACCAGAAAGCTGGTTCACTAGAAGATGGGGTGTAAAAGCTCGACTTCGAAAGTGCTTCTCATTCGTCGGTTCCAGAGTAGGATCAGACGCAAAAACGGCATCAATCTGCGCTGCGTTGGTGTTGATTTTGGCAGTCGGGGCATTATGGGAATTTATGGGCGATCCTATTAGAAGCACTTTCGCATACAACTCCAAGATGAAAGCGTGCATCTTGTGGCAATGACCATGAAGCGGACTCCCGACTGTCTGAGGTTTACAAAGAGCCTCTCTTGCTATATTGTAATAGATGTCGTCCTGAATAGGCTCTGAATAGAAAATTCTTGCTACAATTCTTTGTGTTTTGAAATGTGCCTGCGGTAGTTAGCCACGCATCAAAGAGTGGCTTGGGCTGTTTCGGGCCAAACGCGAGCTCTCTCACCTCCGCTCCAGCTCCGCAACGGTGACCGAGCTTCCGCATATTGCGCCGACCTCTGACACGCGTCAACTTCGTCGCAGGAATCTGTGTCGATTTCAGAGCTTGAAACAACTACAATGACAGTATCGTAGTCTCCTTTTGCCATATCAGACCGCCACCATGCCGCGACCACGCGCCGCGAAAGAGGAAGAGACGGAGCTGCTTGCACAACACCAGGAATCGCCACGGCCCTCATCAGACGGTTCCGAGGCTTCTGCATCCTCCATATCGACCACATCGCTCGTACTAGAACATATCAACGACGGAGGATTCAACGGCGCACGCTCAAAAGTCTCGGAGAAATATACAGACGATGGTAACGGTGACCTTGGGCATGCGCGCGAACGTTTCGACATCGAAGATGGCAAATTCCATCCCCTCACACCCGTAGACAAGAAGGCGCGACGGACGCTATGGATTGTTGGCACTATATGCGCAGTTGGCTGGGCCCTGGCACTGGTATCTTTCCTAATGAACGGCAACTATAAGCATTCATCCACTCGGCCGCACGACCCGGACGCGAGCGTTACAAAAGGCTCGGGGAAGAAGATCACACTCGACAATGTTCTCGGCGGCCAGTTCTATCCTCAGTCACAAAGTGTGTCCTGGATCGCAGGTCCCAAGGGAGAGGACGGTCTGTTGCTCGAGAAAGGCGTATCAGGAAAAGACTACTTGGTCGTAGAGGATATCAGGAGCAAGGGCAATACTGAAGCTGCAGGGGATAAGTTCACGTTGATGAAGAAAGGCAACTTTCAGATTGGCGAAGACATATTCATCTATCCTAGCAATGTCTGGCCCAGCGCCGACTTCAAGAAAGTGCTTGTGATGTCTGAGCAGCAGAAGAATTGGAGGCATTCCTACACGGGACTCTACTGGATATTCGACGTCGAGACACAAACCGGTGAGCCTCTGGATCCCGAGAACCAAAGTGCCAGGGTGCAATACGCGTCCTTCTCGCCCCAATCGGATGCTGTTGTCTTCACGCGGGACAACAACCTATACCTCCGCAAGCTAGACTCCCAAAAGGTCGTCAAAATCACACATGATGGAGGTTCTGAGCTTTTCTACGGTGTACCTGATTGGGTGTACGAGGAGGAAGTTTTCCAGGACAACAGCGCGACATGGTGGTCCGAGGATGGCAAATATGTCGCGTTCCTGCGAACTGACGAATCCATGGTGCCAACATACCCGGTACAATACTTTGTTTCTCGCCCAAGTGGGAAACAGCCCGACGCTGGCAAGGAATCTTACCCTGAGGTCCGCGAGATCAAGTACCCGAAGGCTGGTGCGCCAAACCCGATCGTGACGTTGCAGTTCTATGACATCGAGAAGAGCGAAATGTTCAGGGTCGATATCGACAATGACTTCACAGACAAGGACCGTTTGATCACAGAGATTGTTTGGGCTGGCAAGAGCGGGCAAGTTCTTGTCCGAGAGACTAACCGCGAGAGCGATATTCTCAAGCTTATATTGATTGACGTTTCGAAACGCACCGGAAAGACCATTCGAGAAGAGAATGTTGCAAAACTAGATGGAGGATGGTTCGAGGTGTCTCACAAGACAACCTTTATCCCCGCTGATTCTTCATTGGGTCGTGCAAATGATGGATATATCGACAGCGTCATTCACGAAGGATATGATCACATCGGTTACTTCACTCCTCTCGACAGCGACAAGCCCATATTACTAACCAAGGGCGAGTGGGAGGTCGTGGAGGCTCCATCTCGAGTCGATCTAAAGAACAACCTCGTCTACTATGTCTCTACCGAGAGAGGCTCTATGGAGCGCCATCCCTACGTCGTTGCCTTGAATGGCACTGACAAGCGAGAAGTCATGGATCACAGTGGCCCTGCTTACTATGATTCGTCCTTTTCTACGGGCGGTGGTTATGCTCTGATGTCCTACCAAGGTCCCGGCATCCCATGGCAGAAGATCGTCAGCACACCTTCAAACACTGAAAAATTTGAGAAGGTGCTCGAGGAGAATAAGGCGCTCGAGAAGATGGTGCAGAAGCATGAACTTCCCATTCTCAAGTACCAGACTATCGATGTCGATGGCTTTAAGCTCAACGTCCTTGAACGACGCCCGCCACACTTCAGCGAGAAGCGCAAGTACCCCGTTTTATTTTACCAATATAGCGGCCCAGGGTCACAGCAAGTACAACGCAAATTCGAAGTCGACTTCCAATCTTACATCGCCGCAAACCTGGGATATATCGTCGTTACAGTTGATGGCCGCGGTACTGGCTTCCTAGGCCGCAAGCTACGCTGCATCACCCGCGACAACATCGGCTACTACGAAGCCTACGACCAAATCGCCGCTGCCAAAATGTGGGCCGCGAAGAAATACGTCGACGCTGAAAAGCTCGCTATCTGGGGCTGGAGCTACGGCGGCTTCACCACGCTTAAAACCATTGAAATGGACGGCGGCAGAACATTCAAATACGGCATGGCCGTCGCGCCTGTGACAGACTGGAGATTCTACGGTTCGTCACCCCTCTCTTTCCTCTCCTACCCCAACTTTTCTAATTAATATGATTGACGCAGACTCCATCTACACCGAACGCTACATGCACACTCCGCAAAACAACCCGACCGGCTATGACAACACCTCCATCACCGACGTGCACTCGCTCTCGCAAAACGTGCGCTTCCTGATTATGCACGGCGTCGCAGACGACAACGTACACATGCAAAACACGCTCACGCTGCTCGACAAGCTTGACGTCGCGGGCGTGGAGAACTACGATGTCCATGTGTTTCCGGACTCGGATCATAGTATTTATTTCCACAATGCGCATAAGATTGTTTATGATAGTAAGTGAAGTCTTGGGGATGAGGGTGGCTTTAAGAGAGGTGGCTAACGAGAGGCAGAATTGACGTGGTGGCTTACAAATGCGTTTAATGGCGAGTGGTTGAAGATTCAGAAGGTGAGGCCGAAGGCGCAGGCGGATGCGAGGTCGTTGGGGAGGTGATGTGTGTTATGTTTCAACGGCTATATAAGTTTGACCTGGAGCGTTCTGCTTTTTGACTCAATACCAATATCGTGTTGAGCGACCATTTCAAGGTTTGCTGAACAGCTCACTTGGTTACAAAGTGCTATAGAATGAGAAACAACCCGACGTTGGCTGAGTAGCTGTTGAAGAACACCTTCTAGTTACACCCAGCCTCATCAACTACGTACGGGTAACGAATCTTTTTCCTAAAAACTTCAACACGTTCATCGCCCTGCATGAGATTTGCAAAGTGTTCGTGGCACTTCGTTGAATCTGCAATTTGCATGTTGCTAGAGACCCCCGCGGTCTTCTTGTTGCATGATTGCATGGTGGCGCGTCGCGTGTCTTTGAATGATGCCCCACGTATTGATGACGTCTCGCTGAGATTTGAGCTCCATAACCAAAACTGCTGATCATTCAAGCTCCCACAACTTTCAACAATACTCTGAGCTTTTTCGAAGTTAATTCGAATCTAATACAATCAATATTCTACAGTTTCCAAAATAATTAAGATGGCGTCCGCAACACGAAAGGATCTCCTCAAGAAGGTGTACAACATGGTGCCGCCCATGCTGGAGAGCTTCCATAAGGGTGAGATTAGAGCTGCACGATGCGACTTTCAGGCAGCTAACATATCTTGCAGGCCAATTGGGTCGTGTAGCTGTCATTGGTGGCAGTGAAGACTACACTGGTGCGCCTTACTTCTCCGCCATGGCATCAGCAAAACTCGGCTGCGACATGGTATGATCACCCATATCTGCACCATACATAACAAGAGCTCATAAAAACAATAGTCACACGTAATATGCGAACCTGGAGCCGGTGCTGTTATCAAGACATACTCACCTAACCTGATGGTGCATCCATATATGCGCCAATCCAAGAATGTCGGCCAGAATGAGAACATCGAAAGCATCAAGTCAGAAGTTGTCGCCATGCTATCGCGCCTCCATGTTGTCGTTATCGGTCCAGGACTTGGTCGCGACAAGCTCATGCAGGACACATGCGCCGAAGTCATCCAGGAAGCGAGGAAACAGGGTATCCCATTCGTGCTTGACGCAGACGGTCTGTACCTAGCTCAGACCAGGCCGGAGCTCGTAGACGGCTGCACAGAGTGTATCCTCACACCCAACGTCGTCGAATTCGGAAGACTGGCCAAGGCCAAGGGCGTCAACGTCGACGAAGGCGACCCATCAGAACTCTGCTCCAAGCTTGCGAAGGCATTCGGCGGCGTTACTATTATCCAGAAGGGTGCCAAGGACTACATCTCCAACGGCTCGCAAACACTCATCTCCGAGGGCGAGGGTGGCTTGAAGCGTTCCGGTGGCCAGGGTGATACTCTCACTGGTAGTCTGGCGACACTCCTCGCGTACAGGAAAGCGTACCATGACAAGATCTGGGACCACGGTACCAATATGGAGCCCAGTGAGACGCTTGCGCTTGCAGCATATGGCGGTTCGTGTATCACGAGGGAGTGCTCGAAATTGGCCTACAAGGAGAAGGGCAGGTCACTGCAGGCTGCGGACTTGACGGAGCATGTACACACTGCTTTCTTGAACGTCATTGGGGAGAAGGAAGAGACGCCGAAGTTATAGAAAAGCGGTGATAAATCTGACAGCCGATCTCAAATCCTGTCTGCTAATTCAAAGCTAAGCGTACAAGACACGGAGAATTCTGATTCACGATACATAGATACCTTACAAAATGGTCGATCGATTCTTTAAATTCACATATGCACTTCACTTTCTGCCACATCTGCGCAGTGTCAGTTGCGCTACGTCATCCTTTCACCTTGGCCATCTTTCCCGCCGTTGCCTTATTTTGGTTGCGCCGCACTATACTAATTGATCACCCTGAATCTTCGTACCCTTAGATATTCTACTCGACTCCTGTTCCTCGACTTTGACGCTTCAACTTCTGCTTCACCAGCCCAACGCGCCATCCTAATACAAGATACAATGGATACGACAAACGCCATTGATGGAGCTTTGGACGGCCAAGATCTCTCTGTGAACCATATGAACACCAAGATGTGAGTTAAAGAACAGAATCAGCACAGAGACGGCACTAACGCTATACACAGCTCATCGCGCAACCAGAAAGTCTCACCGCTGCTCCACCTTCCCGCAGAACTCCGCAACAAGATCTACGAGTATGTCCTGAGCGACTACAAGATCCAGGTCGAATACGTGGATACATCCGTCAAAGGCTGTGTGGCCAAGAATTTCTTGTCTCTCACCACGACCTGTCGCCAAGTTCTCCAGGAGACTCAACTCCTCCCCACTTCACTCAATGTTATCGAGGGCTATTCCCAGGATCTACTGATATTCCTCGCCGGCGACGTCCTCGACAACACACGTCTCGAGGCTATCACCAAGATCTCCATCATCTTCAAATTCCCAGGCTTCTATGACCCCCCGGAGTATCACGGCGCGGTCAAATCTCAACTCCGAGATCTTCTCCAGAAGTTGGGCGGAATGCCTAATATCAGTCGCGTTACGATTGGGTGCCAGATGACGGCTGAAGAGTTCGAGAAGCGGGCTGGAATGAGGTCTGGACTTCTAGCTCATGCGCAGTCAGTTCTGGGTGAACAGTCAGGTGGTAAGCAGATTGACGTCGCTGTCGTATGTGCCCTCTAGTACCTTACTTAAGCACTCCGTACTACGTCACAAGGTCAAAACACATGGAGGATCGTAGATAGTAGATGATTCAAGTGGGTTCTCGCGTTCTACCAAAGTAGTGCCAGTACCCCAGTTATTCGAGATCTGCCCTAAGCTCCCGACTTCCTGTTGGAGAATTCACTGAGCTAGAGAGATACATAGACATCATCCATGATCAAATGCATATGGCCCAGCAGGAGGCCTATCTCAAATAAACGCTTTGACCATCATTCATTCCTCTAATCCATCTACTAATCCCAACGCCATATCTAAGCCGCTTACTCGATGTTCGATCCACACCACGACTTTCTGCGCTCAACCTCAAAGTCGACCTCCACCAACCTTTGTCGAGTAATCGCAAGTGCACTGCTCGAACTCAAACAACATAAAGTATCACGACTCCTCGTTCTCAACCTCGACCTCAACTTTCTTCGAGTACGGATTGATTTTGAGCCAGTTCCTGATCTGGACAGTATACATTTGGGAGGTGCCTGGTGAGTGCTATGTAAGGTGCAAGTAAGCTCTGGCATCGAGGCTGGTGGATTAACATTCGTGGCTGCCTAAAATCTGATGAACAAGGCTGTTTTAATACACACCAGTATTTTGACAGGAATGAAAGAAAAAATCCATGTATCTGAACTGGACCCATCAGCCATGCTTAAGATATTTTTTTTCTACATGCACATGTGAGTTTATCAGATGTTCTCGGTCGTCTTCGCTCAAGCCCCACTTCTCTTTGAGAGGTTGTAACCTCACAACACCAGCTCAAGGTCATCTTCATCAAAACGACCACGACCAACCACCAACTAACTGCCACAGAAGCATTCCACCGTGCAAAAAAGTCATATGCAAGTCAATTCGAAAGTAGAAAATCCTTACGACCTACTGTACCTACTCCCATCTACCCCATCTCCAAACTCATTCTCACCAGACCAAGCACCCACCAGAACCACCTAACTCCCTTCCTCCGCCTCCCCTCAGAACTGCGCAATACAATATACAACCTCGTCCTCGGCGACTGGGAATTCCGCCTCCGAATCACCCCCGCCCCATATGAATTCTCCTGCCGTCTCAAGGGAAGCAACATCTCCGGCTGGCACGCTCAAACGCGCCCAGGATTCGCTCTACTAAAAGTCTGCCGCCAGATCAATGCCGAGACGCGAATCTTGCCGGCCCAGCTCAGTGGTTTTTTCATAGACGCGTGGCGCTCGCCGCTGCTGCCTGTTTTGCACCAGATACTGCCTGTACATCTGATTGGTGCGATTAGGCATATGCGCTTCATGTTGATGGCGGGTCATGACGAGGCGTATATGATGGAGGCGGTGGAAAGCATCATGGAGGGATTGCGAGGCTTCAAGGGATTGAGACGGCTTGATATCAAGTTCCGCGTAGGGGCGAGCCTGGAGTGCAAGGAGCGATTTATTACTTATATCAAGGACTGGAAGACGGAAGAGAGTTTGCTCGAGTGCGTGTTGTTTGGGGGCACAAAGTACGGGGACTGGCATGATGTGGAGAAATGGGCAGTGTGATGTAGTTGCGCTGGATTTCTTGGAACTTGCTCTGTACGAGAACTTTACGCAGAGGCATGCGTAGCTGCTCCTTTTTCTCATCTCCAACATCCCTCTCTCTCTCAAAACGGTCAAAACCAATTTTTTCTTCTAAGAGTAGCGTCTCGCATAAGCCGGTCTAACCTTCGCCACCTGCTGATGACATGATACTAACGCTTTCGTTCGTGTGTTCTTAGAGCTGAAGGAACATGGGAAATGGACGCCGTGGTATCCTTTCTCTGCGCCCAACATCCTCTCAACGCCGTTCAAACAGCGCGATTTATTCAAAGTAGTATTCCATACAGACATCCGACCTACAAACAGTATAACAACCAACGTTATACTCCTCGGAGGAGCGGTATAGAAGTGTCGCAATTTCTGTAGCAGCCAGGTTGGAGTCCATATCTACTATAAAGACGACAGAAGCATATAATCATTCGAATCAGGATATGATCGCAACAAGCCAACACCAACCCTGTAATCCCTCTTCCCTCGTGCATTCATGCCGCTTCCCTACTCCTACCCTTCATGCAAAGATCCTGCTCAGAACGTGCTTATCCTCTCCACCACTCACACCAACCAGCACCACAATCTCACATCACCAGTCCACACATTCACAACATCACCCAAGTACTCGTATTTTCACAATTTGGTCCTCGTTATATTCTTCATGCACATCCCCAAGCTCATGGCTAAACTACACTTTGTAACAGAGCAAAATAAAAAACCTTTCTCCCATGTCCAAAGGTTACAAATTGGCATACAATTTGATAAAAAAGCGAGTGACGGGTATATAACGAATGACAAGTGCTGACCTCCCAGCCCAAGGACCAGGGACAGCAAGAACTATTTGTAAAAGTATATGACAATCAGAATAGCAGGCGAAATGTTGGCAGGGAAAAGACGGCAAAGAAGTACTGTTTGTTCTCCAAGACTGGAAAGTTGTGTGCGCCCGTAAATGCCAAAACGAAAAGGAGCACGCGAGAAACAATCCTCCTCCCGAGGCAAAAGCGCAAAGCAATTCTGTTTCCCGGTGCACTACCGTAAAAACACCTCCAACACCTTGCTTCGCATCAACAACAACATCATCGAAATCGAAACTCGAACAAACAATTTGACAAAGAAGGGAGTTTGGCAGTGGGTGCGTCCTATGCGCCCTTGTTCGAAGTCGCTCTGGGGGTGGGGTCGGGGTCCGGCGTCGTTGCGTCTTGGACCGGTGTCGTGACTTCAGGCGTGTCCATGCTGAATTCGGCTACTTCGTGCCCTGGCGCTGCGGGGAAGATCTCAGGCGGTGTGAGTAGATTGCTCTCTCGTTCTTCAGCAGCGCGATCTTCGGTAATGACAGGGGGTGGGGAAGACGGGAGTGTGGTATCAGGCACTCCGACATCTTCAACGGAGATGACACTTCCTCTGCTATTGGTGCGCATCATCTCGATGCCGAGCTTGGAAGTCGACTTCGGCCGCGTCTTGGGGCTGCGTGACGTCGGGCTGCGTGTCGCGCGAACAGTGACATTACCCAGCTCCTCGTCCTCGTCGTCACCAGATTCAGCGGATTCGTGCTTGCGAGTTTCGAGTAGACGACGTTTCGCGCCAACTTGCTCTGCGGAACGTTGACGGCGGATCGTTGCCTCCTCGAGCACGGCGGGCGCGGAGTCCCGATGGGAAAGGTCAGGTGGGCTCACAGTCTGCTGCACGATGTTCTTAGGATCGACAGTCGCTGCATCGTCCGAAATCCCCAAGCCATTCATAGCTCGCGCTATGTCTCTTTCGCGCCAATCATCAGCGTTATGGCGGGCAATGACAACAGGCACATCTTCGCCTGCGCGACTCTCCGCATCGCCAAAGAAGCTTGAGCTGATGGAATCTTCGCGGCTTGAGCCTCGGTAGCTGCCTGATGGTACAGCAGCGAATCCAGAGGAATTGGACGTGGGGCTATCCTCCTGCCGTGTGGACTCTTGTCGCAGGCCTGAGGGCATCATGGAGGGATACATTTGATTGGGCGTCCAGTTCGGCGGAGCTTGCTTCCACTGACACAATCTGCCCAGCGTGTCCGTGAGCTTCGCGATGGTAGGCGGCTTCTCAATAAGCGCGTCGAAATAGTGCGGTGCTTGTAGCTCCTTGAGATAGCCCGTTACTGCGACGATGGGCGTGTGCGTGTTGGCGTTCTTCGTGTCGCGGATCATGCGGGCAACATCTGCGCCATTAACCTGAGGCAGTCGGAACTCCATCATGATGACATCGAATTTGACTTCGCCCATGGCATAGCGAATCGCTTCTGAACCGTTGGTGACGGTCAGTGTGCGACAACGTAGCTTTTCGAGCAATTTCTCCATGACAAGTCGAGAGACGGGATGGTCTTCGCAGATCAAGACGTCAAGCGGACGGAAGAAGGGTCCGTCACTGAAGTTGATTTGAGATAGTCTGCGCGAACTCTGCCTCCGCCTTTGCACGCGAAGCAGCGCTTTAGCGCGTGAGTCTTCAGTATCTGAAGACGACGGTGACACATCCAACACTTGACTTCGTCGCTTGTGATGTGCCGGAACAAGATCACGAACAACATCATCCTCTTGCGACCCAAGCGTCTGCGATCTTGCGCGTGGCGAAGATGCATTTTGGGTACCAACAGATGCTTGGCGCTGGCTACCAGATCGCTCAGTGGAGACCTGTGGAAGTTGTAGTTGGTGTTTTCGACAGCTTGATAGGTGATATTGCCTCTGGCGATGGTCGGAGTCCAGACAAGCGCGAAGGATCGAAGAAGCTTCCGGGTTGTAGTGAAGACGGGTTGCTTGTAGAGTGGGACAATGTAGACGAGCTGCTCGAGGTCTTGCGTCGTTCGTGGTGCTGACCAGTGCTAAACTGCACAAGCAAGGGAGATGATGGCTGCGAACCACGACTTGGCGAAGACGCAGGCCCGCTCATAGACGGCGACGATGGGCGGCCAGTCGCGCGATTCGTTGATAGTGTACGCTTCAGTGGTCCCGGAATCATTGGACTGTTCTCTAGGGATGGCGATGGTGATGTGACGGTAGGTGAATGAAGTGCAGATTGCGACTTGTTCTGTGGAAGCATCGCCTCTGCGCGGAGCTTCTGAATCACGTCTTTGTTGGCCTTCTCAAGTACGGGAAGATTCTTGTAACTGAAGTTGCCGAAATCATCTGTTGCCATGGGTTCACTCAGTCGCCTTGACCTTCCTTCTCGCACATGTGCCGGAATGTGCAGAGGAATGAGGCCACGCTTCATTGTCTGCACGGTGACCTGCGAGCGTACACGAGATAGTGCATCGTGCGGACGGTCAGGATAGTCGGCGCTAGGAGTGCCAGCGGAAGACGGCGCTTGATCTTCAAACTCGGGTGTGAAGCTGTCCATGGCAGCGCCTCTGGTGTCGAAGTACTCCGTGTCTTCTGGGTTCTCAGGTGCAGGGATGAAGGACGCTTCGTCGTCGCGCAGTGTGTCCCAGTTGAGATCATCAAACCAAGGGTGGCTGCGAATCTCTTCACCTCCACTTGCATACTTCTCATCCTTGTTTGCCCCGAGACGCTCTGTGGGGTCAGAACACATGAGACGATTCATGAGATCCTTCGCCTCATCCGAAATATCGTAGTCCTCATCGTCATCGGCAGGCCAATGGATCCTTCGAGCAAGGATGTTTTGGAATACTTCATCTGGCGTATCCGCGTGGAACGGCGGGTAGCCGTAAAGGCATTCAAATAGTATGCATCCAAGAGACCACCAATCACTGACCTCATCCTGCCCATTGCCGGCAATAGTCTCTGGTGCAAGATAGTCAGGCGTGCCGACGAACTTCCTGTTATTGTCTTCGGGGTCGAACAAGGCCATTGGTGGAGGCGGCATGGTCGAGGTCGCAGGCGGCGTGCTGTTGTGTGTAATCTGTGAATGGCTCATGCTAGGCGCGGCAGGAAATAGGTCTGGCGATCCCTCGTCGCTGTATGTTTCCTCTTCAATGGGCGAGCGCCCACGGGGTTGGCCAAAGGACTCAAAGTCTGCAATAGAGAACCGACGGAACATGGCCTGCAAAGCATCACTATCCTGACTGTCACTACGATGGCCCGAAGTTCTTCTGGAAGGTTCACGAGCGGTCGAGCTGTCTCTGTTGAGATTGAAGTAGGATGGTTGCCCAAGATCGCCTGCAAGTGCTGGTGTCATAGCTGGCGTCTGTGAGGGTGAGGGGTTCAAGTCGAAGGAAGCGGAGCGAGACGACCCCACAGAAGTAGCGCGATGGAAGGGACCAGTCTTGAGAAGATCCGGAGCCTGTTCAGTAGACTTGAGCGCACGTTTCTGACGGCCAATCATTCCCATGCGAGAGAGACCAAAGTCGGTGAGCTTCAGATGACCCTTAGGATCAATCAGCAGGTTGTCGGGTTTAAGATCGCGATGAACGATGCCACGGCTATGCAAATGCTCCACTCCAAGAACGACTTCAGCAAGATACTTCTTGGCCCAGTCCTCAGGCAGTGCACCAAGAACTTTGATAAGAGAAGCGCAATCGCCGCCATTGAGATACTCCATAACCAAGTAGAGATAGTCTTTGCTTGAAAAGGTCCAGTAAAGTTTAGCAACGAAGTCACTCTCGCCCTGCCACATCATGATAGCTCGTTCCGCCTTGACGTTGGTAACTTGATTCTTGGCTACCATGTCCGCCTTTTTCAGGACTTTGATGGCATAGTATTCGCCAGTCGACTTCTTCTTGGCAAGATAGACACTGCCAAATGCTCCTTTGCTGATGGGCTTGATGATCTCGAAGTCCTTGATCGATGGCGGTACAGCACGCGGCTGTGGCTGCGTAGTAGGGGGAAGGCGTGGCGATACGGCTTTCGGACCATCTGATCCCGCCGTTGATGACTGTCTGCGATGACGATTGACAGTGAGCGCATGGGCCATCGCGGGCGAAGAAAATTCAGTTGTCGTTAGCACAGGGGAGGTTATTGGAGACTGAAGCCCTTCCACTCCACTGGGAAGACGGGGCTTGGTCGTGCGCAGCGGTGAAGATGGAGGGGGATGCATAGAACGCGCAGGCGACTGCTGACGACTTGACATGACACTTGGAAGCACCAAGCTCTTACGCTTGCGCTCCCGTGAGCTTGCCACTCTGCTCATATTCATCTCCGCTGCGGGCGAATCCGTTCGTCGGGGAGCTGAGAGCACCGATGAATGAGCACTTGTATCGCTATCAGCGCCTGCATCGCTCTCGAAGTGCATCGAGTGTCGCTTGTTCTGAGTAGCTATGCTGATAGCACCCGCATGAGAACGTGGTGTTGCAGCTCCTCTCGGGCTATCAGATCGATTCGAGCCGGTGACAGAGGACTCCCTACGTCCGACACGTGCAGGAAGCGAGACTTCCGCAACGTTCCGCAGAGCCTGCGCCATGGCCGAAGGAGCGTCGAAAGATCCGGGAAAGATGCCATCCTCGCCGGTTGGGATGTCGTTCTCATCTGTCGTCCTTTCGCCTTCTTGCTGCTCGTCTTCTTCTGATGAGCTGTCGACTCCTGCGGCAATCTGAGCTGCCTTAAGCATAGCGGCTTCGATGCACTCTTGGACTAGAACGTCAAATTCGACACGGAGACGCTCCGAGTATTCGAGGACTCTTCGGTGCCTTGTAACAGCATCAATCTTGGCCTTGGCAAGCTTGTTGGTGTCCTCGCAAAGCTGCTTCAGACCTTCGCTGTGGTCCGAAGAGCCTGTGGTGGGTGACTGCCATTGGAGGACTTGCGAGATGCGGTTCTCGGACTGCGGCGACTGGGTACGGATTTCAGCGGCTGCTTGGCCACGTGCAGTATCTTTGATGGCAGGTGTGTTGATTTCAAGTGCCGTATCGCATAGATCAAGGACTAGTTCGACGATGCGAGCGAGTGGTCGACGGACGGCGAAAGAGCGTGCTCGATGATGACCAAAACCAGTCGAGCGCTCGGAGCGTTCCTTTGATCTCGAGGGCGGAGAGGCGGGTGAATTGCGGCCCGACGGTGTTCCAGATGACGGTGTAGAGCTCGGGTGAATGACCATGCCTTTGTATTCTGCGGGCTGTGGAGCCTGCATGAGCTCGGTCGAAGTAGCTCGGGAGCGCTGGTTCTGGGCTTCAAGTGTGTCGAGCACTTTGACAATGGCGTTGCGGTGCTCGGAAAGCGTCTCCTGGGCCATTTGAACGTCCATCTCGGCACGGTGTTCCTGCAGACAGAGCTCGGAGTGCTTTTCGAACCACCAAGGCGTAATCTGTCGCTCACAGATTCGACAGAGAACGGGCAATGGAGGCGGGTGGTTGCTGGGGTCACTGGCACCCTGCTCGGCAAGACCGGTGAGGTAGTGGGCGAGCACTTCGGCGCCTACACCAAGAGACTCGACCAAGACTTCGGGAAGGTCAATGGTCACTTCACGGAGGACGGACGGACGGATCATCCACATTGTCTGCAATGGTTAGCAAAGGGTTCAGCATTGGCGAAATTGCAGCATACATGGCTCTCAGCTCCAGTAGCCCGGTCGTAGATCATGATGCCTTGCGCCTCCAGGTTCAAGATCTGCTCTTCCTCATGGTCGGCGCTGACTGGCGACTGGGGTGCCTGCTCCGGCGTGTCTTCTGCAGCGGGCCTCGATCGTCGCTTCCTCAGTACGGAGTGTGGTCCCATGCGGACGGAAAAGCGGACAATGTGGCTTCGCGAGTCGTACTTCTTGACCGACTCGATCGTCTCCTCGAAGCCATCTGCACCGCCGTAGATGATGTCCATGACCGACTTGCCGACGACTTCCTGTGGCGTGGTCCCAATGACATCTTTCCACTGGGGAGTAACATAGCGTATGTTATTCTCCAGGTCCAAGTCCATGATGACGTTCAAGCTGTGCTCGGCCGCCTCCTTCAGGTCCTCACGCTGCTCTCGCATGTCCTGGCTGACAGACCGCTCCATGGCTTGGCGGTTGTTGGCAGTCACGGCAGCTTCCTGCTTGAGGGCTGCGACTGCCGGCGGAAGCAGCGTGGTTGGCTTCTTGTCGTCGGCCATTGCAGTGGTCGGTTGTTGCGTGTACATTCAGTGCGGGTGCCGGCGGCGGTCAATGGACCCTCTGCCGCGGGTTTACGGGCGGGAGCCCTGGGGCCGATGGTGGATGGGCTATGCGTAGACGACTCCCATAACCATTGTGAGCGTGCGGCGTCGTTTGGCAGGCGTGGGCGGCGTGTAATGCTCCGAAACAGCGGACGGCGTGCACGCTGACCCGGGGATACGGAGGCCTCGAGGGTAAATGCGGTGGATGAGGAGTGAATTATGGCTTGACAGCGCTCTCACGAGTGCATTGCAGTGGGTGCACGGCGATTGATCACGTAACGAGTGTCGGGCGTCGCTGTACTGGGCGTTGGGGGGCAGCTCGCAGGGCCGTGATACAACTTTTGAAGTTCGGATGGGAAGTTCGCGGCGCGCAAGAGGGGCACAATGCAGCAGGCGAGCTAGGCCAGCGTCTCACCTAGCACGAGGGCAGAGAGGAGAAAGAAAGCGCGCCAGCGTGACCATCAATAATGGCACCTGGGATCAGCCCGCGGATGCAGGACGGACGGACGCTGCGCCAAAGCAGACGAGGTGCAGCAAGCAACACGCACTTGGGCACGGTATTTTCTGGCAAAAGTGTCCAGTCCCCACGCGTCCCGGGATGGATGATGCTGCCTGCCACAGTAAGCCGCTAGAGGAAGGAGCGACTGCTGAACAGAGCGCCCTGCTGACTCTGCAGCACGTCAAACAACATTCCTCTGTTTCATCCACCCCCAGCACGTCATGGTGCAATCAATCCATATGAGCGTACCAGCCTGCGCCATGGCAACAAATATGAGTCGCTGCTTACGACTCCGAGCCTGCGCAGCCCATCTGTTGGCCTCGCCGACGCTGCATGCATCAACATGGACAAAAACCTTGGAACTGCCAAACCGGGAGCCCTGGCACCCCATGACTTTCGCCACCATGCCGCCCGAGCGACTACTCCTGGGCGGCCATCCTACGTGCCGGCCTGCCCATGTTTGATGTCAAGCACCCGGGCCTGCACCGCTGAAAATTTATTGTCGCGATAGACTCCCGTGACATTGCTGACAATCACCCGTCACTGATCACCGCCCGCCGTTGCACGCTGAACCGTGCTATCGCTATCAGGCTTCACGTAAACAAGGCCGCACCCAGAGGGCAAGTGCTCTCGTCGCGCCTGCCACAACACCCGTTCACGCCACCGTCAGGCGACATTCACGTCTGCTCCACGTTGCACAGCTGCTCGTTATTGACATTTCGCCAAATCTTGCAAACCCATCCTGCCCCAGCATGCAACCCTCGACAAGACGTGCAGATCGACTCTGTCGTCAACCAATGGCACGTACACGCCCTGCAGCTTGACGCACCCTGCCCTTCCTCTCTCTCTTCTAAGAGGCCCAGACCGGCTGTGTGCTGCCCCCGGGGCGGGAGCATTGTGGCCAGCCATACAACGTTTCGCGGGGCGTCGCTATTCCCGCCACGACCCTTTCCTATTTGCTCGCCAAGTCCTGGGGAAGCCGTCTGCACTTCCACTGGCCAACGGCGGGGCCACGAAGCGAAGCTTACCGCACTGCCGTTTCCTCAACTCTAACCACCACCGTCCCACTAGCCTCGCCCTAAACGATATTCGCCACTCTCACAAATTAGCTCACGGACAACGGCCAAAGCTAATGCAACCAACGCCCAAAGTATGGACTAACTGTATTCTAGGATACTTTCCAGGTATGCAACACAACAAATAGTCGTACACGGGCATCTGCTGCCCACTGGCCTCACGTGCGTGCGAGACATTCGTCCTCGAAACGTGCCTTCCCCTCGCTTCGTACAACATGTGCGGCTTCATCCCGCCGCTGCTTGCATGACACCGCAGCCCTAATCGAAATACACAGCTTCCGGCTTGTGCACCACGATCTTGCCAGACACATCGCCCTTCAGCACCACTCGAGGGTCCTCTTTGCTGCCCTTCGCCTTTTTGCCCTCCACTTCCTTATCCTCGTACACCACCTCGACCACTTCTCCGTCGACATAGCCTGCAATGGAATGCCACTGTACCTTCTGGCCTTGCTTGGGCACTCGAGTAATGGATCCTAGTGGTGCTTCTGGCACATCCTGTCCGCTGCTCTTTTGCTTTTTGTTTGGGCTGTTGCCATTTGCGGCCTGCCCACGCTTCTTGGCGTTCTCCCCCTCCTCTGCTGACTTGCGGTTCTTCTCCTTGAAGGTTTTGTATGCTTGCATGTTCTTTTCCAAGTGATTCGGATCTTCCCAGTGCTCCGTACAGTTCTTGGCGCTTGTGTAATCGGTCCTCACCGTCGAATCATCCGGCTTGGTCGATCCGTTCGTTTCACTGACGTTTTTCCTGGCATCTTTCGCTTTTGATGTGTTGGACACGAATTGCTTCCCCTCGTGGCTTCCTTGTTGTTTTTTCGCATCCGTCGCTTTCTTCTCCTTTTCGCTCATCTGCTCCCACGCCTGCTTCGGTAGGTATCGATGTTCAGTGCCATCGGCGTCCTTTGCATTGCCACTGCCTTCTTTGGTCTGCCATTCTTCCTCCGTCCATTGGTCCAAATGCTTTGCACTCTCATCTTTGTGGTTCTCGTCCGTCGTATAGCCGCCTCCACGCTTCTTGTATTCCGAAGCCATCATCTGCGCCTATGTGGACGTCAGCAACCCAAATCCAGACATGTCCCGCCGAGGCTGCAGGGTTTCAAAGTGCGTTGCGCAGAACTCCAATACCTTTCTGGCCGACCATTGTCCTGGTGCACCACCCTTGTCACCGGCTTGGATCTCCTCTTTGACCTCGTCACGGAGCTCCGGATCAGTGTACTTGTCGTCCTTCTTCGTATTCGAAGGCATACTGCACGTCAAGCTGCGATGCTGCGGTCGTATAGCGGTTGCACGAGGTAGATTCTTCTTCACAGATGACGATGGAATTCTGAATCTCAAAAATGTGCGAAACATGTTGTCACGTCAAAAACTCCCCAGCTTGCATTCCTATGTAACCCCCCGATCCAAACACTGACGTATAGGTACCTGCATAAGCTCCGATCTCGTACGCTTGCATCAACGCATCATCAACCACAATTGACTAGTTTCCACGGCCACAGCATCACGATGTGAGGGCGTCGAAACTCGTCTTGATGACACAATTGACCCAGCACTTTCGGTTGGCCTGGAAGCTCAGACCGGGGGATGAACAAAGGGCCGGGAGACGTGCCGCGCAGCCAATCAGAGCGCGTGGAGCTGGCCCCACTTATACTTGAGAGAGGCTGTCGTGCGACCACTTACCCCTCTTCAACAACATGCGCCGCAATATATGCTGGCTACAGAGAAGGGCTCGGCATAGTGTGTGGTGGTGTGTATTCACTGCATTCGACCTCTTCGAGTGGCATTTGGGCGCCATCTGTCCGAGTCCAGGGTGCTGTGGTATGCTTGAGATAGACGGGCCGAAGGCGTGTACTGCGTGCGTGCTACACTGCAGCTGCAACTCGTCTTGGACACGTCGTACCGGTTTGGGGAAGCGATTTAGCTCCACAGTGGGCGGTTTCGAAGTGGCTAGAAGGTTACACGAGTATGTCGTTTTGGACTGCTTGCATGCCTTGTCATGATCGCGAGAACAAATCGACTCGTAGCTTCTTCCTATCCGTACGACAACGCGAGCTACAGTCTTGCTGATGAAAACTGTCAGTGTGAGCGACTTGTTGCTTGGATCAGATGGGTTGACAGACTTGTGCTTCCACACGAAACAATGTGACGATAGATCTAGGCTCCTACTACAACGTCTCTCTGATGCTTGGTCAGATTGCTTTCAAATCGTGCGCCGCGATTGTGTAGAAGCAAGATTTTGATATCAGGCTGCATCCGTGGTTAGTCACGTTTTCTTTCCATGCTTTTTCTGCGTAGCTTTCCAAGCTACTTTGCATGTACTGATTACCAATAAAATATAATCTCAGGGATCGTGGTTTGCATGAAGATGTTTCTTTTTTTGATGGGACAGGTCCAGAATTGAGGTGGAATCTGTGGTGGGAAGATTACTCTCAACTCAATACCTATTCGGTTGTGATGTGTTTTCAGCCAAGGATCAGTTGGGATGGCTCGGTGCAGTTTGCTTCCCAAATGACTTCTGGTACACGTCCTGCTGCCCGTCGGTATGCGATTTCGCCTTTACGTTCGATCCACAGGACGTTGTAGAAGTTATATTCTAAGTCAGAATCTTCGAGCCTGGTGTGTGGTTCTTTTAGCCTGTCTGGGGGTTCTGAGATGTATTAGCTGGGGATCGTCTAGGTTATCTCTTCTAACCATATTGCGTTTCAAGACATTTATTATTACAACTCACTTTTATACCCGGATTTCTCTACACCGTACTGTAGTACCTCTTTTCTGAGTTCTGGGATTCGTTAGTCAGAACCTGTGCATGCCGTTTTTCCTGATCATGTTAGGGTCCAAGACTTTATGGGTACCAACCTCGAAGCTCAGAAGACCATGTTCCATCAGTCTCAGACTTCCTTGTGTGGTTGAACATCCAACCCAGCTCTTTGTTTCCCAGGTCTCTTGCCTTGATGGTGCCGGTCGATATTGCCACAAGTTCGATTGTGTCACCTGGTTTTACTTCGGCTCTGTCCATGAGGCGAAGTACCCCAGCTGAAGCCTTATGTTTGTCCTCTAAGGATATAAGATGGCATATATCCTTGAGCTCGGAGACGGTTGAGAATCTTGGAAGTTGGAAGATTGGTAAACGCATTATCAATAATTGATAATCACTAGCTCGCTCCCGGTCGGCCTTGAGCAGCGTTTTTATGCGGAGAAACGTTCGTGTTGTCAGACAAGAAAGGTACGGCCATGTGTTCTGGAGCGTTGTGTAGGTGGTGATACCAGCATTGTCATGACTCAAATTTTGGACATGAGCAAAAGCTTCAGATGTGTGTTTTGAGTCCTTTTGCGACCATTCCTTGGCGAGTGTGGAGTTGTTATATACCATGGAGTCTTGTGATCCGATGGCTCCCCACGGATTAATCCACGATCTGTGTTGCATATCCTCCGACAGTACGTACCACTGTACTAGTGAATGCGTTTTCCAGGTTGATAGTTGAACTTCTCCGGTACCTTCGTTCACATAGGGGGTCATGCAACGTAAATTGAAGGGGTCGATTGGACAGTGCCAACCACACCATGACCACGAAGGCAGATGTTGATTTGGTGCGATAGCTGCTCCATCTTTTGCTACACGCCGTTTCCGCTTTGCTGAATGGTTGCCATAACAGGGCGGCATCCAAAAACATGCGCGGTAACCCGCATAGGAAGCCTGACGGAAAGGTTCGCGTCAGGGTATTCAGAACACCAGAAATTGCTGGCAGGGCATCCTGTGGATATGTCAGGTCCCTACTATTGTATAGGCCCACGATCTCGATGTACATGGCAAAATCTGGCCAGGATATGGTTGCCATTCGACGTGCAGCTTCGTAGTACGGCCTGACCAAGGCTTTGTTTGGATGTGATTCTGGCGTCAAGTCATCTCCACTCCAAGTACATTCCTGGCAGTCCCAGAAAGTCTCTCCTTCAACAAATATGACGGATCTAATCGAGAGCATTTGCTCTTGAAAAGTCCAACCACGTGTGGCCCATTTAGACATAAGTAATCTCTCATATAGTGTCTGAACGAGGCTCTTGCCAAGGATGCTTTCACGACGTTTAACTTTTCTTGTGTTTAGTCTTCCAGAGGTCTTTGCTGCAATGATAGTCATATACGCGCCAGAGTATATGTCTCCCATGCTTTCCACCTCTTTGCGAGTGTACTCGTCATCCTGCACAATACATCCACAAGTACTTCTCCTCGATCATTCCGACCAGAATCATGGCGTCTTGCACAGTGTAGGGCAGCAAGGCAGCTATATCATCTTGCAGGAGACAGCCTGGTCGTTGGAAATCAGTTAGATTAGCTTTTGTTAGCAAGATCCTCGGCGGCATATGCACATCGCTTTTATCGCTTGCTTTCGACCATACGTAGCTCAAAGCTATGTATCGTGGAACAGTATGACCCGGAACCAAGCAACCTCTTGCTGTGTCGATGACCCAATGAGGCCTTCGATGAGATTCTCGATGTCCGAAGAGCGCCTGTCTGCAATTCCCTTCATGCTGCTCATCACAAGATGTCTTCCAGTGTTTCAGATACTGAGCGCTAAGCTCAAGACCAGTAGCTACTTGTGGTCCTTCGTGTGGTCTCCCACATTCAAGCAGAGGTTCCACCACCCCATGGTACTCATGCTCCATTGCGCAAACCAGTGGTGTCATTCCCTCTTCTTCCTCGAAATTTGGGTCCGCCTGACTGCACTTCAATAGCGCCTCGAGGATTCTCTTGCGGTCCAATTCTACAGTAGTCATCAACAGTTGTTGACCAAACGACGCGTCTCTTTTCTTGAACTCAAATTGGGCCGCTTCAAGAAGCATTCTCATGAGTGCTCTATCTCCACGTAGGACGACTGACCACAGCGGTGAATCGTCTCCATCCTTTGGATCGAGATTGAATTTGCCTGATTCTAACAACATCTTCGCTATCACGATAGGCCTTGTGCCGTCCCGGACAACGCGGGAGAAAGGATTGTTGCCTGTTGTGTCTTTCAAGTTCGGGTCCACTCTCTCGTCATCCAGGAACAACCTCACAACCGCCTCGTGCCCAGACAATGCCGCGTGCGATAGAGGCGTCCGACCTCGATCATCTCTTGAGTCTGGATCTACTTTATCGTTTTGTAGCAAAACCTTGACGATCTTTTCATGACCATGCAACGCAGCCACCGACAGCGGCGTCCGGCCTTCTTCGTCGCGCACATTCGGGTCGATCTCGGTAGATCTGAGCAATAATTCTACCGCGGATGCATCTCCTTCCTTCGCCGCTTGCGACAGGGTGTTTTTCTTGTATCTGTGTTTTGACAAATTCTGTCCCTCTATATCTTCGTTCAGGCCTTCCATAGTGGTCGCGTCTTCCGATCGTTTACAGTCAGGGTTTTGTGCTTGTGTCTCAATTCACTGTTTGCTGCTAGGACCATGAAATGAATCGCTCCAATTTAGATTATCGAGTTCGTAAAGTCTCAGGTTCGATACGCAGCTAACAGATAGACTTTTCGAGAAAGGTTTGCCTGGCTGCCGCTTCACAGACTGATAGCTCTGTGACGCGAAGAGCGGCCGAGTAACTGGGTTCACAAGTGGTGAGTGCGCACAGTTCAGCCTTTATGCAGTCGGTTCAGCCTGTGCTGGCTTACTTCAACCTTTTATGGGACCGAGTTTGTGATTGGCTGCTATTTTCGACGGCCCCCAAGTCAAACACTACATATTGTCAGCAACGTAATACTATCACCGTGGATTATCAATAGCGAAAGACAAATGAGCATTCGCCACTCAGCATGCCAAAGCTGGGTATCACCTCAATTTATACCACGAGTCTATGCTTGCGTTCCTCGCGTCTTCCTCTGTTTGTCTTCGGTCCTGCCTTTCCCTGTACCCCCTCCTATCAGCTGCCCCTACCTCTCCTTCACAACTCAAGCACCTGCCACTGGCATAATAGTCGACCTAGTGCTTTTCGCAGCATGCAGAGTGTTTTCTGCAATGTCTAGTCTTACCACACCAGCAGTGATGGGTTACCTTCGCCCCATGTTTGCGTGTCATCTCAAATTCCGAGTTTGGTCAGTCGTTATGTAGAGTTCTTCGTTTGAGCGATTTTCGGTGATTTCCGGTGTGTAGAAGGCACTGTCTTGCTCATCATGAAGCGCTGATATACAAGACGCAGTGTGAGTTGCGACAACCTTCTTGCATTATATTTTGACTTTTTCGAACCGGATAGAGTTAAGCCTGAGAACTCTTCTTAGTGAATTTCGATGACCGGAAGTGGTTGTCGTCACTTGGAGTGTTTGTTACAAACAGAAGCTGCGCTACTAGACTTTCATTTCCAACCTCACCATTTTTTCACCAGGATTGTCCAACCTTTACATTCCACTCTTTTCAAGCACCGGTGTCTGATCATACTCATCATAGCCAGCATGTCGTGCACCGTCAGCGTTGACGATAGCGATGCGGCATCTTGTGCATCCTCCGAGCGCTCCACGACTTCAACCGAAGAGTTCGAGCATGAGCCATTCTCAGCATTCAAAACCCAGGTCACCCAGCTATGTGAAGATGTCTGGCCACATTTATCACCTGGAGCTTTTGAAGTGACGCACATGGAAGGCGGCTCCTACAACTGCGTCATCGGGGTTCAGGGTGACATGTCACACAAGCGAATATCTTGGTTACAGCGCCACGCGACGGGCCTGCTCCAGATCTTCTGGCCGAGGAGTGCAAATAGACAAAAGGAAATTCAAGAATACGTAATTCGTATTCCGCGGTACGAACATGCTTGGGTAGAGCAAGAAATTGCACTGCTCTTTTTTCTTGCGGCCACCAATGTCCCTGCGCCTAAGATCGAGCACTTCAGTTTGACTTTGGACAACGTAATTGAAAGCCCATTTCCTATACAGGCTCAAATTCCTGGATCGATTGTTTGGAGAGGTATACTCGACGCTAAATACCACCCAGCGCATCGCATTCGCTGAAGACCTCGGTCGTGCTCTAAGAGAGCTCAGTAGAATCTCTACGCCATGTCCGGGTACTTTTCACCCTGATAATGTCCTGCATGGCTCATCGACGACCCCAAAGGTTCTGCGCCTCCAGTGCCCACCACGGAATGCTAAACATCAGGCTCCAGCCGAAGTGGCAATGTACTCCACGCCGATGTGCGTTTTCGCTTTCATCAAAGCGCAACTTGCTCGCTAGCGCGAGTACGACCTCTCTTTGCATCGCCGATAAATCAACCCGTGGTCCGAATTCAATCGCATTATCGAATTTCTACATGCTGAAGGCCTGTTCAACGCCGACAACGACTACTATCTTACCCATATGGATTTTGAGCCTCGCAATATCCTTCTCCACTCCATATCGAACGACATCGCTTCTCTCTCCGGAATCCTAGACTGGGATGAATCTGTCTTTGCGCCCGCATTTCTCTCTTGCCGCGCACCATCGTGGCGCTGGGACTTTGAAGGCGACGACGACGAAGAGTTGGACGAATCTATTGCGCATGTTGATCCACAAGATGTAGAACTTCTGGCTATCAAGCAAGCGTTTGAAAGTGCAGTGGATGCGAAGTGGTTGGTATATGCTTACAAGACGGAGTACAGACTTGCTCGAGAAATTATACGCCTGGGCCATCACTGGTATCAACAGTAGCGAAGGTTATGATGTTGCGAATAGGATCGTCAAGGAATGGAATGAATTAAGGCCAGCTCAGGCTGTTCATAAGATCGTACCTGGAGACGAGGATTGAAGATAGCCGAGACATTGCACTGTGGAGTCTGTAAATGTGTCTTGGCTGTGTTTTGAAGGCAAAGAACCACTTGGATACCATCAAGGACAAGTATTATACCAGCATGGAAGACATTATCCAACCTTCTTTCTCAGACGCAGCGACCCTTTGTGGATCTCGCCCATATTTTACAAGATGATAGTAGATGTTATATTTTATACACAGCGCCAAGATTGAGTGAGACACACCTCATTGATTTCTATGCGAGACGGTCGCGCATCGTTTGAGATTTTGCCACAGTGTCGCGCTGTCAAACGCGACGTTACAACCAAGACGGAGAGCAATCACTCCCGCAATGCTTGTGGTTCAGGCTCTTCCATATATAGCGCAGTTACTCCCAGCCTGTATGTACAACACTCAAGATTTTTATCCCTACCAGATCCACGCCTGTTGGTCTTTTGCTCCAGTACAATACAGAAGAACCAAGCGATAACTCCACATAATGCAGCAAACTAACTCTGCTACTCGCATGCAGCGCTTTCCCGTAGAGCCCTCCTCTAATCCGTTCGATGATCGGAATGAGGTAGACACATCCTCCGCAGATCGAGCTCCTGAAGTAGGTAGCAAGACTTGCAGTAACGAAGCCGAGGACGATGCATCCTCGCTACGTTCGACCACCTCTACCGTGCAGTATTTTCAAGAGCCCTACTCTTCATTCCAACTCAACACCACTAAGCTTAGTGTAGAGCTCTTTCCCGGCTGCTATACGAACGACATCACAATCCAGCAGGTTAAAGGAGGTTCATTCAATCGCATCATTGGAATCACATTATACAAAACCGAACAAGATTTTCCATGGTATGACCTGGCAAAACTTCGTCCTATGATTTCTGCATGCGTTAGAGGCAAGAAGACCCATGCACTCACTCAAAAGCGATATGTCTTACGCATCCCTCGGGACGATGTGCATGATCTAAACTATTAGGCTGTGTTGCTGGCGTATCTGGAGCACAGGCTTCCTTACGCAACTCCCCAATGTCTTTCGTACAGTTCGGGGGCTGAGAGGTTGAGAACACCCTTGGCCGAGCATACATGCTCCAAAAGCGTCTTCCAGGAAAGCCTTTGAATCGGATCTGGTCGAAGCTCACTCTTGAACAGACATTCTGCGGCACGCTGCATCGCAGAGGTCGTACGCCGGAATTCCAGCATTTGACAAGATATGGTCCGGTCTCACGGCCATGATCAACATGGTTCACTCTCAAGGCTTGTTTCCTGACGGTGGTCCGTTCTTTCTACACCACCCAGACTTCCAGTCTCGGAACCTGCTCTTTACAACACCAACTCCTTCAACAGTTCGACTATCAGGAATCATCGACTGGGACGGTGCGCTGTTTGCGCCAAAAGTCATGTCCACGCGATCCTCATTCTTTCTCTGGACAGAGGAGGGCGCTGATGAAGACGAGGATGGTGATGCGCTGATTGAGCCGAGTGAGCCAGAGTTACGTGCGTACAAGCGAGCGTTCAAGCATGTAGTCGGCCAAGACTTCTGTAAAGACGCATATTGCCAGCAATATATCTTCTTGAGGCGAATCTGGCGATTCTTGGTGAACGGGATTAGGAATGGCGGCGACGCCTTCTTAGCAGAGGAGGTATTGGAAGAGTGGGAGGAGAAGTATCCTACGTTCGCTGTGGAAGAGGATGAACAGATTTAGTCGCGACGCAAGTTTCATGGTGAGTATAGCGCGCCTATATGATCCATCGAAAACAAATGTTAATCACATGTTCAGCTCCTCTTCAATGTCGATTGTGCACCAATGCAATAGAGTTTATTGTGAACCAAAGGAAGGGCCGGACAGCGGCAGTGTACGAGAGTGTGACGACAACGAGGGTGCGTCCAACAATACTCTTCGTAGAGATGTATGTGCAAGCTGAGAACAGGAGTTGAAGTGCATGACGTTTCAATAGGATCGTGATGGGAATGTTCTGCATTTCGGGGATTCGTTGTACGAGCTGTCGGATGGTGCGTGGAGCGGTCCCGCCGTGGGCCCGCCCGTATACCTTGCTCGAACGCGTCACGCGATCCCGCTGCAGGACTGTTGCGCTCCCGAGCGATCGAGTCCCAAGCCTGAAAAAACTTGTCGGATGTCGGATCAAACCATTTGCAGTATGAATGAGAAGGTCTCTAGCCAACGACGAGGTGCCGATGAGGCCTTTCCCATGCGTCATTACTGAAAGACCATCGGATACTCTCTTCCGACTCTTTCGATCTCACGTATCTTATCCCATTTCACGATAGAATACCTAAGTAGGAGCGAATACAGGCGTCATTACCTTTACCTTGATTCAAAAGAAATGGCGTAGATTCGGTTGGTGGTTTTTTTACGATTTTCTCTGAGCTTCGCGCCTACATCTAGTGATAATCTATCTCATGGACTGCAAGCGTAAACGGCTAGGTGCAAATCATGAGAAACGCCGGAAAGTGGAGTCGTAGTTTGTACGAAGCCCCACAAACACGTACTGCTGGCAGACGGGGGTAATTCAAGGAACTAACTAAATTAAATAAACAGAACAAAAGCTGCTTGGGGTCTCACCATTTTCTGTCAGTCCTTGCGGGCATCATTCCAGTTTCGCAGCTCAAGACAGCCTCAGAAGCGCAAATTATGTCATACAATCGTTTTTATGCAGGCGCTTTATTGGCCATCATCTTTTTGGTGATACGCCCTATTGTCCGAGCATTGATATCACCGCTTCGCAGTGTCCCTGGACCTTTTCTTGCAAGATTTACACGTCTCTGGGAGCTTCATGTAGTGCGCAAACATGATTTTGCGACCTATAACATCGCTTTGCACAAGAAATATGGTGTGTTCTTTACTCAGTTCTAGATATCCACTTACATTTCCAGGACCCACCGTCAGACTCGCGCCCAACAGGTATAGCATCAACGACCCAGAAGCAACCCGAGTCCTTTTGGGTCACCACAATGCCCTGAATAAGTCGAACTACTATATTCCATTCGGCGATCCTTCCATGACCAACGCCTTCACCGAGCTTGATATACATACCCATGCCAAGATCAGACGTCCAACGGCCCACTTGTATGCCAATACCAATCTACTCTCGTACGAGCCATTCGTCGACGCATGCAATAGCATTCTCGTCAAAAGACTTCGCGAATACTCCTGGACTGGGAAACGCCTCGATGTCCGCGAACTGATGCAATACTACGCTTTCGACGTCATTGGCGAAATCACAATGGGCTCTCGGTTCGGCCTGATGGAGGAAGATGGTGACAGCACCGGAGTGATCAGCGCTCTCGACGAGAGCTTGTCTCACGGCAGTAGAATCGGTTTGATTCACGAACTGCACTCCGTGATGCTCAGTCTCACCAAAATCTTTAAGCTCAGAAACCCTTTTGCAAATGTACAGCACTTCATCGACACAAAAGTACAGGACCGCGCTTCTGGACGCACCAAAAGTCCGGACGACAGACAGGATTTCCTAGATAAATTGCTCCCTCTAGAGGCGTCTGGGAAATGCACGCGTTCCGATACGCTCACGGCTTGCGGCGCGAACATTGGGGCTGGCTCGGACACTACGGCTATCTCGCTCACTGCTGCAATTGGGTATCTCGCTATGTGTCCAGATGCGCTGGCGAAGCTGCGAGAAGAGCTCAACAGTGCAGATGCACCAGACCCGTTATCATTCAAGGATGCACAAAAGCTACCGTACCTGCGTGCAGTCATTTATGAATCTCTGCGCATGCATCCAGCTGTTGGCGCGCCTTTGACACGCGTGATAGGCCCTGGTGGTTTACAACTCGCCGGCTACTTCTTCCCGCCCGGCACGGATGTTGGTGTGAATGCATGGGTCGTGCATCGCGACACTTCCATCTTCGGTGCAGACGCAGATAAGTTCAATCCGGACCGATGGCTGACTGAAGATTCGGAGAAGCGCTCGAACATGGAGCGAAATTGGCTGCCGTTTGGAGCGGGACCAAGGGTGTGTCTGGGCAAGAACATCAGTCTCTTGGAGATGTACAAGGTGATCCCTCAGATTGCAAGGAAGTTCGATTTTGAGATTTTGGATGACAGCGGCAAGGGAGGGTATAGCTGGAAAACGCTGTGGTTTACGAAACAGAACTTGGCATGTGTTGTCAAAGAAAGGACGATCGCTTAGGTACTGTAATCTACACAGAGTTTGACATAGCCACGTCATGACTTGTGCGAAAAAGCAAAAAGATGAGTGAAGAGAGGGCAAAAAGAAGGACAGAAGAAGGACGTAAGAAGGACAAAAGAACGGCTAGCCTTGCCTTAGGCAAAATCCTTTTTCAGATTCGATACTGTAGAATATAGTTTCCACTGCCGAAAACCCCTCAGAGTTTTATCACGGACTCGAACTCGCAACCTCAGCGACTGATAGGTTGGTCATGATTTAAGCACGACCCCAATGTGTTCCAACTCTGGGGATTTTGACAAAGAGATGGAGAATCATTTAACTGATATAGACGATCAAACTGTTGTGTTCTACGTAGCTGTGTAACTGTTGTGATAAACATGGGCTGCACCGTCGTCGCGATTTCTCCCATCGTCGTGCGCAAAATTTCAGATCTCGTGGTTTGGAGAGTACGATACAAACGCCGGCTCGGGACTAAGACGGAGTGCGATCGGTGGTTCTTCGTTTGTCTACCTATGATTGCAAATACATGTGCCTTCAGCCCAACTGGCTCTTTCGTCCCGAATTTCTATTGTGTGCTCCACGTTGCTATCCCTAGACTTCTCCCGCCTCCGTGTGCGTAATCCCATTCACCATCTCATACCTCAGCACCCTATTCATTACCCTCGCCAACCGTGCGCGCGACTCATCCGACAACTTAAAGCCGTTCCTCAAAGCTTGCCTGACCTGGATGTCGCGCAGCTCCTTCACCCACCGCTTATCCGTCTCGTACTGTAGTCTGTCCCGTTCCTTCTGACACTGTTCGATGTGCTCGTAGAGCTCGCGGCGAATTTGTTGGTGGATAGCCCATTGGTCGCCGCCTAGAGCTTTGACGTGCGGTACGTGGGTTTCGATGACTTTGAGGTCGTACAATACTATTTCGATCGGTGTGGGGGGATCTATGGGTGCTAAGCATTGTCAGTTTTTGGGCATGATTCATGTGGAGGTTTGATGCACCTGAGACTGAATAGTTGCGACATGTGTCATCTTGTTCGGGAAGACCGAGCTGTTGGCGCAATGTAGGAAGGTTTGAACTCATGATCTTTGGAGAGGTTGATTGATATTGTGAGACAGTTGGTGGACAGAGAGGCAGTTGGTGGACAGAGAGGCAGTTGGTGGACAGAGAGGCAGTTGGCTTTGTCCGATTGCGCCGCAGTGAAAGTGAACATGAGACATTCCCTCAAAGAAGCTGCTAGATTCATCTCCAACATCCGATATTTGACACGACCGTCACTAATTTAGCAGCCCTAGTGTTTATGTCTTGCTTCAATCGCAAGTCCATCGCCCCTAGTCCATCTCGCGCTCCCTCTCACGCAGACACGCTCCCACCCATTTTCGATCTTCTCGATATGCAGCCTCTTAGCCTCTCTCATCTCTTCGATTGTCAGTACATCACGCCTGATAGCCGCAATGTCTATGTCCTCCGTTCCTGTCATAGCTTTTCTCAGGGCTAACCATCCCTTACCTGAAGTCGAACAGTCCTTTCTCTTTGTCAGGTTTGCAACCGCGAAAAACAGGTAGGGCAAATGTACTTTGAGTTCCAGGTAGGCTTTGCACCTATCGCATTCACAGAATAGCGGTGTAGACATGGGAGGGAAAGCGTTGGCAGGAATCTTAAATGGACCGAGGAGTTTGTTTGACTTGAGGAAGTCACAGGCTGCTTCTTCGGTGAAGCCCTTCGGAAGGTGAGGAACGGTTTATTACCGTCGCTGCACTGATCGTCACGCTTGTCGTCGCTCTGGGGCTTGTCGTTGCCTTCCATGTTGTTCGACTAGAGATAGCGAGGCTTCACGATGCTAAGACGAGGTGAGTAGAGGAATGTATGTTGTGATAGTCAATCACGGGAGCTAGGCGAGCAATGAGCGTTTGCGCGTGCACGTCCAGACACGCAGTGACATCATGTGATCGCATCCGCCTTCACTTCTATTGCCAATCTTGATAGACATCATTTTTCACAGCTGTGGCTAACTTTCGTAACATGGGAGCTCATCCTCGCAACACCCTGTGATGGCCACTACGAAAATGCCTAAGACCTCACTCATCTAGCCTGCTTACATAGCCTACACCTGGTGACATCACCGATAAGCCTCTTGATCTCTTGATCTCCAAGCCATGGCGGCGGCAAATTCTCTTCCTGATCCTCCTCATCGACTAACATCCCCAGCACCATTCTCTCCGCAATTTCATTCATTGTCCGTATGATGAATCTTGCATCCCCACTAGTGCATATGCGAACAACATACTATCCTTCGATCAGCCTTCTCATCACATCCCTCAAACACACACTCATCCTCACCTTGATCTATAGCTCATATTCTGGACAAGCTAGACATGAGCATATGGTAGTCGGCATCGGCTTGCCTCGGTTTCTCGCGCGCAAGTACGTCGCCAGCTTGCGGCCCATGACAGGCGTGGAAGGGTAGGTTGGGACCTCTTCGGGAGTCGTGGGCTCGAATTTTATTGCGCGTGTTGGGGTTCGAGCACCAGCTGACTATCCTTTAGATCCGTCTCTGCCTCGACCTTGTGCGCGGCGCTCGGCTTTGTTTTGCTTGCGCGACGAGACACAAGCCTGCACCATCGCGGTTGTAGAGTCGAGCGATCCGAAAAGTTCGCCAGCCGGATTCTATGCGGACAGCGCGCACTGCTGCCACTGTTCGTTACCGGTCATGGTGACTCTGCAACTCGAGTGGTTGTGACCTTTGGCGTTGTTGTTGATGTTTGGTTGGTCGTTCGGACCTGTATCGTCGGGCATGATTGCAACTGCGTCTTCTGGTCAGGTGACACTATATTAGCAGAAAAGACAAGGAGACAAAAGAAGAATCTCACCGCCATGATAGGAGATATTCTGGTACGATGGAGGTTGGGTGAGAAGCGGAGTCGTTGAAGTTCGCCGATGCATTTCGCTACAAGAACACCGATGCTGTGTCGTATTCACAAAAAGAAGTAAAACCCTCTTACCAAAACAGACCCTCCCCCGATTCGAATGCAGGAGCAAAAGGATACTCGCATACCTTACACAGTTTATCTTGCAAGTCGAACCCAACTGAATGGGTTATCACGACCACTGCACCAGGTAGTCACCCTGGAGGTTGCCGCCAGCACGTATTTAAGGTGTGCTGGATTTGTTAGAGGAATTGCGATTTAGGTGATATTTATAAGGGAAGAGTGGGGCGCGAGGTGAAAGCGCTTTTGGCAATGAGCGCATCGTTGACAGCATTACATCCCCGGTCCTCCCCCGCCTACCAATCGCCACTGCACCAGTCCTCTGAGCACCATCATGCCATCATGTACAACCGCCCACCTAACCTTACTCAAACATCTGCTCACAGTAGCCGCAAGACCATTTGTCCCTCTCTTGCCCATACCGCCAGCTATGCTTCCATTCTCAAGCAATCTCTCCGGGTCGCTATTCACGATGGTAGCGAGTAGCTTTTTCATCTCGGCACTTGGGTCCCAGATGATTTCATCTTCGTCGTCTTGGAGATGAGGGAGTATAATGTCTTGCGCGGGTGGAGTTGGCCGAGCATACCACACGCCCCAGACCACAAGTGTGCCAAGATAGATAGCCCATGGATGATGCCAGAGTCGTCCACCTCCGACATCGTTCAATCCGGTTTCGCCATCGAGAATTTCAACGCCATCAGCGACTAGAGAAGCTGCGTGCCAGACAGCTTTGCTTGCCTCTTTAAGGTTCTCCGCTACCCACTTCTTGACCACGCGCTGTGATCGGGCATAGTCGTGGCGCGCTACGGGACGTCCGAGGATATGTCGTGCTCCTGCATAAATCTGAAGATCAAGGAAGGGTGTGTGTAAAAGCACATGAGCAGCGTGATACAGCGCCAAGGTAGCTGCGCGAAGGACTTGGAACTCTTTCCCCAAAGTGTGATCAGGGGAGGGCAGGTGGTTCATGTACTGAGCGCAAAATAATTCGTAGTCTTTGTGCCATGCCGTGTAGGAAGTGGCTAAGCGAGCCTGCCAGTTACCCAATGGGTTCGTTTCGATGACGCCTAATGATGTTTGATCGCGTCGCTGCATGTCCCATGCTACGGACATGAGTCCATGGAGGAGGAGTGACCGTGAAAGCGCATTCAGGTTCGTCGGGATTTTGGCAGTGTCTGGATGAAGGTACATCTTCAAGCATGACAAGAATAGCGGTGTGGCGGGCTGTTTCTGGCGCAATTGATGCCATGTCTCCGCAGAGTCTGCTTCCCACAGTGATTGGTCGCATGGTAAGTTGGAACGAAGTTCGAACGCGGACATACAAAGTGACTGGCAGAACAGTACAGCGTGTTGTGTGTCCCACATGAAGCACAAGAAGGCAAGTCTCTTCTTCTGCTCTGCGTCGCACCAAGTCCGCCAATCATCCTCCAGATCATCCGTTGCATCTTCCAATGTTGGCGGGCGTATACTCTGGCAGTCACTACGTCTTATGAGATTGATCAGAAGGCCGTGAAATAGATGTGACATGTCGTGTTGCTTCTGGCCCGCCCTGCTCTTGCCGAAGCACTCGACGAGAAGAATGGTCTGAAGCACCCAAAGATCGGGCTTTGCAGAGAAACCTGCATTAGCGAAAATTTGTGGTCGGATGTTGTCGTGGATGCAGACCTATTTAAATCAGCATTACCGCAGTACTGAGAGTGCCTGACTTACTGCTAGCTGGTGAGCATCTTTCTCCCCGTAGGTAGCGCCAAGCAGGAGTACGGAAATTAGCAGCAGCGTATCAACTTCCGATGGGTTAAATGTCGACAAGTGTATAAGTGGGTATGCTGTGTTAAATCGAGTGAAGAAAAGGTCGCAGTACGTTTGCAGACATGTCAACGTAAGAAGTGGATGGTCGCGCATGACGATGCTCCCATCCGGTGCGGTGGGCTGGGTTATGTCTATCAGGTCCAGCACTTGTGCACGAGCCAGTTCATCAATGATAGGTAAACTTCTCGATGGCTGAAGCATGGACATTGGTCTTTCGATATTGTCCAATCCATCTTGTAGCATCAATACTTGAGGTCTTGAAGGTGCTTGGATACTTGTACTACCAAGCTGCGATTGATGGAGACTATGGCCAGTATTTTGTTTCACATCACTAGCTTGTATTTGATGCTCTTCGGACAAGGGTGGAGTGATCAGAGCCGCAGACGGGGACTGATTCTTAGGCGATCCTGTGTGCTGAGAAGCGAGTGATCCAATCTGGCCAGATGTTGACATGGCCTTGTTGACCAACATGTGATCAAGCTGTAGATCATAGGAATGACTTGGCTGCGACACGTTGTTGTTGTCGAATGTGAATGCAGGAAATGCATCATGCCCAAGTGGTTGCTGAGCCTCGCCAACTTTAGACAAATCCATGTCAAAAAGCCAATTATAGTTGCTCATCGTAGTGAACGGATTGTTGAAAGAGCTTGCCGTATCCGGGTTGAAGATGTCGTCGAAAGGTGCATCATCAAACACCGTGGGTAATATTGACGCAGGTTGTGGTTGTGGCAAATCATTAGACCAGAAATGCTGATCAATGGGTGAGTACGAATCTGAGGAAGAGAGCGCGTTCGGTCCCAGAGTGGTAGCAGGATACAGCGTTCCTAATCCAGAGTCGTGATCGTCCCAAGAGTGATTATGGGAGTTGTTTGAGACGGGAGGCGATATTGGCGCACCACCCTGCTGATCGGGAAAGGGCAGAAAATCTATAGAAGAAGGAAGCAGGTCGTGATTTGGTGGTTGCGTAGGGCGTTGGGGGCTTTGGATGTCATTTGGTAGAGTCGGTTTCTTCGTCACGATTCTGCCTTCGGCGTCTTTCCACATACGCTAATATGCAATCACACCAGGTCAGCAATTCGTCTTCGCAATTTTGATGCACAGGCAAAGTACCTTTCGAGTATTCAAAATGCCACAACCTTCGGCTCCAGCTTCCTCATCCTTCTGACGATGACGAGTCATGTGCCGATCTAATTCAAGAGTTAGCAGCCATGCTTGACTTGATCATAGCGTGAAGCTATACAGATTTTGCGGCGTTCGAAATGATCCACCTCTAGCAAACATTGCTCAGAGTACAAGTGGGGTACTCTCCGATCATTGACATTCGGCTTGAGGCTTTGCCGCTGTATCAATAATGCAGTCGAAGCTCGGCCCTCCGCATCTAAGCTTGTGTGACAATGGGTATTGTCTACAATGAAGGAGCGAAAGGGGGCACACGGTGTAAGACTATTGCACCACTCTTGGTCTGACCACGCATACTAACGAGGAACACGTGCAGAGTGACCAAACTTAAAGTAGCAATGGAAGGTTTACGCATATGCAGGGAGAAAAATAGGTGCCTTACCAAGAAGATCCCTTCTCTTAAAGTGTGCTCTACATCTGTCGCAAGTGTACTCCCCATTCGAATGGTTTAGCAGATGACGCTGCAGATGCTCGGCCCTGGTGAAGGTGCGTCCACATCCATCGTTCTGACAGATAAACTTCTTGCCATCGTTCTTGCCCTGTGCATCCCTTCTCTTTCGTCCTCGGGCCATTGGACTTGCGTGGTCAGATTCAACAGTAGCCATGGGGGACAGTATCAACGATGATGAAATTGGCAATTGAAGGTTGGGGGCCCGTGAGGATGGTTAATGGGGGTTGAAGGGTCCAAGTCTGATTGACAGACTCCACATGTTGCCGCATCGGACCAAGGCATGCTTATCACGGGCGCGTGTTCCGATATCACATAGTTCATGCCGGTGCACCAGAGGAAGCGGGGTTCGGTGGATCCTCGGGCGCGAGAGTGACTCGGGACTCGCTAGGGGATGATTTGGGGTGCCATCTCAAGAGTGGGGGTGTCATGTACAGCTGTTGTGGCGCATCGAAATAGGTCCATCTTCGGCGTCCAGTAATTATATTGCTCGAACGTCCGACGTCCAATGTCCAAATAAGGTACATTGCGATTTCGAGAAGTTGTTCTGCGTGATGTTGAATATCTTCTAGCGCTGCCAGCGATGAGATATCGGACACATGCGACCTGCTTGAGATTTCCTGATTAAGGTCATCCGATAGTCTCAAGGAGATAAGCGTAGCAATGCATTTCGACTCACGCGATGCGCATCGAGCATCGATAGAAAAGCGTCCGGCCGGCTGATGTCAACAAGGAGATACCGGTGGGCCTGACACACCAATGACTCCAGCGTTAGTAACACGCGGCACGCGACAAGGCTCGGTGTACCCGCTGCTATCGCTGTTGACGTCTGCCGGTGCTGTAACGCTTTTAGCGGCAAGATTGAGATGTCGATGAATGGAGAGTTGATGGTAGAGTCAGAAGCGTCAACTTGTCGCTCTTGTCATCTCGGTACTGTCGGCAAAAAAACGCCGAAGAAGCGACACTGACGACAACAATAAGTCACAAGTATACTGATGTGAGTTGCCTTAGCACTTGCAGTATCATTACATGTAGATAATAGTCTCACAACTTAATGTATGCTGGAAACTTGAATGCAACAGTAATCTCAAATGCTATGGTACAAAACAGCTTTTATGCAACAGCGACCAAGAAGTTTGTCTCCCCCTCTTTCCTCTTCGTCCTCGCCCTCTCCACCAAATCATCTCCAACCGCCAGTCTTAATCTCTCCGCCGTCGCCGGGCTATCCAATACGAAACCCTTTCCTCCCTTCCCATTCATCTCCCTCGCCGCCCTCAACGCCTCTCTCAGCGCGAAGAAAACCGTCGAGCCCAAGAACAGCGGTGGTTCACCAATTCCTTTGCTACTCTGCACACTCCTAAGATGGTTCCAACTCAGCGGGTTGCCATCGTTGTCTTGTCGAAGTAATGTCGCGTTGAAGATCTGCGGGATGTCGGAGAAGCCGGGGATTTTGTAAGTTCCGGGTCCGCGTGTGAAGAGCTGGCCGTCGCGCGTCCAGAGGGTTTCTTCGAGGGTGAAGAGGCCTTGGCCTTGGATGAAGGCGCCTTCGATTTGGCCGTAGTCGATGGCGGGGTTGATGGAGTTGCCGACGTCCTGTTTTCCATTAGCATGTCAGATTGGGAAGAGGGGTGGTCTAGCTTACCATCATGATATCAGAGCGTAAGACAGTATGATCGCCGGTGAGAAGGTCGACTTCGACTTCAGAAGTAGCAGCGCCCTGCGTCCAGTAGTAGTACATTGGCTTCACGGTCTCCCAGTTTGTGTCACCCCATGTATATCCGACTTTAGGCATTTTCCAAAATCCGTTGGCGGCGAGGTTGACGCGGTCGAGGTAAGCGGCGTGAGCGAGCGCTTTCAACGGTGCATCTTTACCCAGCTTCTCGCGATAAGGCGCTAGGCGTTCATTGATCTGGTCACAAGCATTCTTGACTGCCATGCCGTTGAGATCAGAGCCTGAAGATGCGGCAGTAGGCGACGCGTTGGCGATTTGATAAGTCTGGCTATCCTGCGTGTATATCGCGTCGAGCGGTGTGCCGAGTTCTTGTGCGGCGATTTGACACATTTTAGTGTACAATCCTTGACCCATCTCAGTGCCTCCGTGGTGGAGTAGCACGCTACCATCGTGGTAGATCTTGACGTAAGCTCCAGCTTGGTTTAGATGTAATGCTGTCGCAAAGCTTAGACCGAATTTGCATGGGATGAGACAAGTGCCTCGCTTCTTCCACCGGTTCTTCGCATTGAACTCTTTGATTGTGGCTTTTCTCTTCTCGTACTCCGATGATTTAGCGAGTTGATGCAGAAGCATTGGTACATGCCAGTCCTCGTCGATCTTCTGGAAGAATGGAGTGTGTTCGCCAGGCTTGTAGAGATTGCGTTGGCGGAGCTCATCAACGTCGATGCCGAGTCCTTCTGCAATGTTGTACATGATGGTTTCGGAGAAGTACATTCCCTGTGGTGCTCCGAAGCCACGATATGCGGTGTTGCTGTGAGTATTTGTTCTACAGACATATCCCTTAAGGAACGTGTTAGGACATTCATATGAGTTATCGAGGTGGGTAAGGCAGCGATCCATGACTGCGCCACTCATATCTTGTGAGAAGCCGCCATTGTTGTATACATCTGCCTCAAGCGCCAATAGCTTGCCCTCTTTAGTGACACCGACCTTCCATCGTGCCTGGAATGGATGCCGTTGGCCACTGAGGAGCATGTCTTCATCGCGATTGAGCATCAATCGGACTGGTCTCTTCTCTTTTCGTGCAGCAAGGGCAGTGTAAACTGCGAAAGGTACACTGCGAGACTCTTTGCCACCGAAGCCGCCTCCCATACGCTTTACCCGTGCATTGATGCGGTTGCTGGGCACACCTAAGACCGCACTTACGAATTCTTGTGTTTCCATAGTATTCTGTGTCGAAGACCATACTTCCATGGCGCCATCTTCGGTAGAAGGTATTGATAGTGCAGCGTTCGTCTCAAGATAGAAGTGCTCCTGTCCACCTAATCTGGAAACACCCTCAAATATTCGGTCACACTTGGCAAACGCTTCCTCCATCTTATCATCAATAGCAAGACCCTTTCGCAAGAACTTTCCATGTTGGAAGAAGCTGTCCGCAGCAACGGCCTCGTCGATCGTAAGGATGGGTGGCAAGACTTCGTACTCCACCTTCACAGCTTTTGCAGCAGCCTGCGCTTCGAGCGCAGTTTCAGCGTAAACCATGCCAATGACCATACCGTGGCAAAGCACTTTGTCTTCCGCGAAGAATGGTTCATCCTTCTTAATTGAGCCCCATATATTGACGTCGGCGCCGATGCTGTTCTTATCAATATATCCCACAACACCCGGCATCTCCAAAGCAGGCTCCCAATCAACGCTAATGATCTTTGCGTGAGCTTTGCTAGACATGACAAGTCCACCGAAGAGCTCACGATCCATACGCGGCATGTCATCAACATACTCTGCTTCACCTGTACATTGCTTGAGAGCAGACAGATGCGCGACTTGCTTGCCAACAACGCGTTGTTCGTATGGGTTGTAGTCATCGCGCATGCCGCTTGACAAGCCTCGATGTATCTCATCTACCACCTGCTCATCCACGTTTCCAAGACAGAGCTCGGCTGCTGATTCGTGCCAGAAGCGGAAGAAGAGCGAGAGTGTGAGCGTCTTGCGGTAGTCTGCCATGCCACCAGGAACGCCATACGGCAGATCGTAGTCCTCGAGCAGTGCTGACAAGGCTGCTTCCAATGTCTCAGAGTGGAACCACCGCTTGCCGAGTAGAGCACTCTGTGTCTTGATTGACTCCTTGGTAGTCGGAGCCATGCCACCGTACACGATACTAACATCTTCGACAAGACCTTCTTGATCTAGGCGCACGCGGAATGCAGATGTGACAATCGCAATGTCGTCATCTTTCCTCTTCGCCTGCTTGTAGGCCTTCAGCACTTCTCGACAATCTTTCTGCGCGAGCGGTATCCGTATCCGGTACAGCGCAGCATCTGGTGGTAGTGATGTTGTTCGGTATGCCACGAAAAACTTTGACATGGGAAGATCGACAGTGCCACCATTTTTATTGACGGCTTCGAGTGTTGCACCAGCCGCCAGGAGGACAGGATTTGCATCGGAAATTGGGGATGCTGTGGCGATGTTCCCAGCGAGAGAGGCGACGTTACGAATCTGACGGCCAGCGAAGTATCGCAGTTGCTTTCGCAGGGCTTCGAGAACCATGGCACGCTTGCCCAATTTCGCGTACACAGTCTTACAGATTTCCTCCAACTCTGTAAGTGGTGTATTGGCTGCAAGAACCAGTTCCTTTGCGTTTTCCAGCTCGGCGTCAGCGGGTAGTTTGGTATGTCTTAATTCTGGAATGTCCGATACATAGACGGAGACTGCAAAGTCCGAGTTTTTGAAGCGAACCTCTACCTGTACTTCACTAGCACCACCAACGAGCTTCGCTGACGGGTAGGCGTCCTTCAACTCAACCAGCTGCTCAAGCTTTGTAGGGCGGAACCAAATCTTCTTGTCGTTACCATAACAGAGTGGTCGTGACTCGTACTTCCAAAGTGCCGAAGGGAAAATGAGCTCGGTGTCTGGCACGTATTCCTTGAACTCAATCTTTGGCACACCTTTCATTGAGCTCTCAGCGGGTGCTTCTAGTAATGATGTAGATGTCTTGGATTCTACCGCTGCGCTTTTGCTCTCCTTGCTCTTCAGTGGTTTCGCATACTCGGCTCCACTTAACGCTGGATCCTGGGATGGCTCATTCTTCGCAACAACGATCGCGGGTATGCGTTCGTCGTCGGAGCTTGAAATTGGCTCGGTTGGTGGCGATGACGCATCCGACTTACTTTCGTTCGAACTGCTGTCCGATGGTGTATCTCGACAGCAGCCTCCAGGACGTCCGCAAGATACCTTTGAAGGACCTGCGCAACCATTCCTAGTCATATCGATGACATCTTTCTCGAAACTTTCTGCATCCACAGTAGTCGCGCCATCCTCTTCTGCAAGCTGGCCCTTCAAGTCTTCCGTGACGAAGGTCTTTGCGGCGTTTAGAATCGGTTTATATCCTGTGCATCTACAGAGATTGCCATCCAGATGTCCTTCCATTTCGATCTCGCGTGCACTGAGATGAAACTTTTGTGTCTCCGGATTATACGCATTCCTCACGACAGCGTATAAAGACATAACAATGCCAGGCGTACAGAAGCCACATTGACTCCCATGGAGTTTGGCTATCCGCTCCTGCAGAGGATGTGGTCGGTTGACGTTCCCGATGCCCTCAACTGTGATGACATGTTTGCCGTCAACACCGACCAGTGGAAACAGACAGGCATTCACGGAGAGATGCTTTATCCTCCTCTTCTTAGACTGCTTGTCTGCCACCTGCAGCACAACAGTGCAAGCACCGCATCCTCCTTCGCCACATCCCAACTTCGTTCCCTTAAGATTCGGTTGCGCGCGGATGTAATCGAGCAGCGTCCAATGCGGATTCGGATTACTGATGATAATTTTCTTGCCATTGATGTAACAAGTGATATCGGGCGATGTGTATGTCGACGTGATGAGAGGTGTGAGCGCGTCAACAGCGGAATACGCCCGCGGTGGGTCCGCCGCTGCCGAGGTGGGAGGAACGGGCAACGCCATCTTCAACGAAAACAATTACAAGATGACTGCCCCAAAAACGGACCTTTTCGACATGATATGTCCATCCGCCGCCTTTGACCCTTCGGCATCAGCATCTTAATCCATATTACGCGGCTCACGTAATGCCATGGCTGATTGGGCGGCCGAAGCCACAACTCCCGATACCACCAACGGGTTCGTGATCCCACTGCAAACCCCACTCTTGTTGCCCGCAAGCTGATGTGGCGCTACGTACGGCCGGCCGTTCGTACGCTGTAGAGCATCTGTATGCGTCTGAGGTCGTCGTGGACGTGTCATGTCCCTCATCGCGTCACTTGTGCCCCTCCCCCATTTTTGCAAGCACCACTCCCATACGTGGAGTTGGCGAGAAGGGATGCGGACCGCTGTAGGGTTAGCGCAGGTACAATAGCAGACCCTGGCGAGAGAAATGTTGATTGCGAACTTTTTGAAACCCTTTTTCTCGTCTCCCTTCTGTGCTTCTAGACCTTCACTTAGCATTTGCAAAAGAAACATCGCCAATATGCCGAAAGCAGATTCCCCATCAGGCTTCCAGCCGCTGAAAGAGACGGCTCTTTTCTCGCCGTTTAAGCTGGGAGCAGTGAATCTAGAACACAGGGTTGTACAGGCACCGTTGACACGTATGCGAGCGGTCAAGGAGAGCGATGGTGTGTTCGTGCCGAAAGACTTGCATGTCAAGTACTACGAGCAACGCGCGTCCAAGGGCGGCTTGCAGTTGACAGAAGCGACCGACATCTCCCACTACGTATGAATCCAATTCCAGAATAGATAAAGAGGTTTACTGACAAGATCAGGCCAGTGGCTACCCAGGCTGTCCAGGTGTCTTCTCAGACTCGCAATTATCGGGCTGGAAAAAGGTCACCGATGCCGTACACGTCAAGGGTGGATACATCTTTTGCCAGCTCTGGCATACCGGACGTGCCTCGCCGCCATCTTTCCGTGCTGGTGCGCCAACCGTCAGTTCGAGCGACGTTCCCATGGAAGGCAGCTGGCTCGACGGCGTAGCCTGCGCAGACCACCCACCAAAGCCGCTCACAGTCGACGAGATCCAAGGCCTCGTCAAAGCATGGGGCGAAGCAGCAAAGAAGGCGCGCTCAGCTGGCTTTGACGGTATCGAAATCCACGGTGCGAACGGATATCTGCTCGACCAATTCCTCCACGACAACGTCAACAAGCGAACAGACGCGTACGGCGGCTCAATCGAAGGACGAAGCCGCTTCCCCCTCGAAGTTATCCAAGAGTGCGCGAAACAGATCGGCGCGGATCGCGTTGGCATCCGACTCAGTCCGTACAATTACTTCCAGAACACCAAGGACAGCAATCCAAATGCACACTGGGAGTACTTGTGCGATAAGATCGCGTCATTGCCGCAAGACGTGCGACCTGCATACGTTCACATGTAAGCCTACCACATTTTCCCTTCACATTGACCTCGACTAACAAGCACATAGGGTCGAGCCCCGCTTCGATGAAGTCCTCGACGAACAAGCCAAAATGGACGCTCTGGCCGCCTACACCAGCAGCGCAGGCGTCGAAGCCGAAGCCACCGTAAAAGCCAAAGGAGGCAACAGCCTCACCAGATTCCGCCAGGTTCTTTCCAAAGGCGGCGTCAAGTTCATTGCAGCCGGCGGCTTCAATCGCGACAATGCCGCACCTAAGGTTCAGTCTGGCGATGCCGATCTGATCATCTTCGGGCGCTGGTTCATTGCGAACCCCGATTTGCCGAAGAGGCTGGCTGAGGGTCTGGAGTTGAATGCGTATGATCGCAATACGTTTTATGGGGCTGATCCGCCGGAGAAGGGGTATGTTGATTACCCGTTCTATGAGCAAGCAGTGGCTGCGTAGAGCGAGGGGAGGCTTTCATGCATTTGTGGCGCTGGGGTATGTTGCTTGCATACGATGTGATAGGTCATTAGACAGAATAGACTCATGATTGGGATTTGAGCGTGTAATGCGTGACAAGCTCATGTCTGTGCCGTCTTCTTCGAGGATTAGGTGATGACTGTACTGCTTTGCTCGACGTTGCTCCATTGGTAGACCTCACGATCTGGTGTCCTGCAACGCGACCTTCTCAGGATGAATCAATGGGTCGCAAGATACCGCATATGTCCAAGGCGCTTTGAGCGATTGATGAAGTTCTTATAGGCCTCCCAGTTCACCGAGGCTGGTATGCTACACAAGCTGTGGAAATCTGGCGTGAGCGAAGTGAGAACGAATCGTTGAGGCCAGCAAGAAGGTTCGCATCTCGAAGGCGATGGCAGCCGACGAACGGAGTGATCGATGGCTTTGGCTAAAGATATTATACATGATTCTACAGTACTCTATGCTCTATACTCTATGCAACGATACGAGAGGGCAGAACGGTAGGAACCCTCGCAATTTTGCGGAAGCAGAACGCATCAACTCTAAGACTATGTATCTAGTCTGGGCGGACTACGAAATGACCGAAATGCCCGAGATTTGGAAGTGTTACGAAGGATTATGCCTCTACTCCCTGTTTTTCTTATAAGTACCGATTTTGTAGTCTGGGAATCATGACTTAATGCTCTTCTTCGTCCAGTTGCGCTTTTTTTCTCAGGATCTTGCCGTTCTGATGTACGGGAAACTTTGTTTTCGTCCCCACGCGGGCTGCGTTGAGGCAGAGGATGTGGCACGCCCTGTCCATTGCCCTGTCCTGTTGTGACTATCTTCCTATTGCCTTTCCGCCGCGAGGAATCCGATCCTTTGTGTTTCGTCTTATCTGGCGGGTCATCGACCTGGGCATCCTTCACTCTCTCCATGCGTTGCCAAATTACAGTGCTGCTATCGTGATTCGATGCGCTCCTCCCTCCAGTTTTCCGTGTCTTTCCGTTGTTTGGCCGGTATGATGTACTCATTTCCTGATCTGGTTTCGTCTCAGGCAAGCTGTGCTTAATCGCAGGAGGAAGTGCACTCATTGTATGAGATAAGGTTTCGGTCCGGTCTTCATTTTGATATAAGCTGTTCCAATCAACTTCCCGTATCTTACCATCGTCTTCCCGCCGCTGTATTCTGAAGACTTGTTCTTTGAGCATCTCGGGTGCAGGGGCCACTCTTTTCCGATTTGGCGATGCGGCGTGCCTTGAAAGCCTTGAGATGGAACCCTTCCATTCTCCTTCAGCTCTGGAAACAGGACGCCTTCTTTCTGGTGTATGCACAGCCTTAGGATGGTACAGACCATTACCAGCTGGAGTATACAAGGCCTTCGGATGGCTCAGGCCTTTATCTGCTGGATTGTACACGACCTTGGGATTGCTCAGGCCATCTGACTTCGACGATAACATTTGAGGCCTCTGCTCTGAATCATATGTGTTTGCATGACCACTCCCAGAAGTGGGCGGCTCAGCTCTTGCCATGTCAGAGCTTCCACGTATCACATCTGTCTGTTGGCCGTGGTATTCGTTCAGCCGACTGTCTGTAGGATTCTTATCATCGGGTTCATCGACATGAAAGTGCTGAAACGATGCCGATACTGAATCGTCATCGCGCTCATTAGATTTCCCATATCTAGTGTCCGATGCTTCTTGCTGGCCGGTCTGCCCTTCACTTCGATCGAAGCTTGGTTTTGCATCACAGGTAGTGCTCGTCCCTTGGAAAGCCTTAAGACCATTGCGTACATCAAAATGAAGAATGTGAGGCGATGCTGAATTATCACCGCATTTGACGAGGATCTTGTGTCCAGAAACTGACGATCCGTGCTTGTCCTTTTGCTCTCCGTTTCCATCAAGCCTAAATGGAAGTCGTTTGGAGGAATCGTCGTCCCTAGAGCCATTCGCAGCGGGCTTGGAATAAGCCTCATGAAACTTTTGAGCCAGAAGCCCCGCTTGAGGAGTTGGTAGCGAGCTCAGTAGGCGTTGTATCTGCATCTCGACTGTATGAGTCTGAAGATTCCTTGCGTAGCGGAGCATAATATTTCGGCGCCTCATTGCTAGATTCGTAGCTAACAGCAACCTCTGTCGGTCAGCATGTTGCGATAGCGCATCTTTCTCTGAGCTGATGCTCTCGAGCTGTGTTCTAGACTCTGCAGCCGCTGCCTCGAGTTCCGCTTTGCGGGCGATCTGCTCAGCGTCAACCTGAGATAGTAGAGTCTCCACGGATTCTTGCGCGCGGGCCATGCTGGGTTTGACAGATTCCGCATACTCAGCTAGCAACATTCGATACTTTTCGATTTCTGGTATTGCCCCTTCGAACGACAATGCATGGAGAACGATAGAGAGGTCGCTCAACAATGCTTCCGCTTGACTTGCGTTGAAATCAGCATTTTCATGCGCGTGAGCATTTCGCAGGATACGAACGGATCTGGATGTCGGAGTGCGAGGTCAGTGTATGTCTCACATGCAATTCGTACATAAACTTTACATACCGAACTTCATCTGCACAGAAATCTAAACGCCGCTGTATGTCGGGATCTTGCCGCAGAATGAGTATGAAATCCATGATCGAAACATTCTCGGCGCTATACCACTTGTTATCCGCCATGACTTGAGGAAATTCCCTGCGTCCAAGGTGAAACATGGCTCGCTTCAGTTGATAGAGTGCATCCTCGAAAACATAGTGCAGAATTTCGTAAGGCAAACTTATGTCGACGGAGGCTGGCTGAGGATCTGTTGTCCGATTGTCGCTAGTAGATTTTGCTTCTGTCAGCCATTTCCGAATGGCCCTCGTCTTGACCCTCGCTGTCAGGAGGTCTTGAGACAACTGCCTGCTCTTCGTCTCCTTTGAGTCCCATTTGCCCACATCGTTCAACCTCATAATTTTGCGGTTTATCGCTTTTATCGTGGCTCTTTGGGTTGATTGAAGTAGGTCTACCGCTTTCTGCTCTTCGCCTTTGGTTGCATGCACTTTCCCCGTGAAACGATTGGGCATGGGCAGTTTTCCTGGAACGAGTAAGTCGTGTGGAAAGTTCTTTTGCGACTTCATAGTTTTGAACCATGCCCGTATTCTTTTCAAGAACCTGTTATACGCTTGCGCTGCTGACTGAGGTCCGGTCCTTGTGCGGAGAGCCACTTCCGCCTCTAGTTGCCGAATGACTTGACTCCACACGAAGGCTCTTTGATCTGGACCTAATGTCGTGGATAATGTTTTTAGTTTTTGGAGGTTGAACAGATGGCCTTGATCGAAGTCATCCTTCGCTGCCGTCGGCAGTGATTCCCAACTTGTGATACGATGACGAAGTGACTTTACTGATGTGCGAAATGGTCGGCTGAGTCTATTAAGAGGTGTACTTAGGCTCACTGGAGACTTTGAAAGCCCATCTTGCCCTAGCCTAGGTGAATCAGGCTTCTCCAATGCGAGCAAAGTCTGCATGAGATCGTCAACACGATCAAGCCTTTTGCGGTGTTGCCTGGCCTTATAACGCAATTCCTTGATGCGGCGAGGTCTTCCGGTACAGGCTTGGACGTTTCCTTCAATCTGCCTTAAATATCTGTGTTTAACTTTCCTGACAAAGATCAAAGCATGGATGATAGTCGTTCGAGAGCTGCTACTTTGGCTGTATGTCATTATGTCGGATTTCATGCTGATATTTTGAGTATTAATAGCGTGCACGATGTGTGTAGGGAGATCGGGAAATGCTGCTGCTAACCCTGATCTGAGACCTTTCTTCAGGACGGCTCCGTCATCGTTGTCACCTTTATCCGGTGGGCTTGATTGCGACTCCTGCATCAACTCACCAATTTCGCTGCTAGACTGTGGTTCCAGCCCTGGATCCGGGACGACATCTCCATCGGTTTTGCCTTCGTCTGGTCGGCCTAGTTGCGACTCCTGCATCGGCTCTTTGGTTTCGCTGCCAACAGACTGAGAAGGAGTGGAGACTGGTCCGGGTAACGCTTTCAGGTCAGCTTTCCCATAATGCCAAACTCCGAATCTTTCGAGAACTCTGCCGTAAGAATGCGCTGTACCTCCTCCTCCGATGAGCGTTTGCAGGCTTGTAGAATATCGATCCTTGAAGACCTGGCAAGTCGGCGGTGCATATAAGAGTTTAAAAGCTTGGGTGATTGCAATGAGCCGGGGATCATCCTTTGGCCGATGGCCTTTCTCCATGTTCTGCAGATGGTTATACCCGTGTATGAAAAGGAGCAGATCAGTATAGTAGCTCCCATGCTCATCCAACCGCCAGCCAGTTCGCGAGTGTGACTCATGTTCACAGCGCTGCCAGAACCCTGCAATAACAGAGTCATAGTACAGTGTACCTGGGTCACCAAAGCGGATTGTGATAAGCGCTTCGGTGAAAGATGTAACCCTGATCAGCTGCAAGGAGCGGGAACCGGCTGGAGCTACCACCTTGAAGTAACGTGGTTTTGATGTTGCTAATGAACCAGATTGGTAGTGGAGCTGGACATTTGACGCTATGTCGTGGTGTTTCAGCTGACACCGTTCACTTCTGGCCTCCAAAGCGACTGCTTGTGGCGCCCAAGACATGGGTCGCGGTTGCGTAATCATTGAATGTGTCGCAATGTTATCTTGATCCGCAGATGCAAGTTTCGCCTCCAGATTTCCGGTGTCAAATGTGGTCCAGTCGTTGCTCTTGTTCTCAGCAAGGTCGTTGACCGATAGCTTTCTTTCTGACAGCAGTTTTGAAATAGTGGTGTCTTGTATGATCCCACTGGGTTTTGTAGGTGCCAAATCTAATCTTTGCGCATCGAAGGACAGTGTATCGATATGCTGTTCTTTTTCATAATCTGGCTGGAGCTGGTTGCTCTTACTTGACTGCGACCGTTTCCAATCTTGGGTGATATTCGCAACTCCATTGTGTTGACGTCTTCGCAACGCCGCTAAGCGTGATAGCGCAGTGTGAGCTTTGTAACAACTGGCACCACGCACGAGGTTGTCTATTAGCATGAGGTGAAGACTGAATAAACGTTCATACACGCGCGCGGAAACATTAAGGGGAAGCCCAAGGTATTTTAGAATGGCTGATGGCCGCCGATAGAAGCTCGTGCCACAGTAAAACGCGAGAAATCGAATCTTGGCATAACGTTAGCTAGCCGAATGCGGATACACCAAGGGGGCACCGGCTTTGGCACAACACCATTGCGCGTCAAACCAAAACGAGCAAGACTGATATTGAGGCCAATGGTGACAAAAGGCCATGGCCATTCTACAGAACTGATCGGACGTTCTCTTCATTAACAGTGTCACTGTTGCCTCTGCGCTCGAGCTCAAACTCCCGCCACCTCTTTTCAACGTCTTCTTCGCATACATACGTCAAAAGCCAACTGCCTACACCACCCCAACGCCATGCTAACGGGTCATCCTCGACATTGAGACCCTTTGCTTCGTACTGTTCTCTGCTGATCTTGCCCCTCCCATTGAACTCGGCAAAAGCACGAAGCTGTTGGTCGCGCTTTCGCTGTTCGTCGCCGTCGTGAATATGGTACAAGTATTGCTGTCGATTTCCTCGCAATACAACACGTTCAGTTCGTTCCCTACGGCAACGCTCGTATACGGCCAAGGCCCGTCTTTTCTCTGCAGTACTCTTGCCTTTCAATCTCCCCAGGCATAGCCCGAGCACATGGCCATCCTCTAAGCTCATACCAGCACCGCTCGCAAGATACGGGAGAGTCGCGTGAGCTGCATCGCCAAGTATTGCGAAAGCCGCAGACTCGTGAGACCAAGTTGGATCAAGGCCCGGTCGGATCATCAAGCGCCACTTGTACACCGATTCGCAGAGAGCGAGCAATTTTGGTATCCGTGGGTCCCAGTCTTTGTACAGGGCTCGCATTTCCTCCACATTGCCGGACAATGTGTTTGCACCAGCGGGCATGTCATCAGGTACTAGAAGAACCATGTTGAAGAGCTTCCCACCACGGAGGACATAATTGACTGCATGCCATCAGCATAATGCGATACAGGTAGTTCGCAATCATATTCTTAGCTTACCAGCGTGTGCATCTGGTCCAATCCAATAATTAACTTGCGGATCTTCCACAAAACCTCGCAGTTCTGGATCCTTCATCATATCCTCCGTGTTGAGTAACAACCTATAAGCCAAGTCTCCTGTTAGAAGCGGCGGATCCTCGTGGCCAAGTAATATTTCCCGGCACTTTGAATTGATGCCGTCCGCACCTACAACCAGGTCCGCTTTGTACCTCTTTCCATCTTCACACACTGCGATGCCGATCGTACTATGGCCATCTCCACTGCTCTCATACTCAACATCCACGACCTTCGTCTTCGTCGTCAACTTTGCGCCGAGCTCCTGTGCCCTCTCTAACAAACCCAAATGCAGATTCGCACGATGAAAGTCCCAAAAAGGTGTTCCGCACTCTTTCTCGTACTCATGGAAGTTCATGTCGCTGATCTTATTCCCCTTCCAGCCGATCATGTTGCATAAACGCGGAGTCGTGGCATGTTTTGAGAGACGCTCTTCAAGACCCCAGGCTGTGAGTACTCGGGTACTGTTGGGAAGACATTGTATACCGGCCCCAATTTCTCCTATCTCAGGCGCAACTTCGAGGATGTGCACATTGTGGCCTGCAAGGAGAATAGATATAGCAGCACCGAGGCCACCTAGACCAGCACCGACAATTATAACCTGAATATATTAGCAACTTATCGACGAAATCGACGCGGCAAACGTACGTCTAGTTTACTTGACGCATCTCTTTGTTGCTGCTGGATCACTGGAGGTTTGCTTGGAGCCATGATGTCACCACTGTCAGTCTTCAACGTTGGTATTCTCAAAACTCAATGCTCAGTCCGGGAGTCGGTTTTACTACATGGAGTTTGTTCAGATCGTCAAAAGTTTAGCTTCTCGTTCTGGCCACCATCGTTTCCCGCCATCCTCGCCCACCTATCGGTGCGGCACACGCGTGACATGGCTGACAACTACACACATTCCCGGCCTTGTCTCTTTGGCTTATCTGACTAGTGACAGGACTAGAGCACAATGTGGAGTCGTGCAGTCAGAATGGGGAACTTTCGATTGGTTAGACGATAGGAGTGGGACTCAGTGCGGATGACAGTTTGGCTTTGGGGCGCAAGAGTGGGGGAAGCATTTGGTGTGAGAGGATCACGGTGGTCAGTGCTCGTGCGGGGATAATGTTACCGGGTGGACCCGATATGATTCCGACGCGTTCAATTGGCACGACTGGGTATCGTAATTACCAATGTTTGTGTTCTCACGAAAGCTGGCACATTCAAGCAACTTAGAATGTGCTGGTAAGCCAGTGAACCCATTCATGTTCGGAATTGAGAACTGGCCGCTTTTTGAACCAGAGGCTGCGGGATCACGTTGAACCTAAACCCACACAAAATGACGAGAATCGTGCAGTGGATATATTCTGAAAAGAAGAATGAAATATGTCTGAATATCTTGATGCACCATCCCAATCTCGAGAACTACTGAGGTATCGGACCATTGTAATCGAATCCAGAGTATGCCTTGCCTTCCTTCTGCAGCTTCAAGATCTCTCCCGGTGGCGCTGGCATTTTCGCGCCCTGCGGCACTGTATTGTTCTTCTTAAAGTCGTCCGCCATCTGCTCCATTGTCACCCACTCGACACCTTCGTGTTTGTTGATGTGCTCGATGATCCTGACAAGGGTTAGTACTAGTCTCTTCAGACGTCTGGAACAATATCTACCTTTCATGCATGAGCACAACATGCGGCCTTCCAGAAACGTCTGGATGTATTGTCATTGGGAATACAAACTCGTCATACTCCCTATAGAAGTAATCGAAGTGATCCATCCAGATTTGCTCCACATCTCTCGGGTTGACCCATCCATGTGAGTTTGCACTCTTCTTCATAAACATCATTGGTGGCAAGTCGTCAATATACCAACTACCGGGTATCTCTACCAATCCCGTCTCCTGTCCTTTGGTGAGTGGCTTCATCCAGTCGCGCGCATTCTTGGTATAGTCGATTTTCGTCCACTCGTCACCCGTCCGCAGCCAGTAGCAGCGGTGGTCTTCGTGACTCATACTGTGGTCGTATTCGATGCCATAAGAAAGGAGCAATTCGCAGCCCTCTTTTGATGTTTCCCACCATGGCGCGACGGACCCGCGAGGTGGCTTGCCGCAGAACTCGGTGAGCATTTTGTAGGTCTTATCGAGGACATCGCGTTGTTGTTCGAAGGTCATGTCAACTGGGTTTTCGTGTGAGTAGCCGTGAAGTCCGATTTCGTGGCCCGCGTCGCGAACTGCAGCACAGTCTTCTGGGAAGGTTTCGAGGGAGTGGCCTGAACATATGAGTGCTGAGTCGTAGTGGAAATTGTGGTCATTGCACTATACCGGGAATGAACCATGTTGCTTTGATGTTATATTTCTCGAAGAGCTTCAGCAAACGCTGAGTGCCCACGGTTCCGGCCCAGAGTCCTATGTCGCGTCAGCTATTCGTTCCCTACAAACTCCGTGAGGTAGGATTCGTGCCTCTACTGATATCACTCGTAGAGTCTTCTCCTCCATACGAACCGAGCCATCCAGCGACCTGCAGAAGTCAGCTCGGAGACATACAATTGAAAGCTGTAGCATATACTGCATCGATGTCAACGCCATAGCTCACAAGCACTTTCTTTTTCCCCATCGCCGTATATGCGGTAAATTAACCTCAGTATTCAGAAGAATTGACAGCTAGCAAGCAAATTGCTGGAGCGCTCAGATCAAAGGGACACACTATTTAGAATATGCAGGATGATGTTTGCCAGAAAGCTTGCGATAGCAAACAGCTGGAGCTACCCCGCTTACGTCGGCAGCACAACGTGCAGGGGAGCTTGGTAGCTCTAGTGGAGTCGAGCTATTGAAAGGTGGGGGCTTGCAATGAATCATCGCGACGGCCGCCGGCCGCTTATCATTCGCGTGTGCACGTGCGACTCACACAAACGCCTACAGTTGTTCAAGTGCCTTTTTGGGGTAAACTTGCCAAGATGTGTATGAACATCACCCTACTAAGATGATCGTAGAATATCATCAATCGCTTTAGCAGCACCAAGCACTTTCTCCTCTTGTAGTCTGCGCGCCACAACTTGCACACCTATTGGCATACCATCCATCGAACCCACATCGAACAAATTCCAGTTCCACTCGTCCAAAGGGTTTCGTGGCTGGTATGCTTCCATCATCTTTGCTGCTTCGCTGTCAAGTTGTTTCGATATCTTGCCAGCTGGCAGTACAACAGCAGGATAATCAACAAAGTTGAAGACCTTAGTGTATCCTACCCATCTACATTTGCGATGCGGTACCGCTGAGTGAGGCATGACTGGGGTCAGTAGAATGTCTATCTGCTTGCCCGTCTTCTCGGACCTGGTAGAGGTCCACAGATCAAGGTACCGTTTCTGCGCAGCTAGCTTCTGCTTGTTGAGCTGCCAGTACTCGTATACGGAGATGGCCTTGCCTCTGTTTAAAAGAGCTTCGACGTGGGGTATGAAAGGCTCGCCTCCAGCTTCTACGTCACGTCGGATATCTTCGCCACCATCCGCCGTGTAGAATTGGTCCTGATGCACTTTTAGCTGATAGTTATTGCTGGAAAACAACGTACAGTCATACCATTATATCAATACACTCTTGATGTAGACTGCCTGGTGTCCAGGACACAATCTCATGACCTGCAAGCTCCAGCTTCTTTGCGACCTCTTCAAGTACGCGAGAAATTGGTGGATGCGGTTTCACGACGCCGTCATCTCGCATGACAGCGATAACCAACGGGCGTGATCGCGCTGCTTCGAAGACTTCTGACCTCCATGGTACTGGACAGCACTTTGGATCTTGATCCCATGGACCCGCATCAATGACTGCTTTGGTGGTGGTGATAAGAGATTTTATGTTGCGACACATGGGTCCAATGACGGAAGGGACATGTTCCTGGCCTTCCGTGGATACTGACACCCCTTGGTAGGGTAGACGTGTGCTCTATCAATCTTAGTATCGCCGTCCCAGGAAATGGGCGCCATGGGCAAAAATGCGTCACTTACACTTGGCTTCAATCCATAAAGGCCATTCATGTGCGACGGAATGCGAATGCTTCCGCCGATGTCCGTACCCCAGCCAACGACTGTACCTTGAAGTGACAGGAGCGTAGCCTCCCCACCAGTTGAACCGCCGGGAGTGAATTCGGGGTTTTGGGGATGGACGGTCAAGCCCCACAAAGGGTTGTCGGTCTCACACCACTGTACGCGTCAATATCCACATTCAAGAAAAGACTCGAAAAGGAGCTCTGCATGGGTGAACATACCATGATGCTTTGTGGCAAGTTCGACTTAGCGATGATGATCGCGCCCATCTGTTTCAGGGTCGACACCAGAACGCAGTCTTGCAAAGCCGGGTGGAACGCTCTTCCGACATAGCCAAGGGTACTGTCATAGCCAGCAACATCGAATTGATCTTTCAAAGTCATAGGTACGCCATGCAACGGTCCGACAGGGCGCCCGTTCGCAGCAAAGAACGCGTCGAGCTCACGGGCCTGTGTGACGGCATCCTCGAACAGAATCTCCGTAAGGCTGAATTGAAGTCAGTAAGATCCCCCAGGATGTGCCGAGGTGAGCGGATAGCAACGTGCCAATTCGTCTGTGCATAACGGTGAGTAACAATTCATCCTGGTAGTGAAGTCGGCGGTGGAAGCCATACACGTGTGTGAGCTTCGACTGCCCTGTGAGGTGGCGTGAGAATGGTACGACAACAATGCGCAAGGCGGAATTTACCGGTTGATATAGGCCGCGCAAAGCTCTGCGGCTGTCACTTTTCCGGAAGAGATTGCTTTTTGTATCCCCTCAACATCTTCTAAGCCTGCAGTCGAGTCTCCGTTGCCATTGAGAATTTCGGGCTTATTATGCACTGGCTGACAATCGTTACTGCATGTTGAGGGACAGAATGTGGAAGCGTACCTTGGCCGACGCATCATGACCGGTAAGGAATTTTGAAATTGCTTCATCGCGTAGAGCTCGTTTCTTTTCGACTGTCTGTAGCCATTGTGGTGTTGAAGTTGCCATGTCGGGCAGTTGTGAGGCCGCTGCTGTCTACGCGATCAAAAGGCGTGTCAAGGGTTGTCCACTTCACACCTGGACATCAAACTTATCAACATCAAACTGTGACGATTGACCCACTGCTGTCTTGCTGTCATGGATCTCGTGACTAGGCGATGTTAGGACCCTGGGTTGGTCGCGTGGTACTCCCGGCCTAGTGTTTCTGGTGAACAGTGGGGGAAGGCAGGGACTCGCGGAACACAAGCCGAAGCCCGCCTACCGTCAGTCGACCAGAAACAATCCCACAACGCACCGCGATCCCTTGTTCGAATCACCCCATCGGCAACAATGGCTGGAAGTTCACGGGATGTGACACATATTTCGCATCGGCGTACAGAGCAGAGAATGACACGCCCTGATCATTTGAAATTGGGCAGACGTCGAGCAGACGATGCGCGTTTGCCCCTCCCAAATCCTACCCCCATCTTCGCACTCTAGTGGCTCGAGCAACGTCGGAACAGCACAAGCAAGACTTATAGCATGGCTCCGTCCATATGGAACATCATGAAGCGCTCAACATCTACTAGCGAGTCTCAGTCGAAGCTACAGAAGATGGCGCCAGGACTGGTCAATGATACCGACTCCCAGTCCCGCTCGGCTGGCAGCAGCTTGGAAGTGACGTCGCAGTTCTCATACTCTAGGGGCAATGACTACTCTACGTTCTTGAGCGATGTCCTAGTAGTCGGTGCTGGACCGGCTGGTCTGATGCTTGCGTGAGTCGGGTTGACGTTTGTGAATGTTTGTGGACTAACGAGTGGACATAGTGACAATCTCGTGCGCTTTGGCATCAAGACGCGCATCATCGACGACCGACCCGATCGTACCTCTACCGGCCGCGCTGATGGCATCCAACCAAAGACAATCGAGACATTGAAGCAGATGCGCATTGCTGAACCGCTGTTGCGTAAAGGCGTGCGTATTTATGATATTGCTTTCTGGAAATCGACCCCGCAAGAACCGTTACATCGTACTGGCCGTGAGATTCACTATCCGCCGGTGGTAGATCTGCTCGACCCATACATTCTCCTGGTACATCAAGGCATGGTCGAGGCGATATTCGAAGATGACCTGAGGGAGCGTGGCACCACCGTCTCACGAAACACGGCCTTCGTAGACTTGGAATACACCCCCATGGCTATCCGACCATTGACGGTCAATTGCCAGCAGGATGTAAACCACTCGAAGAAAAGCTTCTATACTCGATACGTTGTAGGCTGTGACGGTGCACATTCCAAGGTGCGAAAGTGCATACCCGGAGCAACGCCTATAGGCGCATCGTCAGATGCAGTATGGGGCGTTTTAGACGGTGTTCTTGATACAGACTTCCCCGATATCTGGAGCAAGGTCGTCATACAATCGGAGACTCTCGGCTCAGTGCTGATGATACCTCGTGAGAGAGGTCTGACTCGACTATATATTGAACTTCGGCCTGGCTCGACAGAAGCTATAGGTGGAGAGCAGACCACGCAAGAATTTGTACAGCAACGGGCACAAGCAATCATGCGACCATATCGGCTGAACTGGAAGAATGTTGAGTGGTTTGGTCGGTATAAAATTGGTCAAAGAGTGGCGGCACGCTTCACCGACTCCGGGCAACTCGTCTTCATCGCTGGCGATGCTAGCCATACTCATAGCCCCAAGGCTGCCCAAGGAATGAACACATCAATGCATGACGCATACAACCTTGCCTGGAAGCTGAACTTTGCTACACGAGGACTCGCCAAGCCTAGTTTGCTCGAAAGTTACGAGGAAGAACGGAAGAAGATTGCACAGGACCTCATCGACTTCGATTACGAGCATGCAAATGCCTTCCACGATGGAGACCCCGCTGCGCTTGCGGCAAACTTTGCAAAGAATGTTGCATTTATCTCAGGCTACGGTGTGAGTTACCAGCCCAACGTGCTCAATGTTAAATCCAAGGGCTATACTCGCGGTCATCTCACGCCAGGCTTCTTACTTCCACCCGCCAAGGTAACTCGTTACATCGACGCAAACCCAGTCGACATACAGACTGACATTCCCGCGCTTGGACAATTCCGCATCTACTTCTTCGCCCACAATGTACATACCGCGATGCCATTCCTCGACGTTGTATGCCATGCCCACACAGGCACTTCATCATATGTCGGTCGCATAAGTGCTGCTGGCAATGCTTCATACACCACCCAGCCCCCGCTGGCCGCACCTCACGATCAATTTGTCATACCCGAGCGATATACACCGGTCAGTGGAGTCTTCACATACGCTTTGGTGACCGATATGGACCGCAACAATATCGAGATCAAAGACCTCCCGGCAGTTTTGCGCGAAAGCGCATTCACATTCTACCTCGACGATGTACCCGAGCAAGACACCCGCAAGCAGAAGGTCATGGACAAGTGGCTTGACGGCTTGGATGAGAATGAGGTTGTGGTGTTGAGTGTGCGTCCGGACGGTTATGTTGGAACGGTGAGGCGCTTTACGGATGGTAGTAAAGAAAGTGGACAAGTCGCAGTACAGTGGCTGGATGAGTATTATGAACAATTTATGCGGGATACATAGATCGACATTTCGCACAAATAGAAAGATGCATGGCAGGCGTTCTCATTTCACTTATGAACAACTTCAAGATCATTATCGTGAAAGGCTTAATGCTCGATTACGGCGTTCGTCCGACGACACTTTTTCGCCCCTGTGCCTTTCACTAGCATATAACAATTATTATCTCCAGCATATTTCCACCATGACTAAGCTTCGGCACTGATTCACCCCACTCTTAGTCCAGCAATCGCTATCAGATTGTCGCACTGCAGCTGCAGCTGCAAGTTACAGTGCCCGAGGCACTGATCGGCTTGCGGACTTGTACGGTTGGAAATGCAGATTATGTATGTTGAAGCGACACTCTGGATCTGGATCAGGATCAAAAATGGAGGTAAATGTAAGTGGGCATAGAAAGTAAGTCTGGATATGGGATCGGCTATAAAGGCTCATGGTTAGCTAGGTTGGTAAGGTGGCTTCCGGTAGGTTTCATTCGCTGCGCTAGAATTTAGGTCGTGTTGCCTTTCCACGTCACTGTACCTAAGACCTGAAGCAAGATGGCTGTTGAAATGAAATCCACCGAGACCGACGCGAAAGATCGAAGAATGTCTGAAAATAGCATGAGTAAAGAAGAAGCTGGGGTCATCGAAGAACACTTCGATTACGCTGTAGAAAGAGCGTACGGTACATACGTCTACTACAACCGCTTCATTGAGATTATGAAACTCACAATGGAGCAGTTCGCAAGCTTGACTTTTACCTGCTACCGTTCTTATCGATCATGTACTTCTTTAACGCCGTTGACCGAAGCAACTTGGGAAATGCGAAGACCGATGGCATGGATAAAGATCTAGGCTTCACTGGAGAGCAGTATTCGCTCCTCATTCTTCTGTTCTACATCCCAAACGGGCTTTGCGATTTGCCTCTCAACATGTTGACGAAGAAGTGGAGTGGTAGAGTCATGCTGCCGACTCGTAAGTCACGAGCCCTTCGCCTATAAGTTGAAGTACGGAATGACTTACTTCCGTCACAGTGATGGTTGGATGGGGCGCCATGGCTCTTTTTCAATGTGCAGCGCACAACTTTGCTGGCATGCTCGTCATTCGCCTCATCCTTGGCGCCTTCGAAGCTGGCTTCTTCGCGGGAGTCGTGTTTTATCTGACCCTGTTCTATACGCGCGGCGAGCTTGGTTTTCGCATCGCTTTGTTCTTTGGCAGTGCATTGCTAGCTGGTGCATTCAGCGGATTGATTAGTTTCGCCGTCTTCCGAATTGAGCACTCGATTCCGGGATGGAAGTGGCTTTTCATCATTGAGGGAGCGATGACTGTCATAATCGCAGTCATTGCATTCATGTGGCTGCCTGCGACACCGCAGTCAGCATGGTTCCTAAACGAAGAGGAACGCGAAGTCGCGGCTCGACGTACACTTCGCGATCTTTCATCCGCTGGATCGCACGACTTTAACATCCGAGAATGTTTCGAGGAATGGAAGACGTGGAAAATGGCGCTGTGGTGCATCATTGCGTTCACATATCCTGTAGCGTTCTCGACAAGCTCCAACTTCTTGCCGCAGATCGTTCAGCGGCTCGGGTACTCGGTCATCAAGACAAATCTCTGGACTGTTGCGCCGAACGCAGTTGGCTTCATCGTACTGCTTTGTGTGACCTACAGCAGCGATTACTTCCGCGAACGTACATTTCACATCGTCTTATCGCTTTGTATATCGCTCGTCGGATTGATCATCCTAGCGACTATTGACGTCTTGCACAACAAAGCTGTAGCCTATTTTGCCTGCTTCATGCTCGCATCCGGAGCGTACATACCATCTTGTCTTGTGCACTCGTGGCACAACAACAACAATCTTAACGAAAACGCGCGGGCGGCTACTACTGGTCTACTCGTTGGCTTAGGCAACCTAGGAGGTATTCTATCGGCGGCGACCTTTCGACAAGAATATGCGCCAAAATATGTACCTACGCTCATTGCGACAGCGTGTTGCAATCTGACATGTATCATGTTTACGCTCTGGTTGGGAGGATGGATGAAGATGGAGAATCGGAGAAGGGATAGGCAGCAGGGCGTGAAAGTCCGGGCGGAAGATGTGAGTACGAGCGAGTTAGGAGATGGTGAGCGAAGTGAGAAATGGAGGTACTTTACGTAGGCTTCGAGTGGTTGCTGTCATGCGACAGTACGCACATATAGTCTTTGTTTTCACCATACCCGGCAGAGGCCTAAAAGCAAGACTAGAGTCATTGAAAAAATGTTAGAGCGTTCGTCTCAGTTGAAGCCCATGGAAGGATGATAAGGCCCTGTTTACTTGGTCCGTTTTGAAAATGACGGTTTGGCAGAAAGAAGGCAGAAAAGTAGCAGGGCTTAGTGAGAACTAGAGGCTATGTTCTGCTGCTTAGATTTGTGAACCTCAGATTGAAAATGGTAGTCTTAGCAGCGCATTAAGTTAGCCTTAATCTCCTTTAAGTAAGGTGAAAACAGAGCAAAACGTTAGTTATCACCGTCTCACTTCTTGTAGTAGCGCAATATTCAGAGCAGGTTCATGTGAGCTCTATACTCTTTTTCACCAAACCGCCCGGCGAAAACGGAGCAAGTAAACAGGGCCTAAGCAATGTTGTGTGGAGCATCTGCAGCTTCTCAGCACTTTTATGGAGCTGAAACCTTGAATTAAGCAAAACGAGTGACTTATCTGTGGCTAAGGCAAAAAAAATAAAATCGGGTGTTGTGGACCTCGTCGGCGGACACGAATGTGCCGCTGTCTGTTTGCCGCGTTAAGATGCCGCTGTCTGTTGCCGTGGTAAATGCAATGATGCGCCACCGCATATGTCCCCTCACCATCATCAAAGTAATTTCATCGCAAAACTTCACCCATCGAAAAAAGCCTGCGCTTGAAACGCGAGTGATTACTTGTCATGTCGGATCAGCCGTCTCCCACCGTTCGGGTCGCTGTTGCGCAATTTGAGCCAGCATGGCTCGACTTGGAGAAAGCCGTCGAGAAGACCTGTCGCCTAATACGTGAAGCAGCAAACAATGGCGCAAAGCTGGTGGCATTTCCAGAGTGCTGGATACCCGGCTACCCTGCTTGGATCTGGTCAGTCTGTCAATCACGAGATTGCTGTCAAAATCCGAATCATGCTGAAATCACGGAACCAGGGCACGCCCAGTCGACTTCGAGCTCTCAACGGCATATATCAAGAACTCCTTAAAGGTAGATTCACCCGAGATGAAACAAATTTGCAAAGCTGCAGCAGAGCACAACATCGCTGTAGTACTGGGCTTCAGCGAGAATGACCACGACTCGCTCTACATCGCACAGGCGATCATAAGCGCTGAAGGCAAACCCGAGGTTCTGCATCGAAAGCTCAAGGCCACACACATGGAAAGAACAATATTTGGCGATGCATCAGGCTCTTCTCTTGACAACGTTGTGCATCTGCCGGAAGTCGGGCGTGTTGGTGCACTAGCTTGCTGGGAGCATGCGCAGCCGCTCCTCAAGTACCACACCTACCATCAAAATGAAACCATCCATGTTGCGGCTTGGCCACCAGTATACGAACATGATGGAGGTCCGGACCTTTGGTCCATGAGTAGCAAAGGTAAATTAAGTGCACTACTACGTATATGAGGACTTTGCACTAACGGTGTACACAATCAGGCGTCCGTAGCTTATCTCAGACATATGCCATAGAATCGCAGTCATTTGTATTGCACACTACAGCAATGATTAGCGAAGAGGGGATATCAAAACTCCGAACGAGCTCTGGCGGTACTATGAACTACCCTGGTGGAGGCAGCTCGGCCGTTTTTGGTCCAGATGGGCGCTTGTTGGCTGAAGGTCCTGTAGGGACAGAAGAAGGCTTTGTATATGCGGACCTGCAGCCCGATGATATCCTGAAGGCAAAAGGCTTCCTGGATGTTTGCGGTCATTACAGTCGACCCGACATGCTATGGTTAGGCGTCGACAAGAAAGAGAAGACGCATGTATCTCTCAGCCTGTGAGAAGTAAACGCCTATATGTTGCATCAGAAATTCATCCCAGAAGTCACATTTGTGCCAATCTGCGAAAAGGGATTTTATCGCCGCCAAAACACTGAGCATGGGAGGTCTGCATGAACAAAGATGTATTGTATGCAATCAATGAGGCGGGTATGTACGTAAATTTTATTCGACGCTTCAGACGTCAGAGCATTCCGGAATGACTTTCCTCTCGAATAGCTTTTGTGCTAAGTCAATGCCAACGCCAGTCCAAAGCGTCAAAGCAATCACAAAGGCCAATGCACTTCCCCACCCATGGGTCTCTGAGAAATCTGGTGCCTGGCCACTGGGCAGCTGTAACTGCTGGAAAGGGATAACAACAGCCTGTCCAACACTGACCATCATACCTAGCACGAAAGCGCGTAGCTGCTGGTCGCCTCCGCAGCTTGCGTTGACCCAACCGGCCAATAATGGTGTGTAGCAACCGTAACACCCGACCAAAATGAACGCAGCCATCTTGAGTTTATCAGGCACATTCCAAGCAGTAAGAATGGCGTAGCTGAAAGTGAGGAGCAAGCCTACTACAAAGCAGACTGGTCCTCGTCGACCAATTTTGTCGGAGGCAAACCCGGTGCCAATCATAAACACGAAGTTGATGGCACCGACAGTGGTTGGAATATTGTTGACCTGCGGAACTGAGTATGTTCCAAGTGACTTCAGCCAGATCCCGAAGTATTGAATGATGTAGGAGCCACAAGTAAGCGTCCACAGGGAGTAGGCGATCGAGAACACGTATAACTGCCATGATCCGCTAATGCGCTTCATCACAGTCCAGTCGAGCTTTCCGACCGGTTTGCGACCCTCTTCCTCGATCCGTTCGCAAGCGCGCCTCCGTTCCCATTCGTTCAAGTAGAAGGCCTGTGTTGTGTGCGGGGTGTCGGGGAAGAAAAACCATCCGTACAGTGCCACAGGAACTGCAAGAAGGAAGTCGAAAATGAAGAGCCATCGCCACGCTGGCATGCCGCCTTTTCCATGCATACCGCTAAATAGCGCGGCTTGGAGATAGCCAGAAAACATCTGCCCTAATACGCCGGAGACGACAAAGAAAGCGCTTCGGCGTGCTAGTTCGGACTTGCGATACCAGCAACCAAGTACGTATTGAACTCCAGGCCAAGCTGCTGACTCGAATAGACCAACGCAGAATCGCAGAGCATAAAACTGACTCGCAGTGTGGGCTTTAAAAAAGAACAAGACGAAAAGTGACCATATCATTAGGCATGCAGGAAGCCAGATCCTGGGCCTCACAACAGTGATGATGAGATTGGCGAAAGGGCCTCCAACAATCGTACCAATCAGAAAGTAGGTGTTCATCCAGCTCAGCTCGTTGCCAGGTCCGAATCCTAGATCTTCTTTCATGCCGGAGACGTATGCGTTGGAGATGTTGTTTTGATCCAGCTGCTTTACGAAGAAGCATAGGCAGCTGAAGCTCAAAAGGAACCAATCAAGCTTAAAAAATAAGCTTCTTCTCCTCGGGCGATGTATCCGGCTCGTGCCAATGAAACCAGCCTGCCGCTTGCTGAGGCGTCAGTTTGTCCGCTTCATGCTTGCTGAGGGCGATGTTTGATTGCGCATCAAGTGCAATATCGATCGCATCTTGCTTTTCGGCGACTCCTTGGTGCTGCTCTGCTGTAAACGAATACGAGATACCTCGTGATGGATTGTTGATAGTGGCATCTTGAATCTCATTACAATACGATGGATGGCTTGAAGAGGCCATATTCGAAGCGACTATGCGGTCTATAGACCGTGTGGTGATTAGCGGGTAAGCTTTTGTAGACGTATTTTCATTTAGACAGCGTTATTTCAGGTATACCAATTTAGCTGATGCAGACGCGATTCATATCCAGCACGCAATCGATCCTCGAAAGATCGCTATCTATCGCTGCCCCGCTCAGCCAGACTGAACGTGAGTATAGAAACTTTCATTAACTGATACTACATCAAATTTTTCCTCCTGCATTGATGCCCCTTCTGGCTTATCTTGAACGGAGTGGGGCCTGACCAAAATTACTCATATTGGGTTAAAGCAAATGTATGCTCGGCTGAACGGGCGGGGCAAGTTGCGGACTGACGACTTTCAAGATTGGGGATTTTGGGATGCATGAAAATGATGGAGTCAAATATCTTGATAAGATGGTAGCTTTCATTGATGTCAACGGCGCCCGTCTGGCCTACGCGATTTCGGACAACGACACAACTAAGCCATTGTTGATCACCTTGCATGGCGGCCGAGGCTTTGGTAAGCAAGACAACTACTTACGATCGGCTGTTAACAAAGGTCGACAGGTAGCCATGAAAGTGATCATCGGGCTTATCTGCCATTGAACGACAGTTACAGAATTCTGTCTTTCGACTACAGAGGCCATGGACAAAGCTCCAGGACAGGACCGTATTCTTTCAGACAACTGGTCGACGATATTGAAGCTATGCGTATGCACTTTGCCGCACAGAGCGACCTTTTCATCCTCTGCGGCGGCAGTTTCGGAGGTAGAAAGCCACACATCCCGCTAAAAGCCCATGCTAACACCGAAAGGTTACTTGGCCCAACAGTACGCATTAACATACCCTGAAAAACTATCCCATCTCATACTACGAGGGACTGCACCATCCTACCATCGTATGTTCGAAGTAGCTGTTTTGCAAATCCTCTCCCTAATGGCCCTGCAGACGAACTGGAGGCTGTAAAGGTTCTTGGTCAACGAATGCACAAAGCTCCCAGTCTTTCTCTAAATCAGCTGAAGAACAAGATCTTCGGGGCTTTCGAAAGCGATACCGAGTTTCAACTTGTAATGCACGCCGCAGCACCCCTTTATAGCGAGTCTTTCGATGCGGATGCGGCTCTGGCGGCGACCTTGAAGATCGTGTACTTCGCTGAATCGCACAGTAAAGTGGTTGGATCTGACTCGCGGGTCCATATGGCTAATTTTTCCAGACGCACTGTACTCAGAGCGAGAGAAGTACTTTGATTACCGAGAGTCGCTACACCTTGTCGCCGCCAAGACTTTAATCATTGTAGGTGATCAGGACTGGATTTGTCCTCCCTCGCAATCTAGGGTAATGGCAGCGCTGATCCCAAACGCGCAGCTGGAAGTCTTCGCAGGCGCGAATCACAGCGTACACATAGAGAAGAATAGCGAGGTCATTGCCACAATTCGGGGTTGGATCGGCGATCTATAGCAGTCTACGCTTACAGAAACCCAAAATCGTAACAATTTGCTGGATCCCATGTGCTCAGCTGCTCATTCCCTTTCTCCAAATCCGTAATCGAGGCGCCTAGTGGTGGTGCAGATATGTGACCAGAGTCACTTAAACTAGAAATCGAAAGATAGCAACTAATCGGTCCAAATGCGCTTTTAGCAATGCCGAGCATGTCAGTCAGAATTTTTTGAAAACTTAGGTTCGTCGTTGAGGTAAGTGGAATCGTATTCGCTTCGGAACAGTCAAAGAGCTGTGCTGCAGCGTAAGCTTCATGGGCCATCACAATGCCCAGAAACTCAATGACAACTTGCTTGGCCTGATGCGCTGGCAGCCAATCTTCCGGAAATGCACGCAGAATGTCAATACAACTGCTCAGCTCCAATTTGGCACTGAAGTGACGTGGTTGTATGACACCGAAGCAGTGCATCAGCGCGAGGCAGGCGGGTATCAGCCTGTTTAACGTGATGTAGTTGAGTGGTAACTGTCTGTTCTCGAGAAGGATGTAATTGTACTTGAAGTACTTTCGGATGCACCCAACGAGCTCTATGGATGAGATGTGCTTAGCCTGATTGTTGAAGTGACACGGATAGTACAATAGGATGAGCAGGTTGTAGTATCGGGCATTGAGCCACGTTATCGTACTGTGGATAGGTATATTATCCGCCTCTGGTAGGCACACAAGGCAGCCTGTGCTATACCAGTCATCGATAGCTGAACGCAGCTGTCCCAAGACGGTGGCACGATTTACGCTAGTCATACTCTCGATATTTACCTGACCTCTTTTGTGGAGTGAGTCAAGAATTTGATGCTCGAGCTGTCGAAGCTGGATGATGTGTCGATTCAGCTGCAATAATGATGCGTTTGCGGTCCTTTCGGACGATGTGAACTCCTCTACAGTCATTGCGGGTTGAGGGATATCCATTCCCTCGTCCACGAGTCCTACAGAGTGGCCAACTGATACTGCCAGCATACGATCGAGAACGAAAATGCTCCAGAACAAACGATTACTCAGCTCTGCTTCGGGAGGGTTTAGAGCCCTGGGTAAGCCAGTTGTTCGCGACAAGCCGAGCATGACCGCCTGTCGGGTAAGGATTCCAACCATGGACCAGGTAGAGATGCCTTTCGGGTCAAAGAGAGAATACAAGGATAGTAAAGGCAGTATCTGGAGGCCTTTCAGGCCCGGAGATGACAGACATCGACTCAGAATACGTGTGTAAGGCACAACCATGTTTGGTCGATTATAAACACTGAGCTTGCCAGCACGCTCCAGAGTCGTGCTTCCGATAGATAAGACGAGACCCAGAATCTAAATCGAGTCAGAGCCTGTGTGGTGCCAGGTGAAGTGCACTCACAATAGAGTCTGGATTGTCTGACCATATGTTCAGGTATGTAGACGCTTTTGCGTTACTCAGTATCTCCTGCCTGTCAAGGAAGGGATATGCTCGATGAACATGACGGAAATATGCGTGCACGTAAGAAAGATAAGTGCCGTCGAAAGTGCTTGCTGTAGCTGCACTATGTGTTTCATGATCCATGACGGGAGGACTCGAAAGCTGCATCCCATTCTGGCTGCTGTGGCAGACTCAGAACTAATCGAGCTGGGAGTGTGTGTTCTGCGCATAGTTTGGGCGTGGTCGATGGAGCATTTGGTTTGATTGCCAGCTGCCCAAGGCTGCAGACGTGGCCCCCAGACATGCATAGCTCACAGGCTGGTGGCTTCTTGCTGCATTTCTTCTTAAGCCGGTGGCATCTAGTACACACTCGAACAGTGGTGTCTGGGTGTAAAGAACGCTCAATGTTGGCGTCGACGATGAAAGTAGTTGTTGCCGTTGTCGTTTTCGCTACACGAAATCTATGGGTGTGGTACTTCATGCCGCCAATGACGTCATGGCGCGTTAGAATATGGAAGAAGCCCCAGAGGAATGTAAGAGCACGACTGTCTTCGAGACAACAATAGACCTCTTTGAAAACGAAGTGCAAGCAACGATCACGTGGAATCGCGCCATTCCAGTTCCCACATTTTGCTATCCGCTGAGGCGTGCCAGCACCCCCTGTAAATGACTCGCCGCTCTGCAGCCGGACCATAATCTCCTTTCTGAGACTAGGTCGCTTCACTTGCCGATAGCAGTGCATCGGGCCCATTTGACCCGCTATCTTAGATGAAGCACGCAATTCGAGAGGTACCGTGGCGGCTCTAATTTGCATCTTGCCTCGATGCTTGATGCAAGTCTTCAACACCTCCGAGCGCTCGGGGTCTCAATAATGGCTTCAGACATTTGAAATTTCCTATTGGTAAATTCCTGTATCAGTTGCGTGACTGACATAACAGTCCTGCTGATCATTTCGCAGATCGAGGGGGCACGTTTACGGATGTGCTCGTTCGGAGCAAGGGCATCAATGACTTGGTCTTTAAACTACTGTCCGTTGACCCTCGAAACTACCGAGATGCGCCTGTGAGGATCCAAGAAGAATAAGTGCACTCTATATGCTAAAAGAACTTTAGACCGAGGCGGTCAGAAGGGCTCTGGAGCTCGTTGAAGGAAGGGAGATTCCGCGCTCAGAAAAGCTCGATGCTTCGAGAGTAAAGAGCTGCAGGATTGGAACCACGATTGCAACGAATGCATTACTTGAAGGCAAAGGCGAGAAATTCGCTCTTTTGACCACAAAAGGCTTCAAAGATGTTTGCACCATCGGAGATCAGACCAGACCGAGGCTTTTCGATCTCAACATCAAGAAGGCACATGCTTTACACGCTCTTTCAGTTGAGATTGACGAGCGAGTTACCGTTGAGGACTACGACCTCAACCCCTTTCCGCAAGATAAGAACCGCGCATTGACCGATCCTGCCTTGGTACGAACTGCCAGCGGCGAAATCGTACGTGTGATCAAACCACTTGATTTGAAAGAGGTTCGAAATACCCTGGAGGATCTTAAGCTGAGAGGGTTCACCTCGTTGGCTATTTCATTTATGCATTCCTATATCTTCCCAGATCACGAATTCCAGGTCGCGGATCTAGCTCGAGAATTGGGTTTCGCGTACGTCGTGTCATCTGCACTCAATAGCCCAGTCATCAAACTGCTTAGAAGAAGCAATGCGGCCTCAACAGAAGCGTATCTTGGTCCTGTTATCCAGGCATACGTGGCAGATTTCCAGGCAGGGTTCCACATCCTTCCTAAACGTGTTGAGTTTATTTGCTCTGACGGCTCCCTTCGAAATGCTGGAAAATTTGGCGGCAATGATGCGCTTCTGAGTGGACCAGCTGGTGGTGTGGTTGGAATTGCGAAGTCTTGCTATGACATGGAAGACCAAACACCCATAATCGGTTTCGACATGGGTGGGACGAGTACTGATGTTTCTCGGTACGACGGCAAATTCGACTACTTGGCGGAGAGTACTATTGCAGGACGCAATGTATCCACAGCAATGCTCAACATTGCTACTGTTGCTGCTGGGGGCGGTTCGAGGTTGTTTGCTAAAAATGGTCTTTTTGTAGTAGGGCCTGAGAGCGCTCGTGCCCATCCAGGGCCAACCTGTTATCGTAAAGGAGGTCCTCTTACAGTCACTGATGCGAACTTGTTTCTTGGCCGTCTTGTTGTTACCGAATTTCCATCGATCTTTGGAGAAAATGCCGACCAGTCTCTAGACATCGAAGCCACAAAGAGGAAGTTCCACGATCTTGCTGCAGATGTAGCGGCTCAGACTGGGCAGGAATTGAACCCTGAGCAAATCGCTTTAGGCTTCCTCGATGTCGCAAACGAGACAATGAGTCGCCCTATCCGTAACGCGACTGAAGCCAGAGGCTTTTCGCCTGACAAGCACAATCTTGTCAGCTTTGGCGGTGCTGGTGGTCAACATGCTTGTGCTATCGCCGACAAGCTTGGAATTCGACGTGTCATAATACACAAGTACTCGTCCATTCTATCTGCATATGGTTTATCACAAGCGGTGCTTCAGGCGCAATCGTTCGAGCCATATTCAGGTTCCTTCAGCCTGACAGCGCTCCCAGAACTACGCGCTAAATTTGAAGGGCTACGTGCCAAAGTCGAGGAAGAGCTTATTTCGCAGGGAGCAGCGCCTGATAATATCGTGTACGAAGAATCGCTGAGTTTGAGATACAAAGGCACCGACACCAACTTGTCAATCTCAAAACCAGATGACGAGGACTATGGCGCTGCTTTCGATGCCATGCATCTCCGGGAATTCGCCTTCAAGCTCGACCGCGAGGCTGTCGTTGACTCGGTCCATGTCCGTGGAGTTGCTACATCATCGCACATTTCCGATTCAGCAGGGCTAATTGCCACCCTTGACGAGACAAGAAGATCCTCTAGAGAACTTCCGCCGACCAGAACTCAACCTGTATACATACAAGGGGAGTGGAAAGAGTCAGGCGTGTTCAAGATAGTTGAATTGGAACAGGGCGACAGTATTCGTGGACCAGCACTCTTGATTGACGACACACAAACAATCCTGGTGGAGCCAAATTATGCTGCCTACATACTCTTGAATCATGTAGTTCTTGAGAAGACACGAGCAGAATTCACTCCAAGCGTTGTGGCTGACGACAAGGTTGAGCCGATTCAGCTCTCCGTATTTTCGCATCGTTTCATGTCTATCGCTGAGCAAATGGGTAACACACTGCAGCGCACATCTATCTCAACAAGTATAAAAGAACGACTGGACTTTTCATGCGCAATATTTTCGCCGAACGGAAACCTTGTCGCAAATGCGCCGCACATCCCACTACATCTAGGCAGCATGCAGTATGCTATTCAGTGTCAACATGCGCTCTGGAAAGGAAAGCTTCAGCCAGGCGACTCACTGCTCACAAACCATCCCGAGCTTGGGGGCACACATTTACCAGACCTGACGGTAGTCACGCCTGTCTTCATTGACAATGCCATTGCTTTCTATGTTGCTTCGCGAGGCCACCACACTGACAATAAGTCTGCAGAAATCAGCCAAATGCTAAAAAAAAACTCACTTTCGGTAGTTGGCGGAAAGGGGATAACCGCGATGATGCCTACGTCCAAAGAGCTCTGGGAAGAAGGCGTTCTTGTGCGATCGATGAAGATCGTGTCTGGAGGCCGATTTGAAGAGCAGGAGGTTCGCGACGCCTTCTTGAGAGCTGGCGAGTATCCTGGCTGCAGCCCCAGCCGTCGACTCAATGACAATATTTCCGACGTCAAAGCACAAATATCAGCAAATCAAAGGGGCTTACTTCTGCTGCAAAAGCTCGCTGCTCAATTCAGTCTGCCAGTGATCCACAAGTACAGTGAGTGTGTAGAAGCGCTACGGCAATGAGTAGCTAAGCATTCGCAGTGTATGCCATCCAGGACAACGCGCAGGTGGCTGTGCGGAAGTTCCTCCAACAGACCCGCAGAGACCGACCCGAACCGCTGACCGCCACCGACCACTTTGACGATGGCACCAAAATTCAAGTGAAGATCACCATCTCGGAAGATGGCAGTGCTATCTATGACTTCGAAGGCACTGGACCGCAGATGTGGGGAAATTACAACTGCCCCATCTCAATTACCCAATCTGCAGCCATTTACACGGTCCGATGCCTAATTGACACTGACATTCCCCTGAATGAGGGATGCCTCACACCCATCACCATCAGGGTACCGAAAGGCTCTGTGCTCAACCCTGGTCCCAATGTCGCGATCTGTGGCAGTACACTTGCTAGCCAGAGAGTCATCGACGTGATCTTGCGTGCTTATGCAAAGTGTGCTGCTTTTGCAGGCTGCGCAAACAGCTTCGGTTGGGGCTTAGGTGGCAAGGACCCTGTGACGGGAAATATTGAGCCCGGGTTCAATTATGGCGAGACAGTGGGTGGAGGGTCGGGTGCTGGACCTGGCTGGCACGGAGAACATGCTGTGCAAGTCCACTCGACAAACACCAAGATCACCGATGCGGAAGTTGTTGAGAAGCGCACTCCTGTGCTTGTGACAAAGCATGCAATCGCACACGGAACCGGCGGTCGTGGTGAATTCGTTGGTGGTAACGGAGGCATTCGGGAAGTAGAAGCTCGCATACCACTGCGGTTTAGCATCCTCAGCGACCGACGGGTATATGCTCCCTATGGAATGAACGGTGGTGAGTCGGGTGAAGTCGGGAAAAACTATGCTTTCAGATGGAACCAGGATCATACTGAACTGGAGAAGATCTCGTTGGGAGGAAAAGCGGAATTGTTGCTACAACCCGGGGAGCGGCTGCAGGTCAATTCTCCAGCCGGAGGTGGGTGGGGAATACCTCCCTATACTGAGTCTGCAGGTTGTGTTGGAGTGCCATAATTTCAGTGTAATCTGCGAGCTTGACACTTTTTACCTAGAGATGAGCAGCAGTGCAGAGATCCAAGAGGCCATTGCCTCTATATGACGGTGGTAGGAGCTGCAGAAGTGCCCGCAAAACCTCTTAAGGAATAGCGGACATGGTTCGAGAATACCTATTAAAACTTGGCCAAAACAGAAGAATGAGCGATGGAACAATCTGACAAATTTCATTCAGCGTACCGACAGAGTGAAGGTCTTCAGTAATGACGGTCCATGATCGCCTAGAGGTAGACTGGACTGTCTAAGGCGTTTCATCTTGGCGGATCACATATGGAGCTGATCCCGAGGTCCACTCCACATGGGGACTAACATCGCATTCAAAATCGTCTAGACTATGTGGTGCGACATTGAAAATGCTGCTCATATCAACCCTTGATTGGTTCCCGCGTGCATTCATTTGGCCGGCTATTTTCCCATCCCTGCAAACAATCTATACACGAGCACCAAGTATGTATTAGCCATGTGCCCTTGAGCCGGAACAGCGATTTGCCTGCAAAGCTAGTGTATTCCACGCAAGCTATGACCGAGATCTCACTTTGGCCATGCGTCCGATCATCTATGCATCGTGGTTACAAGGCCTCTTTTATCAGGCCCAGGAACAGCATCTGCCGGACCCATAAACCCGTATCAAATGCAGTATGTCGCCCAAGTCCGTCTCTGAAATTTGACTGGGTGGGGCCTACATAGAGTGTATCTTTGCCCGCTGAGTTCGAGATGTTGCCTGCCCTGACTAGCATGTCGATTCTTCTCCCTCTTTACATCTATCCCACGCCAGGCGCGTGGGATCCGCTTTATGCAGCGTATGTAAACATCGAAATCCTTCTATCCATGCACTAATTCTTATCAGTGCGCAAGCGCATCGAAACGTCGACTTCACCGTCATCCTCAACCCTTGCTCCGGCCCATGTTTAGGCAGCCTACCAGACCAAGTATACCTCGACGAGGTACCAAAGCTACGGTTACACCCAAACATACGAACGCTTGGATATGTTGCGACGCACTACACAGACAAGCCGATCGAGTCAGTGTTGGCAGAGATTGACATCTATTCGAGATGGCCAAAAATCGCAAACGAGACGGGGTTCCGTGTAGATGGGATATTCTTGGATGAGACACCAAGCACGTATTCGACCGATGAGTACGAGTATTTGAAGGTTGCGGCGCAAGCAGTGAGGAATGGAACGACGTTTAAAGATCGATTTATTGGTAAGTAGGAATGGCACCTCCACTGACACTGAAGGCGTAAGCAATGCGACTAACAATACGCAGCGCAAAACCCAGGCCTGATGCCGAGCGAAATTCTAAACTCCCATGCTGTGTACCAAGAATCGTATCTCAACCTTACCGACATCACCGTCGTTTTCGAGGAATCGTTCGACAGATGGTTAGACAAGGACACATTAGACCCTCTGCAATCACACAACATTCGGCGGTCGAAGCTCGCCGTAATACTGCACGGATTACCAAATCTCACCAAGAATGTGCTGGATTTCATGATCGATCAGGTGGAGGAGACAGCAGATTGGCTGTTTCTTACCGATGTGCAAGAGAAGGATGAGTACTATCATAGTTTCAGCCCGATATTCGAGGCGATGGTGAAGAGTGTAGATGGTGCGGAACGAAGGCGGACGAGGAACTAGTGGATTGGTAGCTGTAGAGGAGGGCGCGAGCATATAGAAATACAACAAGAATTGCGCTTTGTGTGACGGGACATGCTAGATATCTTCACAGCACTGCGGTTGATGCCGGAAGTTCGAAATGCGCTGTGTGCGATGATACAGGCTGGATAGCTTCACAACACTGTAGTAGCCCTCGAAAGCTTAAAAAGCGCTGTACATGATAGTGGGTGCTGGATAGCTTCACGATACTTTGGTCCGTGTCGGAAGCTCGAAATGTGCTGTGCGCGACAAAGCATCCTGGATGGCTTCATGACACTGCCTTGGGTGACAGAAGATTCTCGAAGAGCGACCGATAAGCGCACCAGAGCCTTGTGTGGTAGGGCAGGCTAAATGCCTTCATGTCCTCATCGGCGGACATGGCGTCGTCATCGTACCCGGAATCATATCCGATCCAAATTCCCTCTTCCATGGACAGAGGGCGGCGAAGATCGAAGTCACACCGTCAACAGTCTCATACCCTTCATCGCTGTCGTCGGTGCGGCCCCACGATAGGCCATTCTGAGGACCTTCGCCGCACTGAGCGGCCCACCCATCATCCTCCGTACACTCCACGTGCACCCAGGCCTCCTCTTCTCCAGTCCGGCAATCTTGCTCTGCGAACCGAGCCAGAAATTTCTCTTGCTCCAAGGTAAGTCGAAGCTGCACAGCTTCACAATCCCCGGTATAACAAGGCAATTCGGCCCCACAAGCAAGACGCCTATCGTTAAAGTCTATGATGCGGCACCAAGCAGCCTCATCTTCCAGACCCGCTTCAAGCTTCTCCACTAACTCTCCCACAAGTGGGTAAAGCATCTTGTAGTGCTCGATCAGCGTTTCAAACTTCTCCTGCTCTTGCTTAAGAGTGCTTTCCTTGATTCCAAATACACAGTATACTGAGTGAGATGAACCAAATTTTGTGGCTTGCGTCCGCATGGTCGCCATGCCTGTCTATGTTCAACAACTCCGCATGGTCGCCATGCCTGTCTATGTTCAACAACAATCCTGAGCGCAACGCACAACAGAAATCTATGCGAAGCTATCCAGCCTCGTGCAACAAGCATTGAGCGGGATCGTATCTGCTGACATATTTGAGATGTGTAAGCTAGACGGTGTAGGAAGCGAAAAGCGCCACACCCACCGCGCCCTGCAGATGACAACCGACTGTATAATTACACCAAAAATGGAGGCTATCTCAGTAGAACTCATCTGGATCACTCAATTGCGCTAGTATATCGATGCTATCGCTACCATGAAAGCTCTTGTTCTCGACGCAGAAGCGCGCACAGCGAACATTTCGGAAAACCCGATCCCTCGACCTGCGCCCAATGAGCTTCTGATTAAAGTCGAAAGCGTCTCGCTGAACCCAATCGACCCACTCTATGTTGCAAACCCGTTGGGCAATACGGGACGGACCGTTGGAAGCGACTTTGCCGGCCGGGTAACGGAGGTGGCGTCCCAAGTACCGGCATCCGCCAACATGCAGCCTGGTGTTCGCGTCGCTGGTTTCCTACAGGGCGCATGTAGCGTCAATGACCGCCCCGGTGCGTTTGCAGAATATCTGACTGTTCCTTGGGATCTAGTGTGGCGCATTCCTGCTTCTATTTCCGTTGATGAAGCGGCAGGTGTGAGCTTAGTCGCCTTGACTGCTGCGCAAGGGATTTGGTACCGGATGGGGCTAAATGCACCCTTCCCATACGATCACCGGGCTGTGCTGAAAGAACACCCCGAATGGCAACAAAGCCACGGCCGCGATGAAGATGTGACTGAAACGCTCAACGTGTTCATCTACAGCGCATCCACTTCGGTCGGTCTATACGCGGCGCAAATGGCAAGAGCTAGTGCAAAGACTGCAGGAAAGAAGATCAAGCTTTTCGGTACGGCGAGTAAAGCTCGCTGGGACTTTTTGCAAGCCGAACCATACTTCTACGATCATCTCGTCGAGTACCGAGACCCAACTTGGTCAAGCCAGATCATGGGACTTTCGGATGGCGTGGGTATGCATTATGCATACGACGGACTTTCGGAAGGCGACTCAGTCGCACGTGTCGCATTGACACTCGCAAAGAATGGCAAGATGGCAATCGTACGATCGCGCGAAGGCGGTGCATGGGAGGGAGACAATCTGCCCATCGAACCTGTGTATGGCGCTGTATGGGAAGGTCTCGGTGAAGAAGTGCAGTATCAAGGGATGATTGTTGCAAAGTCGCCAGCGGCCCGAGACTTCGCAGTTGTATTCTACAAGTGGTTGAGCGGGGCCATGGGTTCGGACATCAAGCCTGTACCGGTTCGTGTGATGCCTGGAGGGCTAGAGAAAGTGATCGAGGACGGCTTTGTGTTGCTTGGTGCAGGCGGCATGGGTGATCGCCAGATCAGCCGCGCCGAAGAGTGGATGAGGCCAGTTAGTGCAGAGAAGCTAGTGTACAGGCTGGAGAATTCGACCAGACTTTAGGCAGACAGTAAGCGATGGGAATATCAGTGGCAGTTGGAAAAGGCTCATAGACATGTCTCGTGGGTGATGAATGTGAGTTTCGAACCTACTCACGACGCGTCCACAAATGATTCGTGATGCGCTAAAAGCGCTTACTAAGCCCTCCTTCCAATCTCGTTCCCCGTCCCTGAATCAGAACATCATGCATCTCCGACGACACAATTAGCTCACAATTTACGAATTCGACCATTTGAAATCACTTTCGAAAAGCTTTCATCGTGATTGTGATATTAACCCTTTGCCCATTAGCGACAAAGCAAGTTGTTGCAACTCCTCAAGCCACTGGAAGGATTTCCCTTTCAGATTATGATGCATTGTCTATGGGCAAGCTGTTTGCTTCAGGTTGCATATCCAACAGAATGACACGGGTTGCCACGTCTGACAAACTGTAGGGCTCGCATATGTCTTCCCGAGTTCGCCCGCTGCAATTTCTGGTAGATTCATTCTGCTGCCATCCCAAACAAATACCACTGCATCATTTCGTACTTGTCAAACGCCACGATGGCTGATCACTCGCGGAGACAAGACACCAGCTGTCGCTTTGGTGGGACTTGGTATAGATGCAGCTCGGATTTTGGCGGCTTTTCAGGTTGTTGCACGATGGATCCATGCTCCCGTGCTGGCGGATGCCCGAAAGAGAAGGACATGACGCCAGGTCGCAGTATGTGAATTTTTCCGTATGTACTTGAGATACTTACACCTTGGCAGATACACTGGCAGCCACAAGATCAGCTACTACAACGACCGCATCATCTCGGGTGTCTGAGGCATCATTTGTCAAACTTCCAATACCATCAACATCATACCCTAGGCCAACGACTGCGTCATATTTTGCGGCCGGTACTACTGACACTACTCTGGCTACAGCATACGTTACTCTCGACCATGTTCCATCGGCCACCTCCTCTCACACGGCGGGTCCAACCTCCAACTCTCTGCCTATTGCGGCTATCTTCGGTGTAGCCATCGGCGGCGTCGCCCTTATCGGCCTTGCAGTCTTCTTGTTCATGTGTCGTCGACGTAGAAAGCAGAAGAACATTTACCAGGCACCAATTTACGTTTCGCCTTTCAACACAAACAGCAATATGTACCAGAAGCGTGATGGCACCTACAGATCAAGTTTGCGGGGACCTTCTTTCGATACACAAGATCTTAGTACAAGAGATTCTGGGGTTCATACTGTGGCGGCCACTGCTCCGTCTCCGCATCGTGCGGAACTGCCTGGTGAGTCAGGCTTGGGGACTCACTGAAAGGGTGTTTCGAGTAGCTTCGGAAATCAGATAGGCATGAACAGATGACAACGCATCAATTAGGCTAGATTGAACTTTTGATAACAAAGAAGTACATACTTAGTGCTATATATTTTCCGTGCGATGGGGCTACAACGACACGAGGCAGCAACGAAGCTAGCGGCTGCACCCGCCAACGGCAACCTCACCTGTTCACAACCCTTGTTTTGCCTCTTGCGCCCTTCTCTCCATCCATCAGGACACTCACAGTTTACAAATTCTGCCTTTTCGCTCATACTCACTGTTCACCACCCCTGATCGAAAGCTATTGAAATTTGAGTCGAACGCAGCCCCGCTGACGTCATAGCCACGATCTGGTTTCTGATCATTCTAGACTCACCCAAGGCCTCTCAGAGTTTGAAGCTGTCAAAGGCAATCTAGGAAGAGCTTCAAAGGATTAATCGCAATGTCTGAAGAGACCGTCAAACAATCTTCAGCTTCGGAGGAAAAACCGCCTGTGTCCATACCCCGCTACTTCCGGAACGATGCCCCACTAGCACGACGAGATCCTCATAAGCAACTACTCTCTTCGTTGGACCGCCTCATTACCGAGCATCCGCCTCACCATGTAGAGCCTGGCGGTGGTCTGTACTATGGACCCATCTCGGTGGCTTATCTATTCTACGCGCTGCACAATCTGTACCCGGACCTCAAGCTGGACGACTACCCGTTAAACACCTGGTCAGCAGCCTACATCGAGCAAGCGCAAACCCACATCAAAGATTTTCCGCCGCCGTCTCCGAGCAAATGCGGTGTCTCGAACGACATCATGTCGTTGCTTGCGTTGTATGCAGTCACGGCACAGGACCCAGACACAGTCAAAGAGCTGTGTGATCACGCGGCGGTCATGCTCGAACCAGAAACCAACAACGACTGGATGTTTGGACGTGCTGGGTATCTCTATCTCCTACGTCTTGTTCGTGGAGCATTTGCGCATCACAAAGCGACTCTCGAGCTAATTGAAGACACCGCGGACGAAGTGATCGACAACATCATGGCCAGTCCGCGTCCCTGGAAGTGGCATGGCAAGGCCTACGTTGGCGCTGTGCATGGTGCTATCGGTATCATCACGCAGATTGTGCTCACTGACCCTTCATGGGCGCCTAAGCTCGAGGCTGAATTGGGAGCCTTGCTCAGCTACCAATATGAGAGTGGTAATTTCCCGTCGTCACTCCCGCCGGGTCGCGACAGGCTTGTGCATTTCTGTCACGGCGCACCCGGTGTTGTATCTTCGCTCTTGTCAATTCGGCCGTATTTTCCCGAACTTCATGAACGTATCGACCGCGTCATCACCAAGGGCAGAGAATGTATTTGGGAACGAGGTCTCTTGACCAAGGAGCCGTGTCTGTGCCACGGAATTACGGGCAACGCCCTAGCATTAGACGGCAAGCAGTTCGAGCATTTCATGACCTACACGACGGGACACGAAATCAAGTCAATGGGCAAGGATGGCATGCTTGAGAAGTCGGATGATCCGTCAGCGCTATGGTGCGGTGAGGCCGGCCGTGCTTGGGCTTGGGCGGTGGCCGACAAACAAATTGACAAGCGTCTCCTGGGCTACAACGACATATGAGCCACTTGTTGGCAGACCGGAAGCCACGACGCGGTCGATAATACACGATTGAAATGAATAACGACTTGATAGGACGGTTAGCATCTCCGGTGTGTATTTCGGGTATCACAAGCACATTGAGCTATTTCGTAAGGTTAGTCGTGGGGCCACAGGTACAAATATTAGTGTTCGTGCCAAAAAATATCGCTCTCTTTCATCGATTTGTTTCTCTACGCCACGCATCGCGAGAAAAGAGAGTCTTGCGCTATCTGCTAAATTTCTGATTGGGCCTGTCCAAACGTACATACACGCGAAGTGTCCACGTCTTCAACGAACAGATCTTGAAAACTATCTTTGACAGGTCGCATTTTAGGGTAAGGTACCAAAGTCCCCGAGGCCATCAACCCTGGAGCCCGGTTGTGTTGGGATCCCCATACAAGCTTCCACGCGGGGTGCAACGTCAATCGCAACAACTCTAAGCTGGATTCTCATTAGTCGCCTGATAGCTCTGGAAGCACCTGCCACGAACAGTTCCTGACAGGAAACAAAGTAATCCTTTCGCACTATCGTCATCACACTACCTAGTCGAAATCCAGGAACTTTGCGGCGTGATCACGGGCATGTGTAGCTAAACTTCGCAGCCTCATATCGCAGTTACACGCACAACAACAGTACCATGAGCATTTTGCGACTCTACAACGGTTTGTGACCTACAGAGTTGCGGTCTGCTCAGTTGAGAAAGGAAGCACAATACCAACTCTGGTAAGTACGGCTTTTCCACGTCAGCAATGCCCCTCATCTATACTAACTTCACTGACGCCACTGCGCCATTGTGTCTAAACTATCGTACGATTTCTAGCGCCCTCTTAGGTGCGTGTATTTCGCGTCGCTCGTTCGTCTTCCGCGTTTTTGCTCCTACCCCTAGGCGCGCGATGATGGCTTATCACAACTTCACCGCAAGCCCTCTGTCGTTAGCATGGCCAGTCATGATCTTGACAATCACTACTACATTGTCACAAAGTCACCGTTTGGTTCTTCTGCTTCTTCACTCTGGTGCTGCGTTGGTACGATTATGGCTTAGCGGCGACTCTGTTCGGTCTCACTCTCACCACCCCGGATTCTACTGGTGAAAAGGCGAAAACAACGTCGCGTCAACGGACGCAAAAGAAACGACCAGCATGTAATCGCCTCTTTGCAATCCACTGGTGGTCTTTTGTTCCGTTAAGACATAGCTCCGGGAAAGGGTGGGGCGAGTGTCGGCTTCGTCAGTAGCTTTCCACTTTTACCTTCGAACGGACCCTCAGGCCGTTTGTACACCAGCCGCGGCGGGCAATATAATACACCAAGGCTTCCCAGCTCGCTTCTAACAAGGCGCATAGATTCAATTCCCACACTCGTTTCTCAATATGCCTACTCTATGGGCTGTCGTGTCCCTGGTCTGGTCGCTCTTCGCCACAATTTCAACTGGCGATCCAGTAGACACGTACACGGGTCTTCAATCGCGGCAAAGCAGCGTGAGCATAGTCTCCGGTATCAGCTGGCGAGATGAGCACGGTACCCGAGGCTGCCTCCCCGACCCGTCGACCGCGAACTAAAGACGTGTAGGAAATGTCGCAGTGCGCAGAGAGGCCCGGGACCTTAAAGCAAATCACCCAGAGCAATGGAGCTTGTATTTGCTTGGTCTATCCAGTCTACAATGGCTGGACCAGTCTGACCCTCTCTCGTACTATGGCCTCGCCAGTAAGTGTCACTCGCAGATCTGGAGGTGGTAGATGTTAATGTCAAATTTGTAGGTATCCACGGTCGGCCGTACAAAACTTGGGGAGATGTCCCAGGCGTCCCATCAAAATCCGGTACAGCGGGATATTGCACCCACGCAAATGCTCTCTTCCTCCCATGGCACAGACCTTATTTGGCCCTCTTTGAGGTAACTATATATTGCAAGCCTATAGTTCTATTTTCTGATCTCCTGTCAGGAACAAGTATACAAGCGCGTACAGCACTATGCTGAAGAGGCAACTGAAGATGTGAAAGAGCGATACCAGGCTGCCGCAAACTCGTTCCGTCTTCCATACTGGGACTGGGCACTGGGAGAGGGCGACGGCCCAATTCCTGACTTCTTCACTGCACAAATGATCAATGTCACGAGACCCAATGGCCAGCAACAAGAACTCTGGAACCCACTCTACGCTTTTTACTTCCATCCGCTAGTGCCCGGAGACTTTGAGAGCAAGGTACGGTAGATATTCGGTCTTGTAATTTGTTGCTAACCATTGCTATAGTGGGCAAATCAAAACGAGACTTTACGATGGCCAAGCAACGACTCTTTCAATGCTGTTTCCGACCAGCAGGCTATGCAAGATGATTATAAAATTCAACAACGTAGCCTGCACGACCACGTCGCTCAAGCTTATCGCACCAACACCTTGGAGGCGTTTAGCCACACCATTGAAGAAGCCCACGGTTGGATACATGGCATTATTGGAGGGGGATGGAATGGAAAACGTTCAACCGGTCACATGTGGCCTCTGGAGTACTCAGCCTATGAGCCGATGTTCATGCTCCATCACGCGCACGTAGCAGCAATCGCACTTTCAACGCATCACAACTAACCTGTTATTGCAGTAACGTCGACCGCCTCTACGCAATCTACCAAGCCCAGCATCCCGATCGGCCCTTACAGCCCTCAAACATCGGCCAGAACGGCAACGTCTGGCTCGAAAATGACGCGACCGTCAATGGAAATACTTCTCTCTTACCGTTCCGCAAGGCTTCGGGCGGCTTCTGGACGCCAAACGACGTGGAGATGACGGAAACATTTGGTTACGCATATCCCGAGACGTTCAAGGCGGCCCCGCATATGAACGAATATGTGAACGAACATGAAGGAGAAGATGAAGAAGATGAAGAAGATGCGTGGGAAGATGAGGAAGAGGACTGGGACCTTTCAGCCCGCGCATCCGCCTCGGTCGCTCGTCTGTACAGTCCCAGTGCCAGAAACATGCTCACCGCCAATCCAGCAACTGCAGGAGGCACCGTGCAACTCGTGACGAACGGCACATTCACGGACTGGGCCATCGCCACTGAAGCTCTGGCCCACGAGCTCCCGTCCACGTTCATCGTGCGCTTCTTACTGACTGGCGACTTCTCGTCCGATCCCAGCGTCGATGTTGGTAGCTGGGTCAACGCCATGCCCCAAAGCCACGAAGAGATGAGGAAGAGAACTGCGACGACCGAACAGACGTACAAAAGCAGCATCAGTCTGACGAGCAGTTTGCTAGACCAGATCAAAGCTGGTAAACTTGAATCGCTCGACGCAAAAGACGTCGTGCCGTATCTGACAGACAAGCTGAGCTGGAGGGTTCTCAAGGTACGTATCTCTTACTCTAGAGCAAGTATCAATACTGACAACAAGACAGGGCGACGGCACATCCCTCCCACAAAAAGATCTCGGCCCTCTCACCTTCGAAGTCGTCAGCACGAAAGCGCACATCCCGCACGACGCCGACAAGCCCATCTCATACAGCGAAAAAGTGGTCAAACACCCCGAGGTCACGAGCGGCAAAGCCGGTGGCGTGGCAGCCTGATACTCCCCAGCTACCTTCCCTTCTGCAAGCTAGAATGATTCCAGCGAAGCCTTAATTCCTCTCCCTTCGTAATTTACACAAGTCGCTCTTGGTAGAAATAGGATTTCATAGATTTTGACCAGAACACACACGATTTCCTTGCCTAAGCCCCCCCCCCTCTGCCCCGCAGCGTTTTACCCCGGCGGATCCGGTTTACATGCAAACGTACACCTACTCTCCCTCTCTCCCTCCCCCTCCCCCTCCCATCCTCCCACCGCTCAGTTCCACCGACTCCGTCTCGCACTTGAAATCCACATCCGTCTACCCAGACACATACACAACACCGCTCCTATACCCAAAACGCCAGCCACTCCGCATTTGGAAATTTCCACGTCGCGTGTTGCCACATGCTATATCAGCTATGTCAGCGTCGAGTTGAGATTGAACGCGGAAAGGTAGCAAACGTGACGTACACAGCAAACTCATCCCCCTTCGCCATTCCCTCCTGCAATCCCACAATCACTCGCGATTCGTCTTCATACACATAGCTAGCCATGTTGACAGGCACTCCGCTCGACCAGCTATTGTGGTAAGATAGAGCGCTGCGGGCAGGGTAGGGTACAGGACGGACCTGAGATTGTTGATTCCGCCGCTGCTGTCGAAGAATTGCGCTGTCAGGACGGATGCCTAATCATGGGGTCGAGTGGGATTAAGGGCTCGTGGAGGGTCATGTGCAGGTGGCAGTTGGGGGCTCTTGGTGGTTAGCGCAAGGGTGCAAGGGTGCAAGGGGTGAGGAGGAGGGAAAGGGTGGAGGGCTTCATGGTGCGTGATGATTGACAACGCTGGGGAATAGAGGGGAGATACATAGGCACAGAGTGCCGGGCCCGTCTGGTGGAAAGCAAGTCGTGGTCTTGTTGAGGGCTGCTTTGGGAGTAACACGGGAAGCTGTGGTCGCTGTATCTGTCTCTAGCTATCCGTAGTAGGTCTACGAGCTTAGATCTTCTCCCAATACAGGCTTTGTCCCATACATCTCGACGCCCACCTGCTCTCATTTTGCCTCTAACTCGACTCATATCCCAGCCTACCTCGTTCCACCCAGCCTGATCCCTCAGATTTACTGTACCCATCCCTCTTAGCCGCAGCACATGCATTATCCAACCTCTCCCTCAAACACGATTCTTGGTACAATACCAGCACACCTTTAGATCGCAATCGGAGCAGCAGTTTACCCAGCGATCCTGGTGTCCGCACTTGTGACATGTAGTGTTCCACCCGTTGCTTCTATAGAAGCGCTCGAAGTGGTGTTCGTGCTGCTGGCGCTGATCTCTCTGGTTCTGGCGCCTCTTGTTCCTGTTATTGGCCCTTGGGGCTGGTGCTTGCTGTGGTGCTTGCTGAGGTGCTTGCTGAGGTGCTGGCTGTGGTGCTGGCACAGGAGCAGGCTGAAACACAGCATTTAACTGAGCTTGTGCATGATTGAGCGCAGCCATAAATGCAGCATTCGGTGCTGGCAATGGAGCTGGTGCTTGAAAAGGTGCAACGACTGGTGCGGGTGCAGGTGCAGCTCGAGCGACACCGGGCTGAGGAGGGTTGATGATATTCCGCTCGTCCCAGAGCGGACAGTCGCAAGTCTTCCACTTGGTCACGCACAGGTAACAAAACTGATGGCGACAACGACAACTGATTGACGTGTTAGCAATCGACTGTTTGATTGAAACGCACAACCTACGTGATGTGATAGCAACCTCGCTCTAGCTCTACCATCTCCTTGCAGTTCGGACATGTCTGCCAGCGCTTCTCCTTGGCGAAGGACATTAGCTCCTTAACGTCTTTATCTTCGGGACACAAGCCACCATGTTGCTTGCCCTTGCACGTGGCGCAGGTTTTCTCTTTACAGTCTGCACAGGTACCCACGTTGGCCTGGATGTCGGCAGGTCGCACCCACTTCGAACACTTATTGTTGCTACAATAAGTTCGGTCGGAGGTGCCCAGCTCCTCACGTCTCTCAACAAATTTGGCTATCAAAGGCTGAGTCAGGAACGGCGTGCAGCTGAACAAGGGAATGATTCTGTTGCAGCAGCGTGGCGGGAAGTGCGAAGGATCGGTGACCGAGGACTGGAAAAGACGTTGGAGACAGTCTCGGCAGTATGCGTGATTCTCAGGCTCATCGTCGTCTTTGCAAGGAAGCTGCAGCATATCATGCATGGGGTGCATATCAAGACAGGATGAGCAGGTGCCTCTGGAGACAGCGCTGACCTTGTCAGCGGCCTTTTCTGTCTCTAATACAGACTTGGTCGCTGCAGCGGTATAGAGCCTGGATGCTACGCCGCCGCCCTCCATATCATGTCTGAGTCGCTTTGTGCGGCCATCGTCACGTTCTCGCAAGACAACAGGATCCAAAGACGCAACGCGCTTCTGCGTCTTCGAAGGGCCTGGCTCAAGGGTTCCTCGGGGAGGCGCCTCCGCGTCAGGAACTTCCTCCACAGTAGCCTGCTTACTTGCCATGACACTCTCGCTCGCTGCCTTCTTCTCGATCTTTAGCGTCAATTGCTCTTCAGCAGCACGCTTGAGAGATGCGGGTAGCTTGGGCAACCCTGCAGCAATCTGGGTGCCACTGAGATCGAAGCGAAGCTTTCCCAGAGCGGACGCTGGTCCGTTGATGGCTTCGTTCTGTCGAGCCGTGGTCTGGTCGTTTGCAGAACGGTTTGCCGGAGGCGGTGCACGCTGTGGCACAGGCTTTCCCCCGAGTCTACATGCCATGTCATGATCGCCTTCAAAAAGTCAGTTGTGCTCACGTAATATAAGTGTTTACGTACGCTCAGCCTGTTGCTCCTCGCTAAGAAGGCGTTTGAACGCAGCGTGGTTGTTATTCTCTTCCTTGAGGATGTTGTACGCGATATACTGGCCGCTGACTTCTTGCCACTTGCGGACGAGCTCCTCACGAAGCATCGAGAACGCAACTTTCTCGCTCATTGCCGCTGCGTTGATATCGTTCGGCGGAAAGGCCTTGAGTATTGCGTCGACATCGTCGAGCTGCAGCTTCAGCGCCATGCGAGCGGTTGCTGGATCCATTATTGCGGCGAGGAGTTGGCGGTCGCCCGGACAGTGATAAGATCACAACATATAGATGCGGAAAAGAAAGCACAGCTGAAAGCGTGGTGTCAACGGCATGGCTTGAGTGTGAGTGTGAGAGTGAGCTGCGACGAACAGGTGACGTTTGCCAAGACTTGTTGAAGCTGAGGAAGGCACACCCCGGCGAAAGGTGAGAGAGTAATGACATGTTGAGGAAAATCAAGTGAGAGGTGAGATGGAAAGGGCAACGAGAATATAGAAAAGCCAATCGGATGATGAAGGGAGAAGAAGTGATTACGATCAGTGGCAAGCCTCACCGGCGCCTTCAATTCTGGATTTGATCCCAACTTTTAAGCCAACAAGCTCTTTGCTATCCACAATCCTCCTCGCTCAGCACCATCACATCGCGCTGATGTGATAGTCACACCTCCAATAAAATACCAGACCACGGCGCTGCGGCTCCGTCTCAACTCTCCCGCCGTGATTCTCTTCCATACAAGAGCCTGTTCTCCAAAGCTGCAACAAGGTGTGTCAAGATTATGAATGGCAAACATGCCAAACCCAAAACGCCGCTGACGATGCTATGATCTGGGGTGGTAAAGCAAAACCACGAGCTGCAGGGCGTGCCTTGTGAAGTGAATGAAGCCAATCCGTGGATGGCGGGACCGTGAACCAAATGTCCGATGAATGTAAAACGACGCCTGTTCGCCCAGCCAGGATGGTAGATGCATCCCAAGCGCAACTTTTCGCTATCATTGAGAAGTGAATTGCTGTCCATGCGCCGGTACGCCAATTTAGGTATTACTCGATCACCCTGCGCCAGCAGTGCCGATCTGTGTCTGCTTCTGATATGCGGGTGACCGGTAGCTGTGTCGATGGGGCGAAGCAGTTCGACTCCGTGCCGAGCCGTCTTCATTTCGCCTAAATTGCGGGTCCGGAGATGTCATGTCTTGTGGTTGTGGTGAATTATTGGCATTCGAATTTGCCATTCCAGGGCCGACGTGACGGACCGAAGCCTCACCAGCGTATGGTTGAGGGTTGCTGTTTGCTGGAGTGATTTGTGGGGCATTCCGCTGATCCTTTTTGGAAGCAGCAGGACCTTGGTTCCTTGGTGAGGCCGTGGGGGCCAAAATAGGGTTTTTGCCCCGTTCCTCCCACTGTCGCATTATCTCTTTTGCAGACATGTCAGATGACGTGTCATCATTGAGTAGTTCCATAATCTCCGGTGGGACCTGGGCAGGTTAGTACGGGTCGCCTGGAACCATAGATGGGATGCCTTACCTCAGAGAACTCGTCATTGTTCTCAATGAGATCGAACACGACCTTGACTGCGCCCTGGTCTACATTCCGCATCTCCTTGTCGTTGCTCTCTCGCAGAATGTTTGGAGCCATAACAGTAGCAATGTTCCAGGTGTCCATCTTATTACCTGTCTCTTCATCGACAGTGTGGAAAGAAGACACCCAGTTCAAGAAGCGGAAGAGCACTTCCATTGTATCGCGATGCGCTTTTGGTAACAAACATAGGACCAAGTGCAGGACTTTCTTCCTCTGCTCCTCGTCTTCGATGTCTGAAAGAATATTAGTTATGTCAAAATAGTTATAGGTGATTGCGCCTTACCGTTAGCGACCATGAAAAGCCGGTACAGCTTCAATGTTAACACAGGATCTGGCATGAGCCGAAGGAACCTCTTCAGCAAGTTGGCGAGAATGACAGGATTCTTCGAGTTCAGGTCGACTTGCTCAACACCCTTCGCATCAACTTCTTCCTCGAGTTCACGAAGAGCCTTGAGGTTTCCATTCTTACGAAACACGCCTTCAATAGACATGTCCATACTTCTCATTGCAGTGATGGCATTTTCAAGCAGCGCTGGGACCTTCAATGCACCAGGCCCAACACCTTCAGTGCAGTCGGCGCCAAACTTCTCAACCAAATATTCCAGAGATTGCCTGAACGTGGCCTTGTCCGTGACTGGCTTCTCTGCGCCCACAACGGTCTTCTTTGGCTTGCTCTTCGCCTTCCCAAAGCCAATCTTTCCCCAGAAGTTATTCTTCTTTGATTCGATGAGGTCCAAGAGCTCTCCCTGGTTGTACTGGTTGTCATCTAGGAGCAACCCTAGCTGAAGTACAGCTAGGCCTTTCAGCTTGAAGTACTCGAGCGGTGATAGCTCCGAAAAGTAGGTTCGTGATCGACCGTCAGCCATGTTTTGTAATTCCTGGCCGCCGGAAAAGTCCCGTCTGTGACCGTTTCGTAATCGAGGCTGGTCATTTTCACCCAGGAGAGCGCTTCCACCAGCCCGGAAAGCATTCGGCCGCTGCTCTCGCTGCTGCTCCAAAGCCGCCATGCGAGCAATGTCGTCTAGAGCAAGGGAGTTGACATTCAGTGTGGTGTTGTCAGGGTCGTTCTGCATTTCACGTTCTTGGACGATTTGCATGCCGCCTCTCATTTGAGCATCGCCACCAGCCTGAATGCCATCCGGTCCGTCAATGATTCTGGAAGCGCGTGCGCGCTTCATTGTGTTTGATAAATGCTTATCAAGACGTGTGGAGCGGAGCCGCTTGATGTCGGACATGGATTGTTCATACGCCGAGTTGTCCCTCTGACCTTCGTTGGTCGAAACGCCTCCATACGATTTTGAGCGCGCGTCTTGCTGCAAGCGTGGAACCGGTAGATCAGATCCCGTGTCTCCAAGACGGTGTCCCTGGGATGAATCATATCCTCCTAGGTTGGGATCATCTATGGGTCATTAGTGGGACGAATGTAATCTCGGTAGCGGTGCCAGAAATCTGAGCCGGGTGTCAAGAGAAGTAGTGGTGAGGGGCTTCATGTGTGAAGAAAGGGTGTCACTTACCAGAAGTGTGTGGTAACGCACCACTGGAGCGCAGTGTTGCCATCAAGCGGGCATGGGCCACCTTCAATAGATGGACGTACTGCCGCAGCTTGGTGACGTGCTCAAATCCCTTCTCGGCATCTGCTTGGGCCGCAGCACAAGCTGGACAGAAGACTCTCTGCTGGGACTTACTCCAGTATGCATTCCGTACGTCGCGGCGGAGATCAGCATTACATCCGCGGCACATCATACAGCTGTAGTTGAAGGACATGTCGTTCAGGTGGACACATTTGTCTTCGACCTGAGCGTCGCAAATGGGACAGGCGTCTGCCCATCTTGGTACCAGGATTGCGGCTTCTGCAGCCTGGTCCCTTCCAGCCTCTTCTTCCAAACGTGTGTCGAGGCTGTTGACCTGGGTGAGGAATTGGGTGAGGCCGCTCGAAGATCGGGTCTCACGCTCGAGCTTGAGCGATCCTTGGAGACATATCCGAATGAGGAGCTTCAAGTAGTGGGCCAGCCCAGTAACAAGAGAGAGAAGTTCCTGAGTGACGCCGAGTCGCCGGACGCCGGTTCCCTGGGATTGTGTAAGGAGCGCAAAGAAAGCTACCACTTTCTTACAGAGCAACTTGGACTCGCGCGAGTATGTCAGGCCTTTGGGTGTGCGTTGGACCAATTGCGCGTCGAGTTCGTCTGCGGCTGCAAATAAGAGCTCCACATGCACAATGAACTTTTTGGCTGCCATGACGCCGTCAACGTAGGCGCCATTGCTGACGTGGAGCAGCATGTCGGAAATGCACGTGGCCGATTTCTCTTCGAAGGCGGAGAGTGTTTTCCAAATCCAGTTGACCTTGGCCTCGATCTCTTCTTCCTGTTGGCGCACGGTCTCCCGAACCTCGTCGGTCGCATCGCTTTCGCTAATGTGCATGTGTTCAATGACAGGTTGTCCAGTCGAGTGCAGTCGGACATTCCAGTACTTGTGTATCATATAGCATTCGGGATGCCAATGTTGATTCTGTCCATTGCGATAAATTTCGACGAATTGCTTGAGAATCGACGTTTGACAGCCGTTGCACCGCTGGGCAAACTTGGTCGAGTAATGATAGTGGCAGTATACGCTGCCTTCATGCTCATAGTAGCTGTCTGATGCACCGAAGACGGTCGGGCATACTGAGCACGTGAAATGCTCGATGTGGTATTTCCGGTCTAGCGCGGTGATGTAAGAGCCGCGGAGGGCTTGCCCGCATTCAAAACACAACAAATCGAGGCGTCGGAAATAGTCGGTTTCGCACAACGGATATTGGCCTGGAGGCTTTTCTGGTACGGGAAAGAATTTGGAAGCTACAATCTTGCCGCAGTCCTGCATTTGTTAGCACGGTGATCAATGAATGTTACAGAGTCTTGTCTTGATCAAGACGGCGCACGACAACTCAGCATTGCAGAATCATCACACGCCCAGTCGCGCTGAAATAACAGGGTGTCTTACGTGACATGTGAAGCACTCCAGATGGTATGTATCTCCCAACGCTCTCACGAACTGTCCAGTCAAGCCTTCCCCACACTTTCCGCAAATCTTCCCACTCCGTTTGGGCTTCGGCTGGTTCAGTTGGTCGGGGTCTGTCGCTGAGCGCATGGGAAGATCGGAGCGGGCGTGTGGAGCTAAGCCATTGGATGATTGTGCGTCGTGCTCGTCAGTCCGCCGTCTTGCAAGGCCATTGCTGCGGGGGTCGTAGTCGTAGGCGTGGAGCTGCGGTCCACCTGGGCCCTCTGCGTACGGCACGCCATCGCCATGTGATCCCATATCCGCTTACAGCTTCTCCACCAGTTCGCAGGAACGTGAGGTTGTGGTGCTGTAGCCGAGGCCAACACAACGCGTGCGACGATTGGGGGGCAACACCTGGAGCTGTGCAGATCACGTGCGCAAGAGTGACCTGTTAAATCGGTGCTGTTGTCCCGTGGGTTTGGAAAGTCGCCTACGCCAGATGGTGGATGGTCGTGGTGTGGAGAAAGGTTGGCGGCTCCCCGTTCGGCGGTGAGAGATGGTTGGCAGGGTCAATTAGCAGCGGCGGGAAGGGGACTATGTACAGGCGGTGCGGAGGCGGGTTCGGGATCATGCGTGCGCCGCGACGAGGAGGCGAAATGTGGTGTCGTCGGGCAACAGCTGGTCGAGAGCTACGAGGGGCGCCGAACTGGACCCTGAGCGCTGGGTGAAACACCGCCAGGGTAGCCGGCGAAGGAGGGGGGGTGAAGGCAGGACAGGTCGCAGCAGCACGACGCCGGGTGGGGAGAGTGAAGAGGGCGTCGGGCGTCGTGTGTCGGTGTGGTGGTGTTGCAGGCAAAGTGGCTCTGGTGCATCAATGTCGAGCATCACCAAAGGGCGCTAAGGCCGCATTCAGCAGAGGCCAGCGGGAAATTGGCCTTGCACATCCACATTTGCAAAGCCGGCAGCACCTTCATCGTGCGCCCTGAGCTTAATTTAGACGCCATAACTGCTGTCTACGCATCACATGTCTTCATTAGCACGAGTTATGAAGGCGTCGCGCGGCGAGACGCGTGTCCGTGGCGGCTACAATGTGTGCATGCGAAGCAATTGCCACATGCTGGAGTGCCGTCTACGTTTGGGCGGCCTGCATCTACCTGCGTCTACACATGCCAGCTCACAGCCCTTCTCGGGGGCATGTCCATGGCCGGCGGGCAGGATTCCCATGTCTGTCTCAGCACCCCAGCGCGGTGAAGTAAGCCAGCGGGGCAGGCGCGTCCGAGCGCTTTCGACGTCTTGGCACCGACTTCGCGATACTTTCTAGCTGTGCGAGACGGCAGCGTGAGACATTGCCGCGCCGCCTCACCGACACCGACACCGACACAGCATTCCGGGGAATTGACGCGACTGCCCTCGCTTATAATCGCGCCTGCCACATTCGTCCACAAACAAAACACCCACAGGCACAAAGACCCCAGCCATAACAAAGGCTGCTTATATCAGCTCCCTCACCCGCAACCACCTCACCTCCACACCTGCACACCCGCACACACCCCGCCATGGAAGACGACCCCCAGCCACAGCGCCCCGTCCAGCAGGTGCAGGTCTTCCGCGCCCCGCGCCTCGTCTCGCGCCCGAAGCCGCGCATGGAGCAGGAGGAAGAGATGGGCAACGAGATCAAGCTGGGCGACTTTGAGGACGTACACGCCCTGTCCGTCTCGGAAGCGCGCGCCGTCGTTACTGCAGTCCACGAGGCGCGGCGGAAAAAGGACCCCGAGAACAACCCCCTGCGCGACCGCATCCACAACGACCAGCCCGTCATCATGCACTTCCTCGAGTACCTCGACAACTTCTCGCGCTACAAGCAGGAGGAGAGCCTGCATTCCATCGCCGCGCTTTTCGACACCCACCCTGAGCTGACGACCGTCGAGAAGGCCCTGCTAGGTACTTTATGGCAAGGACGAGAGGAGAGAGGCGAAGGCTGATGGCTGTTAGGAACCCTCACACCAGACACCGCCGATGAGGCTACGACGCTTATCCCGTCACTGGCGAGCAAAATGGACAGCGACACACTGCAGCCTATATTGGACGAGCTGACTAAGATGCGTATGTTGGACAAGATCGCCCGTGGTCACCACAAGTGAATAATGGAGCTGACTTCTCCGACAGAGGATCGCCTTCGATGAGCTACACACGTCGCTTTACATGGCTTGAAGAGCCTGACTAACACAGTGGCTTGCCTGTACGAGCTATGCGACAACGCACCGCCATCACAGAACTTGCCGTCCTTATTGCAGATAGCTCACTGTCACCCACGACACAGCACAGATGCAACATCAGTCACGCTTTTGCGATGGGCACAGAATACTATGACGAGACAGGGCATTGCCCTCGCATGACTGAGACATCACCTATACATTGGATTTCCACCCTTGGTATATCGGAAGCAAATCAGAATCAATTGATGTATCGCTCCATTTCATAACTTGATTCATATCCCAACCGCGATGCGCAATACAGCTGTGCTACAGCACTGACTCGTATATCACACGGCGAGATAGCTTCGTGAACAAACATTTTCCTCCACTTCCCTCCTGTTTTCACACACTGCCCACGCCACATTCACCGTCACCATCACCGATACCTACACTTCATGCCCGCCTCTCCGATCTCCCCTCACCATCACTCCCGCGCTTGCACCTGCCGACAACCTCTCCTTCTCTCCATCTCACACTTGCGGTCATGTGTTTGTGCTTGTTTGGAAAAGCACTCTTGCTGACACGGACTTAGTACCGTGCGCGAGTTCGACGAGGCTAGTATCTAGATACAAAGATATCCGAGAACAGGAGAACCGGGTGGGGAATTACTAATCGCTAAACATGGGAGAGCTTCTGTGCCTGTTGGCGCTTTCATATCTACGATGAAATACATGGGGACAAAAACTACCTGATATGCTACTGCAAGATCTTGATCCGGCGCGCGTCTCTAAGCAAACTCATATTTGACTAAATAATACAATGGTGTATGGACGCATGAAACACATCAGAAACTTGATGATATTGTAGAAAACCCGTCGCCATACTTTGAGAAATGTTAGATAGAAGTTTGTCAAAGCATTCGACTTTGGGTGAGACTGGCTTGATGGAATCAAAACTCGAATAGAGAGACGAACCATGCATCTTATTCGTACAAAATCGCTTGATCTGTTGATTAAGACATACGTAGGAACATATCGCTTCGTTAGCGTTTCACTCGAGTGACAGTGGTCGGCATCCGATTCGGAGCAGATCACTGCTGCCTACTGATAGCGACACCCGCTACCAACGTACCTAGAAAGACTTGAACATGCTTCTACTCAAACTTTAAACTTAACACTCCAACACCTCAACCCCTCAACCGCGACAAAACTCCTAAGCTCGCGCTCAAATGTACTCGCTGCTGCCGGAAGTCTTTCGGAAAGGCCCGTCCGAGCCTAGGAAGATCACTCCAGGCCAGGCAGATTCTCAAACCATGTCCGAGAAGACCCTACTAGATGGTACTTCTCCGTCACTTCTGTCGCTCCCCCTTGAGCTCCGACTGATGATCTACTAACATCTCATACCCAATCGAACATACTCGTTCACTGCTCTTCCACAGTATGGCGGATTCCGGGGAACATGTCGTCAGCTCCGTGACGAGTTTGACTACGAAGCTGCGAAGAAGATTTCGATCGAGTACCCTTGGCCGCTCCGTCCCAACAAGTTCGCAATGTCTCTTCTGTATCACCACCCAGCAACCAGCAGTTGTCGAGCGGACATCTCGACTCTCGAGGTCAGCATCACATATCCTCGGTATTGGAACCTGAAATTCGACGTTGAACTGCATGGGAGTTTCATACAAGCCAAGTGGGAAAAGCGAAGTAAATTGGAGCCACGGAGAGAAGCTTGGCAGGCATATTCTATCATAGGAATTGGCTGCTCTACGGCGCTTGGCTTAGTGGGATATGCGGTATATCGTTGTGTATTTTTGCGGTATCTGGTGGCCTACTATAGTTCTGGTGAGTAACAGCTGAGCCAGGATGAGGGAGCATGCATGAGCAGTAAGCCCAAGACAACTCGCAATTTGTAGGCCGAGTCTTTAGCCATTTTGAACCTTTTTCGGAATAATTTGTCTTTCGATGTCTCACACCCACTTCAATCATAGTGCTCAAATTCGTCGTTTGCTCAGCAAATTCGACCTTCTCGTCTGTCGTATAACACAATGTCCCCGTAACGTACAGTGCAAAGGAACTCACCAGGACCCACCTCCCCGAGCTGACGAGGAGTGAATGTAGAATTTGACCGAGGAGTGCACGTCTCTCTCACGCGTTGTGCGATGAAAAAAGCATCGAGGTGTCTTCACAATGTCACTATGGGTACTCCGGACGTGAGTCTCGAGTTGCGACGAGCATTCACATCAGAATGCTGCCATTGCATTATCTTCCCAGCTCCTGGAACAAGAAATATCCTTCCAATCACTACCATCAACACCCGGCTCAAACTCATTGCCACGCTTCCGTAGTGCTGCAATCACACTATACCCTCAATGCTAAAGACATTCTTTCCAATGCGCATCCCCAAAGCCAGCGTTGTCGGTATTTCTATGACTAAGGAACAAGCCACTGAGCTTCATAGCATCACTAACTTGCTAGTCACTATCATCTACCAACAATTCTACGCCATTGAAGCGTTTAACCGGTTCACCAAACTTGGCCTATCACCCCATCTCAATGAAGTTCAACAGCGCCAATCTCGCTTCCAGACTCGACTGTCTGATTTGATCAAGGCCACCAAGGACTCTAGTCAGGCATGGCTCCGCGAACTCATGGACGGTCAGGAAGCCATCCTCCGCAAGATTCGACAGTGCAACCACATGGCTCGGCATACGCTCAGCTGGAAAGACAGCGCAATAATGTACTGGCCACACATCTCAGACTCGTATGAGATCTTGCGACCAGTACTGGAGCGCTTGCACCAGGAACTGGGGGGTGCGATTGAGAACGGGCAATTGTGGGCACCGAAGACTCGAACAGATGCAATTTCCAAGGTGCAAGCCCGCCGTCATTCCATGGTTGACTGGTTTGGCCAGACCCGGCGCCTCGCTCTGGTGGCTGCACCACGTGCATCGCACAAGACTGTCAGGTTTGACAAGGAGGTCCAGGCGCGGTGGCTGGATGCGAAGGAGGAGCCGGAGAAGATCAAGGACGCGAGGAAACTCACGTTGCAGTTGACGACGGATAAGAAGAATACGGCTAAGTTGAAGAAGTTCCAGGCGAGGCGGACGTCGTTGCAGCAACGGAAGAAGGACGGTAAGAGCGAGTCGGAGTCGGAGTTGGAGTCGGAGCCAGAGTCAGAAGTGGAGGTTCAGGAGAGTGTTATGCAAGAGGTCGAAGACGAGGATGCGATTACGCCTATTCCTTACTGAAGTCTATTGCAGACGATGACTTCTGAGGACCGTAGAGTAGGATGCTCTATGCTTTTGAATTATGCTCGTGCGTGATGGTGTTCGACTGACACACGAATTCTAGAAACAGTGCTGCAATTACCATTAATCGATTCGAGCCTGGCTCATCACACGACTAGCCTTATCATATTCCCTTCACCGCAACAATAAAGAACCTCGGATAATCTAACATGACTTTGCCATCAGTCAATGTTGGATAACTTTTCGTCAACAACTCCTCATACTTTAGCAGGTACGCCACCTTTGCCTCTTCGTCTTTAATCAAGTTCAGGAACGGCTGTAATCCCGTTCCTTTTACCCATTCCACGATCGCTTTTGCATCGTTTAGAATATGGCTGTATGTCGTTTTCCACATATTCACTTCGCCGGCAATAGGCACCAGGGCGTCGTAGTAAGCCCGCTTAGATTCGATAGGATCGAGTTGTGGTCTGTCTTTCCAATGCGATCCCTTCTCCCTCTCCTGGAAAAACGGAAGAAGATATGGACTCCATGGCTGATTGTGCATACCAGCCGCTGTACGCATGGCCACGTGACTAGGCTCCATGTAATTATCCGGGACTTGTATCGCCAACACACCGCCGGGTGCGAGAGTCTGAAAGAGTCTGACCAAAGTCGGGATACGCGTATCGGCGCGTAACCAGTGAAATACTGCATTACTAAATAGAAGATCGGGTTGCGTGCTTGGTGTGAAGGTCGTCACATCGCCTTGGACGAATTCTGTATCGGGCATGTCCGCACGTGCTTTCTTCAGCATGTCCGGCGATGAGTCCACTCCCGTGATGCTTGCGCGTTCGAATGCGGAGCGGAGCACGGCCGTAGAATTGCTCGGGCCGCAGCCCAGATCGAAGATCACAGGGGCAGTGGAACTGATGTGCGGTTTTATTTGTGCGATTAGATCGTGCACTGGGCGCGTGCGCGGAGTATTGAACTTGAGGTATTGAGAGGCGGACCAATCTTTTTGCTTCGTGTCGGGTGCGGTTTCTGATGAAGACATTGCGCGAATGAAACACGACGCGCAGGGTGAACCGCGGTGTATACTGCGAACAAGAGCCGGGACGCGTAGCATGGCTCGAATACCTCCTCAAAGAATTTGCGAGTGAATTATTTGGTATTGGATGAACATAGGGAGGAGAGGAAGTGGTGTTGCTAGCTGTGAGAGTGACTAAGCGCGTAGCTCACTTCAACCTCGGAAGTTGTCCGATATTTAACCGTCTCCTCACAACACACTCTCCACCAAATTTATCATGAATCGGAGCATCGCTCAGTTATGAGGAAGAATGCGAGTTTACCCTGATACAACGTGTTCCCTTTAACAATTATGCAGGAAGGGTAAGCTATCTACCTAGGTATCGTCAATAGACGCTTATGGCCAGACCTTGCATCAGGATGGTCGTGTATTTCGCCAAAGGCACGGTGCATAGTCGCGTTCGGTGCTGCTGGTGGTCCTGCAAAAATCGTCTGCTTCAGGCGCATCATGGAGATGCTCTCGTTTAATGAAAGCGCGATCCAGCATGAGAGCCGTGTGAAGTAAGGGGGACCATCGTATCAATGACCACACGCCATGACGAGCCCTAGGTCGGCGAGCAATCGGCATCTGCTTTCCTCAGATCTTTAATACCGACCGGCAGATTCGCCTATTTTAGAAAGGCTCGAGCATGTAGAAGTTGGGCTTGCACGGAGAGCTCCGCAGCAACCTTTTTTTTGCACCTGGATCTAAAGCGTTGGTCGCTCAACGGACACATTCTAGCGCCCGCTGCAGGGGCACATCCTCCACGTGGATTGTAAGCGATCACCACTAGGGGCGATCGAGCGCTTCAGATAGCTCAACCTCATCTCCCGGTCCGTCCATAAGAATATTTGGCCGCTCATTATTGAAAGTGCAGCACACTAGTATATGGTGTAGAGGCGAACTAGAGATTCTCGGCGGCAATGCACCGAATGCGACGGGCGACGCAGCTACCCAGTCGTCCTTGTGAATTTACGAGTATCAAGCTTGCGAGTCATCATTCGCGACAAATACATCTACTCCTTTCGGCCGTAGCAATCAGTGAACGCTCATTGCTGACAGGACGCCTGCTTGGCCTAACTTGGCTGGTTATCTTTGCGCGGCAATCGATTCCCAATGCAACAACAACCGAGCATTCTTCGCCACATGCGCTGTCATTTGCCGTTTGTGGCTGGCGGCACTAGACAAACGAAGTGACAATGCCGACATGGCCACCAAGCATGCTTCAGATGCAGTTGCCGGAGCTAAGCAGCGTGCGGAGGATCCTCCGGGGCTCTCACAAGCTAAAGCATTGGTCCCCCGCTATCCCATGAACCGCACCACAGTTTCCAGGACTTCTAGAAGCCCCTCATACAAGGACGAACCTCAATAACAGAAAAGTGATGCACAATGCGGGCTCAACGAAGTAGAATCTTACTTGTATTGAAGTCCGCTACTACATGTGTGCGTCATGGATATCGATACCCGACTACGTTTCAGGTTCGCAAAACATCCCACCACACCCAGAACCTGGACGCATGAACCGTAGCCTTACGAGGCAGGCGTCAACGGGAGCGAAGGCACTAGTCACACCACTAGTGTTCCACGTTCTAAAAGTGTGGATCTTACCCACCTGTGCCGCTCTATCATATGTACATATATGCGCTTGATCCTCCCGCGGTGCCCTCTGTGTGCCGAAAAATACAACATCAAAATGCCTGGAGGTCTGCGTCCTCCTCTCGAACAGTTTATCGCGTGGCCCAGACCAAATTATGACGATCCTATCACGAAGCCGAAATATGTCCTTGTTTTCTCATGTATCCTAGGACCAATCAGTCTCGCACTGTTGGTGGCAAGGCTCTGGGTCAGGTTACGAATACAGAAAAGTGCTGGATGGGACGATTGGTTGATGTTTGCATCATGGGTGTGTGATTACGAATTTGAAGTCGTTTCCTTTGAGCTAATCCGAACGGGCAGTTTCCTATGATGGCGTTGACTGTCATATTTCCCTTAGGTGAGTGGCCGCTTTCGCTTGAAGTCTTATTGACTCCGCATCCTCAGGTAGCGCTTCAAGAAACTAATGGGTTACAGTGACCGAAAGGTTCATGTTCAATCGACACCTCTGGGACATACCATTCGACATCTATCCTATGCAGCGTTACTACGTCCTCGCCATTTACGTTCTTTTCTCCATTGCGACGGGCTTGATCAAGATGTCGATCCTGCTGTTTTACCGCCGTCTATCGTCCCGCGCTGTGTCAGAGACGTATCGGTGGACACTGCGTATCTTGATTGCGATCATTGCCATCCATACCAGTAAGATTGCAAGCCTCTACACACAATTGGAGCAGCACTAACATGAAATAGTAATCTTTGTGTGCGTTACGATCTTGATGTGTAACCCAGTCTCCGCATTCTGGAAACAGGAGGACTTCTTGCTGGTCGCGTCAGGCAAATATGAGTTCAAGTGCATGAACGAGGGAGCTGAAATTGTGTCGAACGGGGTAATATCGACGTTACAGGTAAATGCTTTCCACGAGGCACCTTTTCCAGCATACTGACCACAGCACAGGATTTCTTCGCTGCATCTCTCCCCGCCGTACTCTGTTGGAATCTCCAAATGAATTTACGAAAGAAGATCGCACTGTACTGCGTGTTCGCCGTCAGCTATGTCGTAGTTGCTTTCGGTGCCCTGCGAACCTATAGCTCTTATCGATTGTTCTTCCAAACGTACGATGTTACGTGGACAGCATGTGACATATGGTTATGGTACGTCCTCGGTCACTCGAATGCCTACAACGAACATCGGCTAACAGAAGTGTCCCGCAGGTCCCTCCTCGAAGTCCACGTCGGCGCCATGTGCGCCAACGCCCCCACCTTCCGTGTCTTCTACCTCCACTACTTCGGAAGCGGACCGTCGAGCTCGAACGGAACAACATCATCGTCCTTCAAATCGAAAATCTCGTTCTGGAAGAAAGGCTCATCGCCCAGTAGCAGAGGCTATATCTTGGAATCACATAGCTCCAAGCATGGCAACATCGTTCAGACGAGCGCATCGTTCGGCGGCGAGAAGCCGGAAGATGTCGAGATGGGAAGGATTCATGCAGCTACACACATGTCTGTGGTGAGCACGAATGTTCAGGCGTTACCGCCGGTGGCACCTGCGCCGTGGAAGAATTGGGCGAGGAAGACTTAGGGAAATTAGCCTGCATGAATTGAATAATGAATTAATTGATTTGCCTCAACCCATTCTCGTGGGTGTTCTTATCAATACGCTGGGCACGGTCGACACGATTACTGTCACACAAAGGCTGGCGACTGCCAGCCCTCTTGAATAGCGTTAATATGACACCATTACAACTGATACAGCAGCTTTAGAGAAGCATGTGCTTTCCGCATCCATTTTGGTGGTTGAAATGGTCGGCGACTGCACGAGTGCGCGATCGTGCGGCTTCTACTTGTGACGAAGCTTAAGCCTATAACGATGTAGTTGACATGCCTAGACCTGACCTTGTAGCATCCAAGTATACCAGTTAATGCACTTGTTGGTGCCGTAGAGCGACGCAAGGCACATCTCACCGAGGTCGCGCTCCGCTTGTAATTTGCCCAAAGCTACATCTGGTGCGAGAGGGAAGTGATTGAATACACATTTGCTTTATCGCATTTTGCAAGAAATGTTGACATGCTGGAAAAGCTACAGATGCAGATGACATGATCGCCCTTTTGTACTATATAACTTTAATTCAGTCGGCGAGGCTGCAAATAGGAATAAGCTCAATGGCTGTGCGCTTTGTTTCCGTTTGTCGGGTATCCCGGGCTGCATTTGAATGTAGTATTGTTTATTCATTGTGATATGCTCGGTTATTAGAACCGAGTCACGTTCATTGGATGTCCTCGACCATGCACATGCGTATAAAAATGCACCCGAAGAATAATGCAGATGAGATGTGCTTACTTTTTGAACAATGGCTGTTCTGCAAATCCATCGAAGCGAGAGGTACAGTCTAAAACAGTTATATCACAACCTTGTGAATACAACCTTTTAGCGATCCGTGTGAAAATGATATGTATGTTCGCGGCTGCGCTGAATGTGGGTATCGTTTTGGCGCCAAATATACAAGATTCCACCCACCCCTCCAAATATGTACACAGAAAGAAGTTTGGTAAGTCGTGGGTTTATGCTGTAAGCGGCTTTCGACCATAAACGACTGTACCTGGGAGGTAAGCATGTGTGCCGTATGACTTCAGCTCTTTGCGCATTTGCGCAAGATGCACTTGTGCTCGAGCGACAGACCACTAGATATCGTCAGTCATGATGAACCGTGTCGTAACTCAAAAGTACTTACGCCTCCTACTTGCGTCAATAACCGCAGCATAAAGCCCTCGACGCCGTCCATCAGTCTTAATTGATTCCACCGACCGATGTTCTTGAGCTTTTCATCTTTCGGCCAGCCGTTCATTGGCCATTTGTAGTGTACTTCCACGACATCCACAAACCCAGCATTCCTCATCCTCTCTGCATTTTCTTCCCAGATTGTGAAGCTCTTGCCGAACTTTTGTCCCATCTCAATCACGACTTTGCCCCCAAGTGTGGTAAAAGTGGTCGGGCCCCATGGTTTCATCATCTGAAACTGGCTGTACGGAGTGCTCGACAATCTCTACCCAGCCGCCTGGTTTCGTGTGCTTGTATGCTTGCTGGAAGAAGAAGTCCCAGTCTGGTATGCATCCGAACAGTTCGCGGATGTGTATGAAGTCGAAGTGGTTGGAGGGGAATGTCCACTCTAGCGTTACATCGTCAATCTCGAAGTGACAGTTCGGCGGTACCCATTCGGGTTGTATGGGGGAGAGGTCGGTGCCGGTGACGGTCGCGGAGGGGAATTGATCTGCCATGTCCTAACCTGGTAAGCATGCGCTACACATTCACGCGTTATGATATCTTACAATTGCCCATATGCCTGTGCCAGTGCCGACATCTAAGATGTTCTGTGGACTTCGTATTGGAGCGAGGTAGAGCTGTTGGTCTAGCGTCAAGAGGTACATGTGGTGCGCGAAGTCTAATATTTCCTTTGCCAGTTCGTCATTGGGTCCCCAGTAAGCTCCGTCCCGGTAAGCATGGTAGGAACGGCATGATTCTTCGTCAGTACTTCAAATGCGATATACTGAGGTTTGCGCACCATTTTCTATTCGATGATTCAGTATGGACGAAGCCAGTGTGTCGGTCTCGTCTCCAAGCAGACTTCCACTGTCAAACGCGGAATCTGACTCAAAGTCGGTATCGCCATCTTCTTCTGCTTCTGTTCCATCGTTCTCGGGATCTTGTACCACTTGCGATGTGGGAGGTAGTTGTGATTGTGTAGTTGACGATTCTGCGACGTCTTGAAGGTCTACAGCGCTATCTTGGCCATGCTCATACAGGCCCGCCTCTGTGAGAGGCTTGTACGAAGATGGAGAAGAAGCCATTGCTATGCTGTTTGCGGACGAAGATAAGCGCGATGGCCTTGGACCCAGGCTGGTAGTGAGTACATATTTCCTGGGCTGACCCGCTGGAAGGGCAGTCGCCGATTACCTACACGCTCTATACCGCCTTCGTCTCGAGTGGGTGCGGAAGCCAGAGATTCTATCGGTCCTATGGCGCCGCGCGGATAATGGGGGCGGGTCTGCATCTCGCATCACGTCGGCGCTTTCTCCGTATCTATCCCGTTGGCGGGCATTAATATAAAGTTGAGCCGACGTGCGAAGCGATGCACGTGAGAGTGGTGGTGCGTTATTTAGCTTCGAAGCAGTCAGGGGTAAGCGAACGTTGGACTTGCGCGGGGCGAATCAGACGCGGGGTGAGGAGTTGTCGGCCGCACCAGTTGTGTGGGCGAAGCCTCCGCCATGTCGAGAGAGTGTGCTAAGAACGACAGATCGCCTTGTCCAACGACTGCAAGTTCGAGCTCGAGACTGTGACAGCAATTGCAGTAGGAGTACAGCGTGCGGACAATGGCTGCTGGTACGGTAGCCGATGGCGACACACGTGGCGGCGGCATGTGCGACTCGCCCATCCTCATCATCGGGTCCGGTACGTAGCCAATAATGATGACATGTCACAGACGCCTGTCTCACACGATGTACAGGTAGCACCGGACTCGCCCTTGCACAGGGTCTTCGTAAGGTAAGTATGAATGCATAGGCGCCACTGCGGCCCGTTCTAAGTCCCGCTTGTTAAGCCACGCCAGCTCACATTCCCATAGGCTGGTCTGAAGTGCATTGTCTTCGAGAAGAGTTCCTCGCGGTATGGCGAACGTGATTGGAACATGGGCCTGCACTGGGGCGCGCCGGCGCTCAAGAGCCTCATGCCTGACGAATGGTGGAACAAAATCCAGAGCATTCAAGTGGACCCACATGTTCCGACAAAAGAGTTAGACACTTTGAAATGGCTCCAGGGTGATACTGGAGAAGCAATGGCTGCTTTCAAATTTGGGCCATTCTACAGATTGCGACGAAGCAAGTTGCGCGATCTGCTATCGCAAGATGTGGACATCCGGTATAATAAGCGCCTAGTCGATGTGACATACTCCGAGGACGGCAAAGCTGTCACAGCACACTTTCTTGACGGCTCGACTGCGGCTGGTTCGTTTTTGATAGGAGCAGATGGAGCTCGCTCATCGACAAGGCAACTCCTGCTCGGAGCGGAACTCGGCGGCATCGATCGACTACCTTACGCGGCGACATTTGTTCAGCGGAAGTTCACCAAAGAGCAAGCGCTCTATCTTAGAAGCTTCCATCCACTCTTCCTTGCGAGCGCACATCCACGTAATAATTTTGCGTTCTTCGGTATGCAGGACGCAGCAGTAGCTGATGATCCGTCCTCGTGGACCTTCTTTTTCTACATCTCTTGGCATAGTAGCTTGCAAGAACAGGAAGAAACGAAGAATTGGACTGATTCACAGCGCCTTGCCCAGCAGAAAGAGTTCGCCCAAAATTTCTGCGATCCATGGAGAAGCGCGTACGAATGGACGCCGGATGATGCACCTGTGTGGTATATGGGACTCACTGCTTGGGATCCGGGACATGAAGGTCATCGATGGAACAATCACGACGGCAGGATCACCCTGGTTGGCGACGGTTGCCATCCAATGACTTACCAGCGTGGTCAGGGTTTGAATCATTCGGTTACGGATGCTGGGCAATTGAGGGATGCTCTTGTCAAGATCAGCCAAGGCGCGAACCAGAAGGAGACTATTACGGCCTTCGAAGATGAGATGATTCGAAGAGGAGGTACTGAAGTTAGGGACGGTGTTGCAAACACAACTTTATTGCATAATTGGGAGAAAGTCAAGCAAAGTCCGCTGTTCACGAAAGGCATGCAGAAGACCGAGACATGAGCTAAGACAATTACGAATTGGAATTAATGAAGCGAGTGTAATCAAGTCTAACTTGTCCAAGGAGATGTGCAACACGTCTCAAGCACCTAGCGTCGATTTACGGCCTTTAGCTTTGTTGAACGCATCGATAGCAGCACCTGTCTCGATGACAGCCATTGGAGCATCAAGCGGCCGCAGAACTAACTCGACCAGCTACAAAACCTCGTTAGCGCAAGATAATGCTGAAAGAAGGTATACGTACCTCGAAGCAACCGGCATTGCCAAAGTCTGGCGACTGAAGCAGATGGGCCAAATCCCCACACGTCCTGATGGGACCGTAATACTTTGACGGATAAGCAGGTCCAAACGCCTTTGCCAACATGGCGTAGTCGAGCACCGCAACATCGTTGTAAGCAGCAGTCTTCCCATGAATGAGGCGCTCAACGGTGTATCCACCGTTGTTGAGTACAAAGCTGATGGAGTGCTTAGCTTGTCTTCATCAAATTGGACGTAAAGAAATACTTACATAATAGGTTTGAGATCAAATCTCAGCATATCACCGATTGCCTGGATCGTCAAGTGCATGGAGCCTTCACCAGTGACGAGGACGGGCCTTTTCCATTTCGCGCCACTTTCCTTGATGGCTTGCGCAACGCCGACGATTGCGCCCGTCGCATACCCAATGGAGCCAAAGACGGTCTGATTGAACATCATAACTCCTGATGGTAGGCGCGAGTCGCACAGACCGAATGCTGATGTTCCTGTCTCGCCGATGATAATGTCACCCGGACGGAAGAAGGAGCTTAGTGCCTAGACAGTCGAGTTTAGAATTTTTAAGGGAGATGAGTACATCTAATACTTACATGCCACAGATAGTCTTGAACCAAGTCATCTGAAGATTCGCGGTCTCCGAACCTGGGAATAGGGTCCCAGGTAATCTTCGCAGCGCTGATGGATAGCGTGTCCTGCTTGAGACTGTCGACCAGTGCTTGAAGGGTCTACAAAATCAGTAAACGCACCAAGTCAAGGATCTCCATTTACTGACCGATGTCATGGTCACCGGGTATTTCACCTCGCCAATTGCGACCGAGAACCGTTGGAAGTCGACAATCGTGGCGTTCTTGTTCACGCAAGTCGTGAACTCGCCAGTATTGAAATCGGACTAGATTATGCAAGTCAGTAATCTGTGCAACAAGGCGACAAAGTAACACGTACAGGATAGTTCCCAACCCATAGGACGTAGTCGGCTTGCTCAAGCTCTTCCTTCACACCAGAATGGGTCCCTGCTCCTTGATGAACGCCGGCAAACTGAGGAATAGCCTCGTCCAGACCGCCTTTACCCATGGCTGTAGTAAAGGCTGGAATGTTTGCCTGCATGATGAGCTCATGGACCTCTGGCAGCACACCATGTCGAACCGCGCCTTCAAAAGTTAGCGTTTCCCGTGAGATATGCACACGGAAGGCTCACCTCCGTCAAGAATAAGAATCGGATTTTTGGCATTTTCAAGCCCACTTCAAATCTGAGAGATCACGTTCGCCTCCAGAACTGGGTCATTGAGCGGCAGCGATCGCACAATCGGCATGTCAAGTGGCGTTCCAGAGATCGTCTCGTACGCCATGTCCACTGACAAGCCAATGTACACAGGTCTCGACTCTCTCATCATCGTGTTCAACACACGATCGATCTCCGAAGCTGCAGACGGGACATGGTCGATGACCGTAGTCGCAGCTGTAATATGCTTTGCCATCTCCTGGTACATGCTACAAACTGTCAATAATTTGCAAAGTCATCTTGTGTTCAGATCTTTACCTAAACTCCCCATTGCCCAGGGAGTGATGCATGATGGGCCTTACTCCTCACAGCGTTGACAGTCGGATATCCAACGACATGCACGACCGGAACAAACTCAGCATACTGGCCAGCCATTCCGCAATAAGCAGATAGTTCGCCTGGGCCGAACGTGGTGATGAAGGCGGCGGCACCGTTGACACGTGCGTATCCATCCGCGGCGTAGGATGCGACGAGTTCGTTTGGGTTGCCCTTCCATGACAACTCATTGTCTTCTACGAGGTCGAGGAGTGCTAGTTCATAATCTGACTTTCATCAGTAGATGTATTAAAAGTGCGGGAATGAGTTTGAACCTCCAGGCACTCCAAACACGCTTCGGATGCCGAGCTCATGAAGGCGCTTGAAGAGGTAGTCTCCGATTTTGATTTGAGGTATTGCGTTGGACTTGTTCTGTTCTGATAATGGGTGGAGAATTCTGTGGCCTTGAGAAAGGTGCGAAAGCTTGAGCTCATATACGTTTGCTCCGGCACATCTTCAGCTCGCTGTCATCGACGTTGAGCCAGTAAATTCCTTGAGTTTTCGCCTCTGACGAAAACATTAGAGACCGATTTGATAGCGTATGCATGAAGATGAGTAAAGCAACCTGCATGAAGTTGCTCGGGTCAGGATCGTGCGAAGAGGCTCTGTGTGATATCTGTAGCCTGGCAGACCGGCCGGAGCTGAGCTCGGCCGAGCGCGTCGGGTTTCGCTGTCTGCCACAGGAAGACCAACACGACAGCCATGAACATGATCGGATCATATATTGCGGTCTGAAAACAAAGATATCTGCCTCTTTCACATGTCCCTAAATGCAGGGTGCGACGTTTTAGGGCATGTCGCTTGTTTTCACGCTTAGTGAGCGCATTTCGCAGCTTGTCAACCAGCTCTCTCCTACTGGACCAAATTCCAACATACCTAGGTAGACTCGATCACGCAAATCCGATACGATAAGTTGATCAAAGTATATGTGGCACAGAGATGAGTCATGCATGTATCTACCTGACTAATAGAGCGGCGTTATTGCCTGTAGGTCAATGTCCAGTCTGGTGTTTAGCCGATGGCTTACAAACAGCCTTGCATGAAGTTAAGGTTCCCGTTGTAACACAGTCTAGTAGCACCACCGTTACGTATCCATCTGCGAACGAGTATGAGATCGGCGGCTCATGCGATCCTAAATTGCTCAAGCAGGTATGCATCTGCGCAACGACGCCGTGCCATCATCAAGTAAGAACAAATTTCGAGCATTCGATTCCTTCTAAAGCAAGCACTATCAACTCTGCTGGAAAGACGAGATGTTTCTGATGCTATGTCTGAAGTCAGCATCTGTCTCTTTCGCTTGTGCGTGTCAACTCATTTTTCACGTACCACTCAGTTCCACCTAGGCATAAGGAGAGGCAGTTCGCTGCTTGACAGGATCGGTCTGCCGCAATTTCCAACCCTGGAAGTACTCCTCAAATCTCTCGAGTCCGACTTCTTTCATGAGGTAGTACTTGTCAAGGAAAAGGTTTTCGTCCTCGCAGTACTCGCTCTCCCTCTGTTTCTGGAAGAATGGCATCAGATACTCTTTGATGTACTCCGCGAGAGCTTCAACGTGGCCAGGGAGCAAGTCCTTCTTATCCTGACGAGCAACCAAGACAGCACCAACCGAGTTTTGCCAAATCATTGGTGCAAACCCCCAGCTGTAGCCGGGAAAATCGTTCTCGCGCTCGGGTTGGCAACCAATGTTGAGGAATGTGCCGGCGGTATTGACCCATGGAACCATGCTAGTTGGGACATCATTGCGCTTTGCCCACGTGTCGACACTGCCAGGGGTGCGCCGAACCAGGATGGGCAAGTCGACACGCTGTGAGATGTCGGTGGCTGCTTGCTCGAAGATAGGATGTGAGCTGGAGATCTCGCAGGCTTCGTACCTGGGACGGTTGTCGACGGTGACATCCCCGTTACAATTGATGCGGACGGCAGTCACTTTCTTTCCGCCGAGCTTTTCTCCCATCATCTTCTTGCGTACCGAAAGTATCTGTCTGAACTCCTCATAGAGACTCAATTTGAGAGGCTTTCTAGGATGGTTGGAGACATTAGAGTCGTCAGAATCGCTAGAAGCGTAATAGTCGTCATAGTTATCGACTTTGTCCACCGGGCTATACTTGAAGCTGTTAAAGAAGTCTCCGATATGGCGCAGATCGGAAGGAATTAGATCGACGACTGACATCGGGTTGTTCGTTGAGTGAGCGATGATGGGTCCGCCCCACGCATGCAGATACTTAGATGCTGAGTCAGAGATGCCAGATACCGCACCGTTGAACTCCGAGCCATCGTTGAAGTAGTTGTCGCGGTAGCTTATGTAGATACAGTGCCCGATAGACCTGTCCAACAGCTTGTTGCGCACAAACTCGATACGCTTGTCACAGACATGGTCATTGGTGAATTTTGATTTTGTGAAATTCGCGAGCCCGCCCTCGTCTGCAAGGTCGTCCAATTCAATGGAATCGGTACAGTTGTTTCGCGACTTAAGCCAGATGAATTGCGGGTGCGCACGTGCGGGATCGAACAGTATCGCGCGGCTGTATTTCTCGCCTTTATCGGTAGCAGCAGGACGATTCTGATCTTGGAAATCCTGGAGAGTCTTACAGAGGTGCTTGTGGGTACTCCAAGCAATTTTCTGGCATACCCTCGAGCAGTACAGACTGGAGCGGCATCCTCCGCACAGCTGGGAGGCGATTTTCTTGCACTCGTCGCAATATCCAGGCGGGTTCGGAGTCGTCATCGTGCCAGCTTCGTGTCGCCGTATGATTGAGGTGTATTGTGCTGAGAGAGTAGATAAGATGTAGGCAACAAAACTCGTGGGGGCGATACTTTCGGGGGACGGTCCGTGCACTGGACAAAAAGATGGAGTAAAGGTGAAGGTGAAAGCTCAGAGTACGGACAATACGGTGAAGACGAGATCCAATTGACGTATTTAGATGCTACATTATTCCCTGTGGAAATCTATGGACTGAATTCAAGCATCTACTGGTGCCTGGTAGCTGCCATATCCACCAACATAGTAACCAGAGCTTTTATGCTCCCTCACTGGCGGCGGCTGAGGCCACTTTTCCAACATGGTTCCATTACCTCCTGTCAAGGTAAATTCATAACTGGCCAGTGGATCGTTGTCTATGAGCAAGCTGTAGTCTCCCGGGTACAGTACTTTGTTGCCCATCTCATCAACGCGCGCGAGCGAGGCGAGCGTCAGGTTGAGCGTTGATGTACCTGAAGACCCACTGGGGATGCTGTGAAGGCGCTGATAGCTTACGAGAGACTTCTTGGGGTGTGGCGCTGGCCCATGTTCGCCGGCGATGTAGCCGAGAGTGACGTAGTCAGATGTTACGCTGCCGGTGTTCTGGACGCTGACCTGAACGGAGGCAAAGGGGCATTGGTCTAGCCAGGCAGATTTGCAGTTTGATATCACATCTGAGATAACATAGCTAGTCTGTAGTCCAGAAGTGATGTTGACAGTGAAGTTCGTGTAGTGTAAACCGTGCCCGAAGTCGTAAACCGCGGAGCCGTTGTACCACTTGTACGTACGACCTGGATTGTTGTCACTGGGTCGAAGCGACATATCCGTCATGGCAACTTGGCTGATGAAGTTGGACGGGTATTGAGTCTGTGGGAGACGGCCAGCTGGTGCTACCTTACCGGTCAAAATATCAACAATCGCTGAACCACCGTCTTGACCGGGGTATCCGCCCCATAAGATTGCAGAAACATTGGGGTTGTTCTTGATCGGAGTCGAGTCAATTTGACCGCCACCCATGACGACAACAATTGTCGGTTTTCCGGTGTCTGCGAGCTGTCCAATCACATCGAGCTGCGCACCAGTCCATTGCAAAGAGTTTCGATCCATGCCTTCCTCTTCAACACCGTTGTCGATGCCACCAACATATACCAGAACATCGCTGCCATCAATGGCAGGCTTGAGATTGAGCCATCGTTCCGTTGTTGGATCTCCCTGGCCTCCGGGAAGGCCTCCAGCATAGTTTATCGTGGCGTTGATCTGCTGTAATGCGTAGAGTGGAGAGTGTAAGTATGTGCTCACACCGGCGTAATTCCCGAGAAGTTGTGTGGTGGCATTCGCCCATTCACCAAATAGTCCAACCTTCATTGACGAGTCGATGCTGATTGGCAGAACCCCATCGTTCTTCAGTAGCACGATTCCCTCGGTTGCGGCCCGCCGTGCAAGCTGTTGGGAAGCATTAGTCGCAACTGTATTCCAGCCAAGTTGACGATACGGTTGATCTGAGGCAGAGTCGAACCAGCCCACGCGCACCAGCGAAGCGTATTGTCGGATCAGCGCCTGGTCAAGCACGGTCTCGTTCGTAAGGCCTTGTGAAAAAGCACCTGGCAGATGCGATTGCATGTATGTGCCACAATCAACTTGAAAGAGAATCATCAATCAGCAGGTGTCATGTCAACAAGAATTCTGGAAAAAAGGGATCAGGTGCAGCACTGGTGGTACTTTTGAACCACCGCGCTGTCTGCTCGAAATAACCAGACTGGGAGGAGGTTGAACTTACTAAATCTTAGTTAGCGAATTGCCATTGAAAGGAGTGTTTGTAGTCACAACTTACCTATCGGTGCCGGCGTTGAGTGAATCTGCTGCAGCTCCTTCACGTGACGCTGACCATTCGTGAGGCAGATAAACGTTTTGGATAGCATCACAATCAGATGTAACCCATTGTTCAGTCTGATTAAAGCCCCAGTGATCGCGGAGAATAGTTTGCAGCAAGTAAGGGTCGGCACAACTGGTCAGTCAAAAGTCAACATTTATCCCACTCGAGTCAGGCTCGCCATCCTGGATCATGTCACTTACCTGGGCACGCCATTAACGCTGTTATAAGAGCACATGAAGGCTCCTACATTGCTGCGTACACAGCTCTCGAAAGGGGGGAGAAAGTATTCGACCATATCCTGTTGGGAGATCTGCGCATCGAACTGGTATCTGGAACCGAACCGTCAATTTGGAACCTGACTCGAAACAGCACAACAACGAACCTCAAGTTGCCATTCCATGACTCAATGTCGTAGCCAGCGTAGTGCTTGCAGGTAGCAATCACGCGCCTGTAAGGGTCGCTGTCGTCTCCTTGCAGACCTTTGATCAAAGCTGCGACGTAAGATGAGAGATGATACGGATCTTCTCCGGGTGTCTCTTGGCCACGTCCCCAGCGCGGGTCTCGGAATGGGTTGATGTTGGGAGTCCAGAAATCCAGCCCAGTTCTATCTTGGAATCAGTTAAGCTTGCCACACAACATGCTACACTACACACCGGTTGGCATTGTTAAATACTCTGGCTTCTGTGGAGATTACCGTCGCGACATTTGTGATGAGCTCGTCGTCGAAGGCCGCTCCCATCAAAATTGGCTGAGGGAAACTTGTGCTGTAACTGTATTCTGCACCGGCCTGTTTGCTGAAGTTCGTGTATGGCCCAGCAATACCTGGACATTATTAGAAGATGCCCCATCTGAGTCTGGCACGGCCCTTAAAATACCGTGCAGTCCTTCATTCCACCATTGGTACGGAGGTATGCCAAGTCGCTCCACGCCTCGCGAGCCAGACGTAGTTGCATTGATCTTCTCGTCAAGAGTGTATAGGGCAACAAGCGATTTGGCTCTTTCAAGTGGTGCTGATGCTGTTTAGTATCGCATAAAGAATCTTGTTTTGCTTCGTTCAACATACTCGCTGATTTATCGCATATCGTCACGTTCTTCAGCGGGCCATTGATGCAGTCTGGAAACAGAGCATATGCTCCTCCTGTGGCCAATGACAGAGCCACAAGGTAACGAGAAGAAGTCCACATCTTGGTTCTCACTGATCGCGTTGTGCGTTGAATCAAAGATTCCTTACTCCGCTATCGTCTTATACTCACACAATAGCCGTAGAATCAACCCTCCCCATGCCGCCGAAAGGTTGGTAATGCTTCTCCTCACGACGCGTCTACGTCATGAAGATGCAGTAAGACGGCGTAACAACGGCAGAATCGATCCCGTGGACCCCAGATCATTCGCACATCCTGCAGCTCGGGAAGAAAAACCGGGGCGTCACACAAAATGCTTGTTGACAGCCCTCAATAAAGCCAAGGATGTAAGAGCCGCATGCGGAGACTCCTCAGTGGCGGACTCAACTCTATGAGGGGTCGGCACTAGGTGAATATCGTGTATTTTGACTGGACACAAGTTTAGGCAGAATGCAAAGATCGGCAAGGGTCGCAACGTTAAACTTTCATCCACCCATGTCTGAATGGGAATAACGCAAAGGCCCGGTGAGATATTTTGTCGGATCTCTGCGGAAATGAAAGGTTCGACTAAGAGGAATTGCATTCTACGGATTGAGATTGAAGTAGCAGGGACTTTGCGAGCGCTGTCATCTGCACCGTAAGTAACGAGATGTCATGCACTAGGTTCGGGCGCGCGTTGAGCACGCTACCAAAACTTGCACCCCGTGGATAATTGACCAAAAGTGTTTATGAAGCCCAGTTCGACCTCTTCACAGTCATCGGCATGCCGTCTCGCGGACGTGCCTCGAAAACAAAGGTTTGGAATGCGCGGTCCCCAAAAGTCAGATCCCAGTCTGTCCATCCCACCCTGGGCGTCTTGTTTGGCTTCAGATCCGCACACGTGAAGTCGAAGTCTCTGATTGTCAAAAGCAACGCAATCTTCAATTCGTCCATCGCAAGAGGGCTGCCTAGGCATCCACGTGGACCTCGCTCGAAGGGGCGCCACGCGTTCCGCGGGAAGTCTTCACGCGCAAAGCGATCTGGGTCGAACTTGGTCGCGTTTTGAAAGATCTCGTCGTTCATATGCATAGTCATATGCACTGGCAACACCATTTTTCCTTCGGTCGAATAGTTCTGGCCCTGGAATGCAAGAAACTTCTCTGTCGGATGACCTGCTCGTGCAGTATTGCCGATAGGGTAGAGACGCAGAACTTCCTTAATTACGTTGGTGGTGTATTCCAGTTGATTCAGTCTGTACGGATCGTTTTGTAGCATCTTGTATGTCGCGTCAACACCTTTTGTGAAGACCGCATCGTGCTCCTCGCGTAACTTCTGGACAACTTTGGGATGAACGGAGAGCCTCAATCGTTAGCCTGAGGACCGTTTTGGGGTTCTGAAATCTGCTGAGCTTACATCATCATCGAGTAACAGATGGTGTTCGAAGTAGTCCCTGATCCCGCTGCCAACAGGGTCTTTATTTGGGTAATCGCGTTCTTGAGAAAGGCGGGATCAAGAACTTCCCGGCCTACTTGACGACTCTCTTCAACAAAATCTCGTAGAACAAGATCCATGATACTAAGACCTTTCTTACCGGTAAGATCTGTCTTCTCTTGTACCACGATGTCGAACCGCTTCTTGATCATCTCTGCCAATATCGCATCCAATTTCTTAGCTTCAGTCTCGACGGTTCGCAGTTTGAAAAGGTTGCTGACGAAGTTGTACGATTCATGCGTCTTTGCAAAAGCGCGGCACATGCCTTCCCAATGCTCTAAAGCTGCACTTCCTTGACTTTTTGCCTTCAGCGAGTGACCGAAAGTCGCTTTGCCAATGACATCGAATGTCGTGCGTTGCGTGAGTTGCTCAAGACAAAACTTTTCTCCTGTATCAGCCAGCTTGTCGATCATGGATCGGAACTCCATGATCTCTTCAGCGATCTGGACCGATGTTGGCTAGCTGCAACAGAGTACAGGTTTATGTACTCACTGCAGGTCGCATGTTGCTTATGTGTTGGACGGAGAAGGCTGGTGAGAGCATCTTATGAAGATACTTCCATTGAGAGCCTTCCACTGTGACAATGTTGCCTTTGCCAATCAGTGGATCCACTATGAAGTGTTAGAATGAGCTTAACTATGTTTACAAATACGTACAGAACCACTGTTCGGCCTCGTGTTTGGGATAGTTCTTCGTCACCGTCATGTACTGTGCAACGTCTGGGTCAATCACGATGACTTGACCTGGACTAGCTGGCCATAAATCCAAGTAGAAGACACCCGGCAAGTTGTACTTCTTGGCCATCGTGGTTATGACGGACTGGTGATGAACGTCAGGCGGAAGCTCTGCCATAATCTCTCCCATTAGCTTAAGATGCCCCCAAAACCAATGATGTGGCGGTTTTGGCTTTGGTTTGGTGTTAGTATTGACCATGCGGCTCGTGAAGATCCAGAAATTTGCGGGAGCGTTCCACTGACCACGTCACTGTAGAAGCGTCGCTCCTCATACATTCTCCAGATGAAGTACGCCAAGGCTGAAACGACACCTGCGAGCGCAAACGCTGCCGACGAGAGACCAATTGAGCCCATAACTAAGATATAGAAGACTTGGGTCAGTATTAGGATTGAATGCCGCAAGCCTTTCTCTCAGAAACAGCAGTGATGCTTCGTTTTAAATTGCTATCTCCAGGCCCCCAGCGCAATACTGAACCATACGCGAGGAGCATTAGTGGTAAGCCGCCACAAGTGTGCAGATGCATGGCGCCAGAATAAACCCACCTGGGTAGCTTTGATTGGTAGCACACGCGTGCCAGATTGCAATGAAGGGTGAATGCTCTCGCCCGCTAGCATGCAGGTGATGACAGCTAACTGACTGTGCCACAGAAAACTCGCGCTGGCTGATGCCCTGGAGATTAGCAGGGTGTGCCGTCGCACGAAGTCCAGCAATGCTGCGTATGTGCTTGTATTCCTACTAGGCAAAGTTATGATGCGAATTAATCGTCCTCTCTCATTTCAATAGTTTTTCACGGCAGGTGTGAAATTGTGGAACGCATCAATTCGGTTAGCGCCGAGTCGAAGCCAACACGGAAGGCGTTTAGTCACCGAGAAAGATGTGCAGCGCAGTTGTGCGACCACGACACCAACCACGATCATGTTGCCCAGTATAGCAATCAATTATGGGCCGCTAGGACTATCACGAGACCGCATTCCCTTGGAAGATCTTCGTATGTTTGGAAGAAGCCCGATACTTCAGAGACTGTGGGCACCGGTACTTCTACTAGGTATACGAGCGTCGCAGCTTGAAGTCTCCTATTGATCACAGATTTTCGGTACTTAGGGTATTTCTCCTTCCCTTATCCGACTTCTAGAGGCCCTCAATTGCGTGTCGAGTAACGCAAAGAGCACTTCGTCTGCATGATCGCCTATCATCCAGGAAACGTCATGCGCGAGGACTGTGCGAACATCATATTCTTTCTCCAGAAGGCGGACTTTGGAGATGGTGCTCTTCGCAGCGTCTAAGTCTGCATGAAGCGACATTTTGCCAATGCTGGGCACACAAAATTCGGCGATCTCACACTTTCCATCAAGCAGTTCCCTGTCTACTTAGCACAGTCGTAGAAACCTTTGAAGTACTTACCTCGAATGACAACAATCACTACCGAGACAGACCCAGTGCCCGCTTTCTAGCCTTGCTACCGCCAGACAGTTTCCAGGCATGTGGCCTGGTGCTTGGATGATCCAAAAACTGCCATCGCCGAAGTAATCCATCGCTTTCTCGAAGGGACCAAATTGTTGCCATGGCCCAGACAACTCTTCCAACTTTTCTGTTGCGCGCTCGGGATCGAAGAATCGTCCATCCCATTGTAGATTGATGTCTTTGAGATGTCCTGGCGAGCAGCCAGCTACAGTACCCGGCCCGAAAACGGCGGTGGCGTTGGGAAACACATCACGGATAGGGCGGCAGTGGTCCCAATGTGCGTGACTGGATAGGGTAAGGTTGTTGTCCTTAATTGTCGGTACCATGCATACCTGAAGAGAACAGTATCAATTTGCTCTGCTCTAACTCCCCTTTCCGAGAGCTGCCGCACGATCGTTCTTCGAGGTCCAACATGATTCACCTCATCAAGCATGTATTTGTTCACCCAAGGTGTGTAATTCGAACGATCCTACGAATTGGTGAGTAGAAAGAGCACTAGTAGTATATGTCAGCAGAAAGTACGTACCTCGTCAAGGCCAAGATCCCACAGCATGTGCCTCCCTTGCTTTTCAATGTAGAACGCCCAGTTGTACATACGATACTTGCCGCTTGCCCCCGCATGCACCTTATCAAGGTCACCTATGAAGCTTCCGCCATCCAACAAAGACAGCTTAACATGAGCACGCGTATGCGGCAAGCTGCTGCTTGGTGTCTCCTTGTCTTTGGCCATCTTTCAACAATGCACGCGGTGTTGAGGTGCTGGACGATAGCTTCGGCCGAGCTCGAGGTACCTTGAGAAATCAATTCACTAAAACCCACGAAACGTCACACGCATAAGTCGCTCCGCAAATTGTCAGCGTTCTAGTCTCCACATTTCGCTGTCTTGTTACCATCCTTGTGCGTTGCCCCACTGCACACGAATGAGCCGCGCGGGGTACGGACCATCCGCAATTGCTTACTTAGCGTTCGACGCCATCTAACTGCGCCAAAATCAATTGTGACCAAAAGAACCTGGCCTTGTAGGAAAGCTTCCTTAAGAGTTGACCACAGTCAGCAAAGTCATTGTCTAGGCGCCCCATTCTTTAGCCATTTTCAAATTTGCCTTACATGATGTCTACGACTTTAAAACATGGTAGCTTGGGCGAACTGAAGGGAAACATTAAAGATGGTGTAGCCGAATTTTTAGGATTGAAATATGCAACGTTGAAAGATCGTTTCGCTTCAGCCGAATTGTTGGACAGGTATGGGCCGGGGCCTACGGATGCAACAAAATATGGGTACGGAACATGAACATTGTCGAAGCAACACACTCACGAATTACAGGCCACCGCCTGTATCACCAGTGGGCTCGATACATCGCGAATTTGGCTTCATACAGCATACTCTACCACTGCCAGAAGTGCCCGAGCATTCTGACCTCGAAGGGCTCAATCTGAACATAACCGTCCCAGTCAGCCAAGATGGGAAACTCAAGAGCAGCACCAAGTTACCAGTCTACGTTTTTATTCATGGTGGTGGCTTTGCCGTAGGTTCGTCATGGTATCCGCAATACAATCCCGCTTCAATCGTGAAGCTGTCAGCCAAGCTCGGGAAACCCATCATCGGTGTCACAGTCAAGTAAGTGCCCATGGAAGTATTCTTGACTTGCTACTGAACTATTACAGCTACCGACTTGGGGCTGCGGGTTACATGACTTCCAAAGAATTGCGCGATGCAGGGTACAAGGCCAATAATGGCTTCCACGACCAGCGCACCGCATTGCGCTGGATTCGAAAGAATATTGCAGGCTTTGGTGGAGACCCAGATGAGATCACAACAGTTGGCGAAAGTGCTGGAGGGTGTGAGTAGCATACTCTCGTGCACATACACAGCTACTTACAACCTTCAGTATCCGTGACCATGTTCCTATGCTCCAAGGAACCCATAATGAAGCGTTGCCTCAGCACTGGCGGTGCTGTGTTGCTTTTCGCGCCTTTGCCGCTTGAAGCAGCGGAAGAATCTTACAACACCATTGTCAAAGCTCTCGGCCTTTCCGACAAATCACCCGAGGAACGTATTCAGGCACTCCTCAGTATACCACAAGATGACCTGTGGCAAAAAGTCCCCATGGGCGCACCACTCCTCCCAACAATCGACGGTGGCGTAACAGTCCCCGGCAGCCCAGACTTCGTCACCATCTCATCTCTCGAAGATAGCGAGAGATTCCCCATGCCCGGCCGAAAGTGGTGTGAGTCTCTCATGATCGGTGAATCGAAACTCGACGCCAATATCCTCGCATACATGGGCATGGACAGCCGGAATCCAGGCATCGCACAAAAGTTCGTTGATTCAGTCAACAAGACACTTTCCTCGCATCCCGAAGCCGCAAAGCAGTTGCTCTCATCCTACAACATCACGCCCTCGACCAACGACGACGAAGCAACTCTCTCCATCCTACGCTTCGCCTCCGAAATATCCTTTTACGCGCCCGCTCGCGCCTTTGCACAAGGCTGGCCCGGGAAATTCTTCCTGTACCATTTTAACGAGGGGATCCCCTGGGAAGGCCGATTCCAAGGTGAAGCAGGACATATTCTTGACGTGGCGTATCTGTTCCAGAACTTTAATGAGTTTTTGGATGATAGGCAGAAGGCGGTTGCGACGGCGTATGCGGAGGATTTCATCAAGTTTGTTAATGGCGAAGATCCGTGGACACCGGTCAAGGATGGCAATATGGCGGCCAGAGTATATGGGCCGAGTAGTGAGGGTATCACGATGAAGTTTGTGCCAGATGGGAATCCGAAGGAAGTGGGTAGGGATGAGAGGGTGTTGAAGCTGGGTGAAATGGCGGGTTTTGATAATTTGTCGGCGGCGTTCCAGAACTTCTTTCAAGGGCGGTGAGAGTAGGTTTTCAAGCTACCAGGAAATGATAAATTTTGCTCGAAATGCCGCAACGCCTAATGCTAAAATCACTATGGAGGTACTAGAATTAAATGCTCATCTCTTTCAGATCGTCGGCGACCTTGAATGGCGCCTCGGTCTTGCTCTTGATCTCGTCCACTGTTACGCCCTTCGCGTGCTCCTTGAGCGTCAACCCTTCTATCCGGTCGACGTCGAAGACCGCTAAGTCTGTGATAATTGTCGACACGCACTTCTGTCCGGTGAGAGGAAAAGAACAGTTGTTCAAGATCTTGGGGTTACCCTTCTTGTCGACGTGCTCCATGGTGATAACGACCTTGGTTTGTGTGGGGTTTGCGACAAGGTCCATTGCACCGCCGATACCCTTGACTTTGCCGGGAAGCATGAAGTTCGCGAGATCTAAGACTGTGCGTTAGCATGTTGTGACATAGTGACGAAGATCTGAGTCATGAAGCATACCTCCAAACTGATTGACCTGCATAGCACCCAGCATAGCAACATCGATCCTTCCACTCCGGATCATACCAAAGCTCTCGTGGCTACCAAATACCGAAGCGCCCTTGATCAAAGTGACGGTCTCCTTACCAGCATTGATCAGATCAGGGTCTTCTTCGCCAGGCTTGGGGTATCGGCCCATTCCCAAGATACCGTTTTCTGATTCGAGTACGATCTCGGTGCCTTCGGGCAGAAACGCTGGCGCCGCGAGAGGCATACCAATGCCGAGGTTGACGTACATGCCGTCCTTCAGTTCTTGGGCCGCGCGCTTGATGATACGTTCGCGCTTTTGCGACGCTTCTGAAGAGCCTAGATTTGTGATCAACAAGCGGACCAATCTCAGTACGCGAAGTAAACATACCACCCTCCAGCAGAGCCTTCTTTTGCTCCTCTGGGCTCTTCCAGAATACCTTTCTCTCGATCTCCTTTGCTTCTGTGCTCTTGATCACCCTCTTGACGTAAATGCCCTGCAGATGGATGTCCTCTGGCGCAATCTCGCCATCCCCAACGATCTCATCTGCCTCCACAATCGTCATCTTCGCGTTTTTGCCCATAGCCTCGTTGAAGTTATTTTGCGCCTTGCGGAACTGGCAATTACCGAGCCTGTCTGCCTTTGCGACCTTGACGAATGCGTAGTCGCCGAAGATCGCTTCTTCCATGACATATGATTTGCCGTTGAATTCGCGTGTCTCCTTTGGTGGGGCCATTTTCGCGACTGTGCCATCGGTGTTGTAGCGGACAGGGAGTTCGCCAGTTTGGACTGCAGAAAATGTCAAACATGCTCACTGATGAAATAGCAAGAGAGGCGAGACGTACCAATTGTGCCATAAGCAGCAGGAGTGTAGAAAGCTGGTACACCCGCCGCACCAGCTGCGCACTTCTCTGCAATTGTACCCTGAGGCGTCAATTCCAAGCTCAACTCTCCCTTCAGGTACATTTGCTCAAAGACCTTGTTATCGCCGATATAACTCGCAACCATGGTACCAATCTGCTTTGTGTCCAGTAATTGACCTAAGCCAACACCAGGCATACCAGCATTGTTGCTGACGACTGTGAAGTTTCCAAGATCCTTTCGATCCCGGAGCGCGTTGATGAGCGTCATTGGAACACCCGAGAAGCCAAAGCCACCGACAAGAACGGTAGTGTCTGACTTCATGTCCTTGATAGCTTCTTGCGCGGATGAGACAATCTTGTTGATCGCTGGTCGCATAGTTGTGGTTGAGAAGAATCGTGGTGTGAGGCCATTGCGGCGTGTCGCACTGAACAGGAATTGTCGCTGCATCGTGGTTTTCGTGAGTATCGTAAAGCAATGCCTTGCAAGAAGTCTGAAGCTTGAACTAGAACTGCTCAGATGTGGGACGCTTCTGAACACAAATGGGGGTTGATGAAAGTTGCTGGCGTGCAGAACAGTCAATCAATTAGGAGTGTGCTTCCAAAACTTGGATAACAGCTTCACCCAATTTTCCAAACTTCAATCTCTGTAAATGCGTTGCTGGTCGTGTTCTCCAACTTTTCGGAATGCTCAAAGTGAGCTCCCCACATCAATTGATGCGGGCAGTTTGCATGGTGAGCTAGTACACTTCCAGACCTCCGCGCATGACTGCCGACCGGTTCCGGCTGCTCCACCCGGCACCGGAAAAGTCTCCACCACAGCTTCGGGTGAGATGTGGATGATTATTTAGCCGGTCGAAAGTCGGAAAAGCAGGAGGGTTGGGATATGATTGGCTTGTGTCCGAAGTGAGATCGGACACGTTTTCCACGGTCCTCGCCAACGACCCGGTGTTTGCACATGTCTCACGTGAGGACGTGTTTCGCGACGCGATCAATTCCTAGCTGTGCGAAAGAATCGACGTTTTCAACGTCCAGACAAAATGTTTCATTTGAGTAATTATCATACAAATTGCTATATTCTCGGGTCATTCTATTCAACTCAGTAGAGATCGTGCACGATTTTCTTCACTGTGGAATAGTATTAGCAAGATGACAGCGTTCGGCAGTCAGCAGGTACTCACGATTCGCAAAGTCCTTGTGGTCTTTGCTGTGCAGCGCACGAGATGCGATAGCTTCTTCTTCGGCGTCGCCGGTAGGAACATCGTACTTGGATCATGTCAGTGGCTCCTTAGAAGATAGCAGGTACCTAACTTACAGCTGTCAGAGTAGTCTTATGGCCAAGCCGTTCAACTAGATCCGCAATTGCATCGCCCACAATGTGCGAGTCCTTTTCGTCACTGCCAGTACTCCGCTTGCCAATGTACGGAATGATTCTCGCGATTTGCTTGGCCTCATCCGGGTTGCTCGCCTTGAAGTGCACAGTCGGTGCAAGACTGAGACAACTTGTAATGCCGTGCGGGATACTGTATGTAGCTCCAATTGCGTGGCCAATGCTGTGACTCAATCCGACACCACCAGTGTACAAGAATGGGAAGAGAGACGAATAGCAAGCGAGGAAGAGTTTCGTGCGTACTTCCGCATCTTGTGGGTTGGCCTTCGACTGTGGCAAATATGTGAACAGGTCCTTGATTGCCTCAAGACACATGCGCTTCGTCGGTATTTCAGAAGCGAGTGGGTGGTACATCAATTCCACTGCGTGATCCAAAGACCTTATCTGTAGTGAAGTTAGTATTGGATATCATGATTGGTCGCCAACATCGACCATACCCCGGTACTAGTCCATAGGTTCAAAGGTGTGTAGACTGCAAGGTCGCCATCGTAGACAACAGCTGCATTGCTTTAGCTTCATAATCAAGAAGTCCATGTCAGACCTACCCTTAGGCACAAGTTCTGGATCGCTCACAGCAATCTTATGTTTCTCCTCTGTGGTAAAGCCGGCGTTTTGTGTGGTTTCGGCAACGCTCAATGTCGTCGGTACAGCAATGCTAGGTATCCATTTACCGGTTTCTTGGTGAATGTTGTACGCGATAGCCTTTGCGGAGTCAATGGGGGAGCCGCCTCCTATTGCGATCAAAACGTCGCAGGCAGATTTTGACATTAGTGCTGTCGCTTCACGGATATCTTGAATCGGCCTGTGATGAAGTCAGTGGATTCGTCTCAATCGCCTCGTCACAACGTACGCGTGCTGCCCAATTTTGCTGAATGTACCACCATGGGCAGGACCCAATGACTTTTCGATGTTCTTGATAACCGGAGTCTTCTCATACAGCGATCGACCAGTGATGATAAATCCTTTCGTTCCGCCTAACTCCGCGATCACGTCTGAAAGTTGTTGACTCGTTCCTGCATTCTGTCAGGATTTGATGGGTTTGATACATTCTACCGCCTACCGTTCCCGTAAATCATGAGCTTAATTGGCGAAGCTCGGTAGACTCCTTTGACGGTCGAGTCGACACTGCCATTCTGGTACTTGTTTGGGAGTGCCATGATTGGGTATGTTGCAAATTGTCGATAAAAGTCGTTGTGAAAAAGTTGCTTCAAGATTTTGAGCTCTCTAGCATAGAGCATCGCGCGGTCTCAGCAAGTCCGTCATAGTGGAGGGGTAGCTCCGGCATCGCCCCACACAAGTACAGTACCTTACGCCAGCCCCGCCGCAGGCCTGACCGTAGCTTCAAAGCGGCAATGCTTGCATGTGCTTGACCATAGCGCGTGAGGAGCCATACCTTCTGGAAAATGTCGTGGATATTTGATTCGATCATCTTCATCGAGAATGGCAGCTTTCAACAAGGTGGCGCGCAACGTGTTGCAAAAGAGCCCAAATGATGTTGTCTTGCTTTCAGCTGTACGCTCGCCAATCAATCGTAGCTTCAAAGGCGGATACAAAGATGCACATCCTGAGGATATCTTGATGCCTGTAAGGAAGCATTGGAGGACGAGATGGGCACCAAGCTAATGATCAACAGGTTATGAAGGCTGCTGTAGAGCGAGCGCAAATTCAGAAAAGCGATGTAAACGATGTCCTTATCGGAAACGTACTTGCAGAGCTGGGTTTTGCGAAGACGGGTCGAATGGCCCTCAACCACGCTGGATTTCCCAACTCGACGACTTTTCACACTGTCAATCGTCAGTGCTCCAGCAGTCTGCAAGCTATAACCCACATCTCGCACTCTATCATGGTCGGTCAAATTGATGTTGGACTTGCTGGCGGCGTGGAATGCATGTCACGGAACTACGGATCTCGCGGAGTCCCGACCGATGTTTCGCCCACTCTTCTGGGATCCACGGTCAAAGATGCCCGTGACTGTCTGATGCCTATGGGCACCACTTCGGAAAATGTAGCAGAAAGATATAAGGTAGATCGAAAGAGCCAGGACGAGTATGCTATACGTAGCCATGGCCGTGCAAGTCGAGCACAGAAAGAGGGTCGTTTTGACTGGGAGATCACTCCCGTAACAGTGCCGAGAATAGACGAGGCTACAGGGCAACCGGCAGGCTATGAAGTGAGCAAGGACGATGGCATTCGGCACGGATTGACGTTTGAAAAGGTCTCAACGCTGAAGCCGGTGTTCGGAGAGAACGGGAAAAGCACAGCTGGGAACTCCAGTCAGATCTCGGACGGAGCGTCGTCCACTATTCTGGCCCGACGTTTTTGGGCAGAAGACCGCGGACTCCAACCACTTGGCCGCTTCGTGGGTACACAAGTCAGAGGCTGTGCGCCGGATGAGATGGGCATCTCTCCAATCTATGCCATACCAGCTTTGCTGAAGTGGGCTGGTGTGGAACTCAAAGACATTGATATCGTTGAATTAAACGAGGCATTCGCGAGTCAAACCATCGCATGCATACGCGAGCTTGGTCTGGACGAGGAGAAGGTCAATCCAAATGGCGGTGCAATCGCCCTGGGCCACCCCACAGGCGCGACTGGGGCTCGTCAGACAGCGACCCTGTTCGGTGAGCTTCGGCGGCAAGACAAGGAGATGGGCATCGTCAGCATGTGTGCAAGCACTGGCCTTGGTGTGGCTTCGTTGTTCATCCGCGAGTAGAATCAATAGTATTGGATGCCGTGATTATGACACTGGTGTGAGCAAACACGAGAGTGACGCGTTGCTTCATTAGCTTTCATCCTAACCTGCTTGGGCCAAGCTTCGTGCACTGTCCATGCGAATGTGCCCCGACTTTGCTCCCCACATGCACACGATGCAACACACCGCACCAAGTCCCGCCACTTCCACCATGCCGGAGCCGGCAATGCCTAGTAAGCTGGGCCAGCTGTTGTATATGCTCCAACCTCGCTTTCGTCATTCTTGGTGAGAGCTGCCTGCATCTTGTGCTTAATCATGTTCCTCCTACGCCGTGTTCCGCGTCGTGCCATTCCACGCTTTCCAGTCCAACAACAGCGTCGCGCCCTTGGAAGTGTGAGTGCTATCGACTCTGCCATCTTCCGCACTCTGTTTGGTACCGAGGAGATACGAAAGGTCTTCGACGACAGGGCTTATGTCAATCGCTGCGTAGATGCAGAGACAGCTTTGGCAAGAGCCCAGTCAAAATGCAACGTGATCCCATCTCATATTGGGGAACTGGTCACGACGAAGGCAAATGAGCTGGAGCTGGACTTCGAACGTTTGCGACGAGAGACAGAAATCGTTGGCTACCCTATTTTCCCTTTGATACAACAGCTGTCCGCATCGTGCGGCGAGGAGGCAGGACGTTATGTACATTGGGGCGCGACCACCCAGGACATTATGGATCTAGCGAGTATGCTGCAGATGAAGGAGGGCCTGGAGATTGTTGAGCGTACGCTCCGGTCTGTCATCAAGAATCTGGAGAATCTGTCCAGGAAACACCGAGACACACCAATGGCTGGTCGCACGCATTTGCAACATGCGCTTCCAATCACGTTCGGACACAAGTGTGCAATCTGGCTGTCTGGCTTCCAACGACATCTAGAGAGACTTGAGGAGCTCAAGCCTCGTGCATTGATGGTCCAATTCGGAGGCGCTGCAGGTTCGCTAGCCTCTCTAGGCTCCGGGGACGATGGTATTCGTGTTCGCAAAGAGATGGCAAAGGACCTGGGACTTACAGATCCTCCGATCACATGGCATGTCGCGCGCGATGGTGTAGCAGAAATCACAAATTTCCTTGCGCTCGTCGGAGGAAGCTTGGGTAAAATTGCTCTCGACATCATTATCATGTCGTCCAACGAACTCTCCGAGGTTTCAGAACCCTTCGTACCTCATCGCGGCGCATCTTCGACTATGCCACAGAAGAGAAACCCTATCTCCAGCGAAGTGATCCTAGCAGCGTCGAAGATTCTGCGCTCTAATGCAGGCCTTGTGCTTGACGGGATGGTGTCTGACTTTGAGCGCGCATCGGGACCATGGCACTTGGAATGGGTTGCGGTTCCAGAGAGTTTCGTCATTGCGGTGGGCGCACTTTATCAGGCTGACTTTGCACTGGCCGGGCTTGTTGTGAACCCGAAACAGATGCTGGACAACCTTTACTCTACGCGCGGGCTTATTGTTGCTGAAGCAGTGATGATGGGCCTCGCTCCGCATCTAGGCCGAGGAAAAGCGCATGATGTGGTCTACGAAGCTTGCAAAGAGAGCATCGAGAACGACACAAGCTTGTTAGAGGCTCTACAAACACGGAGCGAGATCACCGAGAAGATTTCAAGTGAACAGTTGGCTTCTTTGTGCGACGCGAAGAACTATCTTGGCTCCTGTGGGTTGATGGTCGATGAGGTATTGGCAGCGTCTAGATAATGTACATAGTCCCACTCGTACATCAGCACGGCATTATCAATGTCTCCATTTCACCGGTACCACAACCACTTGTGACCCAACAAGCTGTACATCTTACCCGCAAAGGAGTGCACGCTGTGGTGATGATTACATCATCGCAAACCAAAAATAAGGTTTTTCGTAATGCTGGGCGAGACTGGCCGGCCATGCAGGGCCACCTACACATTCATCATGTCCCGCTAACCAGGTCCGTATCTGACGTCCAGCTTTGATGTGGGCCTCTCACAATCACTCCTCCAACCCCGCTATTATCGTACCAAGGACCTGGCCCCGCCACCACATCACGCACAGTCCACACCATTCGGTTGCGGCAGATGGTCAGGTCCTTGCACGCTCATGGAAGCTTCAATATAAGCTCTACAGAAGCTTGCTAGCAAACTCATCCACAATCTTCAACAAGTTTCTTCCTTATAACCATCATGTCTGAGTTCAAGGAGCGCACATTAGTTACGGATCCTCAGAAGGTTTTCCATTTCACAGATCTCCAGCGACTGAAGCCTACGCGCGCAAATGATCCCTACGAGTACCAGCATGGTTGGGGTAATCGACACCAGTCTGAGGTCATTCCTGGCACTCTACCCGTAGCACAGAACAATCCTCAAGAAGTGCGATTTGGCTTGTACACCGAAGGCATTACATATTCCGCATTTGCTGCTCCACGCGCACATAACTTCAGCACATACATGTACCGCTGCCGGCCAGCAGCTGCACACAGTATGTCATCTCTCTCTCTGTTTCTGTAACCCACTGACAAGATCAGATGGCTATGTCCCAATCGAATCAAAATCCAACATCCAAAACTGCTTCCTCTCTATCAACCCCAAAGTTGCGACACTGCCAGAACAGGCAGAGTGGAGTCCTTTCCCCTTGCCGAAAGACGAGGAAAAGATTGACTTCGTAGATGGGCTTCACACCCTTGCGGGAAGTGGTGATCCAAACATCAGAGAAGGGCTTGCACTTTACGTTTACATGATTAACTCAAGCATGGAAAAACGTGCCTTTTGCAATGCCGATGGAGATTTCCTCATCTGCCCACAACTCGGCAACCTGGATATCGTCACAGAAATGGGCAAGATCTTCCTTCAACCTGGCGAGATTTGTGTCATCCAACGTGGTGTTCGATTTTGCTTGAACTTGGGGCCGGATGTCAAAGAAGCACGCGGTTACATCACAGAGGTGTGGGGTTCCATGTGGGAACTGCCAGATCTCGGCCCACTTGGTGGCCACGGTCTAGCTAATCCGCGCGACTTCCTTTACCCGGTTGCTGCGATCGATGAGGAGCTACACGTAGACTGGAAGATTGTGAGCAAGACCAACGGTCAGCTCATCGCAATTCAACAAGATCACAGTCCTTTCGATCTTGTCGCATGGCATGGCAATGTCGTACCGTACAAGTACGATTTGACCAAGTTCTCTTCGCAAAACAGCACATCCATCGATCATACCGATCCATCCATCTTCACTGTTTTGACTGCTAAGTCTCGGGACCCAATGACGCCTTTGGCAGACTTCCTCTGGTTTGGTCCACGTTGGGATGTAGCAACGAACACCTTCCGACTCCCGTACTTCCACCGCAACTCAGCTTCCGAGTTCCTAGCATGTATCTACGGAAAAGGTCTGGGACGCAGCGACGACTTCCGGCCCGGCGGTGGTAGCTTTGAGGGCGGACATACTCCACATGGCGGTTTCCATGAAGGCTACCAGCACGGAATGCGGATACACGAGAGCCAGCCCGAGAAGATTTTGACTGGTAAGATGCCTCGAAAATGAACTTGAGTATCCGTAGCTAACAGTTTTAGATCAATTGACTATCATGGTCGAGTCGAGTCGTCTCTTCCTATTCACAGAGTACGCTCGTAAAGGCTGCGGTGTCATTGATGAGCACGGCACCGACTACAAGGTCTGGGAAGCTCTCCCAGTAAGTCTACCAACAACTACACCATTGGTATGTACTAACATCGTACAGGATCGTTTCTCGGCAAACAAGCGAGCTCAAGAACTGCTCGCTCGTGTTAAAGACGACAAGATTGCCGAGAAGAAGAGGCTTGCTCCATACTACTTTGGTGGATTTTCACATGGTGCCAATACCAGCGACACGGAAGGTGTGCACTCTGCAGATTTGGACATCAAGCAGCTCAACTCGAAAGTGAACGGCACAGATGGTACAAATTGAGTCTTGGCATACAGAGGTCGGGCGTCTTTCTCAACAATCGTAACGGAGGACACATGATCTTAATAGGCTCACGAGTCTAATCTTTGAACGCACTATATCCAATTCTTCTTCATGATCACCGATATCCATTCATAAACCATGTCCAAAAACGTCTGTGCATGAATGTTCTTAGCGACCCCACAGCGGGTATGTGGGGCGGTTTCTATCCTTGGTTTTGAACAAAGCCTCTTAACATGATGATGCGCAAATATGGCACAATGCAAACAGAGACATGTCTTCCTTCGGTGTTCTAGCAAGGACAACGCCGTTCCTGCGGTCAAGATACGCAACGGCCGCACTCACACGCCAATCATGGACAAGGGGAATCGCAACGAAAGAAGGAAAGACGAGGGAGGTGAATGAAAAGCTTCCACTGGCCGGAATAAGAGTCCTGGACATGACAAGGGTGCTTGCAGGGGTAGGTCTTTCCAGATTGAGCTGTACATACATCAAATGAGGAGTCAAGCTAATCATGCGCCAGCCTACATGCACGCAGATCTTGGGTGATCTTGGGTATGCATATTCACCATATCAATTTCGTGTAGCTGCTAATAAGATATGCAGTGCCGAGATCATTAAAATTGAACATCCCACCAGAGGTGACGATACGAGAGCTTGGGGACCACCAGACTTGGCCTACACTGATGGCGTGGAGCGCTCGTTTCCGGGAGAAAGCGCTTACTACCTTTCAGTAAGGATGCTCAAAACACTTGCCTACTTTCTTGCTAATATGTGATAGGTAAACCGCAACAAGAAGTCGCTCGGCTTGTCTTTCAACAACCCAACGGGCATCGAAATCCTCCACAAACTAGCGCAGAAATGCGACGTTCTTGTTGAGAATTACTTACCTGGATCGTTAGCAAAATATCAGCTGGACTATGCGACTATGTCGAAGATAAACCCATCGCTCATATATGCCTCAGTCACGGGCTATGGTCAAACAGGTCCATACAGCGACCGAGCCGGGTACGATGTGATGGTCGAAGCTGAGATGGGGTTGATGCACATCACTGGCGAAAGAGATAGACCGCCAGTCAAAGTAGGTGTTGCGGTAACTGACATCTCGACTGGAATGTACACAGCCATCGGCGTCTTAGCTGCATTGTACTCAAGAAGAGATACTGGACTTGGCCAGTGGATCGACGCGAGCTTGAGTGATTGTCAAGTAGCAGGTCTAGCGAACATTGCTAGTGGATGTCTAGTCACTGGGAAGAAAGATAGTGGACGATGGGGCACAGCTCACGGTAAGTTGACACTTGTTATTTGGGTATGCAAAAATGACGCTGATATCATTAAAGCAACTGTGGTGCCATATCGCGCCTACAAAACCAAAAATACCAACATTGCCGTGGGCGGCTGCAACGACAAACTCTACGGCATACTCTGTCGCAAACTCGGCAAGCCAGAATGGATCACAGACGAGCGTTTCATCACGAATGCTCTGCGCGTCAAGCATCGCGAAGTCCTTGACGCAATGGTTGAAGCAGAACTCCAAACGCGCACGACACAAGAATGGCTTGAGATTTTCGAGGGCAGCGGCATGCCGTATGCGGCTGTCAATGACATCCAGGGCACGATTAATCACGAACACGTGCTTGCGCGCAACATGATTGAGGAGGTAGATCATCCTGCATGTGGGAAAGTGAAGCTGATCAACCATCCGGTCAAGTACTCGAGAGTTGAGCCGAAGATTAGAAGTCCGCCGCCTTTATTGGGCGAGCATACGGATGAGGTGTTGAGGGAGTTGTTGGGCTATGACGAGGGCGAGATTAGTGAAATGAGGGAGCGGAAAACTGTTGCTTAACCAACTACACAGTAAAACTATAGTACCTATGATATACATTAAACAAATCAAATTATCCTCACCATCACCATTATGCAACTCTTTGCCGCTTTTCTCACAATCCATCCGACCATCCCACTGTGCATCGTACAAAAGCCCCGCTATCCCTTTTCCACTCGCCCCACATCCCAATGCAGGCGTCCCACACCCGATTCAGCCCCTCTAAAGTGATCGCCGCTGACCCCACATGCAACACCATGCACCCCACAAACACATCCCGGGCGCCCAAAACACCGCGCCAAGCCGTGTGGCAGACAATATGGGCCAGCACGTTTTGCTCGCGTAAGATATGTTAGGCCTCGGGAACTAGTGGGGAGGCTAAATGTGGGCAATATGGGTATGGGACGCGTCAAGCAATGTTGTTTGACACGAAGAAGGAAAGAATGGCGAAGAGTGTAGAGAGCGTGCCTTTTAGGTATCAGTTTGGAGCGGGTGCAGTCGCGGGGATAAGTGAGGTATGAATTTGGTGGTGTTGTTGTGCTGAGGGTTTGGCTGATTGAGTGCAGATATTGGTGATGTGAGTTTTGCAAAGTGGTACAGTGAGTGACTGCGTACTGAGAGTGTAGAAAGGTACCCGCTTGATGTTGTGAAGACGCGGATTCAACTTCAACATGGCAAGGCAGCAGGTACGGAGGGATACACTGGCGTATTGGATTGCTTTCGCAAGATCATTCGACAAGAAGGTATATCGCGGTTGTATCGAGGCATTACTGCTCCGATTCTCATGGAAGTGCCCAAGCGGTAAGTCTCCCTCACGGCCCAGTGATTGCATCTGTTTTGCTGATATGAAACAGAGCCATCAAGTTCTCCGCGAATGACTCTTTCACAAACTTCTACCAACGCAGCTTCTCAATGCCAACACTCACCCAGCCTCTTGCCGTTCTGACTGGTGCAAGTGCAGGCGCTACAGAGTCGCTTGTAGTTGTCCCGTTCGAACTTCTCAAGATACGCCTGCAGGACAAGACTTCTGCTTCGAGGTACAACGGGCTCTTAGACTGCCTGGTCAAAGTGGTGCGTCATGAAGGTCCTCTAGCATTGTACAATGGTTTCGAAGCCACGTTGTGGAGGCACATCGTGTGGAATGCAGGCTATTTCGGCTGCATCTTCCAAGTCCGCGCCCAGCTACCTGTACCGTCAAGTACTCCAAACCCTGTACGACAAAAGACTATGAACGACCTAGCCGCAGGATTTGTTGGTGGTGTGGTCGGGACCACGTTCAATACGCCGCTTGACGTAGTGAAGAGTCGGATACAGAGCGTTGCCAAAGTCGCTGGCGTGAAGCAAAAGTATGCGTGGGCATGGCCGAGCTTGCTAGTTGTAGCGAAGGAAGAAGGCTTCAGAGCACTGTACAAAGGTTATGTGGCCAAGATTCTGAGGTTTGGACCTGGTGGTGGAGTTTTGTTGGTGGTGTATTCAGCAGTGCTAGACTTCCTAAGCCCTCCTCGAAAAGCGTAGATGAGCATATTGTAATCCGGGTGTCGAAAGTTTTGGAGGCTCTAATAGCCGAGGACAAACACGGCTTGTGAAATGAACATAACTTGGTCCGATGAGTTGAGCAGGTTTCGCCAGTGATCACGATCCGATGTTCACTATAGGGACCGTGATATGCCCGTGCTACCGTAAGCACAGCGTAAGCAAGAAAAAAGTTGTGAAAGGTCCGAATCGTCATCTACCTCCGACTCATTGACCGAGAATGGCTATGGTAAGCTTATCATAGTAACATCTCAAGCAGAATCATATGGAATATCAATTCGAATTGAGCACCGTTACATAAAAGTCCAATTAACGAATAGCGAATGAGGGCACTCGTATAGCGAATTTGATACAGAGAGTTGGCAATGCCCCACTAGCGCAAGCCCCGGGTCCCACATGCATTGTAATCCGGGGTTGAGGTTGGCTGCAGCCTTCGAGAACCTTGGGAGAAATAGAAGAAGGCGTCGGCCTATCGCTACAAAACGATAGTCATCAGGTCCGTTTCTCCTCGGAGGGGCAGTGAGACTATCCAACTGACCGAGACGTCGTCAAGGGCAGTGACATGTCTGCTGTGCGGCATCCAGTCGAATCTCCTGGGATCGCCTCAAGCAGCGGTGCTGGGCAATGCGACGATCAGCTGTCGATCCAAAACGGGTAGATATGCAGACGCCGCAATCTGTAAGGGCAACACTGCAGGCTTATATGCTGTGGGTAGATGAAGGTTTGAGTGTAGAGAGAAGGGACCCTGGCCTATAGTGCCCGAACGAGTCAGGTCGTGCGCCATCATCATCCCCCGCTCGCTTGGCCGCGAACAAGACTGCAGACACACCGGACAGCACCATCCGGTCGCCAGTTCTCTCTACGACTCCTTGCGACGAAGCGATATCGATGCTCGCGGTCTGACGCGACACTGTGGGATACTGCTCGCGATAAAGGCTCGCCATGGCGCTCAAACAATGCAGCATGTGCGAACGGACGTTCACCAAGCTGGTAAGACAGTCTGCTGACCATAAGAACTAACACTGACGATAGGCAGGAGCACGTTAAAAGACACGAGAGGTCACGTACGCTTGTCGCGACACTCAAGCTCATGATCGCGACTAAATCACAGTAGACACACGTGAGCGACCGTACGAATGCCCAACTTGCAAGAAGCACTTCTCCAGAAGGTGAGATCTAGAAAATCCCGAGAAAGTTCGCTGCCAACATCATCTGCAGTGATGTCCTGTTCCGCCACTGCAAGGGCCATGCGCAGAACGCGTTGAATCGCATGAAGAGTAACGAAGGACCAAACCAACAGGATCAACAATTTGGCGACGACAGAGATACTGCCAATCCTGCTGCACCACGAGACCGGACCGGTCAAAATACAGCCGGGACACCTCAAATCCGAGAACACCCAGCCATGTCGCCCATGTCAGCCAGAAGAGAATCGCAGCAACTACCACAGATGAATGGCGAAAGCCAATTCAGTCATTTGTCGCCCCCATCGCACGCAAGACCTTCAATGGGAAGGCATCCGCCGTCACCCGGAGAAGACCGGATAGAAGCACTCATCAACGCAGCACAGCATCTAGAGCCCTCAGGAGATACTCCCTGGCGGTCACCATCACCATTAATCATTGGACGTGCCGAAAACGCGCAGATGATGAACCGCCACCCGCATGACATGGGTCCGCCCATTGATCCAGCAATTGATGGTCTTCAGTTTTCGCCCGCTGGGCACGTTTCGAGCCTGGACCAATGGGCTTTTGAACTAGTGCAAAGCAACAATCCAATTCCAAATCGCACGCCAGCAGATGCATTGCAAACATGGTTGTTTCCGCTAGAGAACGATATTCAAACGCCACATGGAACGCATATGGCCGTCGATGGGTTTTTCGAGCATGATGCTTTTCGAGGCCTACCTGAGAACCAGGCCAGTCCGTCCGGCAGCAGTGTTTCGATAGCCAGCCGAGTACCAAGGGAAAGATTTCAAAGAGTACAAAGTTGTTGGCCATCGCGGTATCGGAAGTCTTGCCGGTTAATGCAAGATCTGTGGCAGGGTTTAATAGCATGTGATTGCAGCAACATACTTTCGGAGATACCCTTTGGACAAACTGAAACTCCTATAAGCGAACGAGAGCGGAAGAATTCGAGATGGGGATTGGACGAAGAGTGCAGAGGCTTGCTGCAAAATGCTCTGAACAATGCGCCCGCACGATCGGAATCATATGGCGATACTGCATCTTCTAGCGGTGACGCTGCAGGGAGTCCGAGTGTGGATGGTATTCAGTTTCCGCCAGCTGAGATCCTGGATATCGCTCTCGAGATGTACCTCTATTACTTCCATCCGACCCTTCCTATCATCCACATACCGACTTTCTCGGCGAAGAATGCGCCACGGCCATTGATGCTATGCATGTGCCTCATCGGGCTGAGCATTCTTGGCACAGCTGGAGCTGCCAAATTTGTTACGAGGACATTTCCAGCTGTTCTGCAAATGGCCCTCACAGAACTGCAGTCACTATCTGGAAGCGAGCAACCGCCACACAGACAGATGCGAGTTATCGCCACTAGTCTTTTGGCACTGAATCTGGCTTCAATAACAGGGGTATGTAGCAAATTCAGAGAAGCGATCCACAGCTAATCATGGGTAGCGGAAGAGTCGGATTGCGCAAGCGGAGAGGTTGTACTCGGAATTGATTTCGGTATGACTGCCATGTTCAGCGAAAGACGTCAGCTAACAGTATCAGCATGCGCAACAACAAGGGCTCTTTTCCGCAAATGAAGGCGCGAATCTGGACTCACTTCTCGATGAGGTTGTAGATCTTGAATCAAAATGGAGGGCGTGGTCAAAAGTCGAATGTGCCAAGCGGTGAGTCGCCAAGTTGTCTTATGCAAATAGTGCTCTGATACGTCCCAGGATTATCTTTGGCCTCATCGAAGCCGACTGCTGGTGGGCAGGCTACCTTTCGACAGCCCCCATGATCCGACCAGAATCGGTTCAGATACTACCGCCATCTGACTACAGCCTATATCACGTAAACTCGGCACAGAAATGGTTCCAACTAGTGCAGCGTGGCACGAGGATACAATCGAACCGAATCACGCCATCATTCCACCCAACACCAGGGCTGAAGCTCGACGCACCAAGCTTTCGAAGTTTGCTCACACTTTTGTTACTCCGCATATACGAGTCGAATGATCGCTTGGCTAGTGCTACCGGGCCGCAGAAGCAGCTAGAGCCGTGGAGGATCTACGCTGAGGATCCTCGTAGCCGCGATATACTTCCGCTTTTGGTCAATCTCTCGTCTTCATCCATCGATGCGCTACGCACTGCCGACTTGAACTCTGCTGTTCTTTGGCATGCGTCATGTATGATCCTCGGTGCCAACATGCGATACTTTGAGTTAGCTGCTGGTCGTGCGGGCCCTGAACCTGCGGTCAATGCGCTCGAAGATATCTCAGCCTGGTCGCAAACTCCGTCAGCAAGACGATCTGTGTTGCACGCTGCGCATATCTACAAACTTTTGTTCGACCGGAAAGTCTCTGATATTGTTAATCCGCACAGTGTAGTTGCATTATTTCATGCAGCGCTCGTGCTGGGCCTGTACATCTTCACATTGCCACCTTCGATGGCTTGCGGGATCAACGACAACTGTATCGAACTTCTGGATATAGTAGATTGGATTTCCATCGGTCAGCTTGGACTCATAAACAACGCCCAACCACCGAGCGGATTCGGGGAAGCTTCATTGATTGTCCAATTCATCTGCAATGGCGGACCTTTCAGCATCACCGGTATCGCCCTTGAAGGCGGCTACTTGGCAGCACGCAGAACGCTGCTGCACTGTGCAGACCTCATGGAAGGAATGGGCCGATGGAGAAGTCGCACCTTTTCACAAATCCTACACATAATGAGCGACGACTTGACGGATCATGACGGGCCGGAAAACGATGACTCATGACGGTTACAATCCTCTTCTTCAACCTTGTCGCTTCAACAGTTGCAAGATCTATGGGGAAGGGGATGACGGCAGTACTATTCTGCGCGCATCAACATCAACATCATGAAGAAAAAAACTTGGTTCACGATTAAGAACGAGCATTTAGCGACGCTGTTTGGACATGGGAGTCCGGCGCCTTGTAACATGTACCCAAACGTACTACTATATTTAATCTTTTCAACAAGCCACACAAGCATCATTCAAACTCCCAAGTCCCATCCTCCCTCTTTTTCCCTTTATCCTCATACCCCTCCGGCAACATTCCACCAACATGCAAATAAATACTACTCCCATCTCTATCCCTGCATCTCTCATCCTCCGCTGCCTTCTCCCACACCTTCATCGCCGCAACAGCCATACTCGGCTCCACACCCACCTGTCTCGCGCCCTCAATCCCCAGCCCCAGATCCTTGAGCATCATCTGCGTCTTGAAGCCCGGTTTGTACCCGCTATTACTCGGCACCCAGTACTCCGTCTGTACATTGGGGATCGGCAGGACGTGGTCGCACATCCAACTCTGGCCCGTCGAGTTCTTGATGACGGAGTACAGGGCGGCGGGGTCGAGGCCGTGCTTGACACCGATGGCGAGGGCTTCGGCGGTGGCGAGCAGGATTGTGCCCGAGAGGTAGTTGTTTGAGATTTTGGCGGTGAGGCCGGCACCAAGGGTGTGTAGGTAGAAGAATTTCGAGGGCGTGCCGAGGAGGGAGAGGGTGCTTGGGAGGAGTGATGTGGGATCCGGGGGAGGGGCGCCGATGAGCATGGAGAGGGTGCCGGCTTCGGCGGCTGGGACGCCACCCTGTGTGTTTGTTAGTTGAGGGAATAGCAATGTTGGTGGAAGTTGGACGTACGGATACTGGTGCGTCAATGTATGTGCCTAATCCCTCTTCCTTCAATTTTCTTCCAACTTCTTTTGTGCTTTCAACGTCGATTGTACTGCATTCTAGCATCAATCTACCTTCATCTTTCCTCGCTGCAATCACACCAGTCTTCTCATCCAAATACACTGTCTTGACATCTTTGCCTCCTGGCACGATACTTATCAGCACCTTCGCGTTCTCAGCTGCTTCCCGCGCAGTCGATACGATCTCTACTTGGCCAAAAGAGCTATACTCTACTTTAAATCTCTCGCATGCCGATGCATTGATATCGTTTATGTATAATATCGATTGCTTTGGTATTTTCTTGCGAATGTTCGATGCCATTGCATACCCCATGGCCCCAAGGCCTTTGCAACCATCAGCATCTTGACAACGAAACACTCAGAATAAGGCACTCACCGATGAAAGCATAGTTGTCCGCCATGCTATATTCACTTCTTTCAGAGCTTCATTGCATCGACATCACCAACTACGCTCCAGTATTGTGTACCTGCCCTGCACACTAGTCCCCGCCGTCCCTGCATGCAGCCCCACATAGCTTCCCCTCACTACCCCGAAGCATACCCCAACTCACTATGGGACTTGCATACTGCAGTAAAACGAATTGCATGTTTAGCCTAGATGGTTGTTCGGGAGTGGATTTAGATGTTGAAGCATGTCGTGATTACCCAAAGCCTGCCTGAGCTCTTGCCTTTGACACAACACACATTCTGAATACACCCCATCTCTTCAAGCATCATGACAGCATCGAAGCCACTCACAGTCGGTATAATCGGACCCGCAGGCTTCGGCGGGTCCTACCTCAGCGTCGAGCTGCTGAAGCGCGGACATACAGTCGTTGGGATATCGCGCAACCCTCAAGCTCTAGGAAAACACGCGCGCTACATCCCGCGCCCCGTGGACATCGACGCCGTATCGATTTCCCAACTTGCGGAATCTTTCCAAGGACTGGATATCTTGGTTTCGATGTTCGGCCCTCACACAGAAGGCCCCATGGCCCTCCTCTACCAGCCCTTCCTCGAAACAACCCGCAAACTAATCCTCGCCTACAAACAATCCCCCGCGTCCTACTTCCTCTTCGTCGGCGGCGCAGGCAGCCTGCACATCCCTGGAACTCAAGACTCCTGCGTCGACCACCCGGATTTCTTCGTCGCGTACCGGCGCGCCATATCGACGTCGCTCGCGCACATTGCGTACATGGAGGAGCGGCTGGGTATAATGGGCACGGCATTACGACGATACCGCGAGGCGAGGATTGCGGAGAGAGAGGGCAGGCAGAGCGAGGAGGATGGCAGGGTGATTGCGGAGTACGAGAAGCAGATTAGGGAGAAGGATCAGGCGAGTGATTTCATCAAGGCGGGGCGGACGGCGTTTATGATGTTTGATGGGAATACGAGTTTCAGATGGGGGTTTGTGAGTCCGAGTGCGTTGTATCGGCCGGGAAAGAGGACGGGACAGTATAAGATTAGTGTGGATGACATGGTGTTGGAGGGAGAGCAGCAGGTGGGGAAGGACATATTTGAGGGGAGACTGACGGGGATTAGTGTGGCGGACATGGCGATTGCGATTGCGGATGAGATTGAGCAGCAGAAGTTGGTGTGGAAGCATTGGAGTGCGTGGGGGGATATTAGTGAGGATTTGCCGGGGCCAAGTTATTTGAGGTTGGATGCTGTGGAGGGGGGAAGTGTGTGAGAAGTAAAGGTGGGATATAGTCTCAATACATAGTGTTGTTAAATAACAACTGAGACCATCTATCTACTATCCCATTCCGACATTGAATGATCTCACAACTCCAACTTCGTGAATTGAGACACCATAGCTTCGTAGGCCATGCTGCTGTACTTCACGACGGGGGCAACTGTTACCCAGAACATAGTCTCGGGCAGCAAAGCCACGACCTTGACGAAAGTCGGGGGTTCATGGAAAAGCGAGACCTGTCTGCCTTCTGAGCCATGCGTCGCATCCGCATCTTTTGGATCTGCTTTATCTTCTTTGGGCTGTTCCGCGGGCAACGAAGGAAGAGCAGCAACGGCTTCGGATGGTGGTGCTTGTGTTTCGACGTTGGTAGTTTTGGACTTGTCAACATATTCGCTGTCTATGGGAGACTTCGCTAGCAAGAGATTCTGAACTGCACTAGTCTGATCAACAGAAGCAGTCCGCTGTGCAACCCGTGTAGGGGAGATGACGTCGATCGGTGGTGTGAGGATGCTCGAAGTTGCAGAGGTTCCAAACGTGATCAGATCACCTGCATTCTTGCTCTCCATGATGGGTTCCATGGGCGCGAGATCGATCTCGCGGTACTTCTCAAGATCCTCTTCTTCATTGGCTTCTTTGGCAAGCTCAGCAATCTCTTCCGGCAGCGAGGCATTGCGCCGGCTCTTAGACGGTGAATTCTCTTTGCCTGAGTACTTCTTGAAGTCCTTCAAGGTTTTAGCGAACGACGTGGTGGGGATCGTAGAGGTAGGTGTGAAGGCGAGGTGATGTCCGCTTGGTGTAGCTACCACAGTCGGTCGGGAACTGGGTGTGGCTTGGAAAGAAGACAAGGGAAGTGACTCCTCTGAGGCCCGGCGAGAGATGGGTGCTGGAGCGAACCGGCGGGATATCCGGCGTTCGTTGGCATTCAGACGCTGCCACGGGTTAGTAAAGTGAATTGTCAGTGGCGAGGATCGAAAAGCACTTACATCTAGCTCAAACTCTGTCTCATCATCTTCTTCGATCCTGCTGAGGCCACTTTGAACCTGGGCAATCTGCGCTGTCTGGAACAACGAATCAACAAAGAGATTGAGTGAAACATCCTGCCTCTTGATAGACGCCACGTCCAGGTAGTCAGAATCATATGGAACATCAAATGCCTCCTCATGCTCCTGATTGACTCGCTCTTTCTTCACGGCCTCCTCAATTGCAGCGCGCTGCACTCGGATCTCCGCATCGTCGCAGGTAGGAGATTCGTGCTGATAGATGCCATCGAGGTGCTGTGGCCGAGCAGGAGGAGCAGTCGTGCCCGGTGTGTTCATAATATCCTCAATCGTGTCGCCATCATCATCGCTTCCTTCCGCATCATGGCCGTTGAGGTCTCCGTCACTCAGCTCCATGCTGTCATCTTCGTCCTCATACCCCGCCTCCAGCTCATCGCCGTATCCGTACTGCGTCTTGCTGTACTGAACTTCATCTTCGTTGCCGCCATCACTGCCTCCGTTCTCGGAGGCGGCAACACTGAGCAGTCTCCCGTCCTGTTGTTTCTTGGCGGGTGATAGTGCTGGTGGAGAACCGTTAGCGTCGTCCAGTATCTTTTTCAGCGTGCGACAGTCAGACGGCGTCAGCTGCTGCTGCTCCGGCTTGGTTAGTGGTGTTGAAGGTGATGTCGCAATGCAGTCGTCGTGGGTCTTGACTGCTGCAGACGACGTCGCGGGTTGTAGCGGTGCAGAAGACATTGCTGGCGCATCTGGCGGCGTGTCCATAGTCGAGGTTGATGATCCGGATGACATGGTTGAGTCGCGCAAGATACAGGATGGTTCTTGATGGGAAGCAAGTGGAGAGTGGTGTATGTATGGAAAAACACGAGCAGAAGGAGCACGGGCTTGTACACAAACAACAAACGAAAGTAATTTTGTTTAGGCAGCCGCGCTTCCAGAAAAGGACGGAAAGAACAGACGTAATTCCAAGTGAAAACACCTGACCCGCAAAGTGGG